GTATTTGATCAGCAGCCACAAGGAGTGAAAGTTGATGTGAGAGCTCAGCTGCAGAGCATCCAGACAAGATGGGTTGAGGATATCTATTTATTATTATTATCATGTTTATATACTGCCCTTTATCCGAAGATGTCAGGGCGGTTCACAAGATGAAAATACAGGCTAAAACACAGCCGTTAATGAGATGGCTAAGTACTTGATAGTTGGATAGATAGATGATAGATAGATAATATGCAGCATAACAACATTAACTTATAAGAAAGAACAATTATGAGTAAGCACACACTTAGTGTCTTTGTAAACACTCGGGTTGTGTACTGCCAGCTGAGAATTGAGAGACTTTAGGTCAAAGTAGCTGTGACATGGGAGGTCAGATATATGGCTAGGATCTCTGAATTCTTTTTTTAGAAACAGCCCAAGGAAACCACTCTGCTTCAGCTAAGGAATTCTGAATCCAGTCAGCACACAGATGCAGGATTTCCTGGGAACCCTATGTACATCATCTTGCATTCCATGGAAGCTGATTTGATCACCAAATCCAACAGCTGCCATAATACCAAGGGAGCCCTTTTCTCTCTATGCTGGGAACCAAGGGAACCCTTTTCTCTTTATGCTGTTTTCCCAATTAAAATGGCCTCCTCTTCAACAAGTTATTTTCCCCAGTGTGGTGTAGTGGTTAAGAGCGGTAGACCGGGTTCGTGTCTCCGCTCCTCCACATGCAGCTGCTGGGTGACTTTGGGCTAGTCACACTTCTTTGAAGTCTCTCAGCCTCACTCACAGAGTGTTTGTTGTGGGGGAGGAAGGGAAAGGAGAATGTTAGCCGCTTTGAGACTCCTTGGGGTAGTGATAAAGTGGGATATCAAATCTAAACTCTTCTTCATCATCTTCATTATCATCTGTGGTGAACATACAAGAACCATAGAGCAACCAGTATGTGTTCCTTCACAGATCAAACTGGTGGACAGGGAATTTTTAATTGGGGTTGACACACGTACCTTTCTTTCTCTAGTATGATTTGGTCGCACACAGCTGCCACTTTGATCTTTGGAAACAAACTGTGGGAGAGCCTACTGAAAACGGGCTGATGAGTTTCAGCCCATCAGCAATGACCACAAGTTGCCCACCCTGCTGCCGGTAGTAAATCACACCATGCAAGTTGGAGTCAACTCTTTATTAGCAAAAACACCTTCTGTCCAGGAGTGTCAGGCCTAATGAGTACAGCAGCTCACCCCCAGGAGGTCTTGCTACATGGATCAGTTGCCAAGATGGAAAGTCCCTGCCTCCCCACAGCCGTTTTAAGTCCTCTCCTCTCCAGGGTTTTTTCCCAAGCAATCGGAGACTGCAGACCAAGAGCTATGAAGTTTGGTACTGGAGAGGGTGTGACCCGGTGGAATGAAAAGAACAAATGAAGGAGTGTGAGAAGGAAAACATTGGCAATGGCCAAATGCTTCAGAAGAAAATTGCATGATTTGAAACAGTCGGCCAAGTATTTGCTATAGGCCAATCGTAACAAAACAACAACAAACCAACCTATGGTCACATAAAGCATTCTTAATAAACACACAAGACATAACCGGCTGTGTTCTTAGATAAATAAGGTATACTATTCATTGTATCAAATGATGGACCTTATGCATGAACTGACTAGAGAATGATCTGATCCACTGGGTCTTCTGCTTTGTTCGTTTGTTGAACTTTATGAGTTACTTCTGTTGAAATTTACAATTTGATACAATGAATAAAGTAAAGGGACCCCTGACCATTAGGTCCAGTCGTGGCCGACTCTGGGGTTGCGGTGCTCATCTTGCTTTACTGGCCGAGGGAGCCGGTGTACAGCTTCCGGGTCATGTGGCCAGCATGACTAAGACGCTTCTGGAGAACCAGAGCAGTGCACGGAAACGCCATTTACTTTCTCACTGGAGCGGTACCTATTTATCTACTTGCACTTTGACGTGCTTTCGAACTGCTAGGTTGGCAGGAGCTGGGACCGAGCAACGGGAGCTCACCCCGTCGCAGGGATTCAAACTGCCGACCTTCTGATCAGCAAGTCCTAGGCTCTGTGGTTTAACCCACAGCGCCACCCGTGTCCCTCTGGATACAATGAATAGTATCTTATTTATCTAAGAACACAGCCGGTTACGTCTTGTAGGCCAATCGTATACCTCTAATGTGCAAATATATATATATATTTCAGGGTCCCTTCCAACTCTACAATTCTTTTTAATCCAGGCCTTTCCAAACAAATATACAAGAAGCAACTAAAACAGACTTCCAAAAGTGCTTTGTTAGCCTAGAGCAAAGCAAAAATAACATTTTGTGGTGACAAGCCAGCTCTAGGGTCCTCCCACCCATGGAGTGGCCATTCTAGTCTATTAGCTATTCAAGCTTTTAACACCAAGTAGTGTTTGGCTGAACTTACTTTTGACATTTCCACATGGAATACCAGCTTCAACTTCCAACTGGAAAGGGTTCAAGAGTTTCATTACAAAGACTTTAGGCTTACTGTCCTATGTGGGGAATGTGGCTGTGTATCTTGAAGTGACTATGTTTCTTGAAATGATTGTTGAATTTGCTGTTGTTGGCAGGCCATGATTAAGCTGAGCATCTCCTTTGGGTAATCAGATTCTAAAGGTTCAGCTCTCTTGTATCCAGGGCAAATAAACCTAGATTTGCACCACCTATGAATTTAATCTGACATGTCTTACTCACCACAATTTTAAAGAAGTTTCCTAAATAATGGCATTGCCAGATCCTGTTTACAGATACAGGATAACATTAACACTCGAATGAGTGTTCTGCCTTGAGTTTTGCTACCTGGCCAATTTAACATACGGTAATTCCATAATTCTTGTCCCTGTGGAATTGGAGAAGAGTCTGTGGGCTATGCTTTTTAAATATTGCAGTTGGGAGTCAGGAATCCAGAGGACGGCTGCTTCTTCTTCTTTAACAACTGTACCTGCAAGACACTGATCTCTTACTGTCTGAGTGATGAATGGTTCTTAGGTTATTGAACAGGTAGCTGTTGATTTTTTCTTTCATCAAAATTAATTAGGAAGCAGGTGGTCATTTTTTTCTGCTGGTGCCTCTGTGAATCTTAGATTACCCTGTGTGTTACTTTTCATTGGTCGGCGATCATAATAAATGATCTATGTTACAGTGTGATGCTCTAGTACCTGTTTCCTCAATATGTTCACGCAGATGGGAGCAGTAAATTTTGGCACAAAGGTAGTTTCTTCTTCTGAAAATTGTGGGTTGATACCAGTCTAGAGATGTTCCATTCAAATTGACACAGCATTTACTTCTAAATAAGAACGCTTTAGTCTTAACAAAAGCACAACTCATGCCAGTTAGGTGCAACACCTTATCACAGGGGTTGGGAATGTTTTTGACTCCACAGGCCCGTTCCTTATTGGGATCGGCTTTGCAGGCCAAATCTGACAGGTAGTTGGGGCTTCCCAACTGTTAAATCACACGGCACCATTATGTCACAAGAGGGGGAGGTGTCAAACTGTTTTGCAAGTCTCTTTGCCACTTCTCAGATAGAAGTCCTGCCTGCCCATCCCATAGGCAACAAAAAGGTGTGCAGGGTTTTTAGGAGTCAGCCATACCCTCCAGTCTTCCATTCCATTTACCGTATTTTTTGTTCTATAAGACGCACCAGACCACAAGACACGCCGAGTTTTTGGAGGAGGAAAACAAGAAAAAAAATATTCTGAATCTCAGAAGCCAGAACAGCAAGAGGGATCGCTACGCAGCGAAAGCAGCGATTCCTCTTGCTGTTCTGGTTTCTGGGATAGCTGCGCAGCCTGCATTCGCGCCATAAGATGCACACACACTTCCCCTTACTTTTTAGGAGAGAAAAAGTGAGTCTTATAGAGCAAAAAATATGGTACTCCACCTATCTGGTTTTCTGCTTCACCCCTAGTAGTTAACCAGGATTCCATGCTCATTGAACACGCAGGGTCCCCACTGCAACTCCCCAGCCCCCTCCGGCTTGCTACTTCCCCTATTGTGCATGAATGGTGCTGTTTTGGTTATATAAGGATCTACATTTGGATAAAGGAATTCACCTTTTAATATACAGAGTAAACTCAGTATGAAATGATCCCAATCAGCATTCTTTTAGTGATACACTAGATAGCTATTTACGTTGCTTGTTTCAAGAGTGATACAAAGGACCAAAAAAGAGTGACAGAACACACTAATTTTTTAAAAAACTTATGCACTACACATGTGCAGGCCATGTTTATGGCCAATTAGGACCTTTTAGCCCTGCTGCTGTCATTTCTTCCTGCAACAGCAAAGAGCTTGCATGTGGCTATCTGCAGAGAAATTCCAATGCACAAGCACCTCTTCATATGCAGGGGCTCCTGTGAATCAGTCAACTGTGAAACAATGTCCTAAATGTGTAGAGCCTGTATACTTGAGCAGGTACAACTATTACATGAAGTATCTTACATGTGTGCCATGCTAATAGGATTTCAGTATTAAATTAGTGTGGGAAACTGTAATTATCCAAATAGATTCTCAGATTGAGTGTGTATGTTTATACATGTTTTAAGTCCTAAGTATACAGGATGACTTTTCGCTAGTGAACCACGTTGAAGCCCGTATGCCTTAACATTGTCACACTATGTTTTATTTCAGTTTTGTCCCTTACTATGCTGTGTAGTATTTCGCCTCATAATGGGGGTTTCTGTGGTTTTTCATTTTTCTCCCCTTGATAAATGCTAAATGCACCCATCGTGCTCCTGAATTGTGAGAAACAGCAAAATCAGAGGTTGAATTAAATTTTATCCAGGACTAAAAAAACCCCCAAAATGCTATCTGCCTCATCCTTCCAGTAGGAGGCTCCACCCCTATTAGGAATGTCCCCTAGCAACATCTGGCAAAATTCTAATATACTGTTCACTTAATGTCACTGCATATTGAAAAGCTCTGGCAGCCAAATGACAGACGTAAGACAGATACTGCTGCTGCACAAAAACACAAAACTAAAATGCAAGGTGGAGTCTGCTTGTTTATTTTAAATTCAGTTTGTAAAGGTCCCTTTAGAAACGAAAAGATACAAACACATGTTAAGCACACAGTTTGCTTTTAGTTCAACACTTTCTTCATCCATCAATTTTACCCAAAATCACAAAAGTAATATTACAAAGCTTTTGCAGTGCACGTTTACATATTCTGCATATACGTCTATTCACTCTTCAAACAATGCATTTCCATTGAATTTGGCTTAAAAAACAACAACACAGCCCCTACATCAGGCTGGAAATATATAACATTTTAAAGCAATGTGTTTTTCCTCTTAAAAAAAGAAATATATATTCATGTTATACGAGTAACAAAACATGAAGCTGAAATATATTGACCAGACAACATTTCAACGAGTAACAGGTTTTTTTAATAATTCACATACATAGTAAAAAGGTGCCATCATGCCATTCTGTGAGCTATGGTAAAATAGCATGCATATCTGCAGCAAAGCAAAAGGAAAAAGTGCCCCATTTCTGCCTTCAGTTGTATACTAGGAATCAGTTTTGTGAACTTTATAATACAAAAAGCTAACCATTTTTTTTTAAAAAAAGCAGCAACCCAAATATAACTATGAAACAAAACGTCTCAAGAACTATACAACCACTACTTACTGCATTTATAAGTAGTTCATTTATTAACTTATTAAAAGAAAAGCCACTCCTTTTGAGAAGCGAGGCAACAGATTGCGTCAAATGCTTTTACTGTCACCACCCACTCCTTGCATAGTCATAGCTGGCAGAGAGATTGCTTACCATAGTCTCAACAGAAATATCTTAAATTAGAGAATTTGTACTTTCCTAATATAAAAAATGAGATTCTTGCCACAAAGTTTAGTTTTAAAAGAGCTTAATTAAAGAGAAAAACAAAAGTTCTAAAGTACAGTGTTTATAAGCGTAGGGAAAAAAGTACAAAACTAGAACTCGTCATAAAAAAGACCAAACATTCCATTGAAAAAGCACCTATTCGTAGAACTAATGGATTCTGTGCATGCAAAACTAGAAGCGTAAGGCTATCAAGTGTCAAATTCCCTTAAACAACATGTAAAAACTGTTACTTGCTGCATCCTTCAGATTATACTGCCCCCCCAGGCAAATTACATTGCTTAGTAGTATTTTTCCAAAATATGTTCCGACACCCACAAAATATGGTATTGACAACTTTAGGAACCGTGATAGAGATACATTGTACCCAAGACAGTATTATCATATTTCTGTGCAACTTTAACAGAATTGGAATGTTCAACAACGCTGTTAAGTTCAGGAATACTTTCGGCAGTGTCCCCAAAACCATGGTAATGTCCGTAGTGCAATGTATCTCCGAGATCATCCACCCATGATGGCCTGCTTGAAACAAGGCTACTTGGGCTTCCATTCAGATGCAAAGAGCCACACATTTCAGAAGAGCCGTTTACAACCTTTTCTGGTTCCTCAACACTATTGCCCACATTGACTGTATGTTTATTAGCAGAGGCTAGTGTATTAGGTGCTATCAGTGTTAGGCATTCTTCGTGCCTGGCACTCATTCCATTGAGCTGAGCTGGGGAAGTGAAGTCCAAATGTCCATTGACGATATGTCCATTTGTCAATGCATTCAATATGGAGTTACTGCAATTCATATCTGTGTCAAGAAATAGACCCGTCACCACAAGTTGACTTGATCAAAATAAAAGCTCTCTTCCATTTTATTGCAGTTTTATTAAAATATTTCCAAATTAAGGTCAAAACAAACCCAGTGCAGCCTCATGCTTTAGGCAATTATAGTTTACTAATACACCTTAGAAACAGAGGTGTCTGGTAAAACATTTTATAAACAAAATTTCTGTACAAGGTGTAATTGAAATTTACTTAATGCTGCTCCAGCTAAACTAAGCTCAAAATGTTAATCTGTTAAGATCACAATCCTGCACATGCACTTCCTTGAAGACAATGGAATTTATTTTTAAGTTAAGATGCATAGGAGTTGTATGTAAGTACATTTCTAACAGTTATGAAAGGGATCATACAAAACTGCAAGCAATATTTTGGACAATCGGAGAAAGAATAGGTTAGATGTACTTCTTAACTAGAATATAAAACTCCCTACTATGAAATACAAACTAAATGTGTGAGTAGTCTGGAATTTCAAAGCATTAAAGGTTAAGCCAATATTAATTAACTCTGCCTTATTAAATTTCAGGTGAGCACACAGTAAAGCAGGCATATCAAAAGCCTTATGCAAATGCAAGAATGATTATGCAACATGTCTTAAGAGCAAAACTTATTTTATATCAATTTTATATTTAATATTAGATACAGAATAAATCTATGTTCTTCCTTAGAGTGGAATTTCAAGTCGGTACAACCCTGCTGCAAAAACGCCATGAATGGCCACAGCAAAATGTATAGAGATCTAGTGTTTTTAAATTTTTTCGCAACAAGCCAATGGTCTCTTTTCTCATTACTTGTTAGTGCAAAATAATAGTTTTCTGTAAACATTATCTCATTAGTTATATTTCTTTTTTAAAGAGAAGGTTTATATGTAATGGGACTAGAAGCAGTAGGACATAAAAATATCAATTTGGCAAAAATAAATTAAATCACCAAGATAAAATATTCTCTTACATGTAAAAAAAGGCATTTCTGTGTTTGACAAGTCAGTATTTTACATGGATTCTAGGGATGATCTTTGGGCACATGCAGAAATTCATGAAAAAAATGAAGGTGTTTTTGCCTCATAACTCAATTTCAGCCCTGTTTTGGCAAAATGCCATATTCTAGCAATATTATCCCCCCCCCCAAAAAAATCATTCAGTGTATTAGAAAAAGGGAAGCATTATTTGGCATACCAGTATTTTATATCAGTATGTTTAAAATAGGGCAGCATCTATTAGCAGAATGGAGGAGGAAGAATTTTTTGAGATTCCCCAGTTCTCTACAGCAGATGTGGGGGGACTTTATTAGATACCATGCAAAATCGTTGGGCACTATCCAGTTGTGACTGTCAGCTAGCAGAAATGCTCATACAATGAACTTTCCCTTCTTCTCCTTCCCCTGCAGCCATCCAAATTTGCTTTAGAGAGTTGGGGGACACTCAAACAGATTGTGGGATGGGGAGGACAGCAAGAGGAAATCTGTTCCAGCAACAATGAGCATCATCCATTAATTCAAATATAATGGAAACAACTCAAGTTGTTACGTAAGTTACTTAACAGCCTTAACTCAACAAAAACCGCCTCATTAAAGTTTGTGTAAGATTCACGTAGGCGTGTTTCTAATGACAATATAAACACTTACGTTGAATTTACTGGGACAACACAATGTGAGAAGTTACAATTAATTTTCTATTTAAAAAGCAGTATCAAGGGTCATTAGATTCTGCCCCCTTCCATTTTATACAGCAATGACTATAACCCAATCCACTTTATGTTCCTATGCACCAGAGATGAGAAATATTTTCTCCAGAACGAATGTGCACATTAACAGATGCAAAAGTGCATCAATAAGTCATTTAAAATATAGAACTACCACCAGTCTGAAGTTTTAACAGATCTGGGCTGATCCAGATTGTTGTGTGGAGCATAAAAAACATACTCTAAGAGAATAGTGTGCGCAATCATCTCCATTCATCTCAGTGGAAGCTGAAGCAGGTCTGCACATTGTATGCTCTTTGCATGCATTGGGCAGCTTTCTCCACTGAAGTGACTGAGGAAGCCCTTAGGAGAAGAGATGTGTTTTCATGCATTTCCAGCAGCCCTTGAAATGGGAAGAGTGACTAATGACTGGGCTTCAACAAAACGAGTATGAATAGGACTTTCTTCATGGGTTGCAAATAGTAACTTAAGCCCCAAAGCATCCATTAACTATCAATTTAGCTGAATACTAACAATAAAACCAAGACATAGATATCAGGTTGGATCCCTCAGTCCACTGTGGGAGCTTTAACAGCCCTCCCCCCAATGTTCCAAGGGACAGGGGACCCTGCTAAATAGGACAGGTTGTGGTACACCCCTCCAGGTAAAATCTGAAAACCAGATTTTGGGATTCCTCTCCCCTCTGCACCACATTCAGGAGGGCCCCTGACACTCAGTGGGGCACTTTAAGGGTACTGTCACGAGCAAGACTCATTAGACATGCTTGCCCCTGGACCCATCCCGTTGCTTTAACGCACTCAGGCTACCTTCAAAGCAAAACTGGTAGCATTCGCCAAGCTAAATTTACAATCCTATACACTGGTCAGATGATTATTAAGGCAGTGCAATCAGCTTTACCTTTTTTAATTACAATAAATAATTGCTGCATTAATCAAATGCTGAATATTCTTCCAAGAAGCAAGGAGGATCACCTCTGATCAAGGCACAAGGCATGCAGGTCTCTAGACAGGAACAACCACAAGATCATCTATCTGGATCTGTCGTCAACATCTTCCCTCATATCTTACATTTTCTACAAAACTGATAATCTTGCTATTTTAAAATGTCTTATAAAGGTTATTTTAGCAACGCAAATAAGTTTTAAGACTTTGGGACATGTGCGGTAAGATTAAGTTAGAGATAATATGCATACTGATTCTTGCAACGACAAGGAGTCTGCATTGCAGAAACTGTGTATATTTCAATCTCTTTGGGTCCAATAGAACCACTCTTCTGCATGGTATCTTCAACCATTTGAATGCTGTTGTGGTTAACAGGAAACTGTCCACTCCCACCTGATATAACAGGAAATTCTCTATCAACATGCATATTGTCAGCATCATCTTCAGTTCCTCCATTTATCACAGATATCAGACCACCAAAACTTTGACCTGTTTAGGAAAGAATGATTTAAACTGGTGAATATTTCTTATTTAACTACAGTAACATTTTATAGGTGGAATTTAATGCTAGGCCTACTCAGACCAGCCCCTTCAAAAGTAACAAACACCCCATGGACTTCAGTAAGTCTACTGGACGAAACCATATCTTTAACAACTGTAAAGGTAAAGGGTAAAAGGACCCCTGACCATTAGGTTCAGCCATGGCCAACTCTGGGGTTGCGGCGCTCATCTCGCTTTATTGGCCGAGGGAGCCGGCGTACAGCTTCCAGGTCATGGGGCCAGCATGACTAAGCCACTTCTGGTGAACCAGAGCAGTGCACAGAAACGCCGTTTACCTTCCCGACGGAGCAGTACCTATTTATCTACTTGCACTTTGACGTGCTTTCAAACTGCTAGGTTGGCAGGAGCAGGGACCGAGCAACGGAAGCTCACCCCGTCACAGGGATTCGAACCGCCAACCTTCTGATCGGCAAGTCCTAGGCTCTGTGGTTTAACCCACAGCACCACCCACGTCCCTTTAACAACTGTAGTTAGAATATTTAAGATAACTCACAGGGAAAAGTAAATTGGACAGGAACATTTTGAGACAGTTTCATTGTCATGGTTGAAAATAGTTCTAAGTTCATACAAGTTTCTTTACACAACAGTGGACCACATGGCACAGGAGACCACAGTCTACATTCTGTACAGCAACTGCATCACAGGGCACGCACAGCATCTGGTTTTATGTTTTTAAGAGAGGAGAAAAGGATGCGGGAAAATAAGAGTTCTTCTGTAGACAGAGATTTGGGTTGTGTCTGTTGCTGCAACACTGGGGTTTCACTGGTAAAAGGGACTTGTTTCCTCTCCTTCCCCTATATGCTGACCCGCCCCCATCTGCTTGAGGGTTCCCCAACTAGATTTGAGGACAAATGGGGGGCAGGGCTGGAGGAAACAAGTTCCATTGTGCAAACAGAAATCTCTTGTGACTGTAGAGCTGCCACCTCCTAACTTTTTTTAGCCAAGAACATTTCTCGTAGTAGTTGAAAGGGAACCGAGTTAGGGGGGGGGGCAAACCCTTCGGTACATGCACATATTGCGAGCTTCAGAAGTCTCCTGAATGAGCTCTGTGCAGGTGCTGAACCCACATGTGTGAGTGCACAGAGACCACAAAGAACCACCATGGTTTTCCATTAGGAATGAATTGGGCCTCTGCATTCAAACTACTTTCAAGCAAAAGTGACAGAAACCCAATGCCTCACCTTCAGTCCGAGCTTTCTTCATTCCAACACTGTTCATATCTTCAAAGGATCGTTTTCGACTTATGCCTCTATCGAGGAGACTGGGGCTGGTATTCTGATGGGCCCCGTTTAAAGTGCCATTGCTATAGAAATGGTTCAGCGGGCAGTTCTGGAGGTTCAAGAGCAACTGAGCACATTCCTGGAAGCCCTGGGTTTGTGCAAGATCTGCTGCTGTCTGGCCACTGGCATTTCTCAAGCTGCACAATACAAATATATTGAATTATACCCCATAATAAACATAACCTGGTGGTTGCTGCTGATTCTACTAAGGTGATGAAAATTTTGCAAATCCCCATTAAGGGTTTTAAATTATCAAATGTTATATTATGTAACTAATCCCTTAGCACATATCTGTATTCTAAACAAAGTTTGGGAAGCAGTACAATTAAGTATCATGTGACACAAAAAGTAAAAGCTTCCTATTTAAATGTCTGAAAAGGCTAAAATTTCTTGCCTATGGTCTGAAGTATCTGAGTGCTTACACAAACTTCAGACTCTTAATTCAACTCGTCTTATACTAATTTATTTGATAAAATTAATTATCTGAACAAAATACTCGAGAAAACTGTTATAGAATAGTTGTCCATGGCATTCTAGAATCTAACACCACAAAAATACATCGCCGTTCTTCCTAATCATAAAAACTAGGTATGCACGTGCAATAAATTCTTTACATATATATCCACATATAGTGCTTTATTTTGCTATTGTGTTTTTTATTAAGCTCACCGCTTATTTCAAAATTTGTGACATCATAAGTAGTAATATATTATTCACTATTTTAGCCCATGATCATGGGTACAGAAAAGATTTATTAGTCTCTGAACTTCTAAAACTGAAAGATGGTAAGACAGATGCAGTTTAAGTTGAGGAATTCATGATTTGCCTTTACAATAAAAAATATTGACATAGTTTCTGTCTCTCTCACACATACTCTAAAGGACAATAAAGTAGTAATGAACAAAATAGCACAAAAGAATAGCAAGGAAATATTCCCTAGGAAGTCCAGGAAGAGCCAAATACTTGTAATGATGCATGAGCTTCTTTTTTAGCTATGTAGCTAATGATCTGTGAATAGGTAGATGGACCAATGAAGGAAGATTTCAGTGAAAGAATGTAGTTTATTTGCTAGATGAAGTTAATTAATTCAGTATATAGCATGTATTTCGACAATGAACCATCTAGTGTGTGTCTGAACAAAAAAAAAAGTTTTTTAACAAATGGGGCAAGCTATCTGAACATAGATGAGGGTTGGCATAGGGTTCAATAGAATCCACTTTCCTCACTCCACTTGCTCTCTCCAGTCCTGAGTTCCAATGGGACTGCTTGGGCAGACCTCCCCTCAAAGGACTTGGCAGCTCAACTCCTTCCTAGGCCTGAAAGTTACTTGGGCCGCTGGGAGGAGGAAAGAGGGCTCAGAATCCCAATCATCTATTACACACAAAACTGTGACTGGAGGGGCAGTGTTGGATTATTGTCATCACATTATGGATAACCTGGAGGCAGCAAACTGCCAAAATGGCAACAAGACATAGCCAATATAGGTCCAGGAATGTGTGATTCCACAGCAGAACAAGATACCCCATTTGCCATGGGTCTGACTTTCTACTTCAGTCCCCAAGCCTCCATGCCTCTTTTAAAGCTGTATTGAAAGCTCCAAATATGAAGCAAATAAATGGTGGGAAGATAGAATCGATAAAGTGGAAACTCATAGTTTTTAAGAGTGAAGATTATTAAGAATATTAAATCTCAAGGATTCAACCTTAGGGAATTTCCCTGAAAAAAAAGAACAAGAGGAGTGTACAATTTTGTGAAGGACATTTTATAAAGCAAAATGTCACCCATTCAGAGTGGCAAATAAAAGCTAACCCAGGGCCCAGACTAGCACATGCTAAAGCTTGGAATAACAGGAGCAAGGGAAAAAGAAGAGAAGAAATTGCGTAGCTTTTTCAGAAGAAAGCTGTTCTAGTTTTCTATTCACCAAAGCCACTAAATTTAAAGGGGAGGTATGTGTGAGATCTAATTAAGACTTTCTCAAAGCTTCCTTTTCTTATAAACACCTAGAGACTTTCATGTTTTCTGTTAAGGAAGTAATATCTGATGAAAGCAATAAGCTTAAAAGTAGTATCTGGGAATTCTGAGAAAGGCAGTTGCAAGGATCAGCAAGAGGATCTTCAAGAACAGAATGGCACAGAAGTTTATTTGCCCCAATCCCAAGAATTAAGGCAGCTTTTATTATTTCAAACCTACCCAAAGAAAATATGAATATGAACATAAGGAAATACTGCATGTTAAAAGAGTGATTGATTTGATCTATAATCTTGGCCCTCTAACAAAGAAGCAAATGCACTCACACTGTATTGTGAACTTGATCACTTGGTATACAGATTAACCTGCTAGTGCAAAAAATCTAGATCATTAACTTGTAGAAGGCCTTGAGACCTACTAAAAGACATAACTTTGCGTTACGAAAAAAAGGTCAAAGTCAAAAGAGTCTTCCTGTTCATTTTTGAAAAATGGTCCTGCAAAATGATTCCCTTTTTGCTATCATTCTCATTCAATCCTATGATACACCTGGTTGGCTTCCCTCAATATGGTTTTTTACGTGAAACGAATCATAACTGGTAGTACACATAACGCTGGAACTAATTTGAGCTTTAAACCAGAAAGGAAAAGATACTTAAGCAAGAGCACAAAGGTTTTATTCATCAAGAATAATTCATGAAATAGAATCAAAGTCAGAAAAAAACAGAAATCAAGCCCTATTGAAATGTTGCACCTAGATGGCCCTTCTACCCCTCATGAAATAGTGCAAGCCTGCGAAGACAATATACAAAGATCAACATGTGAGATTGCAAGCGAGCACGGAAGTTAGACTTGTCCTGCTGATATTAACTTCTGTTGCTGCTGTTGCAGTAAGAGATGGTTATATGCTTTAAAAAAACAAAAAACAAAACCAGACCTATAATCTTGGATGGTGGGAATAGAAGCTCTCTAATCTAGGGTGGCATAGGACATATTCAAGAGTTTACCAAGATAAAAACAGGAATACTAAAGTTCAGAGGTGGGGGGGGGGGCAAGAACTGTGTCCTTCCAAATGCAAAAGGTCAGTTTGAACAAAATTAGTAATCCAAATGCTTTTGTCGTGAGGTATCTGAATGTACATATAATTATACATGATTAAACTTCATCTGAGTTAAATTCTTTATCTTCTGACCTTTAACAGTGATGTACATGTATACCTTTGTTTGTAGTACTAAGGGTAACATTCATAGCAGATTTCTCCCCCTTTGTCTCATCCATTTTCCTCTTGGGCAATGTGCTGCTTCCAGAATCTTCATTACTACTGATTAGTCTTGACAAGGAGTCTTCTCATCTGTGGATCTCACTCTTCTTGTTTTGAGTTTCCATTTAGCTATGTCACCATGACATCCATTCTAGGGCCATGATTCATTTGAGACTGTTGTAATATTATAAACCAACTATTAAAGGATGGCAGTGATGCAGCATACAATCTTTAAGTATAAATATATTGCAATCTTGCCATTAAGATTCATGGGCATATCAGACTCCAATTGATCAGTCATCAAGTAGATATTCCTTCACTACAATAGGAATTTCAACCTAATCCTAAATGCAAAGTTAACTTTCACTGCAGGAATCTCAAGTGCCAGGAGATTGCTCTCTGTCAGATATATATATAACTACTGCTTGTTTTCAATAATGTGACCTAAGGAAAAGGGTAGCCCATCCTATACATGTGGTCAGATAATCAATTTTTCAAGATAATTCCAATAGGATGAACTGATTTAACGGGGGGAAATACAGAGAGCAAACACTTAAGAGCATCAACCTAATTTTTTTTAATCACCTTGCTAATTACAATCATTGAGGCATGATTCAAATTTCCAAAAAGTATCCCTAGGAGGTTTATAAACATACAAATGTGATAGGGGGTCTACTGAGTTAATTTTCCGAGTTGACAAAAGGAAACTTGCCCCTATTCTTTTCTTCCTTGCAATTTTGCATCTGACTTACTGGGTGGAGGGGAGGGAAAGGGGAATTGAATACCACTCGCATCCTGAATGTATCATCCACTTATAATGTCACATACTTTGAACAAAACACAGGCCTACTTAAAACTCTTAAGAAAGGGGGGGGGGATTAAAAATGTTTTTTAAATTAAAAAAACCCCTAAACTGGGGTGATTGCCACTTTATCTGTAGCTTAAAATGTTTCATCATTAATGCCATGAGACAATCTTAAGAAAATAAAACCTCAATTCTTAATGTAATATGCCCATTTAAAAATAATCAAACTTAATATATTGTTAGTTTACAATTTTTTTTATAAAACTGTAATTAGGGTAAGCAAAAGCATGCAAATCTATATATGCTATATCTGAATTCCTAGATTAGCATTAAAACCAATCACCGCAACAAATACCTCAACAGTATGCCTTGTGTGCAGAAAGGAAGCGATACTGAACATTCAATGCCACAACTGTAAGGTTTTCGGAGAAGCACCTGTGGCAGTTTCAGCAGTTTCTATATGGAATGCTCCCCCTTTCTAGGATTACTTGAAAAAATCAAGTCAATTCGAATTACGTAGCTGTAAAACATTGACATGTGTAGTTTTTATAGTTTCAGAATCTTCTCTTTGATTTAAAAAAAAACGGGCAATGGTGCATAAAACAGGAAACTTACATCATAAGGGATCACATATTTGCAGGCAACATTAAGATTAAAAGTTATATTAACATACATAAAGTGCAGTAGCACATAATTATTATTAAGCCATCATCATGTGACCACCTTAACAATGAGACAGAGCGCCTGACTCAAGCACGGACTCTCAAGCACGGATTTTCATCCTGAAGCCCATTGTAATTCTGTCAGTTCTCTGAAATGTAAACATGATATGTACTAGAAACAAATTGTCAATTCATGGCTTCCGTTACTTTAAATTTTGGTAAATTGCATGTAAAGAGAATTACCAACTATGCCTACACGAAAAAAGTAGCTAATACATGGGATTAAAGAATAAAACTCTTGCTACAGCACTGCAGAAGTGAACAAGTTTTTTTTCCATAGGCTCCTCAGACCCCAGCCTAAGACCATTAAAGCATTAAATAAATAATAATAATAATAATAAAATAAAGAAGCTAAACTGAAAGTTTTAACCCTTTGGCATCCAAAAATAGAAAGTACAACAGAATGATCTTGAAACTGTGGTGAACAAATAACAAGAGACCAATTGGGGAAAACTTCACTTAAAGAGTTACTGCAGAAATGTACTGCAAACATACATAATTATGGTGCCATGTTTTCATTTCACATTAAATAACTTATCTATATTTTTTCAGCATGAGGATTATTATATTTCTTCTTTGCTTCCGTACTTTGCTTTACAAAGATCTTCAAGTTCTGATATCGAATACGCAGATATGGCTAACTGCTCACCACTATGTTCTCCCTGCTTCCTTCTTGTAACATATCTTAGTCTAAGAGCCTTCAGAAGTTTCCTTCACTGTTGCCATAAAGCTGAAATAAGACTGCAGACAGAATTTTAAACTGTGTTTTCTTAAGAAAGGCATTTCTCCCCCTCAGTCAGAAACGGAGCACAAAGCTGGGTAAAGTAACATTGACTAGTCCTAATAAATGTATTTCCCTCCAATTCCAATATTCCTGAACTTGTTCTCTCCAAAGTTGTATATGCAGTGTTTTTAACTACTCCTGTACAAAAGGGGAAAGAGATTCCTAATTCTTTTCGTCTGCCACTCTCCTATAATATAACTGAAATCACGGAGCTGACAAGAATTGACGTGCTCAGGTTCCCTGAAATAAAAAAGACGGGCTTTTGGCCCACTAGTATGTTACCCTGAATCAGCTATAATTTACTATTTTTGTAAGTTTGCACTTTCTGTGTAACCTAAGTGTTATTATATTATATGCTTAGGATTGAAGAATAAACAAAAAAACCCCAACAACTACAAGGTTCCCCTTTCTTGTGGGATTTTACAAGTACTTACAGTACTTCAATATGATGAAGAAACATCCAAGGAGTGTATTAAATGAGACAAATCAATAGTTTTTTCAGGTGGCAATATCAAACATAGCCAAAACACAAGCACTGTTAAATCTTGACAAAGTGACTACAGAAACAAGAAGTCTTACATTATGTAAAGCAAGATGCTGTTCAATTCAGTCCCCTTAGGAATTATTTTGAAGCATTCTGGATTTGTAAAATGTCATTTACAAATAGACTGAAAGGAAAATACAGAAGATGACCCTGAATGTTGCATTTACTCTTTATAAAAGCTACTGTGCATTTTGGATCCGAGAGCTATCGTTCTCTTACCAGATAGCAAGCTTTAAATAACCAAAGTTAGGTAAAGGTAAAGATACCCCTGACCGTTAGGTCCAGTTGCGGACGACTCTGGGGTTGCGGGGCTCATCTCACTTTACTGGCCAAGGGAGCCGGCGTACAGTTTCCAGGTCATGTGGCCAGCATGACTAAGATGCTTCTGGCGAACCAGAGCAGCGCACGGAAACGCCGTTTGCCTTCCTGCTGGAGCGGTACCTATTTATCTACCTGCACTTTTTGGCATGCTTTCGAACTGCTAGGTTGGCAGGAGCTGGGACCGAGCAACAGGAGCTCACCCCGTCGCGGGGATTTGAACTGCCAACCTTCTGATCGGCAAGCCCTACGCTCTGTAGTAGCTAAAATGCAATTTCTAAAAAAACCTAATATCCAGGCAAAAATTTAACAGGTTGCCTTTTACAGTGCGCTGGAATGTGTATGTTGAATAAATATTAATAAGACACTGCCTTTATGAATTAAATGTGGTCTATGGAACTGGATGTTAAGTAACAACACTGCTCATGTTTATTTTTACAAACCAAACAAGAGGAAAAATTACAAACATTTCTCATCTTCCTACCAAAATATATTACGACCTGCAGGTATAGTGTATTCATGCTTTGCATGTAGAGACAGAAGACAATCTTGAGACTTCATAAAATCATATGTAAAGTGAAGATATAATTGGGAAAATAAAGAATGGCTTGGATTCCACGGGAGCCCCATGAAATATATATTGTGAATGCTTACAGAACCAACCTCTGGTAAGCAGAATGATGGAAACTGGCTGCATATGCTTCTCTTCCCTACAAACCAATACAAAAGCTGATACATTGAGGAAGAGAATCGAGATCATGGATTCTATGGGTGAACACAGAAGAATGGTGGGATGCACCAGCTAGGGAACCCCTAAGTGAAGAAGGCTCAAGCTCAGGGATTGGTGGTGGGAGGATGATGAGTGGTCAGAGGGAGAAGACTGGGAGGTGGTGGTGTCAGAAGCTGAAAAGCTAACAGGGTTCAGTGAACAGGGAAAGTTTGTTGCGGAGAGAAGTTCAGAATCAGAAGCAGGAGAGGAGGGAAGCCAAGAGCCAGAGATGAGTTGGGCTGGTGAAGAAGCCAAAGTGCCTCTCCCTCCTGCTGTGAAAGCCCTTCCCTCGATCTCCCAAGACCAGGAATGGTATGAAGGAGGAGGAGAAAAGACAGGTGCACCCGGAGAATCTCAGATTGCTTGGGATGGACCTGGTAGAGGAGCCTTAGGCAGTTTGGGAAGGTGGGGACACAACTGCTTCACCTACTGAGAAGAGCTGCTGTGCTCATTAGGCATGGCTCCTCTGAGCAGACCTTGTTTCTGGCTTATTCTTGACAGCTGATGTAATTTAAGTCCTGCCACATCCATCAAAAAGGGGAAACGTCACTTTTGTTCTAATTACTTTGCTAACACTAGGCACACTGTTCAGTTTATAAATGTAGATTAAAAGATCGGGGACCCTGAATCTATTTATGGTCCTAAATCTTCACTTGTAATGGAACAAATAGTGCACATTTCTGCCTTCTATTTAATAGAAATGAAACTTGTTAGTCAGCTTCATAGCAAAAGAACTGTAACGAGCCAGCAGTATTTTGCAGACCACAGTGATTCCTATTTGGTCTTGGACTCAATCTTGTGGTTGGCAAAGCCCACTCCAGCTAGTTGTGAACACATGAACTTTCCAATGAAAGATACTACATTCATGACTCTAGAATTCTGTGTAGAAAGAAATCTTAAATCTAATTTGTATTGTTACAATTACGTAGCTGCAGGTTTTATATTTAGATGCAAGCTGGTTGCTTTCCATGAGTATGGGTGGTGCTTTGGCATTAGGTAGAAATTGTGGGTTGGGGTACTCTCCCCTTGGATTCCTGTTCTGCGAGACCCCTTTGGATTCTCCTGTGAGACTATGGGAACCTGTTGTCATATATATATGCACACAGGTTAGGGTGTTTCTTCTTCCTCCCTGGGATACCCAAGAGTTGAGCCAATTCATCCTGTCTCATCTCTACCATCTTTGTGCTAAAACCTAAAAGCTGTTAACAAAGCGCTGTTCACAAAGGAAAACTTGTGATTCCAATAGTCCTTCGTCAGAAATTTATAATGCAGCTCAACTGAACTGTTGCAGCTCTGAAGTAGTCTACATAGATGAAGCAATCCTTCAATTACCTTGAAGTACTTGAAGATGTGGTGAACAGAAGATATATTGCAGTTATAATTAAAAGAATTTATACACCGTCTTTCATTTCTAGAAGAAATACAGGATGTAAGAACCTTGACAGAAACTGCAGGAAAGTGATGAGAGATCTTCTCCTGTTTAATGCTACATACACTCAGTTACCTACAGACACATACTTCAGCTATGTTATAAAAATGTAGATTTAAAAAATATATTTTTATTGACTTTCACTGATGTTACACTAGAAAGGCAAAAGAAAACATGGCACCAAAATTGTACATGCGCTGGTACAAGATTAAATATGTAAAATGCACAAATATTTGTCATTATGCAGTTCTCAAATCAAGTCACTTTATGTATCCACATTAAAAAGTTACACCTCAAACCTTTTATTTATATGAGGACATTAGGACCACCTGCGTCCCTTCTTCTCGTGTCCATGAACACTGAACCAAAGTTAAAGGAGCAACCATGTTTATATCTGTTGGGTATACAGTGCACAGAATATGCTCCAGCTAAAATGAGAAGGTAAAATCCAACAAAACACATCAAAATATTTTCCACTGGGGTACATTTAACATTGCTGTCTATTAAATATACACAACTCAAGGGATCCAACTTCAGCATTAGGGAAAGCAACACTTTCTTATTTTAATCCCCTTATTTCAGAATTGCTAGGTGTTTTTTATTTTTTTTAAAATAGGGATTGATTAAAAGTTTCAGGCTAAGAGCCTTCCATTCCCAATTAAACTGGCAAAAATGTTATTAGTAAAACATAAAAATGCTAAAGCAAGCAAAATAGTCATGCTTTAAAACAGTATTTCAATTATGAAATGTCACTGTAACGTGAATTTAACGTTACAAGATTTCTCACCATGAAAAAGAGAATGAAGCCTTGGACGTGTGTTCATTTCAGGCCTAAGGGTGGATGTGCATTACTGTATTCTAGTTTTAATCCACGTTTCCAAAATGACAGATTTATATATCTGCCTATGCAAACAAAGTTATATGAAGATACTAGAAATGCATTTTGTCCAATCTTTTTTTAAAATGTCAATATTTTAGGTATGGTTAAAACTAAGCTCCATAGAAAACCAAGGTCAAATTCAGTGGACGGATTCTACTGATATATCATAATACAATTTACACATTGCAAAAGCTATTTTGAATAGCATTACTGAATATTTGTGATCAGAACAAAGTTAGGCAAGACAAAAAAGTATGGAGTGTGTTATTTTTTAAAACTCACTTATTATCTTGTGAAACATGACCACCTTTTAAACTTCAGTTTTCAAAGCAGATACCTATATTGCCAATTACCTTGCAGTAACTAATGAGAACATCTTTATTTTCAACATCTAGATCTGAAAACTAGAACTGAGAACTGAAACTCTCATAGCGTTCTAGTAGTGCTCATGAGTTTTTTCAACCACCCGCCTATGTATAGCTCCTTATATGCCCAACACGAATCTTGCTTACGTAATGCCTGGCATGTTTATGATACTATACAAATGGTTTGCATTACTACTGCCACAACAAAAGCAAACTGAAATGTTCGCAGGTAGATCAGTAAATTTATTATTATGACAGTAGGCATCAAATTAATGTTTGATTAAAAAAATGGCTGCTTTGCATATTTGGAAGTTTTAGTACTTTCAGATATCACATTACTGAAACAATTTAATTCCATATGTTCCCATGCTTGCCAAACACAAAGCTGGTTGTTACCAAACACCATTGTTCTAAAGAACTGCTCCCTGAGATGAGCAGGTGTGTACATATATAAACCAGCAGGTAGGAAACTCAAGGTGCTTTGTACTAAGGGGTCACCAATGGTCAAAACCCAGACAGAATGAACGTATATTCTGTGACAAAAGGGGATAGAAAATTGGAGGCTGGAATGATTTTTAAAAATTAATCTACTGAGTAACCTTACAGTAATTGAGTCTCATGTCTTATCTGTTGAGGTTCTTTTAGACCCCCAAGGATTTATCGTGTTCTAAAACTAAAACAGCACAGAAAGGAAGAAGGGTAACTAAGCTTGTGTTAGAAAATCTACTTTTTAAATAAATCATTTGGTAGGAACAGACACTTTGCTCATACTCAAAAGTTACTTGCATGTTGCCATTTATCACAAATCACTGATGATTTGATAACTGGGGACCAAGTGTTGAAATTCCTGCATTGCAGAGGGTTGGACTAGATGACCCTTGGGGTCCCTTCCACCTCTACAATTCTATGATTCTATGGAGTCAAGATTGTGGCCCTAATGGAGAAACCAACAAAGGAAAAAGCCAGAGAAAAGCTAAATGTATTAAGTTGGCACGAACAATGAGTGCTCTGCTTGCTATGTAATGTCTGAAAGTACAGCAAATATAAATAGTTAACAGCAACTATATTCTGAAACACAGTCCTTACAAAATACAGTAATGTTACTTTATATAGGTCTTATTTTATTTTCCCCAAGCATTACTTCAAACAACTTATCTTGCACAGTAAGTTCTATATCTTCCTGCTATCTCCATTTTTTTATTGTCAGGTTTTCTATTTAAGATAAATTTTTGTCCTCCATTTGAGATGTGGCTCTATTTAGGCATCCGCATTTGAAAACTTCAGTAGAATATTTCATGTTTTAAAAAGGGTATAGACCGGGGGGGGGGGGGGGAGAGAGAAAACTTACCAACTTTCAGGTAAGACCAAAGATTTTGGACAGGTCTAAAGATTTTATTAGAATAATTCAATGGAAGACCTATGAGATATATACACTTTTTGAACAAGACCATTATGTTGAATAACTTATAAAATGTGTAAGAGGATTTAAGGTATCTCTCTATTGAGTTTCAGTATTAGCCGATTTAATAAATGGAAACCAAAGGGTTAAACAAGCACCAAACTCTTATTGTACTAAAAGGAAAGTTTATACTTCAGATTAAGATACAAAGTACTATTTAAATACTAAAACTAGCTGTAAGAGAAAAAGCTAACATCATTTATATTATAAGCCATACAGCTTATACTCAACAGTTCTAGTGAACAGTGCATCCAATTTGTCCATGCGGTATGCTGCCATTGTTTGTGAGATTTTCTGAATGTTTTGAAGAACACAGTACCTTTAAAGAAAAAGTTAAAAGTGCAAGAACAGAACTTACTATGAAACACTACCAATCCTACTAATGTGCATACCTAAAATTCTATTCTAACAAAAAACTAATTGGTCTGTCATATTTTAAATATAGCTATAGGCTCTTAAATACTTAATAGCTTATTCTACAAAGTGCAATTAATAGTGTTAACTTAAAAATGCACTCTTTCATGGATGACAGACATTGATTTCACTTTTGGCTGCAATGCTATGCACACTTGCATGGGAGTACAAGGCCACTGAATACAGTGGAACTTACTTCTGAGTAAATGTGTATAGGATTGCACGGTAAAATGTGTAAAGTTACAAGACATGTTAAAGGTACAATACTTAGCATAATTCAACATGTCTAATTGAAATCATCTCCATTAGTTAGTTGCCTGTTGTTCTGCGTTTCTCAGTTAATACCTGAGTTTACTGCTCTATGTTAGTTAACTAGACACACAACTACTCAAAATATCTCCAAACCTTACTTACTCTATTTGAGCTCCGTGAGCCACAAGGGCACTTATGGACTCCATACTACCAGACCGGGCTGCTTTGTGAATAGGAGTTTCACCACCATAATCCTGGGGGGAAATATATAGCAGATTAATACAAAATATGTATAGGTTAAGCTAAGAATTCTTGGACTGAAGACAAAAAATGGGTAATGACAGATTAGCAAAGCGACTTGGACTGACTATAGGACAGATGTGCAAACATTTGACCAGAGGCAAGTAGAATATGAGTCATGTAGACCTCCAAAGATTATTAGCTACATATCATCAACCCCCAGCTGATACGGCCTATGATGACTATTTTTTTAATACCCGAAAAGCAGAATATATATTTAAACAATACGTAAATAAAACTACTGCTTCAAAGAGCTCCAGGTGTCTTGAAGCATCAACTTCCTACCACTTATTTTGGACAAGCTAAAATTTCCACCTCTCTCTGTCTTGACAGCACCACAGTTTGCATGTCAAATGAAGAGGATAAAAGACACTTTAATTCACTGGGGTCACCTGTACCTCAAAAGTGAGGCAGCTGGAGCACCTCCAAGCTACAAACCTGATCCTTTAGAGCAGTGATGGTCAAACTTGGCCCTCCAGCTGTTTTGGGACAACAATTCCCATCATCCCTGACCACTGGTCCTGTTAGCTAGGCATGATGGGAGTTGTAGTCCCCAAACAGCTAGAGGGCAAAGTTTGGCCATCACTGCTTTAGAGGAAGTGAAACCCCATCCAAAACAAGTTGAAGATCATGAGAATATTGCCCATTCACAATATCTTTATTTTGTCTAGACTGAGTCTCTATTTCAGCCCTCATCCAGTCCATAACCATGGACTGTAGTAGTTTACAACACCACTGTGTCACATGGATATGAAGTAAAATGATGTGTATAGCTTGGTGTCATCTGCCGATTGATGACACCTCAGCCCATGCCAGATAACATGTCCTAACCATTTGATGCCGGTATTGAATGGCACAGGAGATGACAACCATGGGCTGGTGCAGTAATGATCCCCAGCATCACCTTCTGAAATAGGTCATTCAAGCAGGAGCAAATCCACAGAGACAGCTTATCCAGGATACTGAAATACCTCTCTTAAGGATATATTCAAACAACGTGAGTCACAAACTTATCAATACCTGTTTGTTTATGTTGGCTCCTGATTGAATTAACCAGATGAGGCACTGAGGATGTCCTCCGAAAGCAGCAATATGGGCTGGTGTTTGGGCATGACGTGTTGTACAGGCATTAACAGTAGCTCCCGCTCTCACTAACTGCATTAAACAGTCCAGCTTTAGAAAGAAACAAAGAACAGAAAAAGCACATGTTTAATTATACACATCACTGTATTAACCTGGTGTCATATAAATAGCTCATTGTCTTAACCTGATATCACATAAACTGTTAAAAGAATCTGTGGCCAATCCCTGTTCACCATAAAGCTTCTCAGATATAAAAATAAGCCATGGTTTTTCATTACAAGAACATAACATAAAATATATACCCTAAGTTGCTATAAGTTTGCATGTGAAATCAGACTATTTTACGTATTTATGAAATTTACAGAGGAATTCTATACATGTTTACTCAAAAGCAATATTACTCCCAGGAAAGAGTTGAAAAGGTTGCCACCAAAGAGGGACTCAGTAAAAACAGTAGCCACAGAATACTCATTTCCAAACTAGATAAAAGGTCACCAAGAGAAGGCAATATTTGAATGAGCATTTTTTAAAGCCAAAAGAATGCAAATATATATGTAGGCAGATATATATGAAAGGAAATGAGAAATTACCAAATATTGTTTTTGTGTTTGATTATGGTGTGTATGTTAGTTTTAATGCTGTTGAAATTCCCCTAGGGCCAGGGGTGGGAAGCTAGATCTGGCTGGTAGGACAGAACCTTATTCCTCATACCCCTTGTGGGCCAAACTTGACAGGGGTTTTTTTTGGGGGGGGGGAACGACACCTGTCAATCATTGAACGGCACATCATCAGGTGATGGCAGCACTTCAAAGAGTTGAGCAGAGCTATCTGGAGCTGACTTCTGCAGAAAAACTGAACTTGAACTGAGCACCTACCAACTGGCAGTGCTCAGTTCCAGCTCCACTTGGCTGTACTATTGAATTCATCATGTGGAAGTTAGCAGTGCTGCAGATTCCAGGAAGCTAGAAGTGAGCATCTGCCAGCTGGTATGTGCTTAGGTGACTCAGTAGCACAGCTGATTCCAGCTGGGTTGCTCTCACTGCCAATAAGCTGGCTACACTTTGGCAAGGGAGGCTTGCTGTCACTGCCAATCAGGAACACACTTTAAGTCTCCCAGTTGTGCACTGGGAGCCACATCTGCACCTACCCCTCATCCAACATCACATATAACATCAGGTGTGTTCTAGGGTAATAAAAGACATTCTAAACAATAATTTGAGCCTGCCAATTCTTCAAAGTACATCAATTCCGTTTCTACCATTTTCCACGCTTCATACGTTGGTATTGTCTGCTTTGTTAGTGCCATCTTTGCTTTTTTTCCCACACTGCAGAAACTGAAGCAATGCAAAAAGAGCCAAACACGAACCATTATGGACAGACATTTGATTTCTCCTTTTAATCAAGAGTAATTTGATTGTCATTATACTTAAGGTACTTTCTAAATGAAGTGTATGTTAACACTAATATATATCGAACCTGCCCTTCATCATAATGGATCCCAGGGCATGTTGATTTCTAACTAATGCTATCAGAGCCTGGAGTGTGTGTGTGATCCACTACAACTCCACAAACCTTTTATAGGACTGTATGCTCTTTCGAAAAGGGTGGGCAGAAACATGGGGGGGGTACTGTTCTTTGTACATAAGCAACCAAGACCAGTTATTCAATGATTAAATACATAAAACTTTTCAGAAAAAGTAGACCAATGGTTATTGGACAGGTTCATAGTTTCCTTTAAAATGTACATTTAAAAAACCTGCACATGCGCAGCAGATAAAAGTTTTAATAACTACAGCCTAAGAGCAAATTGCAAAGACTTCTAGTCTCTGGTACAAAATATAGTTAATACATTTAGAAGTAGAATCTGCAACAGAATGCTACTGCATATTATAACCTTCTGAAAGCCTGCAGCTGACACAGCAATTGGGCCTGCATTGGGCTCAATGCTATAATGCAGGGGTCAGCAAACTTTTTCCGCAGGAGGCCGAACCACTGTCCCTCAGACCTTGTGGGAGGCTGGACTATATTTTGGAAAACAACAACAACAACAACAACCCGACCCTCCCTTCTCCACAGCACTGGACAAGCCCCAGTGGCTGCTTACCTGTGCCTTGCGAGCGGCAGGGGCTGGGGGTGGCGGAGGGATGAGTGGCGGGATGATGAGCAGTGCAAAAGGGCTGGCTCTGTAGAGGGGCTGCTTAAAATGGCGCTCAGCCATCTGCAGCTCAACAAAGCCCAGCCCCCTTCCTTCTCTAGGCAGGGCGGGGAGAAGCCAGGTGGATGGAGGGAGGAGGCACCACTGCGGTGTGTGTGAGGGGGTGGGAATGGCGCAGCCTGAATGATCAGAATCCCCACGTCCGCAATTCCCGGACTGTCCGCAGGCCAGATCCAGAAGGTAATTGGGCTGGATCTGGCCCCTGGCCCTTAGTTTGCTGACCCATGCCATAATGTGATCGTAGTGGGGGCTGGCTTCAGATCCAGCAGATCCCCCTGTAGGGCTCAACCCCCCCCCATGGTCCATTGTCAGTCTTTTTGTAGGCTGTCTAAACATTCCACTGGTGGCACTTTTACCTGCCTTTGTGTTCTGCAGGCAGAAATGGGAACTCCATGCCACTAGAATGATGGCAGTGTCACTTCACAGGCAGAGGCCGGAAGGCCTGGCTGAGGGACTCCTCTACCCAATCCAACCCATCCCTGCCTGGTGCAGAAGGGGTTTCAGTTGCACTGTTATTATAATAAGCCCTATTAAAATCTATTTTTATCCACCCTACTTTGGGGGAAAGTAATTTAGTAAACACATACTTTGCTTTGGTATGCAAACTGATAATTGTTGCCAGTTAGTGCTGTTAACATGTTTCCAAATAAGATCACAAAGAAATGTCTTACACAGGGAGTAATTAGGCTAAAAGCACGACATACTGTTTATTTCCTCTTATTTATTTATTTGCTACTACTTCATATACCATCCTTTTCTGAGGTTGATAGGGCAGTTTACAATACAAAAACACAAAAGTATGTTACATAGCAACAAACAAAAACGCGCTCTCTCCCCCCTCCCCCCACATTGAAAGAACATACATACATTAATTCAACAAAGGCCTAGGAGAAGACAAATGTTTTTGCCTGGCGCCTAATAATATCCTAGGGTTTCATCTTCTTGGCAAACACTAGAAGATGACAAAATGAGAGATGAGGAAAAAGAAACATTACAAGAGTGGGAGAAAGGAAACAGAAGCTGCAATAATTTAGGAGCAGAAACTTGGCATGCTGTGTCAGTTTATAAAGTTGTTTGTACTTGCTTACACTCACAAAGGAATTTTATTTTTAACGATTGACTATTCTTCGGGTTGCATCCAACTAAATTCTACTAAGAGTAGTAGGCCCACAGAAAATAGTTATATATTTTGATAGGGCTCTACAGAAAAATGTATCAGAACCATAGAAAACGCTGATACCACTAAGAAAACCAGTGTACATGAAAGAATCCTGATTACGTTAATCTTCATCCACTATCAGAGGATCATTTCGCAGTAAGATTTATTGTTGCCAAACATAGGCAGAGTCAGAACACTCCCTTTCTTTTAGGACTGAACAACTTTGATGCCATAACAAATACATCAGTGTCAGAGCAAACTGCGTAGGTGTTCAAGAACTTGAACATCACAAACAGGTGGCTGACAGAGTTTTTAATAACAAGTGGCAAACCAAAGTGGAAAGGTGAGATTAGGTTTTTACAATGAACTCAAGAGCACCTCTAACCAATCCCATGGGTAGCACAAAGGATAACTACTGGAAAACAGGCAGAAGTGGAATCTAGCAGTGGGTGTAGTTCTGTTCTCTCTAAGATAAGAGAGGAAGGAGGTCAACTGTGATTCAGAATTCGGGTAGCCAGACGTAGACAACGGCAACACTCCTTTAATAGTTGTGTAGAACTTGCTGAGATCTCTTCCACGCAATTATCCCAAGGCGCAGGGGCCCTCTCCTCTTCTGAATTTGATTCAACAGGGGAGGATTTTGTAATCCAACATTTGATGGAAAGGGGCAGAATATGTAAAGAAGGTTGCCACTATAGCTCTGTTGTACTAGGGCAAACACCACAGCTCTGCATAGCAACCAAAGACCATGCACAAATAAATACTGGACAAGTATGACATATAGGTGGGGAACCACTGCAGCCCTTCAGATGATGCTGGATTCCAACTTCCATCAGTTTCAGCCAGCAAGGCTAAGGGTTAGAAATGGTGGGAACTGTAGTACAGCAGCATCAAGGGAAGACTTGCAACAATAAAAGCGGGAAGTTGTGTATAATAATCAAAGAACCACAAATACTTTTATGTGTTCCTGGCTTGCTTACATTATCGGGTTCAAGAAGGGAGGAAGGTGGCTGAAGCAACCAAATGTGAGCGTTCACTAACCATCCTGAACAGGAATACTCCGGATCCATAGCAGGTTCTTACTGGTAACTTACAACGCTAATGGGAACGCCTGCTTCACCCAGGGGAAAAAAAAACCTCCGTCCCCTTGACAGCAAGATATGTAGCAATGGGCTTAAGAGTGTTGTTCTTAGGCGTTCCCTTAGGTACAGAGAGTTCATGCCTTACTACATCTCTCAGTGCTTTCTATTCTCTTTCAAAATGTGGGGGGTTTTGGGGGGGGTTATTGGGTTGTTGTTTTTATTGTGATTATATGTAATGTATGTTGTGGTTTTATATTTTAATTTTGTTCTGTGAACCGCCCACCTCCGGGTATAGGGCGGTATATACATTTAATAAATAATAAGTATTCGAAGCCACAGCTGAGGCTCCTGCACAGCAGGGGCGGGGTTGGACTAGATGACCGTGTTGTGGGGTTTCTCTTCCAACTCCACGATCCGACGCTCCCCCCCGGAAGGTTAAATATATAAGCCTCGAGAGCCACAGATTCGCAAAGCGCCGGCTGAGGCAAAAGGCCGGGTAGAAACGCTTCACGCTCCCGAGGCTGCCGCCTACGAGGTCGCTCCGAGAGCGCCGAATAACAGGCTAATGCTGCTCGCCTCCGGGATTTGCTAATTCATCGCTCTCGGCTCGTTATTATTTAAAAATATAAAAGGGGGGGAAACCCACACAGGCCGGCTAACGGCGCCGCCTCGCCTGCGCTGACAGACCGCGAGCAAGTGCCGCGCGCCACTCCCCCCTTCCCAAGGCACCTTCTTATCCCTCTCCAATACCACCCCGAGAGGAAGTTAACGGCGTGGGAGCGTTTTTGGTTTTATTTTTTTTAATTATTATTATTATTATTCTAACAAAGACACGAGCGCGCGCGGAATGGCGGCAACCGCGAACAAGGCGCGAACAAGGCGGGAGAAGCGCTCTAAGATGGCGCCGGCGCGCTCCCACCGGCCGTTGCTCCTAGCCAGCAGCTCGAGGCATAGAACTCCAGCCCCGCGCGCGCGACGGCCTGGCGCCGCCTGAGGAAACGGTCCCCCTGTCTCTGGTCTCTCTCTCTCCCCCGCCATACCTTTCCGAACTGCGCGGCCCAGTGGATGGGCATCCACCCGTAGAAGGAGTCCTCGGCTGCCAGGTTCTCTCGGGGAGCGCTCTGCAAGAGGCAGCACAAAGCCGGCAGGTCCCCGTCGCGGCAGGCGCGATGCAGAGGGAAGCGCAGAGTCAGCAGCTCCTCGCTGGAGAAACCCGCCTCCGGGCCGGATCCCAGCGACATGGCGGCGGCGGCGGTGCTTGAGCCACGGGAGAACCGAAGGCGCCCGGCGAAAGAAGGCGGGTGGTGGCGAGGTAGAAGCCGCCGTGCAAACAGCCCCGCCGACTGCCGCCGCTGCTGTGTGGAAGCCGTGAACACAAAGGGAGCGAGGCGGGCCTGAAGGGGCTCCGCCCCCTACGAGAGGCGGGCGCTTTGGCCAGGCTCCGACGGCGCGGCGCTAGTGGGCCTTCTGCGCGCTGAGTGGAAGAAGCCTCGAGCGGCGTCGGGAAAAGCGCTGTTAATATCAGCCGCCTCGTCCGATTCGCTCCTTCCATCCCCTTGCCCTGTCGTTCTCCATTTGAGTTTACCAGAGGGGAACCACCGTTGAGTTTAGCTGGGCTCACTTCTGAGTGATTACTATTATTATTATTATTATTATTACTATTATTATTATTTTATGTTACTATTTATACATCTTGCTGGGTTTCCTTAAACGCCATTGGGGATTGTACTGTTAACATGGGGAAGTGGCAAGGAGCATTGCTCAAAGGAAGGCACCTTAGAGAATTATAGCATACTTTCCCAACATTTCTCTGATGAAAATAGGGACGTACTGTTCCATAATAATAATAATAATATTTATCCCCCCCCATCTGACTGGGTTGCCCCAGCCAGTGGCGTAGCGTGGGGGGTGCAGGGGGGGCCGGCCGCACCGGGAGCAATATCTGGGGGTTAGGGTTAGGGTGCACAAATCCACGGGTTAGGAAGCGCAAATTACTTGCCTTGCCCCGGGTGCTGACAACCCACGCTACGCCACTGGCCCCAGCCAGTCTGGGCAGCTTCCAGCATCTATAAAAACGTAAAAAACCTCCCTATACAGAGCTCCCTTCAGATGTCTTCTAAAGGTTGTATAGTTACTGATCTCCTTGGCTCAGGGCCCCCCAAACTCCATGTCCTCCAACATTTCTCTGATGAAAATAGGGACATCCTAAGGAAAAGCGGAACATTCCGGTATCAAATCAGAAACTGAGATGGCTGCTGTAAATCTGGGACTGTTCCTGGAAAATAGGGACCCTTGGAGGGTTTCTGCGAAGCGTTGGAAAGGGACCACAAGGGGGTAATTAGTCAATCCCCCTTCAATGCAGGAATCTCTACTAGATCATACATGGCAGATGGCCATCCAACCTCTCCTTAAAAACCTCCAAGTCCACCACCTCCCGAGGGAGACTGTTCCACTGTCAAACAGCTCTTTACCATCAGAAATATCTTCCTAATGTTTAGTTGGAGTCTCTACACTGACTGACAGCAGCTCTTCAGCCCTCCTTGAAGATGGGCAGGGTTGAACCTGGAACCTTTCATATGTGTGCAGCATGTACAGAACCTGTACATGGCTCTTCCTGGTGTGTTTAGGAATTCCAGAGGAGTCACTGTGCTGATCTATTGGGGCAGAAGAGTGAAGGAGGCTGTTAACAATAATAAATTTATTGTGGCATAAGCTTTCCTGGACTAGAATCTGCATCATCAGAACCCTCTGCACGTCTACTTGAAAGTAAGTCCACACTGAACACATCAGGATTTATATCTGAGTATACATGCAAATGGTTGGCTGCACAGCATTTATACATACCAGTCCAATGCATGCCTACAAACTTCATTGGTTCTTTCTCCCAGGTAAGTGCATCTATAAAGTTAACAAGGCAGAAAATCATGTATGTTTTCTCAGAAGTATGTCACAGTTAACTAGGACATACTCCCTCGTAAATTTGCTTAAGATTGAAGTCTTGATTGATTCATTGCCTTGCTTCTAAATGATGAAATTGGAGAAGGTAGACAGTTGTTCTTAAACAACAACTTGCAGTTGCAGAGTCAAAGGATACCACATTATTAAGAAAGCAAAAGTTACATTTAATTGGAATGGGAAACAGCTGGTGCAGTATTGTAAACAATCAAATCATTATTTTCTCAACCTCACCCCTTCCCCCAGTCTGCAATATGAGGATATTAATAGTGACCTTGTAGAACTGCTGGAAGGATTACTGAAATAAAGTACTGTACATGAAGAACTTTGAACACAGGCTGACCCATCTTCAGAACACTCAGAAAATCCCCACTGGAGGAAGCCACTTTGATCTGTGACAAAGCTTAGGTGATTAACTACTGATCAATTAATTAGGTATTTAAACACTAAATAATTGACTACCAGTACAGTCCTAAGTATGATTATTCAGCAGTAAATTCTATTGAATCCTTTGGGTTTTAGGAATAAATATGTATAACTGCAATCTTAGACTTCTTAAGTTTGCCTATGCATATTTATTTCTGAGTAAACATAGAACTTAACTTTTGAGTTATCATACTAAAGACTGAGAAATCTCATCCTAGGTTTGTGAGCTGCTATATAAAGTTTTTCCACATTCTTAAAGAGTAAAGGCACTTCTCGGATGCTGTAAGAACTTAATGTAGTTTTTCATATGTTTTTGACTAAGCACTGAAAACAGATTATGGGAACCATCAAAAATACTTTGGGAGGACGTGCTTCATACTTGCAAGCCTGGAATGCTTCCAGATGAGGCTTCTAATGTACAATTGCTATGCCTCCTTAATGCAATTTTATTAGATTTCCATTGTAACTGTTTCCATTGTAACTGTTTCCATTGTTTCCATTTCATTTCCATTGTAACTGTTATCGTCCTATGTTTTCATTATAACTGAGACTCTTGATTTCAGGGTTTGAGGTTCAAGCCCCACATTGGGCAAAATAATTCCTGCATTGCAGGAGGTTGGATTAGAGATGATCCTCATGGTCCCTTCCAACTCTACAGTTCTATGAGTCTATGCTTCCTCTATATTTTTTCTTACCATTCAAAATCTGTTAAGGAGGTAAATATTGCCAGCTCTTTACAGATAATGGTAGGGCAATGGAAGGGGTTGTCCTTGGATAAGGTAATTACACGTTAGGTATGTTCCTTCTTTCTCTACTGCTTGCTATGCTTTTCTGGTTTTGGAGCCATTTCATGTCATGCACCACAAATCCTTTCTCTTGATCAACCAATTAATTGTTTCCTGGAATGAGATTTCCTCAACCCACACATTTCAATTTAAGCTATTTAATTAGTTGATCACACTGTAAACAGCAGTGCTTGCTTCCAAGTACAGACATGTAAATTTTGTCTGTGATCCTGTAAAGTTACAATCCTCTAGCCATGTACCGGTACTTGCTTTCTTAGAAAATCTGTGTAGGTTCCACCTATAATCCTGGAAGGCAGGCATCTGTCAGCCCTGTGCTATAGACACTATGTAAAAAAAAAAAAGTGGTACTCAACACTAGTCCTAGTCGGATAAACCCATCAAACTTAACTGACATGAGTAACTTATGTTTATTCATTTCAGTAGGTCTACTCTGAGTAAGATTTGGTTGAATACAACCCAGAATTGTGTTGTAGTAGATAGTACAGCTAACAAGCAGAGGAAATTGTGTTGTTCTAGATCCAGTTGTGGAATTGGCTACATTAGAAATCTGGCACCCTCAGGTGAAATCTACAGGAATTAGAGCCCGGTTGTGTAACTGTGCTTACTTGGAAGTAAGATGAGCTGCAATCATCTTGACCTGTAGTGTAGGCACTCTATAGACACAAATCCAGGTGCATGCACAAAAAAAAGTTGCTAAAATGGTTCTGAGAAGCACATGCTTCAAAATGTCAGAAGTATGGTTGAGGGGTGGGGAAGAGGACAACGCTGCTCACACAGCTATGCCACGCCCACCATAGCTATGTAATATAGTGGGATGCACACATCGAACACTGCAAGATGAGTCCAGAAGCCTGGATAATGGCTGCTTGCCATTCTGCTTTTAGCTTACAGCAGAAGAACAATGGTAGCACTATGAACTCTCTATCTGGAAGCATCCTGGCAGATTTCCAACTGTTTCCAAAATCCTGTCCTTAGGAATGATTCAGCAGAAGGGGCTATATCTACTTCTTAATGTTTCTTTCCCCCTTTCTGCTATCACATCATAGGTTGAAAAAATAAATTGCAGCCATTATTTTCTGCTATTGCCCCGTATCCATGCATGTTATGTCTTTGTTCTCCCGTTGGTGACTCTTGTTTCTTTTACCCCCTCAAAATATTTGCAGAATAGGTGGAGTAGGAGTAAAGCAAGTGTTCACATAAGGAGGCTATTCATAAAGTACAGCAACCCTACCTTGGCCTCATTTCTATAAATGTTATGAGCTCACAGGATGAGAGCCCTAATCATAACAGAATGGGTAGACTCAAAAGAGCTACTTTAGGTTCATTGAAAGAGCTGGGGTATGCTAGTGAGATTTCGGAAAACCTTTCGCCCCTTAGAACAGCAGAGCCCCATGCCAAATCACAAGCTGCTTTTGAAACATTTTTCATTTATAAATGCAGCTTATTTCTATGGAACATGGAGGGCTGCTGTTCAATAAATGCAGGGCTAATGCTGTCTTATGTATTTTTAAAATTGCACATAAAAGTATAAAAAAATCTAATGTTCTAATTTGAGTTGCTGCTTAGCCCAAAACCCTCCAACTGAACAATTAAATTGGTACTTAATATTAAAAATTGTTCAGCTCATTCTGGGATTTTACAATGTGTCTTGTTTTTATGTGTGCACAAGTCTTAAAGTCTGCATCTGCTTGGGGGAAAGCCAAGATTCTCATGGTTTCACCAGCTGGGTCCTTCCATCAAAACACTCCAGATAAAATTGGTTCAGCTGGCAAGCTTGTAGAAGTTACTGTTCTTCTATAATGGAAAAGTTTCAAGTGACTGATAGTCCTAGTGCTAAGATTACACTGACCTCAAAGACTGCAATTTTCCATTGGGAAATTCCGAAAGCTGGATTGGCTTAAATGTTTAGTCTTGCTTATAAATTAACACTTGTTTAAAAGAAAGAGAGGGAGAGGAAGAGAAGAAGAAGAAAAAGAAGAAGAAAAACTAGCCCCAACCCTTTGTACAACACAATAGCAAGGGATCCTGGGGTCAGTGCTGAGTCTGGTTTGGAACATGTGAAAAGTGCTTGTACATGACTCTGCCATTAAGCAACTTCAACAAGTTCATAAACTAAAACATGGTGAGTTAGGAGTTCCAAGTGTTGGCAGAATAAAAATTCATATTCTGGGCTTTTCTAGTGTGGAAATATAGCAAATAAAATTTTCACAGCCTTTGTCCCAGTGACACATGATTCAGAATCAGAATAGCATGTATTGTGTTAGTCCATATACTATAGCAGAATAAAACAACTTAGAAGACAAGTGATTTATTTATGTAGCAATATAGGCATATTCATGTGTGCACATTGGTGTCTGTAATGCTACACACCATAAAACGTGAAGAGAACATACTCATGTCCAAGCAAATGGGAATCTCTTAGCTGCTTTGAATCTTTCGCCATTCAGTTTCATCGGATGTCTATTGAGCTCTAGAGTTAAAAGAGAGAAAGAAAACTTTTTATTTATCTACTTTTTGCACACCATGAATATTATTATTATTATTATTATTATTATTAATTTCATAAAATATATACACTGATTGTACGAAAAATTGTAATTGTATGTGCCTCCATTGTGTTTCCTTCTTTCCTGCCTTTTTTTCTAAACAAAAAGCCCCAAATGTTGTAACTTTTCCTTATAGGAAAGTGGCTCCATCCCCTTGATTAGCCTTTTCCCAACCCTTTCTAGCTATACAATATTATTTTTGAAGTGAAGTGACTAGAACATTTAGTTTAAAGAAAATATTTGACATCCTCAGATGTTTTTCTTCTTCTTAGAAGGGCTTGATTTTTATCTATCCAGAGATGCGCATGCAGACTGGCCCAACTGGTTATGACCAGTCATTTCACTTACAAGCTGGGCCTGAAGGGTTGTAGCTTTTTGTCCAGTTGATAGCTGGAGAAGCAGGAAGGTGTGGGGAAATTACTAGGGGTCTATGAGGAAACGTTGACTGACATGTAGCATCTGCAGCTTTTTAGCTTTGGAAGAAGAAAAGGCAAACAAGGGGGAAGGGATGTGATATAGAACAGGCTTCCTCAGCCTCAGCCCTCCAGATGTTTTTGGCCTACAAATCCCATGATCCCTAGCCAGCAGGACCAGTGGTCAGGATGATGGGAATTGTAGTCTCAAAACATCTGGAGGGCCGAGGTTGAGGAAGCCTGATATAGAATTATATGTATGGTGTGTAGAAAATGGATAGGCCTCCCACATAATACTACTACCTGAGGTCACTCAATGAAGCTAAATGGTGGGAGGTTCAAGGCAAACATCTTCATACAGCACATTGTTAAAACTTGGAATTTGCTACTGCAAGATGTGGTGGTGGCTACCGTTAAAAGCAGTTTTAAAATGGGATTAGACAGATTCACACAGAATGTGGTGATCAATCGCTACCAGTGGACTTATACTACCTCCAGCATCAGAGGGTCATATGCCCTTGAATACCAACTTCTGGGCGCGGCAGGGAGGATGAGTGGAAGAGTACTGTTGTGCTCACATTTGACTTGTGGGCTTCCTAGAAGCAACTGGTTGGCCACTGGGAACAGAGTACTGGACTGGATGAGCCTTTGACCTGATCCAGCACAGCTCTTAAGGCTCATGCCAGAATTCTGTTGGGCTAATAATAAAATAGTGTTGACAAGTGGGGTATGTAAGTAATTTTAGACCCTAGACTTAATGGTCATGTGGCAGGGGTGGGTGGGTTAGCCAGTCATGTTTATGAACTCAGCCTCAAGGTCCAGCCTTAGCTGAATCACTGCTGCTGAGCAGATACAACTTGGTATTGGCAGGCAGTGGGTGGACCCATTGCTGGCTGTATGTAGGCATAGTATTAAGCATACTTTTCACAGGTGGCAATGTGGGACAGGGTTTATTACGAGTAGGTGTTCAAATGTTAATCTGTAGTATTATTAATCCCCTTTCAATTCAGGAGAAATCTGAATGTTGGTCTGCTTACAGTCTTTGACCTCAAGAATTCTGAAGGGTGCTGGAAACCTAAACTCAGTCATGGAGTCAAGGACACTGACCAGGTTCTTATTCTTCAGTGTTAAATGCATATACAGTGGTACCTAGGGTTAAGTACTTAATTCGTTCCGGAGGTCTGTTCTTAACCTGAAACTGTTCTTAACCTGAAGCACCACTTTAGCTAATGGGGCCTCCTGCTGCCACCGCACCACCGGAGCACAATTTCTGTTCTCATCCTGAAGCAAAGTTCTTAACCTGAAGCATTATTTCTGGGTTAGCAGAGTCTGTAACCTGAAGCATATGTAACCATAGCATTTCTTTTTGTAATTCAGTATTGTAGTTTGCCCTTTCATTACAGAATGGAACTATTCACTAGACGTGACTTTAAAAGTTTTAATGCTTGTATTATGTTTGTTTATTGTAGAATAGTTATCCAATTTATTCTGCCTCTGCACTCTCCTTTTGCCAATTGACTTCACTTCTGGCTCTCTTTCTGAATATAACTGTGAGCCCTGAATTCTAATTTAGTAAGTTTTATTGCAGTACTGCTTAGGGGGGAGCTAGGAAAAGGATCTTATTGTGTTGTTAGAATAATTAATATGTCTACTGCTTCACAGTGTTTCCCAAACATCCCTTTTCATTTTCCCCGCCTTTCTGGACCTCTTGAACTGATTTCTTCTTGCTACTTGCTGTTAGTGTTTCCTTGAGGCCCAGCAAAGGATATAGCTGGGTTAAAAAGGTCTCATTGTCGTGCGAAAATAAATATTTGGAATACTGAAGCACAGTGGTTTCTTGTCTTTTTGTTAACGATTCAGGGCATTGTAACGTATTTTGTCTGCTGAAAAGTGCATTGCAATGATTAATCTGATGTGATAATTAAGTTGATTCCTTTGTAGCTTATGAAACCAGGGAGCTCTGAATGACTCAGTCCTCTGCCACATCTGGAAAAAGCATTATATATTGCAAATGGTGCTTGGAACGAAAAGCTGCTGTGTATCTGCCCTTTTTAACAGGGACACACTCTTTTTCAGAGTTCTAGTCAGGCCCTCCTCCAGTATTTTGTCCCTCTCCCTAATTTTCCAACCCGCGTGGAAAATTATGCTTCCCCAAATGAAACTCAGCTTTCTGGGGTCGTTGAAATACCAGAGGGTGTTCGTTTGGTCCTCAAGTTTATCCATTGTTGCTGTTATTTTGTATTCCTGCAATCCTTGGGGTTCCTTGAGCTTGCTGATAACTTAATTTTGGTTTGTCATTGACTCTTCTTTTGGCTACATAGCTGTCCGCACTCAACATCTGAGTTCACTATTAGAGGGGGTGATTCTGTTAATAATCCTTCTCTTATATCACTTCAGCTGTTGTCTTGTGGGTCAGCTAGTCAGTCCTTTGTGATTCATCTTACCCTTGCATACTGCTGTGTGCCATGAATGAGATAGCTTATAAACAGAGTGCCTGCATTGGACCAATTTTTCTACTTGCTTTTGAATGTTAAGCCATCCTCATGTGTTAGTCAGGCAAAGGTCATGAGTTTTCCTCAGCAAGTAAAATTAAATTTATAATTGGAAAATACTATTAAAGGTGAGACAGATTCCCCCCCTCCCAAATAAGTCATGTTGCTCACATAGACTGGCAGATACACATCACTTCTCCTTTGCCTGGGATTTTGACTAATGTTTTGAATAACCAATAAGTGGGTGTGATACTTCTGGACAGATGGTCAGAGGGTACAGGAAGCCAAGATACCATCTATGGACATGATGCGCATCTTAGAGCATATATCTAGATATGGACATTAAATGTCTAGAAAGGAGCCAAGCGGTTCCTTGGTACCTGGCTGGCTTTATCAAGTTCATGTACATAAAGCTGTGTACACACCATACATTTAAAACACATTTGAAGCACACTATTTCCTTCACATTATTTTGGGCACTCTAGTTTCCTCAGAGATGGCACAAGACATTTAGGCACCTGAGGCGAACCACAGAAAGGGGTGAATTAAGATCTACATCAGAAACAAGGGAGGGAATTAAGAATGATGTCAGGATCTGCTGCCCCTGTTGATTCTGCTACCTGAGGCATTCGCCTCATCTTGCCTCATGGGTGGGCTAGCCCTTAGTTTACTCATTTACAATTCTCGACAAGCCTTAACAAACTACAGTGCCCAGAATACTTTGAGGGAAATAATGTGCTTTAAAGGTACAGCATGTACACAGCCTAAGACAAGGAACTGGAACTATTCACCCATTGTTCACCTGAACAAATTTTTTTCCATGAAAAAGGAGCCTTGAAGTTGCCGATCAGTAGTTAGCACCTTGATGGCATACTGAGCAGCAGGGCCAGATTTAGATTTGATGAGGCCCTAAGCTACTGAAGGTAATGGGGCCCTTTATATGTCCAACTGTCCTTTGTCAACAACAAATTGTCGCTGGTTTTTGTGTTGAATATATGCTATATGGTAATTTATGGACCTAATAGGTATCTAAAGCCATTTGCACATAACAAAATATGTATTTTATCGAAGTAATTGTTGAACTGAAATACAATTAAGAAGTATATTAATAGTGGGGGAAAATGGGGGGGGCAAGAGAGTGGTGCTCTAAGCTATAACTTGTTTAGCTTATACGTAAATCTGGCACTGCTGAGCAGGCACATAGCTATCCAACCCTCTGTGATAAACGTCATAGCCAAAGGCTGGCTGATCACAGAAAGGATCTCATTAAAATATTCCCAGAACTGGTAAGGAAACCCAGGGAGAAGATAATAGGTATATTAACTTAAGAATTTTATTTTTAACAGAAAGGGGAGCTAAATATTGAGAGTAAATCAGTAATACTGTACTTCAGAAGTGTTACAGTAACCTAAGGACCAACTAACACTTCAGTGTGGCAGGCACGCTTTGGGGGTTTACACCAATGTTCTTTGTGGGAACACACAAACTGTGAAGGGAAACATGTCTTCTTTTTTAAGAAGCATGTGGTGGACACCAAGTATACTGAGAAACCATGACTGACTGTGGTGCATGTCATACTTTATGTGTTCCCCACAGGTAAACGTGTGTACTGCTGTACTGAATTGGCTCCAAGAGGAAGGATAATTCCACCTTCCACACCATGATCAAAAGGCTCCTATTGGAAATAGTTCCACAGCACTAGACACTGGATTAACCATTTTTTCTAAATACACTACATATGCAAGCAACTGTGGCAAATTTTAGAAGCGTTTTGACAAGTATAGGGAAATAATAGAAAAGCATGTCATATGAGTGAGAGGGGACTGAAGTTCCAGACTATGGTTCAGCATGGGCAGGCTTGTACAGTTTGTGACCCTCCAACTCAAACAAGCCAATGCAGCAAGCCAATATCTTGACGTACTTCTCCCTGCTTTTTTCCAAGCCAGACAGGCGGCTATAATAGAGGCTTATTGTGTTCCTATCAAGCATGTTTAGCTGATGGCTGCATTTAGCCTGGTGAACAACAAGTTGCAGGCATGGCTGTTGTGCGTCCTCTGCTTTGATAGCTGTAAATATAATCTGTGGCTCAAGTCAGGTGCAACATCTTCTCTTTCTCCTCTGGCTCTTCCTTGTTCTAGTTGCCCAGCTCAAATTGGTATGGGTATTCTTCCTCTTCATTCAGGTACCCATTGTTGTCAACCTTACTTTTTGTCTGCTCTCATTTTTAAATTAACTGTTAGACATATGACTCAGATTCAGTGTAGCCATTATGCCCCCCCTTTTTTTTTTGTATACTACTGTCATCATTTTCAGTTGACAGTTTAAGCCATGGAGCTTTTCTGAGATACTTTGTACGGTCCTGTGTTACATTGCTTATATAAAAAACTATTCAAAATAAAAGCAAGCTAAAACTATAACAGATTGCAGAGCTAAAAGTTAAACAACCTTACTCATTGCCATATTCATTCTGAAATGTTGTTTATATAATGCTTTTTATTTATTTTTTACTTTGCCCTGCTCTTCAGCTCAAAAGCCTTCCAGAACAGTTAAAACACAATCGATGAAAATTAGACAGTTGCTGCCTTGAGCAGGCTTACAATTTTAAATGCTGTAACGGAAAAAGGAGAAATTGTGAAAGGAGGGAAACAAAGGAATGCATACAACAATTCTTAATAGTTTGCCGGATTTTTAGGTTCTTATAATGACCAGGAATGGAAACAGTTCAGGGAGAGGAGGAGCTTGATGGAGCTATATTTTCCCTCCCCATCTCTCCCTCAGCTGATGAAATGGCTGTTGCCCAGTGACCACTGAGAGAGGGACTCAATGGAAAAGCACAACCCTGCTTCAGACCTCTGTCTTTGTCTCTCTGTGCTATAAATTGATGGAATGGCTGCTACTAGGTGATAGTTGAAGAAGGGAAGACCAGATGGAGCTGGTCTCACAGTCAACCTGATGGAAATACCATGCTTCCCAACTCTCCTTCTGCTGTACTGAAGACTGGGCTGAGAGGCTTTGGCTTAGGTTCTCCTGCGCTGACAGAGTGCTAGATATGCCACCTCCATGGGGGATATCTGGACACACTATATACACAGGTGAAACATACAATTGGTGGAAGGTTGTGCGTAAAGCCCACCATAACAAAGCCTTGTGACTTGCATGGGGGGAAAGATAAAGAATGTGTTTATTGAATAAAAATCAAATATCTTGCATATACAGTGGTACCTCGGGTTAAGTACTTAATTTGTTCTGGAGGTCCGTTCTTAACCTGAAACTGTTCTTAACCTGAAGACCACTTTAGCTAATGGGGGCCTCCTGCTGCCGCTGCGCCACCGGAGCACGATTTCTGTTCTTATCCTGAAGCAAAGTTCTTAACCTGAAGCACTATTTCTGGGTTAGCGGAGTATGTAACCTGAAGCGTATGTAACCTGAAGCGTATGTAACCGGAGGTACCATTGTACTTTCTCTCTCTCTCTCTGCAGGGGTAGCTACCAATGTTCTCTAACTACTAGATGGCCGGTCTAGAAAGAGGACGACTGAGAAGTAAGGAGTGAGGCTGTGGCATCAGATGCATCATGCTGCTCCAGGTGACCTTCTGTTCTGTTATGGCCTGGCATGCTCTGGGGCTGTTTGGAGTGATAACATGATCAGGAGGTGTCTGCCATGGCATGCTTGATGAGGTGCATGGTAGCCATCAGCACATTAGGAATGTGCTCACAACGGCCTAGGCACTGACATGCAGTAGACATCTCTGGCTTGAAATTTTCACAGCAGCTAACCCTCATAATCATGATGACATTGCCTTTAGCGTAACCAGTTGCAACATACCTGGTGTCAGGGAGGTTGCTCCTCCATTCTCCTGATGCCCATGTCCCCAGGCATATGTGCTTGGCCAGCATGCCATGGACTCACTAACCCACCCACTCACCTTAGCCCATGGCCAACTCCCTCTGTTCCCTTCCCAGCTGCTGCATATGCACCCTTAGTGCCTTGATAAGTTCCTGGATGATGATGCCAATCAGATTTGTGGTTCTGGCTTCTTCGTATTAGAACGTTGGGAGCATCCTGCCCCAGACTTTTTCAGTCAGTATCTGAGTATGGGCTATGTATAACATATCCCCCCCCCCCGGATATTATTTGAAGCAATGTCCCTGGGAGCATTCATTGATGTGTCCCTACCAGCTTAAGGCTGCCACCCTAAACAAAATTATTAGAGAGTAAGTCACACTGAGAATTACTTTTGTGTAAGCATGATTAGGATTGCACTGGACACCATATACATAATTCTTATGAATGCTTATTCACATGTGAGAACAGTTTTTGTCTATTATGATTTTCCTTCTACACTGCAGATAGCTCAGTTGGTAGAACACGAGACTCTTAATCTCAGGGTTGGGGGTTTGAGCCCAACATTGGGCAAAAGATTCCTGCATTGCAGGGTGTTGAACTAGATGACCCTCGTGGTCCCTTCCAGCGCCACAATTCTATGTGAGAACAGTTTTTGCCTGTTTTAATTTTTCTGTGTAATTTCATTTCAGGGCTTAATATCAAGCTGAAATCTTGCTCCCTATCTAGTTTTGGCTTATTCCCCCTGCCCCCTCAGTTTTGTTCCAGCCTCTCTGTTCCGAGTAAATAATGTAGGCCCACAGTTTTGTTGACAAGCACATCCTGGAGTATTTTGGGAGTATGACAGACTGCCTGAGGGAGGGGGATTGGGTTAATTTCCGTTGAGTACATCCTGTGCGAATGGAATGGCTTCAATTAAGAGTGTACATTACAGAAAATACTCTTCAGTTTACAACTGCTGAGAATTCTAAGTATGCTAATTGTGTGTGTGTGTGTGTGTATGCGTTTTAAATCAAGAGAATATGGTCTTCAGTCCATTTTGTCCAGATGTTTTAAATCCTTTACAGATGCTGGCAGTGTTACTGGGCTTCTGTATCCCTATAATTTAATGGATCCTGAGGACAGTATGGAGAGTAATAGTACTAAGGTTAGAATACAAAATCACATGCAAGAGCACACTTCTATAGAACAGCCGTAAAAAGCGCTGAAGGCCACAGAACTGTAATAGCAATGGTGAAAGGAGGGAAACAAAGTAACACCCATTCTTAAAAGTTTGCCAGTTTTATACTATATATTATATTGTATATATTAATGAGAATATGTTTACAATAAAGTAGGCAAAATATCATTGTCGCTGCAAAGTGTATATTTCAGAGAGGCTTGCAAAGAACCACGCAGCACAAAGATAATTATTATTGTATTGAAGAATGCTCAGCTGACAGCAGACAGGCTTCTGGATAAGGTCCTGTTCCTCAGATGTAACCTCCAAAAACATTCCCCATGAGGAATTAGCAAACATTCTTACTACCAATGCCATTATTTGCTAAGGGGGAGGCATCAACTTGTCAACAAAAAACTCATCACCTCAAAAATGTTTCAAGACCCTGATTACTTTTTCTACAACTGGGAGAACTTCAGAAAATAAGTTATTAAACAAAAAACAAACAAAATTATAATTAATTTATTCTACATTAGAAAAAAAGGAAGTTTAATGGTAAAAAGCCATTCCAAACAATTGTTTCCAGGGGGATAATACCACTGCAAGCACCCAAAATTATAGGCAGGTGTGGGTCCTACAGACTTAATGCTTTTTATAGTGTCCTCTGCAGGTGACTGTCACCCAAAATACACACCAGATCATGTGACTTCAAATAGCATTTAACCCATTTACTGTTACATAATTTAACTGGAAATCATTATAGTTATGAGAGTAATCCATGGAACACTTAACCAATGGTACATCCAGAACTTTATTCTGATGATTATAAGGATTTCAAGTTCCTAGTTGCTGATGAAATCTATTCACCGAAATATAACCAGGTAGATTATGATAAATTGCTGTTATGTCAGGAAGCTTGATGCATTTATAGTTTGAATTCCGTTAACTTCATTGGGCTAAATGCTAATTTGGACCTGAGTCTTCATGTGGAGAAGTCATACATATGGCACTTTCAGTGTATGAAATTCAAACAGACCATATGCATTTCACCTAGCCAGTTTATAAAATGTCTGCCACTCTCCAGCGTTGCTCATGGACACTGTTAATATGTGCACATTCTCTTCAGCTAAATGTGCACATTTGCTGATGTTTGTCCACATTCACCCACAGACCTATTGGTAGACCAGTACTTGAATATACGTTTACCACAGAATGAAATGATGCAGTGTAGGAGGAACACAGAAAGGAGCTGCGATGGGGAATTTCATTAGCAGTTTCTGAGTTCTTGGCGCAGTACTGCACCTAAGATTTCAGATTAAAACTGCAGAGTGGAAATAAAGGAGGACCTTTTTCTGCCTCTGGTATAGTGGTTAAGAGTGGTAGACTCGTAATCTGGGGAACCAGGTTCGCGTCTCTGCTCCTCCACATGCAGCTGCTGGGTGACCTTGAGCTAGTCACACTTCTTTGAAGTTTCTCAGCCCCACTCACCTCACAGAGTGTTTGTTGTGGGGGAGGACGGGAAAGAAGAATGTTAGCCGCTTTGAGACTCCTTCGGGTAGCGATAAAGCGGGATATCAAATCCAAACTCTTCTTCTTCTTCCCCACTTCCAGCTACTCTCTGAAGACTGGGGAGGAGACCCTCTTAAGAATATTAGGGGAGTGGGCAGGGGAAGGACTAGACCATGTGAAAAATGAACAAAATATTTTAGCTGCAGTTCATTAATTTTCAGCTTTGTATTCTTGTTATAAAAAAGCGTGCCTAGACATTCTGTTGTTGCACCCATAACCTAGGTTTAAGGGGCCATTTAGCTCCCAGCTTTCATATCTCAGGTTCTAACACTGGCTAGTTCATTATGGCACTGCATAGATCTATTTTTGCTCATCCTTTAGCATGGACAGATTTCGTACGTTTCTGTTATGCTTCCTCAGTGAATGGCCTCATCAATCATACCAGTAAGAACATAAAACTGGACATTGGAGAGCAGTGATGAGGGGAAGGAAACAGGAATAGCAATCCATCACATCTAAGACTTGGCACATCACAAGGAGACAAAAGGAAGAGCCGTTCCACTCTCACCAACCCATTTTTTCATTGTTCCTGAAAGGAGCAATGGGCACACTTGAGCTCTCAGCACACCACCTGCTGGCAACCTCACAATTACCTAGTCTTTGGAAAACTGAAGTGAAAGACGTCAGCATATGCAGCAAAGTCACAACATATTCCTATATCTTAGCACAAAAGCAGTCCCGAATCCTTGGTATTGCATGAGCAAGATGAACAAGTCTTGGGTATGGCCTTGAGAGGCAGATGAATTGGATCCCATATGAATCTTGACTGTGGATTGGTGGGGATGATCAGAATCTTGGTATGTCTTTGCTTATGAGTGGAAGGAAAGAAGATTTTGGGGCATCCCTTGTGCTTACCTACCTGGAAGCATCAGGTGTGCCTCAGTCAACATGGTTAGAATTCTGTTGGGAGATAAGTGCTGCCAATATTCAGCAGCAGTGTCTGCCAAGCGGTTGATTTAAGTGCCTGCTCAATCAGTGTACAAGTTTGTTCACACAAAGTGCTTGAACTGGAGACATATATATGCATCAGTTTATTACCTTGTGATGAAGCTGAATTACATACGAAACAGAAGATGCATGAATTCAGACAAACGTAAAGAGAATGCATAAACTTCACAAGAAGTGTTCCCGATTAGAATATAAGTCTCAATACTTGAAGGTGATGTGCTTGATCACAAGCATACTTGTGCACAGGCTGCTTAATTTAATTAAATTACAGAGTATTGCTGACTCTTTACTGTGATATTGTACACAGGTACACTCAAGCTAAGTAGCAATTAGGCATCTGTGTGCAATTATGTTGGGCAATGAAGTGAAAGCCTCAATGGCAGATCTAGACTGTCACTCACTGGGCCCAGTTTCATAATTGTGCAAACGGGGACACAATAATCTGCATGCATAGTGTGGGAAATGGATGCAAAGAAAATATTGTCCTTCTTTAATTAAAGTAGAAAGTAAATAAAAGGCAACATAGTAAACATAATTACAGTGGTACCTCGGGTTACAGACACTTCAGGTTACAGACTCCACTAACCCAGAAATAGTACCTCGGGTTAAGAACTTTGCTTCAGGATGAGAACAGAAATTACGGTGCGGCAGCAGCGGGAGGCCCCATTGGTTAAAGTGGTACCTCAGGTTAAGAACGAATTAAGTTCTTAACCCGAGGTACCACTGTAAATGTTAACAGAGCACAAGTTCCTGGGAAGGGTAACTGTCTTAGTCTGTTTTAGCAAAACCAACAGTGTTTTGGAACATGTTAAAAACTAACAAATTTGAGTATGGCATAAACATTTGTGGACTACAGTCCACACGGGGAGTGTAAACTTGAACAGGCAAGCATGCAGTATATACATCTGAAGGGAGGGGGAATTTAGAAGAATTTAGAGAGAAATCTAATGCAAAAAGATGATTTCCTGAAAGCAAAATGGTTACAGCGACTAGTTAATAAGGCAGCACCAGCATCTGAAAGGCCTAGTCACAGATATCGTATTCAGTGTATTTTGTATTTTTCCTCCCACACCCCACTCTGGTAAAACAAGTGCTGAACTCAAGTTGGTGAGTGAAATTCAAAAAGGGATTTGTTTTATAAATTATATTTGTAGATAGAAAATTATATTGCAGTCTGTCAATGCTGAAGGAGATGTCACACATTATATTTTGCATTTGTTTTCACTTTAAAAATGGTGCCGAGGTTGAGCTGGACTTCAGTCATCGTGTATGGGCTTTTATCAGTGCTTGGCAAAAGAATGTTGCTAAAATTAATGTTCCTAGGCAAGCTAATCAGGGGAACTAGGCTTTGTGCAATATATTCTGCTAGATACCGGTGTTGTTGTTGTTTAGTCGTTTAGTCGTGTCCGACTCTTCGTGACCCCATGGACCAGAGCACGCCAGGCACTCCTGTCTTCCACTGCCTCCTGCAGTTTGGTCAGACTCATGTTTGTAGCTTCAAGAACACTGTCCAACCATCTCGTCCTCTGTCGTCCCCTTCTCCTTGTGCCCTCCATCTTTCCCAACATCAGGGTCTTTTCCAGGGAGTCTTCTCTTCTCATGAGGTGGCCAAAGTCTTGGAGCCTCAGCTTCAGGACCTGTCCTTCCAGTGAGCACTCAGGGCTGGTTTCCTGATACTGGTACATGGCATTTTATTCTTTCAGTACCTATAAGCAGAACCCACTCCACCAGCTCAACTGGAATAAACCGGAATTTGGCTCCTTTCCTCTCTGAACTTTTCTCCTCCTATATGGTCAATATAAGAACTGCTATGTGCAATTAAGAAGCAGCGTCTGAGTTTGCTCATTTTCCTCTTCTCTTCCCACCCTTGTTGTTCTTGTTGCATTGTGTCTACTGCATTTGTAAACCTGCAGGTAGGGATTCTCTCTCTCTCTCCCCCCCCATATCTTTATATAGCACTTAGTAAATTGTATGTGCTTTATAGATAATGATAATAATGATGCCAACATTTGGCACTACAGCAGACTTATTTCAGGCAACAGCACAACTAATTTAACTTCAGTAGGCTGGTAATCCCTATTTCCAAAGATTAACCAGCATTTCAAAGTCAAACGGTGTCAGCAAAGGAACAGAAGATACAGACAGAATCTTTTATATCAATGCCTCAGTGGTTATGGGCCACAAGTAGTTCACATAGTTAAAATTGGTGCAACTATGCTGTAATAGAATATGTGCCACTTCATCCAAAGCAATTTCCAGCAACATAGCATTGCACATTATATAAAAATATGAACACAGAAAAGAAAAATGCACAAAGCCAATTCCCTGCTTCTTTAAAAAAAGAAGATTAACAAACCCTACATAAAACCATTATCTCTTACTCCTTATCATATGCATCTCTCTACTTTTTCACATTCTCTCTCAGGATCATGTTATATGCCATGTTTTTATGTGCCTGTTAAAACCATTTGACAGGTACACATAAAAACCAGAGTATGCACAAAAAGCAAAACAAAAACCAATACCATCCATGTCTGAAAGACCTGACACGAAAGGAAAAAAAGAGGGGGGAAACAAGCTCAGGCACCAGTTCTTAAATTAACGTAATTTGTTGCAGTGGACATCTTGAATGAACAGTTGAAGGAGAAGAGTGCCTCTATTAAAGATTTCAGTATTAGATACACCAGTTCTTAATTGTGGGGGGGAACCTTGTCACCTTCTAATAACCTTTTGGTATTAAGCAGGTTTGGCAATCTTTGGTCTTCCCTTCATCCCTTGCCATTGACCATGCTTTCAGGGGCTGATGGGAGTTGTAGTCCAGCAACATCTGGAGAGTCAGTGGTTCCCCACATCTGGCACAAAGATAGGCGAAGGGGCTTGGGTTGCCATAGCTTCGCATTCCCCCCACTTCTTGCCAAACTTGTGTCTTGCTAAAAGCATTGCTGGCAGAATGCCAAAATGCAACAGAAAAAGGGTGGTGGGGAAAGAAAGAATATAGCTTCTCATAACAGCATACAAAAGAACTTGTGAAAAGTGTATGGTACAATCTAATTTATCCAACAGCTATGACTAATCAGCAGGTGAAGCAAACAGAAATGCGGTCATCTTGGGTTACATTGCCACAGAAGCTCAATGCAAAGAAAAAAACATATTCGGATTTCAAAATAGCTAATCAAGGTCTTTACTAGAAGGGTTTCCGCCCTGAACTCCACCACACATATAAAGGAGTTCCTCATTTGAATAAAGGGAAATGTCCACATTTTTATTAATTTTAACCAGCCATTTGCTTTTCTAATGCATTTTTTAGCCTTGAACAATATGATCCAAATGCTGTTAGGTGAGAGAGATTATTTGTGGCAGATTTCAGAATCCGTGATCCATATTAAAAATATGCAATGAGGATTTTTTTGTCTCTCCCGCTTTTTTTTTTTTTTTTGAGCCATCACATCCTATTTTCAATAACTTCTATTCCTAGATCTGTGACCCAGATAAATATTCCTTTTGGCTGTTAAGAGTCTGCATTCCCTTGTCACCAAGAAAAGAAAAAATCCCTCCCTTTTAATTCATTGCACCATAAAACCGTTAACGTAGTCCTGCTATTTTGATTTGATGATCTCATCCTTTGGTGTGAACAAACCGACCCTCCGCCGGGGGGCGCGCAACGCTGCGACTCTTCATTCAAACGCCCAAAAGGGCAGCGCGTTGCTCTTCTAATTCGGTATTTTACAGACATCCGAAGCTGTTCCTGGAGAAGTGCAAAGCCCCGCCCCTCCATCAGTGTCAGAACGGCATCTCCCCCCAACCCAGCCCGGAAGCTGCCCGGCTTAGGTCTCCTCACCTGCCCTCCCTGTCGTTGCGCACCTTGGCACGCATTTGTAGCGCGCGCGCGTAAAAGAAGGCTCGGCAGCTGCAGTAGCATTTTCTCCTCCCCCGGTTGCTGGCTTGTCCTCTTCTTTGTCAAGTGATTCAGTTTTTTAAAGCCTAATCTGAGAGATCCTGTTGCAACCGTTTTTGACTACACATTTAAAGGAGGAGCTCTGGTAATAACCACTTTCCTGGGAGTAAGTCCCTAGGATTTTCAACTGGATTTTTTTTTTTTTTAAAGCAGCCTTTCGCATACAGGAGACGGTATTTCTCACAGGGAGTTTAGAATTATGATCCAGATATTGCTCTTCAGAATAATCATGTACGCCTGCAATTTTATCTACATCTATTGTGTGCGTGGTACGCATAGGGGCACAAAAGCCAAAAAGACAGGGATCCCATGTCTCAGAGCACTCGCGAGCAATCATGCGCGCGTGTGAATGCTTTTCTTATCCGTGCAGGTTTCACGCTGGATCGAACGTCTGCATTTGCAACAGGGACAGGCTTTGGAGCGCCGTCTAAAAAAATAATACTGTAATCTGCAAGCGGTTTGCCTACAGAATTTCTAACGGGAAGCGGAGCGCGTGTATGTGCGCGCGCGCGCCACCCATGTGCCTTTCATGCAAAACGCCCAGGCGCGGAGGGGTGCTGAATTTGTGCAAGGTCTGTTTGCCGAGAGGGGGCCCGTCTCTTCTTCTCCCCCTCCTCCCGCTTCAATGATGTCATGGAGAGGCAGCAGGCGAAGGAGGGAGGGGGGGAGGCAGAGAGGAAAAAGGAGGAGACACTGCAGGTTCATGTGTATATAATGAAAAGGCATTTGACAATCTGCCAAAACGCACGGGAGGGAGAAACTGGACCTACTGGATTTCGTAAAGCGAATCGTCATCATCTGCAACTACATGGGGAAGGAGGAGGGGGGAGCAGTGGCGGCGGCAGAAGCAGCGATTCCAGACTCGGCAGCCTCCATGTGAAACCACAAGCAAAAATAAAGCGGGGAAGAAGGGGGAGGGTGGGGTGGTTGGGGGAAAATTAAGGGAGGAGGAGATCACTGATATTAAAAAAAAACCAAAACCATCAGATCCAGTCCTCCTTCGTCGCAATTGCTTTCTCGCGCTGGCTCTTCGCTGGGATTAAAAACCGCCTCTTGGCAAGAGCAGCAGCCATGAATTCAGCTGAGCAAACCGTTACATGGCTGATTACTCTGGGGGTGCTGGAATCGCCCAAAAAGAGCATCTCGGATCCGGAGGGATTTTTGCAGGCGTCCCTGAAAGACGGGGTGGTGCTGTGCAGGCTGCTGGATCGCCTGCTGCCAGGGACCATCGATAAAGTAAGTGGCATTTATGTCCCTATATTTCCCCTTTAAGTCTCCTCTTCTCCCTCCACCGCCCTCCTTCCCTCCCCCCCCCATCACACGGGTAAGGCAAGCGGATTTTATACTTGGGTTTCACCACCAGAGTGCTCGCACAGCGCATGCAGCACACCATGCTGCCCTCGGATCTGATAACCCACGAGTGCAGCAGACAAATAAAAATGCCCGGGCTGGGTGCTGAATAATGCAGCGGCCCCAGCTGCTTTTCCGATCCTCTTTGGCACAGGGCGCAACAGTCACCCAGGTAGCCAGAGGCTCCGCCGCCCTTGCCAGATAAAAGAGGCGCGCACAGCGCGCATGGGCGCAACCCGAAGAGGCTCCTTCCATCCCAGTCGATCTGGACATGCAAGGAAGTGAGCCGATCGCATCTAAGCGCTTTTCCTTTGTCCAAGGAGTCTCCCCACCCTCGCAAACGCAGGAAACGTGCGGCCTTTTCCTGGGGAATGCAGTTGCCTTCCTTCAGCCGACGGCGCGGACATCCCATCTAGCAAGCGAAAGGCGCCATTGTCAAAGAGGAAGGGAGTGGGAAATGGGTGGGGAGTGGGGTAAATATAGGAGCAGAGTTTGGAGCAGGGCTAAGCTGCTGTACTTTTCGATTTCCTCTTAAAGGGGCAGGAATCGTCGAACGTTTGCAGATCTTGCCTGAACGAAAATTAAGGGTAAAACGTTTCAAATCTTCCTGCAAGACCCACAGTGATTTACCAGGGGAAGAATAAAACGTTTTTCAAAAAATCAGATAATGTATAAGAGAAAATTAGTTTTCCTTTATATTTTTTAAGACATTAGCAATCTAAACTAAAAGCGTGCCTCTCCTTTTTTTTGCACAAGCACTGTTATTCATTGTTCTTACTGAGAAGTAATATTACTATAGCAGCTGTGGTCTGATAGGCATGCAGACAGAAGGTTCCAGCTGAAATTAACAATCCGCTCTGGAATTTATGGATTGGTGCAGTTTATAATTTTGCATGGGTGCTAAGGATCTGCCGAGGCCTTCACAGATCCAAAGGCCCATTTTGGGCCTGTTGGATGGGAGAATGGGTGTGACAGAAAGGACATACTCTCAGGCTACAGTCTTGCAATGGAACATAAAAAATTCACAAAATATGACTGGTTGGAGAGATAGAAAGAAGATAGACAATACTGCATGAAGTCCTGCATTAGACTTACAGTTCTAGCATGGGTGAGGTGCAGATCACATAATTCAAACTACTATAGCACTACTGTTGCTATTACTTAAAAATACCCCTTATACTAAGAGATAGCTCTGCTTGCTCACATTGCAGTATGCTGACCTAGTTTTCGAAGGAGCGCTGGTGATTTATTGTGAGTGTCATTTTGAAGTCTTAAGTTTAGTGTCTTACTGCTTGACCCTCGGTAGATGAAACAGCATTTTAGATGAAAACGAAGCACCGTAAAATTTTCTGTTGTGTGTTAAAAAAAATTGAATATGGTACTTGTCTTTTTCAAACATTGATTCAAAGCCAGAGAAAGCCCCCCCACCCCCCCGGTGTATTTTGCAGGCAAAAAAAGGCCAGTTGCTTTATTTCAAGGTCTATAAACAATGTATTCAGATTGGCTTATTGTATTTTCTTATCTCTGGGTATAGTTTTGACTGTAGACTTTTCCAAACTTGGGAAAATCGGTGCCTGTTTGCTGATCCCACACCACCCTTGTAAATTAATGTGAACTTTGACCTACATATTGGCTAAGTTTCCTGTTCATACTAGTTGCCTAGTTTATGTGTGGGTAGAGGGAGAAAGGGAAAGCTTTCAGCTTTCTTGCTGGTTACAAATGCATCATCATAATGCACGAACCTGCGTGAACGCAACAAGAAAAACAATATTTCTCTGGCTGTGGTATTTTTGCCATAAGTTTTGGCACTATTCTACATAGGTTTGTGCGTTCAGAATATTATTTGCACAGTGGTGGCCTCTAGAGGGTGTAGTGGTTGTTAGCGTTGGAGCTGCGATTCCCAGCTGCATTTGCAGAGCATGTGGAATTTGAGTTCCCACCTTCCTTTCTTCTAACCTTGGAGAAATTGGGAGCACAGGGCTTGCTACTGGGTAATCCAAAACTACCGCTTTAAGCAAATCTTGTCCAGTGGGCAGTGTGACTTAGACCAGGTTGGCAGAATCACCTTTGATATTTATTTTATTTTTTGGTATTAGAACCTTGCAAGATCCATCAAGTGGAGCCCAGGTGCAGAAGACATACACTTAGAATGAAATAATTCTGACCCCCAAAAATGGCTGAGTACTGGAACTGCCCGACACACACAAAAAACCCACTCCTCATTGCCTCTTCTCCCTGAGCAGTCTTAGTATAATTTGGGGGTGACAAGTTACTTTTGTGGTTGTCCTGTTTTTTGTTTTTTTTTAAAGGAAGCCAGCTTTCCTTGCTCATCTGCTTCAAATTACCCAGATTTCTACCAGCAGATTCCAGTCTCCTTTTCACCCACTTCTAGGCTTAAAACACAGCAATGTCGTTTTCTCCATGCTGCGTATCAAGTTGCATTTGCACATTGCTGCGAATTGCCCATTGCTGCGAACATTGGGGCGGAGACCCAATGCGCGCGAACCTGTTTGATTTCTCCAGCCTTGCAACCTATTCATGAAGCTGTCGTCTGCGCATGTACAGTGGCTGTTACGCGTACACACCTCATCTTAACAGCAAGGTGAATGAGGCTGTTATGTACTGAGTTGAATAGGATCCAAAAGGCAGCAGTTTGATTGGTCCTAGAACAATAGGATTCAGAATGCAGCAGTCTGATTCGTCCTAGAACAATGCAGCAGTATGATTGGTCCGCAGGAGCCACCCAATCCAGCTCCAGATGGAAGTGAATCCGCAACCTGATTGGCCCATGGGAGAATCCCAGAATTAGCCAATCACGTGCTGCCCATTGTATAAATAAGGTATATAAACTTTCATTTCTCACTACTATGAGCTGAATAAAGAGCATGAAATCCACACTCAACTCCAAGTATATTTCAGAGGCTTAAGTTTTCCTTTCGGATTGACAGAAAACGCATCAAACAACAGGGCCTCTCAAGGAATTACAGGATAACTCTGCACCGAGGGGCAACGTCCTCTGTGTGTGCATGGATTCAAAAGCCAACCGTGGTAGCGCAGCCCTGGTTTAACCCCAGCACCACCATTCCTTTTAAATTTGCAGGGCGAAGGGATGCGGAGACGAGTCCTTGGGGCAGGGTGGGGCAGAGTGTGGAATGTGCTGTTTGCTTGCATTTGCAGCCAAGGGAGAAGGGAGTGTGGAAGGGGTCGTGGGGACATCCTGGGGAGAGTGCATCTTAGATGACAGGGCTGTTTGGGTTGGCAAGATAGCTGGTGGGGAAGAAGAAGAAGCTGTTTTGGCATGTGGGAGGATTTTGGGGGGCAAGCAGTGGCACATGAGAAGAAAGCTTAGACCGTATGTGTGAATTGGGAGTTGCAGGGAGGTGCTAGAAACCAGATGAATTGGACGTTAGCTACTATCGGCTGCTGCCCTGAAACAGTGTTAATGGAAAATGTGTGGTGTGGACCCTACTAGAAAGGGAATTGTTGGTGGGAGTTCAAGCATCCGTTGGTTTGATTGGAGGCAATGGAGAATCTTGCAATTCCTAGAGAGCATCGTACTGCCTTGTGCTTTGAGAAACATGGCTTAAGGCTGAACTGCCAATGTAAACTCTCATAGTAGTTTATTTGAGTATGGCGCCTAGACCTCTGAATCACCGCTGCTGCATCCCCTCTACTGCTTGAAGGTATATGGTAGGAAATCTTAACAAATCAGGAAGAAGTATCTTTCCAGTTGTGGCCAGAACAAAGATGGCTCACCAGGGATGGAGATCAAACTAGAAGGAGATACAAGCTGCTTGCGGGATTTAAGTCAGCAAAGAGGGCTGCTCAGCTGGGTCATTTGCCTTTGCCAGTCAACAAGCCTAAGCACAACAAGTTTTCTCAGGATTGCAGCCAGAGGATTTGGAGTGGCCTTTTGTTGTTGTGCGTTTGTAGTTCTTTTTGTAAACAATCTGTATGACACCGAAAAGCTGACTTAACATTGGTTGCATTTGGACAATCCACTCCCAGCCTAATAAGCTGAGAAATGAATGAGTGTTTTGCCTGCACACACAACCCCCTCAATTGATCTATAATTGAACCAGGAAGGGAATTAACCATAGTTTACCATTTCATCCAAACTGGGAGACTAGAGTTACCAGCAAGTCACGATGTTAAGCTGGCTTCAGATCGTGGTTGAATGTTTTGGCTTGTTATAAACTTGGGAACCATATGTTGCATTTATACTCCCATTTACTATGTACTCACTGAGTTTCAGTGTTGGGATTTTAATCCGTGTCCACACAACATTATCCAAAATGCATATGTATCCTGTACTTTGCTGTGATATACCAATGTTTGATGTGTTGTTTCTCCAACCAGTGGTGTCACTTCACACTAATTGGAGTCCTTAAGTGGACCTTAATTTGTCTCTAGCCAAGGTATGAACACCTTTGCAAAGAGTAAAAATATCCCTGTCATCGACAGACCCTGATGTGTTTACAAACTGAAATTAATTGAAGCTGTGCAGAAGTGAACAGCTAGCGGGGAAAGAGCTGTGAAATGCACTGAGAATAAAACCAACTTTACTGTGCTCTGAGATGGTAATGTAGACCAACCCATGGTTTCCTGGTTTGAATGAAATGGTAAACTATGGTTTTTCTCAGGCTTTCTAACTTTCATTCACTACTTGATGCTGCCTATGAAAGCTCATGCTACAATAAACAAATTTAGATGTAATTTACACATTCAGGTACCATGACAAGGTCTGCATTTTTTGGATGTATAATTTCTGCTAGCACAAAGACACATAACAGAAAGTTGCATTACAGTGGTACCTTGGGTTACATACGCTTCAGGTTACAGACTCCGCTAACCCAGAAATAGTACCTCGGGTTAAGAACTTTGCTTCAGGATGAGAACAGAAATCGTGCTCCGGCGGCGCGGCAGCAGCAGGAGACCCCATTAGCTAAAGTGGTGCTTCAGGTTAAGAACAGTTTCAGGTTAAGAATGGACCTCCAGAACGAATTACGTACTTAACCCGAGGTACCAGTGTATTGTCCTTTGCAATATGATGAGTGATGCCGCACCATTGAAAGGCAGCTTTCACTGAGATGGCCCTTCTAGGTGTGTATCTGTATGCGCGGTGCAGAGAACCTGGCATAGAAAGAGACCTGAGTCTTTGACGTCAAAATATCAAGTACCATCCAAACTGGGTTGCTGAAATTCCACTATGCCCAGAGTGCGTGGCAACTGCTGAAAGTAGCCATTCTTTTATCATTTGGACCACCAAAAACAAAAAGGCTAGGTTGTGCTCAAGTAAGGAGTGAATAGAATTAGGAGTGTGGTGATAGAGACCTTGCTGAAATGTTGCCATACACACAGAATGAGCTTCCACACAAGCTGTGACTGCAGATGCATAACACGTTATTTTTACTTAACAGAATTTCTGCAATAAGAGTAAAGTTGGATTTAAATGGATGGAAAGAGTACAACCTGGCATTTTCATGTGATATGGATGATGGAAAGAGACTTGCGCACACAAGAATGGTTGATGAAAATCTCGGAATATGCAGAGATGGCAAAATTGACGGCACTGATGAAAGACACAAATTGAGAATCTTTTAAAGAAGACTGGAAACCCTTTCTAGTTTATATAAAAAAAGTTATTTCCCATATGCGAAGACCACAGTGGGGTTTGAAGTGTAAGAAAACTGCAGAATATATGAAGAAACATGTTAGAGAAAGGATGAATTTAGATAAGAGGGAACCTTAAAACACAGTTGTATGTGTTTTGGGTTATAAACCATTGATGTTGGGTGTGAGCAGGAAGTCACTAGTTTTGTTGAATTGGAATATAATTGTTGAGTAACAAATGTAACTGTATTGAAAAAAGAATAAAATATTATTATAAAAAAAGAAAGGAAGAAACTTGCACACATGAGCAGCTGTGATTCCATAAAAAACTTCCATCTGGAAGCCCCTTTTGATGACAGCTGACCAGCTCATTAATTACGATGAAGTAAATACCCAGCAAGCTACCCTTACACATGAATGTTTCAGCACTAATGGAGGTAGTAATTAGAACCTGATGAGAAATAGTGATTTCATGTGAAGTATACAGAAAAAAAGGAACATTTAATATGAACAACATGCAACATTTTCCGTATGTTAATTTTTTTACAGTGCTGTATTGTGCATAACGTGTTTTATGTGGGTTTCTTTTGGAGAAGACATTTATTTGGAATGGGGGGGGGGGAGGAGTAACATCACAGTCCCGTGGTGTTAACTCAAAAGTAAGACTCATTGGGCATAATGGGGCTTCCTCCCAAGGTAACCGATTTGCAGCCAAAGGCAAGAATTACTTCTGGGTGCACAATTCTTAGGATTGTTCTGGGAATGACTACTTACATTTATATTGAGAACATTGTGCAGGGTCAGAACCAGAGGAGCCATCTAGTCCTGCATTTCCTTCTCATATTGGCCCACCAGATGTGAGAAGCTCATGAACAGAGTGATACTCTCTGCACTTGTGATCTGCAGTAGCCTCTGATACTAAGGGTAGTGCATAACTATCATGACTAGTAACTACTTACAGTTTTATTTCACCACCACACTATTAAAAAACAACAACAGCTCATAGGCATGGTCCAATAAGGAAGATCAACTCTTGCACTGCATGTGAAGAACATGGCATGCAGGGATCACACTTTAATTATCAACCACATCTCTCTGTGTTTATGTTACTGTTGACATAATGTGCCATCCACATGCTGTGATACCATATTATGCATTTTCTTAACTGCCCCCTCCACACACTTTAGTTGTTGCTGAGAAACAGGGCATGAGAAGCAGGGCATGTGATAAGGGTCCACACATGTTATAGAATGAGAGGCATTGAACTCTGGCCTGTGCATATCAGTTTTAGAAGCATCACTGTTTCAGTTTTCACATGGAGGCTCATCCTTTTTCAACCTATGTGTTTGTCTTTGTCCTCTCGCTTCTCCTTTCTCTTCTCCTCTTAAAAACTTGCACAAAAAGAAAATGCCAGTGGTGTAGGTCCGGGCACGATCCAGTTGTAGGTTATGATGAACTACCAGGAGGTGCAAGAGCTTACAGATGCCTTGCACTCCATATATTTTATTGTGCACTAGGGTCCCATCTCCCTGATGACCTGTTTATTGAGCATTAATCCAGTTTTGCTTGCACAAAGCTAACATGGAGGTTAGATTATATCCGGTCTTTATTGAGCATTCATTATTTGTAGGGCCGCTATATCACAAGGAGCATTCATCTTGGTTTGCTTGTGAGATGTTGATATCTATTTCTATTAGTCTTTATTTTTCATCCCACACTTTTCAAAGCATTTCCCTATCACTTTCCAAACTATGGAAAGGTGTATAAAAATGTATGTTTATTGTGCTGGGGCAACAGAGCCGTATATTCCACTCTTAACTATGTAAAACTTAAAATTCTGATATGCAAAGCAGTCACAATCTGGAGGCACATTTATTTATTTTGGGGGAGATTTGATTTGCATTTGAACTGGTTTTTTTTTTAATGCAAGCCATATAAAGGCAAAAGGTGGAATATAAGTTTTAAAACAAACAAATTGTGCATTTTTACTTTTAATTTCCCCCTTACATTTATACCCCATATTTCTTCCATCATAAACTGCAAGGTGGCATAGAAGGTTCTCTCATCTAGGCATGGATGAGACCCAGACGTATTTAGCCACAGTAGGTTGTGGTTTAATGTGTCTTCAGGCTGTCACCGTCCAAAGTTGTCCTCTCTCATGGGAGGGCATTCAAGCTGTGGCACTGCCACTGCCACTACTTCATTGCTTGCATAAACTGGCTCTGGATGTGAGGACATCTCATGTGCTTGCCTTTTCAGCTTTGGAGATGGAACCTGGTGTTTTATAGATGTTGGAGAGGAACCATAAATGGGACAAGAATCAGACGGAAGTGCTTTGGGGGGGAGGGAGGAGTGGGGGACCAGTGTGTTAAGAAATATGAATGCTTTTTTCTGAGGAGATAATTGAGAACTGATAATGAGGCACAGACTATGGGACCAGGTTGCCTTGAACTGCTGAGCTAATCACCAAGGCATTGCAAGCAGAGGGCTTCATGGTGCAAGCTGCAGCTCTTTTCCTTCCCTGGCAATCCTAAAGACACCAGTGTGCAATTGTGACAGTTTTTCAGAGGCATTTTAGGTCTTTACATTGGGGCCTGAGGCATGGCCTGCATATTTACACGCATATGGTCTCCTTCCCTGACAATACTCACTATGTGCAGCCTCCTGTGGAGATTTATATATGCCCCTGACAGAAATAATCTGTACAGGACAGCTGTGTTTGGTCTGTTTGAGGAATAACACTGCACATTAACTATTCGTTTAGAATGTTAATTCTCTGAAAACTGGCTGTGCAAACATTCCCTGAATGTGCATCAAATTAATTTTGACACCAGCTGTCCTGGTGGCTCAGGGAGTGGGGAACTGACATTTGCTCCTGAAGGTCTAGAGCTCCACTACAGAGCTGATGACTCCAGATTCCATGTGCTAATTGACTTCTACTGTAGACTGCTTGCAAATCTCTTGTGTTGGCACAGCACTACATTTGGAGTCTCAGCCGGTGTAGGAGGCTACAGCAAATCTGTGCAACTCGTGACTCACCAGGCCCATGAGCAATGTATTGCAAGAGGCTCACTGACACTCCCTTTTTATGTTAGACCCAGGTAATGGCAAAAAAGGGGTTAACCCATCACGTGATGGGGTGCCACGGCCGGTGGGCTGCACTTACGTTAGTGTGTGGCACGTTGCTCCAGCCTGGATTGGGTTTAAGACACGGAAAACTCAGGTTCAGCTCTCCAGACAGTTGTGAAGTTTGGTGGGTGGTCTTACGCAAGTCGCCATCTCTCAGTCTCACCAAGGTTTGAGCTTGCTCAGCGGCAGACAGTGATGTGGGGCTGGGCCCCACACCTGACCTTTGCCCAGCTGAGCCACTGCAGCAGAGTGGGCTGCACAATGGGAGTGGGGTGGCAGCCAGGTCAGCGTGGTGCAAGTGCGCCAGCGGAGCCAATCTAGTCTCCTGCTGGTTCTTGCTCTGAGTTATTTGGCAGGAAGTTGGGTTACGAATAATTCATGCACGCTAATGTGAAGTTCCTTTTTTTGTGTATAGAGGTTAAGTTGGAACCCAAAGATACTGTTTATTGTGTGGTATGAAACAGCTGTAGACTGTGACTTATAGAAACTTCTCCAGACTTCCAAGACTCAGGACAGTGTTTGGATGACTATGTTTATATGGCAATGACCCAGCAATGACTCAGCGTGAGTGTGGATTCTTTTTATAGCGGGACACTTAGTGACTGGTTCTGTGAACGCACCAATATGTGACGAGGCTGTTGCTTACTACGTGCAATTAATTTGGATAGGAGAAAACTTAACTATGAAGCGAACAGTCAGAGGACGGGTAAGCACACCCAAAAATGACAAACAATGATGATTTTGTTCCACAGCTAATGTGCCATGTGAGGTAGCACTCAAAATCAAGTTGTTGAAGCAGAAACTGCCCAGTTTTGAGGCTTTCGCCCACAACTGTGGGGCAAAAGGTTTTTAAAAATAAATTATTAATAATAATAATAATAATAATAAAAATAATAAAATATAGTCATGGAGATCTTCGGCCTACTATATTGGAGTTTGCTTTAAATGACTGAATCACTTGTAAATCGACCCCACCGTGTGGGAGTATTCACAAGTAAGTGTGTAAGCTGTTCTTGCCATTATGAAGTTAATTTTGAATCCATGCGCTATTAAGTCTTTCAGACTGTTAACAGATATAGAGCTCTGCCCTGCAATGAAGCCTCACCTCTTAGCTTGAGTGTATTGCCAAGTGATACAGAACATGGTGCCACACATTAGGCAAAAATATGTAATAAAATGTCAAAGGATTGTATGGACTCTCTTCTAACAGATCAATTTTACCTCAGAAACATGTAGGGTAGTCCTCTTTGACCTCTTTTCATGATGAATGCTGGCTATTTGTTTCTGTTCTAGTGTACCTATGTTTTAAATAACCAATGGAAAGACTTCTCGCAGCTGAAGTGTTACAGGCTCCCATGTTTCCTCCTGCATTATAAAGGTTGCTTATGTAATGCTTAATTTATCGCACAGGTTTTAGTTCCAACTCATTTATTTTAAGGCAGCTTGAAGAACAATTTGGCAGTCTTCAGAAATGTTTCCAAAGTAGAAGTAAGAAAACTATTTTTGGATTTTTCAGTTGTTTCCCTTGAACTCTGGGATAGTTGGTTTTATATTCATTCACTTGGAGCCAACTCTGTGAGCGTCACAAGCCAAACTGCGAATTTCCCCACAAAAGTGAGGTGTTTACGCGCTTGAGATTTTGTGCAGATACACAGAGCAGGCCATTTTGTGCTAGCAGAGCCTGCCAGCTACTACCTACCTGAGTACTCATTGCCACTGCTTTAGGGCACGTAAAACTGCCTGTGAGGGGGTCCTCATAGCTCCATTAAAAATAAAATAAAATAGGGAAGGGGTTTGGGGGACAAACACAAGTGTGCTCCCACCTTACTTCTCCTGTTTCTGCCAGAAGAAAGTAGTTTGACTGTATGCATGTACATACATTCAGATTCTTATTTTCCACACTCATTGGAAATTTGATTTTCAGACCACGTGTATTCAGTAGTTTCCTGGAGAGCCCATCTGTGTGCTTTGTAGTGGAAATGTTTAGTAGCCTAAGTTGAAACATACCAAAAATACTAACACTGAATGCATTTAGCCCTAGGGATATACATACATTAAGGGCATACTCACATTACAAACCTAAGCTGTTTTAACCAGGGGTCAGCAATTTTTTTCAGCAGGGGGCCGGTCCACTGTCCCTCAGGCCTTGTGAGGGCTGGACTATATTTTGAAAAAAAATATGAATGAATTCCTATGCCCCACAAATAACCCAGAGATGCATTTTAAATAAAAGGACACATTCTACTCATGTAAAAACATGCTGATTCCCAGACCGTCCGTGGGCCAGATTTAGAAGGTGATTGGGCTGGATCCGGCCTCTGGGCCTTAGTTTGGTTGCCTACCTATGGTTTTAACAGTCATTCCTTTACCCCCAGGAAACCCTGGGAATTGTGGTCCTTTGAGGGGCTGGGGGCTAACAATTTATGCAAAAGCATTCTTGGTGTCTTCAGCAAACTATAAAGGTAAAGGTGAAGGGACCCCTGACCATTAGGTCCAGTCGTGGCCGACTCTGGGGTTGCAGCGCTCATCTCACTTTATTGGCCGAGGGAGCCGGCGTACAGCTTCCGGGTCATGTGGCCAGCATGACTAAGCCGCTTCTGGCAAACCAGAGCAGCGCATGGAAACGCCGTTTACCTTCCCGCCGGAGCGGGACCTATTTATCTACTTGCATTTTGATGTGCTTTCGAACTGCTAGGTTGGCAGGAGCAGGGACCAAGCAACAGGAGCTCACCCTGTCGCAGGGATTCGAACCGCCGACCTTCTGATTGGCAAGTCCTAGGTTCTGTGGTTTAACCCACAGCAAACTATAACCCCCACTATATCATGGGGAGAAGCCATGGAAATTACAGTGGCATGAAACTGGTGCATGCTTATAGTGGGTGCATAGATAAGTAGTTCTGCATGCTATGATTCTGTGACTCTACTCAGGGCTCTCTGTATGAGAGTTGAAGTTGTATTTTCTGTGGTTTAGGGGACCGTGCTTGTGTCTGTTACTAGACCCATGGGCTGGCGGGAAGAAGTTGAAACGGGTTGATTCAAGGAGGCTGTCTCTATGTAGTGTATTTTTCTGTGCATAAGACTAGGTCCCCCCCCAAAAAAATAATTTCTAAAGTTAGACATTAGCAGCTTATACTCTGGGCCATCTTCCCCCATTTTCTTAATAGAAAATGCCCCCTTATACATGGGGGCATCTTATAGATGGAAAAATATAGCACTTTGTTTTGCTGTTGATGTTTATCATGTGTTTTATTATTTAAGGATTGTTAGCTGTCTTGAACACATTTGGAAAGGTGGAGCACAAATGTCTTAAATAACAATACAGTAAAGGTAATAGGAATAGAAGTCAACAATACAGACTTCCGTACCATTCACCTAGCCTCCTGCATCTGCACTGACAACGTATGGAAACCAATGTACAGTGGTAGCTTGGGTTACAAATGCTTCGGGTTACAAACACTTCAGGTTACAAACTCCGCTAACCTGGAAGTAGTACCTCGGGTTGCAAACTTTGCCCCAGGATGATAACGGAAATTGTGCAGTGGTGGCAGCAGGAGGCCCCATTAGTGAAAGCGCACCTCAGGTTAAGAACAGACCTCCGGAACGAATGAGGCTTGTAACCTGAGGTACCACTGTATGTGGCATCAATGCAGTGAAATCACTGCTTTAAGGAGGGGCCCATTTCTCTGGTTCAGCTTCTAGTGCTGCGAAATGGTTTGCTTGCCGAAACTCTGTAAATGTGACATCAGCAGATTTCCCCACTTTCACTGTGTTTTGCACCATTATGCAAATTCAGCAGGTTCCTCATGAGAGAAACAAGTGGAAAGAAGGAAGGTGCAGGAGCATGGCAAGAAGCCATCTTAAGGTGGCTTCATCACTTATGTAGGCTTCATTTAGCAGCTTGCAAGATTGGAGTTAAAAGTTAAGTAGGTTCCCCACTCCCCTACTGACTGTACAATGGAGCTTGGCTTGATTTCTCGAGTCTCCTGTAACCTATTTGTTCTGCAAGCACCGGTGCTGTGCTTTGTAGCGCACCATGAACTGAATGCCGTGCTGTGGAATGCAGATGGTCCTACTGTGGGCGACAGCAGACTCGGGGCTTGCCCACACTGGGGCAAAATGTGGACCCCCCATCCCAGTGTCTCCTCCTTTAAATGTGAGGCATTTTGATCCTGGCCTTTTTTGATTTTCCAACCATCAAAGCCCTCTGCATTTCAAGGTGGAAAGGTTCAGGGTAAAAGGTAAACTGAGACGGGGAGGACATTGTGTGGATGCTCCTACATTAACGGGGAGATTGGCCCCCTGGGAAGACACATGTTGGAACAATGTGGACAGGCCATTGCAGAACGTTGCTGATGGGGAAAGCCTATGAAAGAAAGTCCGTCAGCCCTGCCTTATATATTATTTTCCTGAAGGTGGCCACCATTTATTTCCGGCAGGCTCCTCGTGCCTTGGAAATAGCTAACCCAAATCCAACAGGTGGATCTTTATTAACTGGTGACTTGAGGACACGAGCTGTGCCCGTTACAAAACTGCCCGCCGGAGCAGTTTCTTAGAGAGCCGTTCCAGAAAGGCACGGTGGCAAGATCCTGGCAACTCCGTTCTGCACACATTGCTGCTGCTGCACTGGTGGGGTGCTCTCTCTATTGTCTACTGTATTTGCATAGCTAATAAGACACCACCTCTCTAGCCCTGCCCCTGCAGAAGGGGTGGCGCGGGCGGGAGGGAGGGAAGAGAAGGGGAAACCATTCCGGAGTGGGGGAACGAGGGACTTCCCTCGTCCCCCGTTCACACGCCATTTCCTGTCGGCGTGTTTACTTCCGGGCAAATCAAATCCAAAAGCTGCTTTCCAAGTGAATCCAGGAGGGGAGAAAGTGCAGTGGGTGGGCGGGTGGAAGCGAGAGCCCGGAGCCCACGGAGGGCAAGTTAGACCCGGGTGGGTGCTCCGAAGCCCCTGCTTCTCTCCACGGTCGCAACCGGCCACCGCGAAACTGACTTGAGCCGCTTCTCCTTCTCTTCCTCTTGCAGGTTTATCCGGAGCCGCGCACCGAGAGCGAGTGCCTGAGCAATATCCGCGAGTTCCTCCGCGCCTGCGGCGCCACTCTCCGCCTGGAGGTGAGGTGGGGGAGAATTGTGCACATTGCAACACACACACACACACACACACACACACACACACACACAAACACGTGTGTGTGTGTTTGCTTGCTTGCATGTATCTATATATGCACACACACACACGTGTATATATGAGCATGTAATATGGGGTGAGGGTGGAGGGTGCTGAGGAGGCTAGAGGGCCATTCTAAGGAATGAATTAAAAGTTAAGGGAGCTACTGTGCCGGACGGTTGGCAGCAAACAAACGCCTACCTGTTCCATCCTCTCTCTCTCTCTGCACACAGGCGTTTCTTTCTTCTCCTCCAGCGTAATGCCACGGTGGTGGTTCTTCTTATCCACGCACCTATTTAGCACACTTGTGTCTGTGCAGCCACGCTGTCCTTTTTTTTTTTTTTTGCATGCCTCCCCTTTTATATTGCCTTGTGAACGCTATATATCATTTTGTATGGGTAGCTGTTTTAACAGCCAGATATTGAACAAGCTTTCCCACCTCCTGTTAACTCTCACTGAAGGCCAGACCAGATGAAACACAGGAGGATTGTGAATCCTCTCTCCTGGCATTTTTACTTAAAAGCAGCAATGGAGAAGCCTGGATTTTATTGGAGTCGTGGTGCAGGGGCAGTGAGGTTTTTACATTTCCCCGCTTTCACTGTTTAATACCTCTTTCTGGCTGCTATTAGCTCTGAAGTAGAAGACATCTCTGTTTTCTGCTGGGAAGTAAAAATGAAAATGTCATGAGATTGTTCCACACCTCTTGTTTCTTGTCTCATCTGGCCCCAAATCTAGCCTTGTTTTTCAAAGAGATATATTGTTTTCTACTGTGTTTGTCTTCACACTGATTTTATTTGGATTCTTCCAAATTTTATATACCGTATTTTTCGCTCCATAGGACGCACTTTTCCCCCTCCAAAAATGAAGGGGAAATGTGTGTGCGTCCTATGGAGCGAATGCAGGCCTCCGCTGAAGCCTGGAGCGCGAGAGGCATCGGTGCGCACCGACCCCTCTCGCTCTCCAGGCTTCAGGAAGCTATCCGCAAGCCTTGCAAGCCCGGTGGGAGTTCCCGCGGGCTCACAAGGCTTGCAGGCAGCAGCCTGCAGCCCCGGCGAGTGTCCGCAAGCCTTGCGCGCCCGGCAGGAGGTCCCGCCGGCGCGCGAGGCTTGGGGCAGCAGCCTGTCGCCCGAAGCACGGGGAGCCCTCCGGAGGGCTCCCGTGCTCGGGCGAGTGTCTGCAAGCCTTGCGCGCCCGGCAGGAGGTCCCGCCCGGCGCGCAAGGCTTGGGGCTGCAGCCTGTCGCCCGAGCACGGGGAGCCCTCCGGAGGGCTCCCGTGCTTCGGGCGAGTGTCTGCAAGCCTTGCGCGCCCGGCAGGAGGTCCCGCCCGGCGCGCAAGGCCTGGGGCGGCAGCTTGTCGCCCGAAGCACGGGAGCCCTCCGGAGGGCTCCCCGTGCTCGGCGAGTGTCTGCAAGCCTTGCGCGCCCGGCAGGAGGTCCCGCCCAGCGCGCAAGGTTTGGGGCTGCAGCTTGTCGCCCGAAGCACGGGGAGCCCTCCGGAGGGCTCCCGTGCTCGGCGAGTGTCTGCAAGCCTCGCGCGCCCGGTGGGAGGTCCCGCCGGCGCGCGAGGCTTGGGGAGGCAGCCTGCAGCCCGAAGCACGCGAGGCTTGGGGCGGCAGCCGCAGGGGGGGGGAATAATTTTTTTTATTCATTTCCCCCCCCCAAAAACGAGGTGCGTCCTATGGACCGGTGCGTCCTATAGAACGAAAAATACGGTATATATGAGAGAGTCATCCCTTTAAAATAGCCTGATTAATATCATTGTGTAATGCAAACATATTAAAATATACACTCTCTAGTTTCATAAAACTCAATCCATGCCCTCCCATGAAGTACTGTATATTGAGGTTTTTTTGTTTTGTAGGGAACGAACCATAGATCATCTCAGAATCAGATTTTTAATGCCACATCTGCACAATATATTGAAAGCGCTATTATGCAGCTAGGCTTCAGCCAAAGAATCATTGAAAACTGTGTTTAAGTGTACAGTGAGTTGTTAGGAGACCCCTATTCCCACCCCAGAGCTACGATACTCAGAGTGGTTTGACTGGTTGTCCCTTTCCCCATGGAACTCTGGGAATTGTAGCTGTGTGAGGGGAATAGGAGCCTCATAGCAACTCTCAACTCTCTTAACTTTTAGACTTTTAAAAGACATCTGAAGGCAGCCCTGTTTAGGGAAGCTTTTAATGTTTAATAGGTTATTGTATTTTAATATTCTATTGGAAGCCGCCCAGAGTGTCTGGGGAAACCCTGCCAGATGGGCAGGGTATAAATAATAAATTATTATTGTTTATTCTTCTTCTTCTTATTATTATTATTAACAAACTACAGTTCTCAGGAATCTTTGGGGAAGCCATGACTGTTTAATGTGGTGTTATACTACTTTAAAATGAAGGTGTTAGCTGATGTGTTCACGCCTCCTCAGAGGTGGCGGATTTCTGCTCAGCATGACCAGAAAAAATCCTAACACTGGAGGCAGAAAGAGGGTTTTCTTGCGTATCCCTGGGCTATGGAGCAAGGAGAAACAGCTTGTTCTGGTTCTACCTGCTCAAACACTTTGAACGATGAAAAATTTACCCTACTTGTAGAAGGAACATCATGGGTGAGCATGTCCAGCCATTTCAGGAATCCTACCCAAAGCTGTTGCTGTCAAAGGCATTTATCCTCTCTACTTAAAGAAGTCCCTGGATATATGGCTGGAAGTGACACTAAATCCAAGTCAACCCTCCTTCCTCAAGGACAGCACCTAAACAAATCTTAATCAACGGTGGTCTAACTTGATATTTAAGGCCTCTGTTGACAGAGGATGCACAGCAAGGTTCCATCTTTTTATGTCTCGTATACAGTAGACAAATAATATAACTAATCTCAATGCATTTGAATACTTCTATTAGATTCTGAGGCTGGGGAGCGATGGCTATTCCAGGCCTTTCTTTAATTTTTCATTTGTTTGTTGATGACCCTCGGGATCCCTTCCAACTCTGTGATTCTATGATTCCAGCCCTTTTCCGTAGTGAGATAACTAGAGGAAATGTGTAGGTGATAATCAGTCTAAATGCTCTTCTTCTGTTCTGACTGCTAGGTGACACTTTCTCAGATTTCTCTATGAAACTAGTTGGTTTCTACATGTTTTCCTCATTCATTCAGACCCTTGATTGCCTTGGTTTTTGTTGGTTTTGGTTTCCTTATGACTTCTTTGTTATAAGGAGTACAGTTTAGAACGGGACAAGTATCTTCTGAGTCTTCTGTGTATAATTCTCTTGTTGCATCCAAGTATGGTGTTTTCTTCCTTTTGGCAGTGTCGCTACATTGCTGAGTCAGAGTCAATTAGTTAATGATGAACTCCCCCTCTACTTACTTTCTACACAGCTATTTAAATTAGTGTTGTCGTCCCCCCAAGCTTGCTAACTTTCCCTTGGGTTAGTGAATCTGACTTTAAAGGGCCTTGTAGATTTAACACTTGATAACTTTAATACCTAGCAAATTTATTGCCTTTCCTTTTAATGAGTAATTGATTAGAACATAGAGACCTAGATTTTGGTCACATGATCAATCACACACCTACCTTGCTTCATTTTTGTCTGTGAACCCTGTGTGGGACTACAGTTATGGCAGACGTGTTGAAACAAGCTTGTGAACTACAGTAGAAATGTGAGACAATTGAACTTCTGGCTTTGTTTACCCAAGGTAAAGCCCCACCCATGTTTCTTATCTTTCCAGGGGAAAGACAGAAAGAATAAGAGTTTTATAAAATGACTTAGCTTTATTTAGGTGGGGTGCAGGGGGTGGAATTCACAGGGCCATCTGAGGAACAGTTGTGATTGACTACCCTGAGTTGAAACTTCTTGATTATTGGCCATAAACAATATGCAATTTACTATATTAAGTGGTCAGTGCTGTTTGAATTCATTTGTCAAGTTGTTTTCTTTTTGCCTGCACTTGCCTTTCTGTTAAGACATGGAACTTAAAAATTGTTAGTTGGAAACGTATTTTAAAAATTGAATGGGCATTACGTATAATAACAGGAACAAAGTCTGCCAAAATTGTGGGACAGTTCAAGACTATATGATTCACTTTTTGCGGGGGGGGGGAGTTGAGGGAAGACTTCTGTATTTTCATGGTTTGGGGAAAATTGGAAATATTTTGAACCCAGGCACGAGTCGTTTTAAAGTTGTGAACAAGATAACAACTAGATAGTTTAAGAGAATGCTGGATAGGGAAAAACCCAGCTGTACCCTATTGCATCATATATTGTACTTGAATTGCAGGTTTTTTGGGGGCCATTTTCCGTTCTAGATAATATTGTTGACCTCTTCAGCACATTTCAGATATCCCTGGCCTTAATGTTCTGCCTTGGGAAAAGCATAGAAATATATCTACACTGCAAACCTATAAATCTCATGTTTACTGTAGGAAATTACGGGAATGGTTGGTTGGCAAACGTGCTTAGAATTATCTGTTGTAGAACTATAGTTCCCTGGAAACCTAGAATAACTACAGTCTTCAGGTTGAGTGTTTTCGGGTTGTGCCCCGCGGCGACCCTGAAGTAATGGAACATGTTACTTCCGGGTTTCACCGCTCGCGCATGCGCAGATGCTCAAAATGATGTCACGTGCATGCGCAGAAGCAGCAAATCGCGACCCATGCACGAGCAGACGCGGGTTGCGTTGACTTCAGGATGCCAACGGGGCTCTGGAACGGATCCCGTTCGCATCCAGAGGTACCACTGTATTAAAATCAGTGTTAGCTGTGGTCTAAACTACTGAGCCTCTTGGGCTTGCCGATCAGAAGGTTGGCGGTTTGAATCCCTGCAATGGGGTGAGCTCCCATTGCTCGGTCCCAGCTCCTGCCAACCTAGCAGTTTGAAAGCACACCAAAAAATGCAAGTAGATAAATAGGTACCACTCCAGCAGGAAGGTAAACAACGTTTCCGTGCGCTGCTCTGGTTTTGGTGTTCCGCTGTGCCATAAGCTGCTTAGTTATGCTGGCCACATGACCCGGAGAAACTGTCTGCGGACAAACACCGGCTCCCTCGACCTGTAAAGTGAGATGAGCACCGCAACCCCAGAGTCGTCTGCGACTAAACTTAACTGTCAGGGGTCCTTTACCTTTACCTTTAATTCTCATTTAGGGGTAGGTGTGTCTTTGGGCTGTGCTAGGTAAAGGTAAAGGGACCCCTGACCATTAGGTCCAGTCGTGACCGACTGGGGTTGCGGCACTCATCTCACTTTATTGGCCGAGGGAGCCGGCGTACAGCTTCCGGGTCATGTGGCCAGCATGACTAAGCCGCTTCTGGCGAACCAGAGCAGCGCACGGAAACGTCGTTTACCTTCCCGCCGGAGCGGGACCTATTTATCTACTTGCACTTTGATGTGCTTTCGAACTGCTAGGTTGGCAGGAGCAGGGACCGAGCAATGGGAGCTCACCCTGTCGCAGGGATTCGAACAGCCGACCTTCTGATCGGCAAGTCCTAGGCTCTGTGGTTTAACCCACAGCGCCACCCGCGTCCCTTGGGCTGTGCTACTGGGCTGTAAATGGGAAGTCACAAAATTAAATGTTCTTCCATACTAATGCATAAATAAAATTCCTCTCCTTAGAGGGAAAGGGTTCTAGCATAGCCTTATTTCTTACACTTGCTTTTCTATATGCAGCGGTTATTGATTTCTTTTGCATGGAGGACTCTGTAGTCACTAGTGATACAATCCAGGCAGAGGCTTACTGTTTTGTGTAGATTCTCAGGCCCTCACGATGTTGCTGTGTTTTCCAAATAAACATGCATAGGATTAGGCTGCCAGTGGGTTATCGCTTTCTGTCCCATTTATAGTTTTATATCTGCTTATGCAGTTTTAGGCCAGGAGAAGTTGAATTCTTGACAGGAGAAGGGGAGCAAAAGATGAAGAGAAGACAGGAAAAGTATTGAGCTCTCATTTTGGTAGAGACTTGAAAGCATTCCTTTACTAAAGAAGAGACGGTTGGGCGATATGTGTGTAACCATTCACTGCACAGGTTTCTGGAAGGAAAGAAGTTTGCTTGAGAGTCAAAACTGTCTGTATTCTTACTTTTGTAGATGAAAAAAAATGGTGTGTACAGAGTTTTCTGTATCTAGGCAGATCAGAAGTGTTTGGCTTGGTTTCTTGAGAACATGGTTTATTACCTTGAAAAACAATAGGACTTTAAATACCAGATAATAGTGAGAAGAGACCCAGAGCCATTTAGGCTGATTTTCTGTAGACTGCAAGTTGCTGCCTTCCGTTTTACAGCTGTCACAGATTCAAATGGCACCAAGTACATGATCAGCAGAATATGTGGTACTGATAACTGATCAGTATCTCAGAGCATCAACTTGCGCCAGCGTTTGCCATTTAAAAAAAAGTGCTTGGGTGAACTAGTCTTCAGTACAGTTGCATTTTACAAATATTTAACTTGCATGATTCGAACCATATGCAGTTGAAGGCTGGTTGACTGAAATTTTGCAAGTTAAATGCAAGGAAGATAGAAGGCTTTAAAGCTCTTTCTGCACTGAGTTTTGCCTGCATGAAAATAACTTTCAGCTCTCTGCTTTGCTTGGGGGGTGGGGGCAAGGCACACACAGATTTGCGCACTGGTGCAAGATCTCACAGGGCTGTCCAGTTCCTGCGAGGTCTCATGCAAACATCCCTACCCTTCCAGGGTTGGCGTGCTGAGTGAGCCTTGCCTGGCAAGCAAGGGAGACAGCTTAAAAGCTCTTTCTGCACTGGGAAAACCCAGCGGAACAATAAGTTTCTAAACATTCTTACTGGCTCACTTGCTGCTTCTTCAAATCCCTCTCTGCAGACTCAGAAAGGCGAACACCCACAGAAAGAATGCATGGTTCTGATTGGCTTAGGGTGGGCTGATTGACTTAGGTTGGGGAAACTGAGTCTGCCCCCCTCAGCTCATTACAGGCAGCGACCATTTTATGCAAATCATGCTCATGCTCATCGCTGCCAATATGGAAGTGGTCTGAAAAAGGGGCGGGGTGGGCTTATGTAAGCTCCGCTTACATGCATGGGGGGTCAGGAATGGAACGCCCGGCCAAAAGGATTGCCACCTGTATAAGACATAGCTTGGTTTTCACCCCCCTCAGTGGCTTCTTACAAAAAAAAGGGGAGGGGAATGAGCAAAAGAATCCACTGCCCTACGGAAGCCGTTTCTGTGGGATAGAGAGTTGCGGGAGACTGGGTGGGACCTGCTGGTAGTGATTATTCTGACTGGCTAACTAGAGGAGATGGGCAGAAGCATCTAGGAAGCCTCTCAGTTGGTATTTCCAGCACTGACCATAGGTGGCTTTCCAGAGTCTCTGGTGGAAAGCTCCCTTCCCAAGCGCTGCTTCCTTTGATGCTTTGAACTGAACTGTCGTGGGCTGAACCTTGAGCCATGTCATCACGAATCAGCTGCTCTTCTTCCCCCACCTATTTTTGTTTTCATCTTTATGCTGCGGAGCATACCATCATGAAATTTGGCACCCCCACATAATTTCTCAGGTGCAAAGAAATGTTGAGTGTTCAAAAACAAGTTGACTCCCCCCCCCTTGGTACATTGTTGGCGATTCTTACTATTCTGTTTAAAGAGAATTCCCAGATGACATGAAATCACTTCCATGAAACCATTACACATGCATATATACTCTTCTCTCTGCAATCCCCTGTCATTCATCCTCTTGTTTGGCTTCCTGTTGAGTAACGCCGCCTAGGTGCTTGTGTTATTCTGATGATGAACTAGCTGTTGGAATGGCCAATCAACTCGCTCCCACCGTCCCAGATAGCCTCAGACTGGCAGGAAACATAAGCCTCTTCACATCCTGTTTTTCCTTGACTTCTTTGAACATACACGTTTAGCAGTCTACTTTTGTTGAGAGAGAATTCACAATGGTGAGCCCAAATCCTTCTCTTGTGTGCTGTTTATATAGATTCTCTTGCTTCCTAACCCGTTTTTATTTTGTGATGGCTGTTTTGAAAAATAGTCCTGGTATATCTCTGGCAGGATTTTTCTTCCGGTTGATACTTATCTCTCCAGGGTGGACGGGGTGAGGGGTAGGGAGTGGCTTTTGGAAACAACTTTTATGCCTTTACAGTGGTACCTCGGGTTACAGGCGCTTCAGGTTACAGACTCCGCTAACCCAGAAATAGTACGGTACTTCAGGTTAAGAACTTTGCTTCAGGATGAGAACAGAAATTGTGTGGCGGTGGCAGTGGGAGGCCCCATTAGCTAAAGTGGTACCTCAGGTTAAGAACGGACCTCCGGATCGAATTAAGTTCTTAACCTGAGGTATCACTGTAATCCTTTCTGGGAGACTTAGCAGGATTGGCTAATACATCCTGTAGGGTAAGGCCGTTCTCCCCCCAACCCCCCCCCCCAAATCTAATGCCTGAAGAGGGCTATTGTGTTTGCTGAAACAGATTGACATAACTGCCCCTCTGTACCGCAGTTGACTCATCAGCCTGTAAAAGGGACAACATCTGGACAACCTTTACGTGGCCTCTGGAAGATGGGCATAAAATAGGCCAGGTAGGGGTGTTTTTGGAAATGGATTCCATAAGGAGGTTGTTCAAGAGAGAACACTTGGTCCTGTGGCCTTGCAGTTCTGTGTGAACACAGCCGATTCCCTTTGGCATGTCTATGGGTGACGCATGTAGCAGGAGATGTTCATTCAGGTAGGCAGAGTGCATAATGCCCGGGGCTTTAAAATCCATTGTCGACACTTTGAATTGGACCTGGAAGCTAATAAGGTAGGTGGTCCTCGCAACCGAAACAGAAGTTGTACGCTCTTTGCAACTCACGTTTGTGTGTATAAAAAATAAACAATGGATCAAAACTTGGCTGAAATCTTTTAGAAAAAATTCGTTTTGAACTTGCAGTGGCTTTCTTTCTAGCATGACTTAATATGTATTTATGTTTCTTTTTTTTTAAAAGACGTTTGATGCAAATGATCTCTATCAGGGACAGAACTTCAGCAAGGTGCTTAGCTCCTTGGTTGCTCTAAATAAAGTAACAGCAGGTAAGTAGAATCCATTTCCTCCTACTTCATTTACTCGCTGTTCTGTATTTTGCTTGTTTGTTTTGCTCTGAACTGAAAGTGTCTATGTTTCAGGTTTTTTTAAAAAAAGAATTCACTGCATTTACCATTCAGCAGCAGGATTTTTATTTCATTTCATTTCTTGCTCCGCTCTTGTGACACTCCGGCTCACAACTCCCCCAGTAGTCCTTGAGCTGAATATGCTTCCTTAACTAAATAAACAAACTATAGCTGAATAGCTCTGTTGATGATCACGCCCAAGTCATTAGCTTGGAATTTGCTTGGTTTTCAGTGTTACCTGCACAAGCGACCCATTTCCGTACTTTGATACTATTTGGAATATATTTGGCGTGGGTGGCGCTGTGGGTTAAACCACAGAGCCTAGGACTTGCTGATCAGAAGGTCAGCGGTTCGAATCCCCGCGATGGGGTGAGCTCCCGTTGCTCGGTCCCAGCTCCTGCCCACCTAGCAATTTGAAAGCACGTCAAAGTGCAAGTAGATAAATAGGTACCGCTCCGGTAGGAAGGTAAATGGCGTTTCCGTGTGCTGCTCTGTTTTGCCAGAAGTGGCTTAGTCATGCTTGCTACATGACCCGGAAGCTGTACGCCGGCTCCCTCGGCCAATAAAGCAAGATGAGCGCCGCAACCCCAGAGTCGGTCACGACTGGACCAAATGGTCAGGGGTCCCTTTACCTTTACCTTACAGAACACCTCTATTTTCTAAGTAGTAATATATACCTACTGTGTCTGTTTTGGTGTTCATCCCATGCTCCCTTTTTTCCATTTTAAGAGGATAGATGGACAATTGTCCCATTTTCAGATTTTTCTAGTAATACTGTGGTGTGTACGTTTGTTGTTTTGATTATAGGTTCACCTCTAATGATTTTGATACCCCATGAGTATGGGGCATAAATGTCACTGTCTCTTAAAGCACTCATGTGCGTGCATGCACAAGCATACACCTAACAGTCCATAATATTAGTATTTGTGTTAATGCCTTTTTTATTGCATAAAGCCCATGTGAGGCCCGGAGGGTGGCAACACAAGAACCGGCTTCCTCTGATGTGTTTGCACACATCATTGAATATGGACAACAGTAGAGCTGAGGAATAATCTAGCAGAAGTCCCTTTGAAAGCAATCTAATTGAAAGTTTATTTTATTATATGTGTCACTCACTTTTTTTTCAAAACTGGCTCTCAAACCAGTTTACATCTACAATATACCATATATTACGGATATAGGTTTTGTGGTAGGCTATTCTGGTTCCTGGTAGTTGGTGTCATAGTCTAGGATTGTTGTAGGATTTCTTCCAGAGAGAGAAGGAGCTGCAAATGGACTTGGGGGGCTAGTAGATTATAAAGATGCATTTAAGTGCTCAATTGTATGAGCCTCATTGAATTCAGTGGCACTAACATTCCCATATGATGTGCCTATTATAATACAACAACAACAACAATTTATTATTTATACCCCGCCCATCTGGCTGAGTTTCCCCAGCCACTCTGGGTGGCTCCCAATCGAGTGTTAAAAAGGGCTGCCTTCAGATGTCTTTTAAAAATAGGATAGCTGCTTATTTCCTTGACATCTGATGGGAGGGCGTTCCACAGGGTAGGCGCCACTACCAAGAAGGCCCTCTGTCTGGTTCCCTGTAACTTCGCTTCTTGCAATGAGGGAACCGCCAGAAGGCCCTCAGCGCTGGATCTCAGTGTCCGGGCTGAACGATGGGGGTGGAGATGTTGTGCCTCCCTGAATATAGGAAGAGTGGGCTATATACATTTAAATAAGTTTAGACCCCTGAAAATGTTTCATGATTTGTTTATTTTGCTACTGTTGTTGGTGTACGGTTCCTTCCTTTCCCAAATGAGACAGTGAGGACTTTACCTACCGGCCTCTTCTTCCCACCCCATCTCTGCTGGATTTCTTGCCTGATCCAACTAAGGTGACACATACATGGAAGTGGTACACCATCCTAATCATTTCAATAATAATATCACTTTTGGGGTCAGGGACAGGTGGTCTAAATTGGTCTAAATGTGCCTCCTGGTGTGGATATGAAAGTGTGTCCTCATGCATTCCATTTGATTTTGGGGAATGAGGGGTGTGATTATTATCATTTGCTTTTGAAGTGAATTTTGCCTGCATACCTGTTGGATGCATCTGCCCAGAGATCCTTTCCAAGCTCATCTCTTCCCGTTTTGGTACTCAGTATATTCCTATGAAGACAACTCGCTTTACAGATCCGAGGGATGATAAAATATAGTTCTGTTGTCTTGCATAGAAGTAGGTTAATTCAAGTAATTTGCATCTTACACGTGCATTTCTGGGAATTCTGCACTTCTGTTTTAGGAAATCAAATATAAATGTTTGTCCCCAGCACAAATTTTATATATGTGTGCCTTACTGAAATGCTAATGTTTCATGGTTATCTCTTTTCAGATATTGGGCTAGGAAGTGATTCTGTGTGTGCAAGGCCATCATCTCATCGAATAAAATCTTTTGATTCCCTGGGATCCCAATCTTTACATAGCAGAACCTCAAAACTTTTTCAGGGCCAGTATCGAAGTCTGGTAAGTGCTGACCTATTTCTATTCTCTTTTTCTTTTCACTCTCCTTAATTAGTGCTGCAAAGTGAGAAGCTTGACTCAGATTCACAGATACTTGATCATTGCCTTCTCACCTATCTGTAGCATAAGCCTTTGAGACTTTAAATATGTTTTGTGCTGTTTTGAGGAATCTGCTTTCAGATTATGCAGATTCATGGGTTGAGATCAACAATTCAGTGCAGTCAGGTGTTGCTTAAACCCACTAGTGCACCAGTGAGGTTTAAGTGTGCTTAACTACTGGCTTGTGGCCATAGAGTCCTAGAAATGGTGTATTTGTAAACAGAGCCCATAGCCATCTAGTTCCTCCATGTTTGTTATCAGGGGCAACCCAGTCAAATGGGCAGCATGTTGTTGTTGTTGTTATTCTGTGCACTATCTTAAGTCATAATATATGGAAGACAAGACCTCTTTACTCGCTGGGGAGGGTGTGTGTCCAAGAATTACATTTGTGTTTCATTTTCCGCTTAGGGTTTAACCAATTAAATTTCAGTGTTGCGTCAAACATTGGTCCTACTTAGAAATGACCCATTCAGACCAATGTATTTAAGTTAGCCATGCCCATTCACTTTAATGGTTCTGCTCTGAGTAAGGCTAGTGCTAGTTACTGCCCTCGGCAACCAAGTTGGCCAATGTCAAATGAATTCGTTCAGTTCCAGGTCGCACGACAAAATGTGTGATGAGAAAATAAGGCACACGATAAAGCAGTTCAAAGCAAAATAATAGGTCTAAAACTTTTACAGCTAAGGGGTATGAATCCTACTTTAAAAGCATACTACCTAAGTACTAAATAAATCCCAAAGGCTTCTTTCATTTGTACTTTTTAATTATACAATCATACACATACATAGGTGAAGAAGCAACCTATGCTTTTGGTCTGAACCCGGTAACCTGATTTTTTGTTTAGGGAGGGGGTGGTTCTATTCTGTTTCATACTTGGCTAAGACTTCTGGATAATGGTTCAAGTTCTGTTCTGCTTCAGGAAAAAATAAGGGTTTATTCTAGTTTGTTTATTTATTAGATCCCATATTTTCTGGAAGGAGGACACAGTGGCATGCTTGTTTCCCGCCCTATTCAATTTATCTTCATAACAACCCTGTGAGGTATATTAGGTCATCAGGCAGTGACTGGCCCATGGTTACCCAGTGAGTGGTTGAATTCGAACCCTGTTTCTTGGTTCAGATTTTGTTGAATCCGTGGTTTTTTCAGTTTTTGAAGTATGATTAAAATCTGTGAGAGTAAATCATATTAGTTCATATAAATGTTGTTCCTCTGCTTGTCATCTCAGACTTTTTCTGCTGAAAGGCAACTAACCAATGATATGCACCAGGTGCAGAGAACCAGTGATTTTCTAGATGCTGTCGGACTCCCAGATCCTATCAGCCCCAGCTTAGATGGCTGTTGGTCAAGGGAATGATGGGAATTGCTGTCCAGCAACATTACAGTGCCTCACCCCTGATATAAATTAAATGAACAAAATGAGGCCCACGTCTTATGATCAGTCCTTGCCATTTGATGCTCACTTTCTTCCTACTGTGTGAACTTTTATAGAACTATGTAGAAATAGCCTCTGTGTTTGATTTGAAGGTTAGCTTGGTATGGTCAAGGTATCCCGTGCATTTCCAGAAATGGCAAATCTGCCGAACAATGACTGTTCACACTGTTTGCAAAGGGCAAGGTTGGTGTCAAGCTGATGGAGGAATTGGCATCCATGTTCTAGAATTGAGTAAGCGGCCATGCCACTTCTTTTGAGGATGTCTTGTACTCTTTACTCCTGAAGTTTCTAAGCAGCTGAAAGTACTGCATACTTTCCACTAGTCAAAGCAGCCATAAATCCTGAAATCAGTGGCTGGCTTTATTCCAGTCTGTTTTGAATGACTCCACCCATGGATGTGAAGGAGTGCTTGTATCCTTTCATACACTTTGTTTTGCATCAGTCGGCGATGTCAGCTTATACTGATTCACACATACAGGCTGGGACATTAAATGAAAGAGCTCTTAGGGCACTCCTAGGAAAGTGATAGCAGGCATCTGTTTTGACTTAACTTTTCCATCAGTACGCAGTTGCAGGTTCAGTTTGGAAAATGTTGCAGCAAATATGTGTGGGTGGGTGAATTTTCAATTCATGCCAAGTTTCACAGTATAAGCTTGGGAAAGTATCATGGGCTTCATAATATTCTAGGACCTTTGCCTGTCTTGTGTGCCTGGGGACCATGACTGTTTACTACATGTTCCTAGACTCCCAAATCTTATAGAAATGGCATGGTTAACCCATTGTACAACCACGGAGACCTTTCTTGTTCTTCAGCCTGTGAAAAAGCTGTCTTATTATCCTGCACTGGGGATTTGCAGATGCTGTTTCATACATCTCACTCAGTTAAATTCTGTTAACATTTTGAAAAAGTACCTAAAACTTTTGTTTTCGCTTGTCTTATCACTTCTAGGATATGACAGATAACAGCAACCACCAGCTGGTGGTAAGAGCAAAGTTTAATTTTCAACAAACCAATGAAGATGAACTTTCTTTTACAAAAGGAGATATTATTCACGTTACAAGAGTGGAAGAAGGAGGCTGGTGGGAAGGAACTCACAATGGCAAGACAGGCTGGTTTCCCAGCAATTACGTACGAGAAGTAAAATCAAATGGTGAGTTTCAAGAGTCTGCTTATAAACTGCTCAAACTTGCTTTCTTTGTGGATTTCTATGTAACATATATATTTGTGATGATGCATGCCAATGTGTGAAATTCTTTAATCTACCTTTTGTGCATCAGGGCAGGGCACTGAATGAGAGGTTTTATTCTGAAAACTCCAGTACGTGTATTGACAATATAGTTAGGTGCATTGCACGCAGATACACAGATTTCCTTTCATGTTAGCAGCCTCAGTAAGATCCCCACACATTACGTGACTGCTAAGCAGGTGTATGCTCTGACACTTGTTTACAAGTTACTAGTTTTCACATTTGGATTTCTAGCCCTAGTGAAGATGGTTCACTGACCAGTGGTAGGGAATGTAAAGCTCCAGGTCTTATCTTTCATTTTAAAAGAATACACTGTGTAATGTGTTCCAGAGTCTCCAGGCTAGGATTTATAACAAATGACCCATATTCAGTGCTTTTCCTTCTTGTCACACAGCAATTTAACTCCATAAGTTTTCAGTCAACTACAGTTTCCTGTATTGTCCAAACTGGGAAACAATGGGTTTGGAACAAGGCAGACTTTTTAAAAAATCTTCAAATTGTGGTTTAAGATCCTGGCTTGTTCTAAAAGTGGAACAAGGCACTGTTATTAATTGAAGACATCTTAGCTTACCGCAGTGTGCTGATGGAACAGACTCTGCGAACATGAAACACTCAGGCAAAAGGACTCATTCATATCTTTGTTTACTAAGCCGAGACGGATCCATAGGAATGAGCTGTGTGCTTGTAAATAAATAGCTGAAGTAAATGGTCCTGAACCTTGCTGCAACAAGATTTAAGAGGAGCATTTTGTTTGACCTCTAGTGTCTGAGCTGTGAAATTGCATCCTACTGCTAATGTATTCCTTATTTCAGAAAAACCTGTCTCCCCAAAATCAGGAAGCCTGAAGAGTCCACCAAAGGGATTTGATACATCTGCAATTAGCAAAAGCTATTATAATGTGGTGAGTAATCTTTATTTGAATTTCTTGTGCACTACTTGTCCATAGAATCTTGCTTAAGGCTAGAGCACCGAAGTTGATGATGTCATGGTTTGGTGTGGGTTTTTTTATTATTATTTTTTGCAAATGATATTCATCTGCAGGATCTGGGCACCTTAAACCATTATTTGCTAAGCTGCAGAGAGCCCACTAGCCATGTATTGTGGCAAACCAGGATGCTTGACAACAACTCCTGCCCGTTTTTGTATTCCAACATAGGCAAGAAACCAGAAAGCTGCCCAGCTCCCAGTATGCCACTATATGTGGCTTGAAGGCTCATAGGTTTACAGTCTTGGCTTAAAGAATTGGAACCCAAATGCTGAAGTGAAAGGCTGATGTTTAAATATCGGCCAGTATTTGGAAGAGCTGGCACCTTATATGCCTACTGGCACAAAATACTGTGGTACCTCGGGTTACATATGCTTCAGGTTACAGAATCCACTAACCCAGAAATAGTACCTCGGGTTAAGAACTTTGCTTCAGGATGAAAACAGAAATCGCGCTCTGGTGGTGCGGCGGCAGCAGCAGGAAGCCCCATTAGCTAAAGTGGTGCTTCAGGTTAAGAACAGTTTCAGGTTAAGAACGGACCTCCAGAACGAATTAAGTATTTAACCTGAGGTACCACTGTATATGATTCTAGTGATACAAAACAGCACAAGATGAATAAGGAAGAGCCCATGATCAAGTCTGAGTAGTTTCCAAGGACGTTATCCAAATAAGTCGTTTTGTTAGCGCAAGATCTTCCTGTCTGCAAAATGGAATCTCCTCCCTACATGCTTCCTGCACCCTCCCCGAATCTGCTTCGGAGGGTTGGGGGAAAACCCCATAGCAGATTTAGGGAGTGCAGGGGGAGAGGAGAAGACAAGGCATCCAATTACACAGGTGAATGTCTTTGCACTAACAGAACTACTTTGTTGAAGACCGCCCCAAATACCCAGCTCAGTTTGAAGACTGTCTTTGTGCAAAAATGAAAAGGTGTTTCCATAAGTAGTGGGTACTGCATGATTTGTGTTTATGCAGTGTGAATGATTGCGGTAGGGAGATCAGGTGGGAGCTGATGTAAGACAGAACTGGTGTGATGTGTATGTGTTGGTGGGGTGAGTGTGGCATATTTTGCGAGTCAGAATGTGCCTTGGCAAGAGGGCGGTTGAAGAGGGAATGGATGGTGCTTCTATTCAGGTGGTTATGGGTAGGAGAGAGTATGGGGAGTGAAGGGCGGGGAGGTCAGAGGGTTGCAAACCATACCCCCCTCTCTCTGAACTTCCACCCATCTTACAGATACTTGTTGGCCAGGCTACTGCATCCTGACACTTGATATGTTTCTTTTGTTATGTGCATTGTATTTGCTATCTTTTTTTGTAAACTATTTAGTCTTGATTTGGTATTAAGCAGTATGTAAAAAATGAAATGAAAGTCAAGAGGCTGTGCTCCTGAGCTCTCTTGTATTTGCAAATTCTTTTGTCAGAAAAGAGTGAGTGAGGGCTAATGCACACATTGCTATTCCTGTTCTCCTTATGATCTTCATAGGAAAAGGAAGGAAGGTTTTTGATGTGTGCCTTAATAGCACCTGAATCAGGTGTTTAAAGGAGCTTTTCCAGTTCCACATATTGGCCGTGTCATACATTGGGAAGGGAGTGCACCATCCTCATGTGATTGTGGAAGAGCCCTGTTCCACCACACAGATAATGCTAAATATACAATGGATACATTCCATAAGAATGTCTGATCAGTGATGTAGAGGCCTAGTCTGTGCAGTTTTTCCCTCTTACATGGAATACTTTTATTTCTATTTTATTGATGTCACAGAAGGAAGAAGGCAAGGTCTCTTCTGCACCTTGCAGGAATGGTTCTCCGTCACCCAGACTGGGACTTAGACTTACAACTGTATGTTCAAATCTTATGACAAGACGCCATCTTTGGCCATTTTCTCTCAGGACTTCTTCCTGTGGAACGATGGTGGCGGTTCCCCTACATCTGTTTGTAGGGAGCCTATTTATGGCCTTCCTCCAGATGTTGTTGGACTCCAGTTCCCATTTCCAGCAGTCAGCTGGCCAGCGTTCAAAGATGATGGAAGTTGTAGAACACCAATATCTGGAGTCCCCTGTGTCTCCTACCATTGCCCTCCTCAAAGGAGGTTATTCCAAATGAATTAAGAAAGGGAACAATTGAGCCGATTGGGATAGTAATTTTTTTTTTAAACAATGTTTGAAAAGTGAATATGTAATATGCAAATTTTAGAGAACTTCACTGATGAAATGTAACTTGCACTCTTGATGAGGGCACAAAATCTAAACATTGCTGAAAAATATTAAAAGGGTGCTTGTCACAGCTGGAATGTTAGTCTTTGAGAATGCTGAGTAAATCTGTCACTTGTCTCTCACTTGGTAGTTGACATGTGAATCTGTGAAGAGTATTTCTTGGGGAAAGCTTTTTCATAATGACTCCCAGGGTCCAAAAACATTCCTCGTAAAATTCAGAAAAGTCGCTGTGAAGTTATTAAACTCAGCCCACATTTTTCATGGCTTTGTTTTTGTGTGTGTTTTTTTAAAAGGAATGTTCACACATGTTATGAGTTGCGTGTAAACGGACTTGATGAAGATTTCCTAAAATAGATCAGGAGACAGGCCCCTGTAATTTTGTGGACTTTTAGCAATCTCTTGTATAGTGTTGAATTTGGTTTTATCTGTTATTATCTTGTGACTATTTGAAATTTGTCTATTTAGAGATACACACCATTATTTCTGCATTACATATTTTTGACTTTTTATTCTGCATATTCTCAGTTCTTCTGTTTCTAGGATGGGCGGGGGGAAAGTATATGCTATTACATGCAAAAATAAAATAAAAAATAATAATGCAAGGATCTATTTTGCTCCAAAAAGTTTTTAGGTACTTAGGCAGCTTCTCTTTATGATTGTGTATCTCCCCCCCTTTTTTTTTTAGTGTAGTGGAAGAAAAAACATTGTAAAGTGGCCCTAAGTTTCCTTTCACCTGATATCAAAACAGTCATTTAAGCAGTTTTGTTATTTATTCTTTTGAATAAAAGAATAGTCAAAGTTAGGGATGATAACTGGACATTGTGTGAGCGAACTGTTAGACATACTTGATATTTTTCTCCCCTCTTGTGACTGAGGGAATAGCTCACACTGAATGAATCCAGCTCTTTATGCTTTTCATTTGTGTGCAGACTGCTAAAGGTTACCATGTCTGTGAAAGCAGCCCACAGTTGGTACCTAGTTCCATCAGATGGTGATGGAGCTTTTGGAACGGGGTCTTTGAAATTTCATGGGTTCTTGCAGCAGCCAGAATGTGCAGAAAGCAGGAAAGAGGAGAAAGGTGATTATTAGAGCAGACAAGCAGGGTGGCGAGATTAGAAACCGTGAGGTGCAGCTATGCTGAATGTGAAGTATTACTATGTTTGATGCCTTGTAACCTCCAAAAATATTGTAAATGTGAATTGTCTGCCTGGGAGGCAGGTAAGTGAACTTGAAGCCCATCCAAAAACAGTGAGACGGAAAGAAATTGTGAGAATTGAGAACTTTCTGCATAAAAATCAGTATGAATCTTGAAAGTCAAAATAGACTTTTTTTTTAAATGGTACTTCATGAATGCAGGTAATGTAAAGGAGAATTATTTAAACTTCGGGAACATGCTTATTTGTGGGAATTTAATTTACACTTAGCCGAAATGCAGCTCTGTTAGCTGCTGGTAATTAAGAAACTGTGTTACACAGCATGTTTTAATTTAGATACGGTTTATTTTCTCAGATTAGCAAATATACTGTGTGCATTTTAAAATTAAAAACAGTTAATTTAAAAAAAATTAAGAGTGGTACTATTAAGCATCTCTTAATAGGATCACTCTTAATTCAAAGACTAATGCAGTTAATTAATGTTTTTTCAGAGATCAGATCATGAGAATACACCTTGATGACTCCTGCTTAAAAATGATGCAAAATAGTTCCAGTGTAATACTTGAAAGCCTTATAAAATGTTTCTGCTAGATGCTTATTTAATACCCCCTTCCCCACATACAAGGCAACTTTTGCTGATTGTTGGTTTTGTAATGCAGCAGGCAACAGGTTTCTATGCATCGCCTAGTTTTGCATGCGATAGTGTTGTGGTCTGCTGATGTTTCAACACTGTCTTTTCTTTCTAAGATATAATTTATTAATCTTTCTGCTTCTTGTGTGCAAGCCAGTACTTTCTGACTGACTAATTAATAGCTTATGTGTTCTTTGTGGCATCTGTCCTTCGTAGCGCTTCTTGCAAAATGGAGACATTTTAATCTTCGGGGCAGGAGTCAAGTTACCAACAAAAGAATGAACTCAGAAATTGTCTCTCCCCCCCCACCCTCCGCGCCCTCTCTTCAGCTGAATAGGCCTATTCAAAGGAATAAAACTGAGTTCAGCAACACTAATGAAAGAAGCAGTGAATTCTCCGTTTCAAATAGTTAAGCATGCCACTTGTTTCATCAGGTTTTCATATAGACATCTGGCATGAATAATGGTTTTATGCCCATACCAACTATAAACTGCTGTATTGAATAATGTAGTTAGGCTAACGACATCCTAAGATCATGGGGGTCCTAGGAGATCAATTGCATTATATTGGCCTTCCCAAAGTAATAAGAAATTGGGGGTTTAAAAGGGAAAGTAGTGGTAAAAACGGATAGCTTATTCTTGCAGATTGCAATGCTCTTAGCAACTATTGAAAACTACTACATTTCCCTACTCCTAGGGCAGTTCTGTTGTACACCTAGCAGTGTTAGAAACTCATATATAAGCTAGGTGCTAAACGGCTCCTTAAAATGTCTGGTTGCCATTTTTGGGTAAGACATCTCCAAAGTCTTATTTTTCAAATGATGGACTGACTGTGATTGATTCTCAGTTAAACATCTGGCTAGGTCAGGCGACAGCCTTGAACTGGGTTAAGAGCTTTGAAAACTTAAAGAAGAAAAGTCACTTGATCCAGGGACAGTCCTCATATACAGTGGTACCTTGGGTTAAGTATTTAATTTGTTCTGGAGGTCCGTACTTAACCTGAAACTATTCTTAACCTGAAGCACCACTTTAGCTAATGGGGCCTCCTGCTGCCACCACACGATTTCTGTTCTCATCCCGAAGCAAAGTTCTTAACCTGAGGTAATATTTCTGGGTTAGTGGAGTCTGTAACCTGAAGCGTATGTAACCTGGAGCGTATGTAACCTGAGGTACCACTGTATATATATTGGCCTATTCAGACCTCTTTTTCTGAATGGTGACTGCTCCCACTCAGGCTGCGCAGAAAAAGCACTTGGGTTCCAGAAATTCATTCCGATTGTGCAGATAAAATATAATTGATTGTGGTATTAGTGTGCGTAAACAGCCCAGATCCAATGCATGCATCTCCAGGCATGCATCTCCAGATGGTGTAGATGTCAGGAGGCATCCTGGTGCCTGGGCATCTTCACTTGGTCGCAAAATGCCCCTGCTAATTTCAAACACTGACATCTAGCTGCGCCTTCACTCTAGTGGCTGTGTGTGTGTATAATGTTAGACAAAGGTGTGAGAAAGAAATTCAGGGTTGCAGTACAATGAGATTTGGAGTTTCCGATATCACTCCTGTGTGCCGCTGTTTGTAGATTGTGGCAAAAACCACACCCAAGGCAAGAAGGAGAGCTGCAGAGCAGAGTACCATCTCACACCTTTTAATTTCTAGCACACATTTGTCGAGAAATATTAGCCATCGCTGCCTTAAATAATCAAGGTGCTATAAGGAAGATATGCCAGACATATTGCCCTTTGCAGGCAGGATTTTTTTCCAGCCCTAACCTGGAGATGCTGAGGATTAAACCTGCAAAGTGTTGGTTCTACTACAGCCCTTCCCTACCATTTTGACCCTTAAAAAACGTGCTTTTTTTTTTTCTACGCTAATTGCTTACCTTTAATCAAGTGCACACTTCTTCCTCTCCTATTTACAGTCAAACTATAGAAAACAATATTGGTGTCTTGACATTTTGGTTTCCTCCTCTCTGTAGCTTTAACATGACAGTCACAGGCTTTTTTTTAATGTATTATAGGTGCTACAAAACATTCTAGAGACAGAAAACGAATATGCTAAGGAACTGCAGACCATGCTTTCTAACTACCTGCGACCCTTACAAGCTAGTGAAAAGTAAGTACATCTTGCCGTTGAAAAACCTTATTTGAGCCACCATGCATCATGGGCAGTGTAAGTTGCTTAAGGACGCGGGTGGTGCTGTGGGTTAAACCACAAAGCCTAGGACTTGCCGATCAGAAGGTCGGCGGTTCGAATCCCCATGACGGGGTGAGCTCCTGTTGCTCTGTCCCTGCTCCTGCCAACCTGGCAGTTCGAAAGCACCTCAAAGTGCAAGTACATAAGTAGGTACCGCTCCGGCGGGAAGGTAAATGGCGTTTCCTTGCGCTGCTCTGGTTTGCCAGAAGCGGCTTAGTCATGCTGGCCACATGACCCGGAAGCTGTATGCCAGCTTCCTCGGCCAATAAAGCGAGATGAGCGCCGCAACCCCAGAGTCGGTCACAACTGGACCTAATGATCAGGGGTTCCTTTACCCTTTACCTTAAGTTGCTTAAAACCTGCTCTGCGAGGCTATGGTGAAGGGCAGGCAATAAATTCAAAAAGCATTCATAATAGTAGTAGAATCCTAGAATTGTGTTGGAAGGGACTCTTGAGGGTCATCTAGTCCAACCCCCTGCAATGCAGGAATTTCAACCCTCAGGGGTCATAGTAGTACTCTGTGGCACTGGAACAGAGATGCACACAATATTATATCTGTTGTTTGGAGGCTAGTATTGGGGGGGGGGCACTGTAGAATTTATATTGATCCTGATCTTTCCTTTTGGCAGTGTGTTGAATTAACATTCTGTGACATCACAACCAATGGTTCCAAGGGCTTATGGGTGAAAGAGACCCTGATTTTTAGTTTGTTAGAGGTGTATATTGTGGGAATTAGACTTTAGTTCTTATTTACAGAGAACTATGTGTATGTGGGTTGTTTGACCCTTTAATTCTCTTTTCCCTCCTGTTAAAAACTACGAAAGATGCTCTCTTTTAAAATTGAAAGAATGTATAACTTTTACCTGGTGTACTTGCAGTTACGGTGTAAAAATATATATACAGTGCAGGTGGATTTTTTTTTTTAGTTGCTAAAGCACCTTATGTTGATTAAACTGTTACAGACGAACAAACATTTACAGACTGACTGATAGTCTGAGGCAGACAGCAGCACAACACAACATAACCTGCTGCTTTAACTGTTGGGAATCGCAATAAATAAGATGAAAGATATATATATATATTTATTAAAAGATGATCCAAAAAGAACTCCCTTAAGAGAATCAAGTCTTTTTGTCTTAAGACAGTCTTTAAAAGAATCTTTCCAAAAAAATTTTTATAAAATAATTCCAGTAGCACCTTCAAGACCAACTAAGTATAAGCTTTCTAAGTATGAGCTTTTGTGTGTATACACACTTCTTCAGATACTCTGAGGGAGAGGTCGCTACATCCTTATAACTGTTGATGGCTGTTAATGATGGCAGATGGTTCCACAGGGATGGGCAAGGGATTTTTAAAAGGACAGATGACCAAAATTAGCTTTAGCATGTATAATGGGACATGAATCCAATATCACTATTCAGACCAGGTCTCTCCATAGTTTTTTAGTTTGGTAATGAGTTGTAACTCAGCAACTTCTCTTTCAAGTGTATTTCTAAAATTCTTTTGCAATAAGACAGCTACTTCATAATAAATAACAAGATGAAAGATAAAAAAATTTTTTTATTAAAAGATGATCCAAAAAGAACTCTCAAGAGAATCAAGTTGTTGAGAATCGCGAGACTGTTAATAACTGAACCAACTGAAATAACTGCTGCAGAGTGTATGACATCACAGGATTCTACAGCGGCTGTCAAGCATTATGCTGTTCTGGCAAGCTCCCTCTGCAAGTTAGCCCCAGAGAAGACGCCCCCCTCCCCGTTCCCCACCTCACACATCTTTTATGTATTGCAGAGGACTTTGGCATAGAATCATAGAGTTGGGTCATCTGGTCCACCCCCTGCAACGCAGGAATATGCAGTGAAGCTGGCTATGGGGGAAGCTGTCAATCAGAGCGTATGGAAAGCATCTTCTGGGATGTATATAGTGGGAAAGAGCTCTGGCCTGTCTCCCCGCCTCTCTAGCTTCCTGAGCCCCCAAGTGGGAAATTGGAGGAAAGGGGGGGGTCTGTGACGTCAGGGGTGCATGCGAAAGGAAAGTGATTTTATGCCTCCTATATTGGAAGCTAGTCTCGGCCATATAAGCAACACCAGAAATGATATGGGCTGTTTTTCGTACAAGTGCTTAATTTTCTTATTTTCTTTTTGGCTCCAGGTTAAACTCTACAGATACTTCATATTTAATGGGAAATCTAGAAGAAATCAGTTCTTTTCAGCAAATGCTTGTACAGTCTTTAGAAGAATGCACCAAGTATGTACTATTCAATCTAGCAAACCTGTTTATGTTTAACTGTTTAGAATGACACCTGGCATCTATATACATTTGTAGCCCATACGTTGATGTAAATGTGTAAATCTTGCAGTTCAATTGCAAAGTATGAACAAAGAACAGGAGTGACTTCTTCAAAAATAAAAAATAAAAATAATGAAAGTACTGTGCACAAACAACAACCACCACCAGTAGTTTTATGCAATGTGATAAAGGATATTAAAGTGGTGATTTTTATTCTTTTAAAAATACGCTTTCCAGCAGTAAACATTCTTGAAGTAAATAATTTCAAAACATTAAAGTTGGTGCAGCTGTAACAATTTTGACTCTTCAGTTAGGATCATGGGAGTCAGCTGTTGGGTTATTGTATCCCTGCTTCTAGGGGATGTGGGTGGCGCTGTGGGTTAAACCACAGAGCCTAGGGCTTGCTGATCAGAAGGTAGGCAATTCAAATCCTTGCGACGGGGTGAGCTCCCGTTGCTCTGTCCCTGCTCCTTCCAACCTAGCAGTTCAAAAGCACATCAAAGTGCAAGTGGATAAATAGGTGGGAAGGTAAACGGTGTTTCCGTGCACTGCTCTGGTTTGCCAGAAGCGGCTTAGTCATGCTGGCCACATGACCCGGAAACTGTATGCCGGCTCCCTCGGCCAGTAAAGCGAGATGAGCGCCGCGACCCCAGAGTTGGCCACGACTGGACCTAATGGTCAGGGGTCCCTTTACCCTTACCTTTTATCCCTGCTTCTAGCTTCATTCTCTTCCTTGCTGAGTTATCTCTCCTCCTCCGTGTTTGTCATCCTTATGGGCATTCGGCACAAAAGCAAGGACATCGATTGTAAAAAATAGAAGGCATCGCACCCCAAGTAACAGCAACACATAATGAGCTATCAAATATATAACAATTTTACAACAGTTTCCCCAACACTAGACTCCCAAAGCTACGCTTGGTCTTTAAGGTTACTAAAACAAATGTCCTTGGTGAATTTGGAATGCATTGCTCATTAAGCTTCAGAACATTTAAAAAATTACATTTACATTGCTTTCTTTCAGGTTGCCTGAAACTCAGCAGCGGGTTGGTGGTTGCTTCCTAAATCTGATGCCACAAATGAAAAATTTATACCTTGCGTACTGTGCCAACCACCCGTCGGCAGTAACCGTCCTCACAGAACACAGGTATGTGCATCAAGAACAAGAAAACCTTGTAAATTTAACTTTGTTTTTCTTTCCACTTTTTAATGGTGTTTTGCAAACAAATTGAGGTGTTTTATCAGGCACAAGACCGAAGATGAAGTGGCAGCAGATGTGAGCATCAGTTTTGAAATCAGCTTTTTTTAGTGGAGTATTTGAAAATAGGCATGTAGATTGATTTCAATATAACTTGGGGCTCGTTAACACTTCCACTTAGAATCATAGTGTTGGAAGGGACCACGAGGGTCATCTAGTACAACACCCTGCAATGCAGGAATCTTTCACCCAACATGGGGTTCAAACCCACAACCCTGAGATTAAGAATCTCATACTCTGCCAACTGAGCTAAGTGTGCATCACTTGTCCTGTAGCTTGTAGGCATTAGTCAAATCAGTTTAGCCTTTGCCCCACCACCTCCCCCCAGAAAACATGGTCTTTATTGCTAAATTGGAACAAACATCAGTCCAGAGAAAACCCAATTGATACTTACTCGTATTTAGTGGTAAACGGCAGGTTTTCTTAGAGGAAAGAGGCAGTAGTGTGGTTGAGTCCTTACTCCTGAGGGAGTGTGCACAGGTTTGCAACCTTACAAGTCCTGTAGTGCTATTCATATTTAGTTCAGTGCCTGAAATAAATCAAATACTTTTTATTCAGGCACATGACAAAGGCTTTCTTATTCCGGCAGGCATTTTAAGGTGGCGGTTGTGTTACTGTCCAGTTTCACAATGAATTTTTATTGTTTTAATCTCTTGTGTGATCTATTTTTATATACATCACTTAGAAACGCTCAGGATTCAGCAGTCCATAAAATGCCTTAAATCATTTTGTTCATTGGATGTGTGAGATAATAGTTACAGAGGTAGTTCAGGCATATGATACCTTGGTTCTAAGTCGGGGATAAGCAACCTGAGACCCTTGAAATGATGATGGGCTCCAGCTTCAGCTAGTGTGGCCAGTGGCCAGGGATGATGGGAGTTATAGTCTGGCAACATCTGGAGGGCCACATAGGTTTCCCACCCCTGCCCTACATGAACTAGACTAGGAGAGTGGCTATGTAAGCTCTCAGAATACTTAGAATTAGCCAAATGGACAGACATAATAAGACAAAAACCAAAAAGTGAAGTAAAAAAAGAATGGGAGTGCCTAAATGAATACCTCAAAAGTCAAGGTTCGAGGGCAGAAATCTGGCTGAGTCTGGAATAACCTTGTGAAGTGAAAGGATATGAAAGAAGGATTTATATGTAGATGTTAGGATAGAGATGATAAAGAAAACAGGAAAACAAGAAGACACAATGAGAGATAAAGGAGGTGTTTTGGGATTGGTGGAAGTCAATGTCTTGTTGTTTTAGGGTTTATAATATTAACTTGTAAGATGGATTTTTGTTTTGTTTTGTTTTTAGTTTTCGAATGTTGATTTTTGTGTGTTGCGTATTGTTATTTTTTAATATCTTTCGTGTTGTTGTTGTTGTTGTTGTGTGGAAAATACTAATAAAATTCATTTTTTAAAAATAAAAAAGGTAGTTTCCAACACTTGCATATTCCCTCCTTTTCCTCCACTTAAGCACTTTGAACAGTGCATTGTTAATCTATGGAACTCACTGCTCCAAGATAATGATGGTGGCTTGTATGGCTTTTAAAGGGGATTAGATGAATTCCTGGATGATAGAGCTATCTCTGGCTGTTGGCCATGACAACTATATATGGAAGCTCCATGTCTAGGGGCAGTATCCCCTTGAATGCCAGCTGCTAGGGAAACAACAGCAGGCGAGAGCTATTGCATTCAAGATCTGGTTGGCCATTTTGGGAAGCAGAATGCAGACTAGATGCAACTTTGGTCCAATCAATCAGAGTTGTTCCTTTTCTTAGGCAATTTATTTTAAAAATTGAGAAAATTTCTAAAGTGCCATATTAAAAGTTGGAGTACCTGACTAGGGCTAGGATTTTCTGTTTCAATTATATTTGCTTAATGCATTAAAACTGAAATTAAACCATTGTGCTTTTGGAATGGTGTGATCGAATGGCTGAATGTTGGGTGGGATGTTACAATAAGTAAAAGTAATTTTGCACAGCCTGTGGAAAAACATGATTCTTTCTGAGGATTCCAGGCTAATGCTAGCACCTACGGTAGCAATCTTTATAATATTTTCCGGTGTGTTTAATTCTGTGGCTGGAAGCACAGTGTTGACACTTCCTAATATATATTTTTTTACTTCATTTTCAAAAGACGCACAGTGGTTGAGTGTATTGAGGCTTTGGCTACATTCCTAAGGTTCAGGGGTTCAAGTTCCACTCAGTGTTGTTATCAAGAGCTGTGTCAAGCCTACTGTGGGATTGATTGAATGTGATTGTGCTTTGAGTATAATAGACAGTAGAAACTAGCTTGCCACAGAAGTGCTTTCATTTAAAACAAATAGATTTTAATAATAAAATTTGAGGTCTACATCACTATCCTTGGTCAGATGAATAGGGTTTCCATTTCCTGATACCCGATGTTTTGAAATGATTATCTACGGACCAATAGGGCCATTAATTGATTCAGCTTATAACTATATTATTTTAGACTTGGAAGGAATGTGGACATTTCCATCCATCGTTAGCCCTCACTCCTTATTCAGAAACCTGTAGTTAGCCACATATCAAAGTAACCTGACTATTTCTCACTTTGGGAGTTCTTAACACCCTCTAGCAGGATTGTCACTTGGTTTAAAGCAATCTTAGGTCTTTACTTAAGGGACGGGGGTGGCGCTGTGGGTTAAAACACAGAGCCTAGGGCTTGCCGATCAGAAGGTCGGTGATTCGAATCCCCGCGACGGGGTGAGCTCCCGCTGCTCAGTCCCTGCTCCTGCCAACCTAGCAGTTTGAAAACATGTCAAAGTGCAAGTAGATAAATAGGTACCGCTCTGGCGGGAAGGTAAACGACGTTTCTGTGTGCTGCTCTGGTTCGCCAGAAGCGGCTTAGTTATGCTGGCCACATGACCTGGAAGCTGTACGCCGGCTCCCTTGGCCAATAAAGCGAGATGAGCGCCGCAACCCCAGAGTTGGTCACGACTGGACCTAATGGTCAGGGGTCCCTTTACCCTTTACCTTTAGGTCTTTACTTTAAAATGTTTTTGTTTTAGTACCTTGCCTTTCCATAAAATGAGCAAGCCAATTCAAATGTATGAATTTAGTTGGTTGAGTTTAATTATATACAAATAAAACAAAACATTTGAAGAAGTTCAGACAAGGGAAACAACAGGGTTCCCTTGTTGTTTAGATTATGGAGGCAACATATTAAGAGGAGGCCTTCTGTTCCTCTAGGGAGGAGAAGAAATGCTACTTCTAGGCTGATGCCTGCCATGCACAATGTTTGTAAATTATTGTACGTAAAAATATTTATAGTCATGGTGCAAATGTAACCTTAGATGAGGTAAAGTGATCAGAATCAGGCTGTAGGATCATACGTTCTTTCCCCAGAGCGTCTCATTTTTGTTTTAGACCAGGGATGGGGAACCTGTGGCCCTCCAGATGTTGTTGGACTCCAGTTCCCATTGGCCCCAGCCGACAAGGCCAGTGGTCAAGAATGATGGGAGTTGTAGTGCAGCAACATCTGGAGGGCTTACAAGTTCCTCATCCCTGTTTTGGACATTTCCCTCCCTTCCCTCTTTTGCACTTCACCATGAATTTGACCCAAGGAAATATCACTAAGAGCGGATCTGCTTTAGCGTTAACTGTGATTAATGACATAACCCTTAACCACTATGGAGAAAAGGATTGTCGGAAAATTTGCATATGAGGTGGAGAGCTGCAGCTTACTCTGCCCCCTTAACCATAGTTAAAGGTTACATCTCCATCAGTCTGAGGGACGTGGGTGGCGCTGTGGGTTAAACCACAGAGCCTAGGACTTGCTGATCAGAAGGTCGGCGGTTCAAATCCCCGCAACGGGGTGAGCTCCCGTTGCTCGGTCCCTGCTCCTGCCAACCTAGCAGTTCGAAAGCACATCAAAGTGCAAGTAGATAAATAGGTACCGCTCTGGCGGAAAGGTAAATGGCGTTTCCGTGCGCTGCTCTGGTTCGCCAGAAGCAGCTTAGTCATGTTGGCCACATGACCCGGAAGCTGTACGCCGGCTCCCTCGGCCAATAAAGCAAGATGAGCGCTGCAACTCCAGAGTTGTCCACGACTGGACCTAATGATCAGGGGTCCCTTTACCTTTACCTTTACCCATCAGTCTTACTGATGCAGCCTCAGTTAAATCTTTACCAAAGGCAGAAAAGTCTTAAAACAAAGGTAAGAATACTTTCCGTGGAGGCAAATGGAAGCAATCTTTTTCCAGCATTAACCCAAATGAGAGAGCAGATTATAAAAAGAAACTACAACCAAGCACGACACTCAAGACTTCTGCATTCTTCAGGCTAAATATTGCATCTGTAGAACTGGAGCAAGGCTTAAAGCCACTTTTTCTTTTAAAGTACAGTTTAACAGAGTGTTAGAAGATCCTGTAGCTGGAACCTGATTTGAAATTACTTGATTGCATTTTTTAACAAAAACAGATTTCGAAATGTGAAGCTTAAATAGCATTTATGGAAGATAATGGGAGCATGGAATACAGATAAGCATCTGAGTCAGAGAACCTTTTGTCCCTCCTCCACTTTGCTTCAGAAAAAGGGCTGCTAACATAGAGGGTGATGTCATACTTGAAGCAACAGCCCAAGAATAAGGCATTCTATCTAGAAATGCTGCACTAGAGACAGTAAAAAGCTTAGAGTCATTAAGTGAGCCAAGGGTTTAGTGGAGGGTTTTCAGCATGCATTGTCTATGTGACATATTTAGACCTTTCAGCAGTGAGAGTTCATGTTCCGTCTACTATAGACAGGAATTGGAAGTGTAAGTTGCAATTTTAAATGTTTCTTTTCCCATTTGTTTGTTCATTTAATGCTAAGAGTTTTCCTGTTGTTCACATGGTTGTAGGTGCTTTGAGGTTTTTAAAGATACTCTTCCTAGTTGTTGTTTTTTAGTGATTTTACATGTTAAAAATGTTGTTGGTTTGGATCCCTTTTAGAGGCAAATTGCAAATTCTATTTTAATACCTTACTAACCTAGGAGACTTCACGAAGCACGGATGATAAAAACAGTTCTCAGGACTATCTTTATAGGAGAGGTTTCAAAAATTCCTTGATACCCAAATTTTGTAAATGTATACTAGCTTCGTAATAATATTTATGCTTATTTATTTTACATACCTAGTCTGTTTTGGATAGATTTAAGATTTTAATAATAGGCCTATTTGTTTCTTGGCTAAACTACTATCTCTTGCATATCTCATTTTGTTTCTTCCCTGTGTACTGCTTTAGCTAAATATGGAGTGGATTCATTGTGAAATATTCAGCAGCATTTGGACAAAAGTGCATATTATAAAAACTTAGTGTCTTTGTTAAAACAGCTGTGATCTTGAACTAACCACACTGATTTGTAGATGTAATGGTTGTTGAAGGAAATAAATTAACTATGCATAGTCTTTAAATAGTTCATTAATGGCAGTTTTTTTAAAAAAAAGAAAAGTTCTTTCTTGATCAGAACACTATTTAAAAGATTCTATTTTTAAGTGCTTGGCTAGTTGATTCTATCCCATGTAGTGAGTTTTGTAGCTAAAGCAGGGCTGTGTTATGTTTGAATATACACAGACTCTTGAATATAAAAACTGTTTCTGCTCTGTGTACTTCACATTTTGTATATAGCGTATGTACATACAGCCTTCTGTCAAGCACATGTCCATGAACATATTGGTGGTGGTGTGGACCATTTTTATGGTCTTAGGGATTTGGTTTAAACACAAAATGAGGAAGCTTGATATTACTCCTGAAATCAAAACTATATTTTCCTGAAGTGTTGCGGTAGTAGGAACGTGTTGCAGCTAACCTTGGACTTTCTTGGCAATGAGAATGTTCAGTGAGAAGGACGCATTTGACTCTTCAGTGTATGGATGGGGAAAGGTCAGTTCAGACTTACAGAATCATAGAATTGTCAAGTTGGGAGGGACTCCAAAGGTCATGTAGCCCAACCCCCTGAAATGCAGGAGTCTTACAGCTCTTACTATCAAAAAAATCTTTCTGATGTTTAGTTGGGTTCTTCTTTCTTGTAACTTGAATCCATTGGTTTGAGTTGTACCGTCCAGAGCAGGAGAAAACAAGCATGCTCCCTCTTCCATGTGACAGCCCTTAAGATGTTTGAAGATGGCTATCATATCTCCTCTCAGTCTCTTCTTTTCCAGGCTAAACATACTCAGCTCCCTCAACCGTTCCTCATAAGGCTTGGTTTCCTGACCCTTGATCATCTTGGTCGCCCTCCTCTGCACACATTTCAACATGTCAACATCCTTCTTAAATTGTGGTGCCCAGAACTGGGCACAGTACTCCAGGTGTGGTCTGACCAAGGCAGAATAGAGTGGTACTATGACTTCCCTTGATCTGGACACCATACTTCGGTTGATGTAGCCTAGAGTAGCATTAGCTTTTTTTTGCTGCTGCATCACACTGTTGACTCATGTTAAGCTTGTGTTCTACTAAGACCCCTAGATCTTGCAAGGAATCATAAGAGAACCTAGCAGAGGAAAGTTTTGGGAATTCCACTTGTTGGATTGTTATTTAAAGCATGACAATAGTTAAATGCAACATTGCAGATGTGTAGGTAGGCTAGACTTCCTTTTAGAGGAATGTTGTGACTTAGCTGAAAAGGGTGTGTATGTGTTGATGGTGGGTGTGCCAACATACAATGCTTTCTTGACATTCTCTCAGTTGTGCTAAAGTGGATTAAATGCTGTGGGAGATTTGAGGCTATTCAAATGCAACTGCGATGGCGGTTCTTAAAAATGTACTTTTTATTTGTGTTTCTTCTGGAAAACGTTCAGTAATCTATTATTTAACTTTGTGTTCCGTGTATTTATATATTTAAATTATCCTTAACCCTTCTACATTAACATGTTGTCCTGAGTATATCTTAACTTTAAACAATAACAATAAAACAACAAATTAAACAAAACAATAGCATAAACTACAATCAATCAATAAATAAATAAATAAATAAATAAATAAATTAAAAACAGTAGATGAAAAAACGGCATTAAAGGAACCAGATCTTGAAAATACCTATAATTAGACGAAAGCAACTTTCAATGCCTGCTTAAAGGCCAGTATGTTCATTTCACAGTGTGGCTTGTTATTATTTTGGTAGTGTGATTTTCCCTTGATGCTTTGGCCCTGTGCAGATTTGCTTGGGTTTAAACACCATTGAACAACATAGTGCTTAATTCCAAGTACATGAGCACAGGGTTGAACTGTTAATCTTCTTGGACGTTAGCTCTCGTCATCAGTATGAATAATATGTTTAACATCACCTGAAATACTTGATTATTTATAGTGCTGGGAGTCCTAATTTTAGCTCTGAATTGATGCATTCTTTTCAATTGGGATTCAGAGAGAATTAAAGCTAAGCTTGAAGAACTGCTTTTCCATCAAAAAAATACGGATAAGATTAGGCTTGTTCATCTTTTATTTTATGAGGAAGCTTAGTCCTTTCTCAGAAAATGAAAAGCAGGCTATTGCTGAAGAAATGAAATGATTTATTTCTCTCTGGTTTGGCTGATTTTACTTCTTTGCTTTTGTTTTAACTTTAACTTCTTTTTTTATGAACAGTGAAGAGCTGGGAGAATTCATGGAGATGAAAGGAGCCAACAGCCCTGGGATTCTTGTATTGACCACAGGCCTGAGCAAACCTTTTATGCGCCTGGATAAATATCCCACATTGCTCAAAGAACTTGAAAGACACATGGAGGTATATCTCAGCAGCACTAACATTCCATCTTAATGATGATTTGACAATGATGACCTTAAAGGTGGATTTCAGGAATGATGAGTCCTAAAGGACATTACTATGGTCTCGTTCTTCTGATGTAAAGGAAGTCATAGTAGTCTGGAAGGATCAACTCCATTAGAGTTCTGGGGTTGTGTTTTCAAAGACAAAAATAAGATGCCCTGATCCTAAAACTGTGGCTTGCTCTGGCCTATAGTATGAGTGTATTGCCACATTTTATATGGCACTCCACCTGTTGCTTTTTTATTACTCCAGTCTCCCAAGAGGCACTTGCGGATGTCTCAGACAGGATGGGTATTTAACAGCAGTGCTGTAATGGTAAATCTTGGAAGTGCAAGAGGTCATAATGATGACCCCCATGGAAAGTCCAAAATGCAAGGAGCTGTTCTGATCATACCTGCCCAACCACATCAATGCATAGCGTAAAAGCCAATTCTTCAGGATTGGCTATAGCAGCCTTAGACTAGTGAGCTGACTTCATTCTCTGATTCTAATTTGTCACAAACAGTAGTGAAACCTGAAAGTCTTGATATCAGCCCACTCATTTTCTGGAGCAAGACACTCCCAACAGATGATGTCATCGCGCATTCTCTGGAAAAATTCCCAGAGCTGCACTTCCCTGTGTCTCCCCACTGTTACACAACTGCCTTGTTTGTGCTTCTCATATATGAATCTTGGTTGTCAAGCCTTGTTGGAGGCCTTTTCTGACATTCCTTTGGAGTTTTGCGAGCAGTTGTTGGACACCCCAGTGGACTCGAGGACTGTGCATCCCCATTGCATATGTGTTTTTCTCGGCACTCCTAGCTTACCATGAAACCTACATTGGCATAATTCTTTAATTTTAACATTTGGGAGCTGCCTCACCCCACTCCGCCATTCTTTGGCTATTTAACTGCTGTTCAACAACGTGTACAAATTCACAGTAGTAATTATTATTATTACTACTACTACTACTACTACTACTATTTATTTATTTATTTATTTATACCCCGCCCTCCCCAGCCAAGGCCGGGCTCAGGGCAGGTAACAAGCAATAATAAAAACAAGTTGAATGAATACAACTTAAAAACAAGATTAAAATACAACATTAAAATATTGAAACATTAAAATATTAAAATGCAGCCTCATCACAGGAGGAGAAAGGAAAAAGAAAAAAGAAAGAGGGAGAGGGAATCAAATTGGCTCCAAGCCAAAGGCCAGGCGGAACAACTCTGTCTTACAGGCCCTGTGGAAAGAAATCAGATCCTGCAGGGCCCTGGTCTCATGAGGCAGAGCGTTCCACCAGGCCGGAGGCAGAGTTGAAAAGGCCCTGGCTCTGGTTGGAGCTAATCTAACTTCCTTAGGGCCCGGGACCACTAGGGTGTTGCTGTTTATGGACCTTGAGGCTCTCTGTGGGGCATACCGGGAGAGGCGGTCCTGTAGGTACAAGGGTCCTAGGCTGTGAAGGGCTTTAAAGGTCTGACTTGTAGGCTTGGTCCTCATTACCAAACCTAGATTAACATATTTGGTTTGACAACGTCGTATAGAGTTGGGCTGAAAGGTTAGTTTCAATTTTAAATTACGATGAGACATAGAATTTTTAGTTGCAAGGGTCAAACATATTTTGATTAGCTTTAGGGCTGGAACAAAATTCCTTTTCCTCTTTACATCCAGTAGCAGCCAATGGAACTGTGCTGCTCTCCTGTCTTCTGAATATGTCAGGTCACACCTGCTTACCAAGAGGGAGAGGGGCAAGGCATTGAGAGCTTGGTATGGTGTAGGCACAGTAAGGACACAGCGTCTGGAGCATTGGGCTGGTTCTGCCACAGCGCCTGCACCACAATGAGCTCCAGCTGCCTTGCCTTTTTCCTTTTTGGTAAGTGACCCAGCATGTTCAGAAGGCAGGGCAGGGCAGTCCCACCAGCTGCTACTGTTACATCTACAGTAGTAAATCAACTTATTTTTAAATTGTGCGCCAGGGAAATCTTCCTCAAATTGTATTTATAATAAAGGTTAAAGGTAAAAGACCCCTGGACAGTTAAGTCCAGTCAAAGGTGACTATGGGGTGTGGCGCTCATCTTGCTTTCAGGCTGAGGGAGCTGGTGTTTGTCCACAGACAGCTTTCCAGGTCATGTGGCCTGGACACCGCAACAGGACACCGTGACGAGTGCCAGAGCGCACGGAAACGCCGTTTACCTTCCCTCCGCAGCGATACCTATTTATCTACTTGCACTGGCGTGCTTTCGTTTTTTTTTTATAAGATATTTATTGAAATTTTCAAAGTGTTACCAGATAAAATAAAAGCAGTAGAAAATACAAAATAAAAATAATTAACAAAGTAGAAAAAAAAACCCTTCCAACCATATGAATACAAATTCAAAAATAAGAAAATGTGACAAAAAGAAAAAAAATACATCACACACAATTAAAAAACATTTAAAAACAAATTCATTATTCTCATATCCTCAACTGTCATTACCTTCTTTCTTTGACCTCCTCCTTCTCCCTTTCTTTGTATCCTAGTTATTAATTATCCCAGCAAATCCTTTCCATATTTCATAATATTCTGTCATTACATTACCCTAAACTGTTTTAATCTTATCTTTCTATAATAAAATAAACCTTAAAGCTTAAAACTTAAATCTTATCCTTACCAACTTCTCATAACCATAATATTCTTTCATAATTCTTTAAACATCTTTACTAAAGCCAAGTAGTTTCATTCCAACATTTTTCTAACATTCATCAATTTTATAAAACAGTTCTAATGGTAGAAAAAAGAAATACAAACAAATCCAATCTTCATCCAACGTCCCTTCCTCCTGGTTCCGGGTTTTGTCAGTCCTTATTATCCCGTCGATCTAGCCCATTAACCTGGCAGCCTTATATCCGAGGCCCTCAAGTCTCTTCCATGTCCCTTCCGCAGCTCTTCTTCATATTTGTAACTGTATTTTCCCTTGTCTCCTGCTCGTGGTAACTCCAGCTTGGCAATATTTTTAACCCTTCTCGACAGATCAGCCCCTTTTCCAGATTCAACACTGAGTTCCATATGGTATTTAAAAGCATGTTTCAAAGACCCTCCGAAGTTAAGAGCCCCCACAATCCCAAACATCTCATGGCCCATTGTCAGATTTGAAAAGTCCAAACATCCCAGCATAGGGGGGGGTCAATCCAGCCCCCCATTTCCAAGCCAAACCAAACTTTTTCTTTCCAAATCTGGCTTTTTCCAAGTTCATTTGTCAAATCCGAAAACTCATATTCCTGTTGGGCCTGTTCTGTCAGGACACACTCCTGATTTAATTCCTGGGTGGGCTCCACATATTTTCCCACTGTCTGTTCAAAATTTCCCACTGCCTGTTCAAAATTTCTAGTCGAAGTCGCCATCCAATTCACCTTTTCATGTAATTGTTCCAGTAGGGCATTTGTTTTATAGAAAGCACACAACAAAGCTTCTGAATACATTGTCCTGCAAGGTCGAATGCCTGTTCCCACGATTGTTATCTGTAACAGCTGCCGGCTCTCTGGAGTTGGTAACAGTTACACAGTCTCCCTCTAGGGGGAAAACTTCTATTTGTTCCTGCAACAAAGTTTCCCTTTTTGAGATACTTTGTCAATATTTGTTGCTTAAAGATGCGAAGGGAAGCAGTGGAATCGCTATGTTTCTCTTCTTTTAGCTCTCTGTCAAACTGCTTGTCTCTGGTCAATGAACTTCAAACGTCAGTCCTGACACCCCGCTCCAGGATCAGGACAGAGGAAACTTTAAACTCACTTTAAACAGTCCGGAAAAGATCCCCCTCCTTCTCCTGCTGTCGAAGGGGGGTTCCACAATTTTAAATGATGAAATCCAATCCTTTAAAGGCGATTTTCTAAGCTCTAGTTTATGTTGTCTTTGCTTTATTCTGTCTACAGAAGAACGGAAGGCTGACTTCCTGTTTAGACCTTCCTGTTCCGTACCAAATTAAAATAGGTTTTTAAAATCCAATTCCTTTCTGCTCGCAAGTCCTTATCTAATGTCCAGTTGTTCAAAGTCTAAGTACTCACGGGTGCTTATTTTAGAGTCCAAATTGTCCCAGGAAAAAGGCAGCGCTCTCCGGCAACGGCTGTGCGGCTTCGCTCCACGGAAATAGCAATTGACTCACAGCACCGCGCCACTTCCCCCTCTTCACTTCGGAGCCCGTTAGTGGGTTCCTTAGCGAGTTGGGGGGGCGCTAAAGGTGCCCGCCGAGTCCCATGGTCACAGGCTTCATCCGCCTGTGATTTTTAAAAGGGTCCCCGCTTCGCCGTAGCGGAGAAGACCCGTTTCCCACGGAGCTAGTCCCTCCTGTTCAGAGGGAGTCCGCCATTGCCGATGGCGCCACCCCGGAAGTCCTGCACTGGCATGCTTTCGAACTGCTAGGTTGGCAGCTGGGACAGAGCAATGGGAGCTCACCCCATCACTCAGATTTGAACTGCCGACCTTCCGACCAGCACGCCCAAGAGGCTCAGTGGTTTAGACCACAGCACCACCTGTGTCCCCTTGGTATTTATATGGAAGTGAGTGAAGGATACAGATTTATGGCTAGTCCATCAGGCGAAGTGTCACCAGGCCAGTGGGAGTGAATGGGCTTATTTAAAATAAAATTTGTTCTCTGTTTCTGGCATGACCTGATCTAGAGGTTTGCTGCATTTAAAGCAGCGTAGGTGTGAGAAATGCATCTTAACATTTGATTTATATATAATACCAGAAGAATGTGTAAACCTTGTATAGAATGTAAAGTAAACTTTGTTCCTTTCATATTACATATATCTTGTAATGTTCTTTTAGGATTATCATCCAGACCGGCCTGACATTCAGAAATCCATGACAGCTTTCAAAAATCTTTCTGTAAGTTACATAGGTGATAAATGGCAACATACTAGTCTAAACATCATACAAAATAGTGTATGAGCGTCACGAGAGCACTTTGGGTGGGTATCATGAGGGAACTGTATTTAAAGATGAATCACTATGGAAGAATTTTTAAAAAGATGGTTCCACTGGAAACTCTGGTCTGGGTTCAAGGGACAGTTAGTTTATAGGATAAAAGGGGAGTCACATGGTACTACATGAAATACCATGACTCAAACCTTTTCATATAGAAATCTGAGTGAATTCCAGTACTATAAATCCATATAAGGATAAAAGCACCCATGTTGTGGTTGGTCCACATAGCCAGCTTCCTGTTTGATTGTGTGGTGTTAGGCTGCCTACACATCATTCTTCCCATGGATCTCTGGTCAACAGAATTTAAATGTGAACCTGGTCATTCAGAATGCAGAACTAGCAGGTGCTTTTCCTGTTTAAATTAGATATACTCCTCCTGTGCAAATGCTTAATATAGTAAAGTAGTTCGAGGCAGGCAAACTTGAGAAAGCGTTCTGCAGTTGAGGTTCACAGAGGGGAAAAGAAGCAAACCACAGTATGCTGAAACTCTTTAAAAAAGTTATTTGTGCTTGAAGTTTCTTGAGCAGCTTCCTTTGTTTAGGATGTTTCACACATTTCACACACCCTTATATGGCGATAAATGTCCTATATAATGTAATCCTTGGGTTAAAATTGATTGTGTTCTCTATTTACTGAGCACAGTGAATGAAAGGATATATACAGCTCTTTGTAAAATATTTCAGTTGTTAAAAGAGGACAAAAAGAATTGGTAAGAAGTCAAACCAAGTGTTGGAATATTTTGTGTAGAAACAGCTTAAAAACAAAACACTTGAAATGTCAGACTAGGACAGCTAAGTCATTATAACTGATTATACTTTAATAATATTTTTTCAAGTGCCTATAGGAGCTATATGTTATACATGAAACAGTTAAGTAGAGACAACCACTACCCATAGCTTGCAATCATAATGACACCTTGAGGAAAGGTAAGAGATGGACGTTAAGGGATTTAAAAAAAAAAGTCAAGGGAAAACAAAACTGTTTGGTAACCAGCTGTCCCACTACTGTTGAGGTGCCTCAAGTTTCTATTTTGGCTTCAAGTATAGAATAGCCTTTAAAGCAGCAATGATACAATGCATAGCCGTCTTAAGTAAAAAAAAAAAGAGTAGTTGGGATTTGGTGGTCTGGAGAGTTCAAGATGCAGTTACGTCTGTGAGTGTCTCTCCTCTTCTACAGCCAAATCAAATGAAAAGATCCAGGCATGGCGCTGAGTAACTGTTGTTTCTGGGCTATTTCAGTTGTGCTTGCATCCTGGCTCATAGTATTTTCTCCTGGTCCAATAGGCACAGTGTCAAGAAGTACGGAAAAGAAAGGAGCTTGAACTTCAGATACTAACAGAAGCTATCCGCTGCTGGGAAGGAGAGGACATTAAAACACTTGGAAATGTTATTTACATGTCACAAGTCATGATTCAGTGTGCTGGAAGTGAGGTAATGCAGCTCTGTTTAAAAGAAAACCCGAAGTGGTTGCCGCCCCCCTGTCGTGTTCGCGGGCCCCTATCCACCACCCCCAACCAGTCCTCCAAAGGGAGAGGACGCGAGGTGTTGCAAGTCACAAGCCAAACAGTAGAAAGCTGCCACCACCTCCTTTCCTGGGTCAACCCTCAAATGGGGTCCAAGGAGAAGAACCCCCCCTTCGATATTTACCAGGTTGCCCAGACCTGTGTCACTGTACCGTGACGCAGACAGTAATCCAACAGATAGATGCACCAAGGGTCAGGCACCAGTTTAGCTTCTCCGGCAAAAGGCACAAAATACAAAAGGCAAAAGTCCTTTTCCAAATTTATTGAAAAAGCCACTTGGAAAGTAAAAGCTTGCACATTTCTTGGAATGTTACAAACAAAAAAAATAAAAACATTGTACTGTGCAATATAGCTAACTACAACATACTCACAAAGCATCAGTAGTTCAAAGCATAGCAAGAAGTCACAAAGTCCATTCTTCTGGTCAAACACCTTCAGGCGAACACCAGGGCAAGATAGTCTGCAATTTTCATCTCAATTCCCCAAACTTTTATCCTTGAGAATCCCACATGGAGAAGGGGTTTAGGGACCAATCATTTCTTTAAGTTAATTACCAATGGCTATATGATGGGACTGTATCTCCTGATTGTCAGGAGGCCAGCACAGCTGAACTTTGTTTATGCTCAAAGAACCTTGAGATCAAAAGACCGCTTCTTTGTTCCCATTCTTTTCTGACATGTGCCAGGCTCTTGAGCTGTAAATTACCTGATAGCCTTTTCACATCCATTCCACATCTGAGCCCCCAGCTGCCAGAATTTACAAATCAGATAACATCTCCTTCCTGCCCAAGTCAGGATGCAATTTGAGTCACTCGTCTAAAGACAGGGTGGTTTGTAGAACCTAGACATCCATTCCCAGAAATTCACAGTTTTAACTCCCCCACAATGCCTCACTCTTGCATGAACCAAAGTTTAACGTACTAAGATTTCCTGACTTTACTACACCCCCGGATAATCTTGTTTTTAAAAAATGCCTGACATGCCTTAATATTACTAAAGCAACAACACATACCAGTGTTTGCGATCACAATATGCCATATGAAATTTTCTTTTGTCACTTAATTGTAACTTTGTATTTTAATGATTCACCTTCTCTCTCTCTCTCTCTTTCTCTTTTAATAAGGAAAAGAATGAAAGATACCTTCTTCTCTTTCCTAACATATTGCTCATGTTGTCCGCCAGTCCTAGAATGAGTGGGTTTATCTATCAGGTAAAACAACTTTTAGTATAACTTTTTCTGCATACTATGTTTATGTAATCTTTAGCTTTTGGAACATTTGTATCATATCCTCTGACTGATCCTATAAGGCAGAAGTGGGCAACATTATGTCTGAAGGCCAAAATGACCCTCTAGGCCTCCCTTCATGACCTTAGGACTCCCCCTCCCCCACATCATGCCCCCTTCACCATGCCTTCTTGGCACCCTCAAGTACTTTTGTGTGGCTCAGATGTGGCCTTGAATTGCGATAATGCCTCTTGCTTCGCTGGCGATATATATGTTTGTGGAAATGGCTGACCTTTGTGTGACTGGAATGAAGCCTACCGTACAGCAGCAAGAGTCACTTATTTGATTGTTAAATTTCTATACCGCCCTTCATCTGAAGTTCACAGGGCGGTTTGCAATATAAAAACACCAAAAAGTGCCACAATAGCAAACAAAAACAACACATCCCCACAGTTTAAAATGCTATAGATTGTTTAATTACCGTATTTTTTGCTTCATAAGGCACACCTGACCATAAGGCACACCTAGTTTTTAGAGGGGGAAATCAAGAAAAAAAATATTACCCAGCCCCAAAGAACAGCGTGTCTGCTTCTCCCAGAGCTTCTCGGGGCTGGTGGGGGAAGCCCGGGTTCCCCCCCCCAGCCCCAACAAGCTCTGGGAGTATTCCCCACCTCCCACAAAAGCCCACAGGAGCCGCGCACCCTTTAAGGAGCGCGCGGCTCCTGCGGGCTTTTCTACGAGGAGGGAGAAGGGACTGACTGGCCGCGTTCCACCACACCTTTGGCCAGGGCACAGCCTGACTCCCTCCTTTGGCAATCTTCACAGAACTCTAGCCCAGTGGTTGCCATCAATTTGATTTGAATTAATTTTATAATGAAATGATTTTAGAATGTTGTATTATTTTATTGTTGTTAGCCGCCCTGAGCCCGGCTTCGGCTGGGGAGGGCGGGATATAAATAAAAATTTATTATTATTATTTATTTTCCCTCCTGTGGAAAAGCCTGCAAGAGCCGCACGGCTTTTCCTGCCCCCCCCCCCGCATTCGCTCCATAAGACGCACACACATTTCCCCTTACTTTTTAGGAGGGAAAAAAGTGCGTCTTATGGAGCGAAAAATACGGTAGCCAAAGGCCTGGGAGAAGAGGAATGCTCTTGCCTGGCACCTCTAGATAGGTAACGAAGACGCAAGGCAAGTCTTCCTGGGCAGACCATTCCACAAGCAGGGATCCACTGCGGAAAAGGGCCATTCTCGTGTTGCTGCCCTCTCATGCTGCCCTTTTTCTGCTTCCACCTCCAACCACCATGAACATACAACCTCTGCAATGTTTCTCACAAGAGAATGTGGTCCTCAATAACTGAAAAAGGTTCCTCAGCCTGCTGCTACTGTGGTAGAGGTGCAAGTAAGGAGCATAAAGGCAGCACTGTGGATATTGAACATAAACCACTCTCCAAGAGCAAGCTGTGTCCCAATCTTTGCTTAACCACCCCCTGGCTCAAAAACAATTCATACGTTTGTTTTTATTCACTGAATGTATTTTAGGATTTATCAATGTAAATAAGCTCACAAAAGTTACTGATCTGCTGGGGGCTGGCAGAGAAGAGAGAGAGAACTCCCTTCTTTTTGTTTGGCAGAATGCTTGCTTCCCCGCATGCAGTTCCTTGTCACCCATGGCTCCTAGGCTAGTGCTTAAATACAAGGCTGCCATGTTTTTGGATTTTGTTTAAAGAACGGTTTGATATATCTACTTTTTAGGGGAAATTGCCGCTAACGGGCATGACCATTGCAAAGCTAGAAGACAGTGAAAATCACAGAAATGCATTTGAAATATCAGGTAATGTCCTTGTGCTTCCCTGTCTGGTTCTGTTTGTATCATTTTATGTGGCAAAATCCAGCTTGAAAAAATAAGTCACAAGACAGTTTTAAGTGACCTCTCTGGTCATACTGTTTATAATTTATTCATTTTTAAAATAGTATGTGGGTTTGTTTGTTTTTTTAAAAAAAGAACTCAAGACAGGCTTCGTCAATAAAAAAACCAGCAGTATACCAGTAAAATAACAATATGGTCCCGATGCCTGGAATTGTAATCCACTCGATCACTGGGCCAGCAATCACTTCAAGCCTTCAGCTTGCACATGCGAGGGGGAAAGTGGGTAGAGGAATAGGAGTATACATGTCAGCCCTGCTCCAATGCCTCCTTCTCCTCCACCCTGATCTTCATAAGTTTTCTGCAGTGCCCATTTGTGTGTCCCTTACCCTCTTTATATTTTTGCCATCACCTGTCCAGCTGAACACCTGAAGAGGGCTTTAGTGGAAGGGGATTTTAGTGCCTTCACTGCACTCCCCCCCAAGCTCTTGCAAACTGATTGTCTGTTCCAAAAACAGGGCAACACAGCTAAAAAGGTCCTCCCCAAAGTCACAGTAAGTCTGGGGTGGGGGGTGGGGCATTTGGAGCAAGGCTTCCTCAGTTGATCCCAGAGAGATTCACCAGAGGAACAGATATTCTGATGCACAGGGCCAGAGTCAGTGGGTGAGGAACACATGGCCCACCATATAATGCTGAACTACAACTCCCATCATCCCTAATCTTTTGCCATGTTGGCTGGGACTGATGGAAGTTGGAGCCCAATAACATCTGGAGGGCCATAGGCTCCCCACCCCTGATTTAGAGTTCCAGAGGTCGAAATCAGCACCTTGATTTGTGCCTGGAAATTATACAGCACAGGTATATTGAGACTTAACACCAGCTAAAACCTGAGCAAGCCATATTCTCTGCTAAGCAGAGTTAGCTGACTGTAGCACTCCAAACAAGAGTGCTGGTTCTTGAAGATGTAGTGGTGATTCTCTGTTGAGGTGGCCATCGTTGTGCAGGGGTAGTAGTGGTTCATAGGGAGAAAAACCCTAAACATCATATGTATTTGTATTTGTAACCTGCAAACCTCCCATATATTCTGTACCCAAGTATTACTCATCCTTAAAGGGACAAGAGAAATCTTAAGGAATGCTTGTTTAATTGGAATTCTTCTTCTTTTCTCATTCCCAAATTGTGGTAAGGTGATGTGGAGGAGACGCCAGATTCAGGAGAAGTGTGCTGATCCTTAAGAAGCAGAATATGTTCATTTGTTTGAAACACGAAAGTGTTTTGCCGTGTTGGCTGTTGCTAATGTGAGAATTCAGCACAACCGCTCTTTCCTTCTGTATTTTCTGTTGGGTTCCAGGAAGTATGATTGAACGGATATTGGTATCTTGTAACAACCAACAAGATTTGCATGAATGGGTAGATCATCTGCAGAAGCAAACCAAAGTGACTACTCTTGGGATGCCTGCTATTAAACCTCATTCTGTGCCATCTCACACGGTAAGAAGCCACCAGCCTTTAGTACCATTGGGTTTAAAATAGGTCATTTTTTCTGTGTTCCTGGAGACAAACGAATGCATCCTGATAATTTAATTGTAGTCAGTGTTGGAGCTGTGTTAAAGTAGGGTATTAATGAAATATTGTGATTTGTTTGGGGGAAAAGAAGCACGTTGTGTTCGGGCACAAAGATAAACCAAACTCTGATTTCTTTTGTTTGCAGCAGGTAGAAGCATTCGCATTCAATCATAGCTCATTTTAAACTATGGTTTAATGCGATGTGCTAACCATACCATAGTGTTAATAGATTGGTAAGTTCCAGCAAACCTGTTTTTAAGTCTTACTGCAGCAAATTTAATAACAAAAGCTTACTGGTGTAGGATTATACGTGGCATTCCCTTTTGATTGTTCTTTCTTTGCTTGTGTGATGTTTGTTCATTTTGGCAGCTTCCTTCTCATCCTGTAACACCATCCAGCAAGCATGCAGACAGCAAGCAAATGCCCCTGACTCCAGTATACCACACTCTTCCACATCCTTCACATCATGGGACGCCTCATACCACTATAAACTGGGGACCCCTGGAGCCTCCCAAAACTCCTAAGCCGTGGAGTTTGAGCTGCTTGCGGCCAGCACCTCCATTACGGCCTTCAGCAGCACTCTGTTACAAAGAGGTGAGCATGTGCAACCCAGTGAGAAGTCTAAATTCTTTCCAGGTCAGAATTCTATACTGATAACATAAAGGATTCCAGCTGAGATTCAGCTTGCATTGAATCAGTCACAATTAACCAAGGCTGTGCTTTCTAGGCAGTGAGTGGGAATATCTAATTTGACTTTGGGACACCATACACTTTTTCTCTTCAGCCATGTTTCTTACTGGAAGAAAGGATGGGGAAAAATATTTAATAGAAAGAGTAATGTTCTTGAAATGATGATGGATCAGACACTAGGGAAAAGGTGTCCTGTGTGTTGGCATATAAAAAGCAAATCCTCCTTCAGTTGCGCTTTCACTGTCTCCAGGCCACTTGCAGTTTTCCTCAGCCAAAATTTAGTATTGTAAAAATAGAAATTGAGACAGCAGGGTTCCTGTTTGCTCTGTTTCTGAATTTGCACTGGCCTTCTGTTTTCACCAGTAGTTTTTGCCCAGCAAATGTCTCTTGTAGTTTAATAGTTTAAACGGGTTTTATTAATAGCAGCTCCTAAAATCGACACACACAAATATCTTTAGAGCAGCAAGATTATATAGGAGTTCAAAATCTTTTTGTCTTGGGGCTTTCCTCCTCCAGTGCAGCTTGGAGGAAGATTACAATAGAGATTACTTTCTGTGCAAACCATTAGTATTATGTGCAAACAAGGAATCTTGATTTAGAAGAAACAATGGATAGTTGCTCAACAAGCCAGCATCATATGAAGCTTGGAAACTGAAAGTAAAATAGACGTAAGTCCTTCCAACATACAGGAGCGGACTGGGGAGTACATGAGCCCAACACTTCACTTGGGCATAGCCACAAAGTGATAAGCCCATGGTTCAGTGTTAGAGGCAAAGCAGCCCAATGGCTTATAACAGCAAACCACAGTGACCAGATATTGGGCTCATACACTTCCTCCTCTTCTTGGATATTCAGATTCCTTCTCCCTCTTTCTGATATGATCAAACCACAGTTTTCTGTTACATTGGAGCCAGGCAAAATTTGATCGAACTGGGAAGTGAGGGAGGTGGAATTGGGTGTACATGAGCAAAAGGGCAAGGAGAGACCCAGTGTGCAAACACATTTGACTCAGGCCATTCAGTAGATTTCTGTCATGTTTTACCACCACTTCCTTGTCCTCTTTTTTAACAGACGTCTAGTTTACAGAAGACCAGCATATCTTGGAATTCCTGTAAATTAGCTTGTTTGCTCAGCAGAACTGAAGTGCTCTGTGTCTGTTGGTCTCCTCTTTTCAGTGTCCTAATTTAATGCACAGGGTTGTATCATCCTATTAGCACAATAACTTCCACCTGTGCATTGGAACTTCTTCTCCCTCTCCTCACCTGTGCATTCCTACCTGCTTTAGGGCTTCTGGAGCAAATTTGGGGGTCACACAGGGAGAGAAGGGGGAGAGGAAGTACCTTGGTGGGGGCGGGATGATTTCACTGGATACAGCTGGAAATTTATTATTTGTCAACTGTTTGAAACCAAGGAAATGTGCCAAGTTGAATTCTCGAGGCTACATCCACAGTAGAAGGTCGCGGCTGGATCTAGACACATCAAAGAAGCGTTTCAGTTTAAAGCGTTGTAAATTTAAACAGGGAAAGCAGGTAGAGAAAAATAGGACTCCAGATCGCCATCTGGTGGCACAATGTTATATCGCACATACAACACATATACAGTCATACCTCGGCTCCCGAACACCTTGGGAGTTAAAACTTCTGGCTCCTGAACTATCGAAAACTGGAAATGATTGTTCCAGTTTTCAAATGTTCTTTTGGAAGCTGAATGTCCGACTGGGATTCTGCGGCTTCCGATTGGCTGCAGGAGCTTCCTGCATCCAATCAGAAGCCATGCTTTGGTTTCCGAACATTTCTGAAGTCAAACGGACTTCCGGAACGGATTCCGTTCGACTTCCGAGGTATGACTGTAAATCGCTTTTCTTTACCAGTCTAGCTGAGTCCCATGTTTCAGAAGACCAAAACCGGCTTATCATTTCTCCATCAGATTCTTATGATTCTTATGTTGTGATTTTAAATTGTAGTTATTTATGCAAACTTGATTTTTGTTAGCTACGTTTTGCACTAATATAAAAGTTGAATATAAACTTTAATAAATAAAGAAAAAAACACCATTTTTATTGTTATGTATTTCTAGGCAACAGCCCAGAATGGAGAGAAATGGTTCATGTGAATGAGAGTTTGTAATAGTGAATTGCTATTCTATTGGTGTGTTTTGATACCTTGACACAAGTAGGTTTTCACTGTGTTTGTATTTATCTGTGTCCCCCCCCCTTTTTCTTTTAACTCCAGGATCTCAGCAAAAGTCCCAAAACCATGAAAAAACTACTGCCCAAGCGAAAACCTGAACGGAAACCATCAGAAGAAGAGTTTTCGCTGAGAAAAAGTAAGTGTGTTTTGCTGTGTGGGCGAGTGAAAGCTTTTCATTCCTTCTTCTTAGTCCAAAAATTACTGTTGTTAAACAACTGGGAATCAGAATCTTTGCTGATTTACTGCAAACCACTTGGATCTACCATTAGATACCAATACCTTCTGCCCACCATATCCATATCGTTCTGCCCACCAAATACCTTCTGCCCACCAAAATCCATATCGTTCAACTTAAACTCACAAGGTCATTGGTTATATTGGTTATATGGCTTGCTCTCACTTCCTTTCATAAATGCAGGTATAATGAGCTGTACACATGTAAGTCACATTCAGAGCTAGGCCCATTAAAATCAGCAGACTTGAATTAGTCCTGACTAACTTAAAAGTCCTTTGATTTCTGCGGATCTAATCTTGAGCATGACTCATTTGCATACAGCTTAATGTTCCGACTGGGACGTGGGTGGCGCTGTGGGTTAAACCACAGAGCCTAGGACTTGCCGATCAGAAGGTCGGCGGTTCAAATCCCCGCGACGGGGTGAGCTCCCGTTGCTCCCGTTGTTCGGTCCCTGCTCCTGCCAACCTAGCAGTTTGAAAGCACGTCAAAGTGCAAGTAGATAAATAGGTAGCTCTCCGGCAGGAAAGTAAACGGCGTTTCCGTGTGCTGCTCTGGTTCGCCAGAAGCAGCTTAGTCATGCTGGCCACATGACGCAGAAGCTGTACGCCGGCTCCCTCGGCCAATAAAGCAAGATGAGAACCGCAACCCCAGAGTCGGCCACGACTGGACCTAATGGTCAGGGGTCCCTTTACCTTTAATGTTCTGAACGCCAAGGCCGCAGTCACCATTCCACAGTTAGTTGTTGCTAACAGGACTGCCCTGTGATAGGCAAGCTTTTTTACATTATCTCAGCAAGAAATTAACATTTCTCACATTTTGTTGCGTTGAATGATACCATGCTGGCGAAGCGGTAGGGACTAGCAGCACCATACTAGCAACAATAGTCACTGTGTGAAGTCAATCCACTGTAAAAGGTTGGATGGAGAATCACCTAGGGGTATACAGGATTAGTGGAGATAGGTGCTCCATGTCATAGGTCAAGACCCAGGAAGACCGGATGCCATGACCATGTTGACATAAGACAGTTGATGCTTTCAAAGGTATGTGTATGGGATTGGTGCGCCAGCTGTTGCATCTGTTAATATTGTCTTGAATTGACCAACACCTTCTTTTAATTTTCTGCAGGCACTGCTGCATTGGAGGAAGATGCTCAGATTCTAAAAGTCATTGAAGCTTACTGCACAAGTGCCAAAACGCGCCAAACATTAAATTCAAGTAAGTTTTAGAAAAAACATAAATAACATTACAACTGTCCTACTTATTCAGTAAGCAATATCTCTAGTGGTGACTCCAGCTCTTCTCCTTCATCTTCTTTTGGCTGACAAGTGGCATGTCAAGTGATTATCAGATAAATGTGCTAAGAATAGCACAGGTAAAAATATTTGCAACGATGTAAATACAGCTTGTTCTGCATAGCGGCGCAAGTTTGGCAGGTGACATTTTGTGGTTGTTTGCACCCCACACTCAGGACAATTCCAAGATTCAGCCGTCGGAGAAGCACTGTAAAGGTCAGGCCTGTGAACAGAGCAGTGACTGCCATGTTTTCATACTGGATTTCCCGAATTACGCATACTAACATTTTCGTTTTGGATATTTGTGCCAACACTTGTAGTCCATGCACCCATTTGTTTTAGACTTACCCAACTGAAGTCACTGGAAATGCCACAGGGCTATTCTAGAATAAGAGGACTGTAAACTACCATTCTATACCCGTATTTTCTAAACGTTTGATTGCTAAGGTGTGGTTCGAATTGGAGGCACACTTCAAGTGACGCTCAGAAAGATAAATGTGCATTTTCTCAGTCAGCTCTTAGAATAGGGAACAGAGATCTTTCTTTCAACTTTGCAGAGGCAACCCATTTAATAGCCTTCTGCCATTTCCGTTGTCTAATCAGCCAAGTTTCAGATATAGTGCCTTTCCGCTCCAACATGGGTTGTGATAGGCATTTCCTGTACATCCTTACTTCTTCTGTTTGGGATGATGTCACTCACCACATAATGGAGAAAGAAGATATATAAGTTGTCTAAGGACTGTCTTCTCTGAGAGGTATAAAGTAGTGCATGCAAGGCACACATCACAATCTCTCGTGGTACAGTTTGGAAACTGCTGCCATAAGCATTTCAGCCCTACTCTAACCTTTCCACTTCTGGAATAATATTCTTACAAACTTGGTAGATTGTCATGGTTTTGTATGTTAGCACAGGTGATGCTGAAGCCCATCCTAAATGTTCATTTATTGATGCAGCAAGTCTTAGAAAACTATTAATTGTGCATAAAACTTGTGTCTAAGAACAGGTGATCTTCAATACCCTAAGTCAAAAATTTTCTTTTTAAGAATGGTTAAGTGTTGATGTAGGGCATCATATTCAGTGAGATGCACATTTTTTCAAAGGCATTTAAGAGACATTTAGTTTTACTTTTTTTAAAAAAGGTAACGGGGCATAAACAACTAATAGCAGTTTAAATTTTTTTTTGTTACAGATATCAATAATTCCCCTTTATTCCAGAAAAAAATATATGTATTTTTGTAAATACCTGTATGTTGAGCAAAGCTGCTGTTTTCAATTACTCAGATATATATCCAACTTACACTGTGTCTTGAGGACCCAGGTTATTTAATCTTAAACAAGGCTGCAATGGTGGAGATCCTCTATTGTAAGTAAAGCATTGCACCTATCAGGAGAATCTGCCAGCATGTATCACATCTACATAAGGGAATAAAATACTCTTTGGTTTATTCCAGTTTGCACAGTTTTGCCATTAGTCTATAAAACTAGTTTACAATCTATATTTCCATGCTCCAAATTCGTCAAATAGTTTGCTATTGGCAGAAATCAATGTAGACATTGGTTTGGGTTTTGTCTATTAAAACTTCTTAAGCCTTACATTTAATCAGGTTTTCAGCAACATGTATTGTTGAGAATATCTAATGCCAGTGCCAGTCTTACTAGACTGGGAGCTAAGACTCTCATGCTGCTTGCTGCTTTGGATCATTAATCAGAGGTCATATGTATCCACCAATAATTGAAATTTGACCTGTTTAATTCTTAGGAATTTATTGTAGGACTACTTTTTAGTCTTTTCACATTTAGATTTTCTGGCTAGAACCTTTATGAAAAGGTTCGTAATGTTTGTAAGCCACGGTATCAAATCGTTGGTGCTGTGTTATGTCTTTGTGCTGTTACGTTTAGGCTGTTTTAATCATTCTTTTCTAAAATCAGACTTTATTCTAGTCCTACAATTGTTTTGAAGTGGCAGCTATTACGTTTCTATGGGCGATTGCACTAGGGTGGGATCAGATAAATTGCTGATGTTTTGAATGGCACAACTGTGCTCAGTTGGTGTTTGTCATTATTTTTATAAGAAAAAAAACAAAGTGAAAAGAAGTGTTTTGTGAAGCATACTTTTTTTTAGTTTATGCAACAGTGTGCTTACAGAAGCTCACAGCTGGTACAAAATGTATTTTGCTTTTTTGCTGTTTCCCCCTTTCTATGTATATTTTGTAAATATACATAGTGCAATAAATTTCATTGCATACATCAAAAAATCTGCAGCTTTTATTTGCATTATCTGCAATGAAAATAAAGGTAATAGCTATTAGATGCACGGCTTCTTTTTTTCAAGGCTGCTGATATTGTTAAAATTATATTTGTTTTCGTTTTTTAAAATTATCTGCCCGTGTGTAATTTAACAGGAATTGGCAAAAGGAACAGGATTTGGCCTTGTGCTTTAGGAATGAGGCCAAGTATAGATGTAATGCTTCTCAGTCTCTTGCGTGTGGTTTAGGAGACTGGGAAACGTGTGTGCCTGCATCAGACTCGAGAGGACATGCAATAGCTAAATAGGCCCCTTTAGCACAACGCCATTTCTTTGTCTCCAGTCTGTCCTCACCTCTGTGTTCACATCCTGACTGTTCCTCATAGTGCAGGTCCGCAATTCCGTTAGTAGCACCGTCCATCTCTCATTTTGGAGGTGCTGCTTCTGGAAATGCACATGAAGTATGGCCAGGGGATAGGGGAACCCCATTGCCCTGGAAATCTGTGGCATCAGAGGGTAGGACAGAAGCCTTTTCTCTCCAGTGGAAAAGCACAGCCCATGTTTTGGGAAAGGTTTTTGGGAGATGGGCATGAAAAGGGAAATGGCTGGCCACCAGGGTTTCTGCCTCCGCCCCTCTTCTCCTTCTAGTTAAACCATGTCTTCAACTCTATGTGCTCTATGCTGCTTTCAGGGCAATAAAAGCATTTTTCTAAGGGCCTTTCCACACAATCAATCTGTTGCGCAGCAAATGTGTATTTGCTTCTTCTTTTGAGTATAGTTCACACATCTTCTGGAAGGAGGTATATTACTTTTGAGGGGAGACTGCAGAGAAGCAGTCCTTTCCTGCGGAGATCTATTGCAATTGCCAAATGGAATTTGGTTGCATAGGCATCACAGGTCCCAGGATTTATTTTATTACATTTAGGGATTATTATTATGCTCATCACTAACGTTCCTACTGAATATTATTCTCCTCTAGTTAGTGCCTGCATCATTCTTTAATCCCTTAAGAGAGAGAGATTGAAAACATTTATTCAATTTTCATACATTTTTGCTGGGGTTGTTAAGCATAGGAGTGTTAATCTAGCATATTTGTGTTTTAAAAAGTTTCCTCATCTTCCTCTCCCAGCAAAAAAGACAACGTCCACCCACTCACACCCACCCCACCGTACAGTTCTTGATGCTGGAGCACCAGCTATTAGTGTCACTAATATTCAGCTTCTCTCTTCCATGTGGCAAGGCTATCTGCCTCCTTTATTATATAGAATCATAGAATTGTAGTGTTGGACCCCAAGGGCCATCTAGTCCAACCCCTTGCAATGCAGGAATCTCAACGAAATCATACATGACAAATGGCCACCCAGCCTTTGCGGGTGTGGACAAAATATTGAATATTCATTGAATAGCGACTTAGAGAAACATTGCCCACAGCCTAAAATGCCACCGATAAGGGCATGACTCCATTCACTGATCATGTGAAAAGGTCCTTAAGTATTGTTGAAAACAAGTGGGAAGAACAGCAGGTGGAGCCCAGCTTCCCTTGTAAGCCCTGGGTTAGTTTGCTTTTAATGTCTGTATGAATGGTCTGCGATCACTTGCCCTAGTAGGGAAATCCATGTGTGCCACAATGTGCACACGGTGCTTCTGTGTGTACAGTTTTGTTCCCTCCATTGAAGCAAATGGAGAATCTGTGGGAGCGACAGATTTGGGGGCCCCTCTTCACATGTCCAGTCTGCATCATGGTTGCTGCTGAAATGGCTGCAGTTGTACAAAATGTTGCTCAAGCAAGCAGCTGGGTGTGGCTGTACATAATTCTTCCCAGAGGGTACCAAACCCAGAGATTACACATGTGAATTGGGCCTTAGCTCCTACATGGGTTTTCTTTCCTTGGATCATACTGATCCAATACTAGCTGTGTTAGGTGTCTGTACAGTTAGTGAGCCTTCTGTTTCTCCCATCTTGAGAATCCAGTTTTGCATCACTTTAAGATTCTCCTTTATTTTTCAAGCTAAATCTTCTGGGGCCAAGTTTTTCCTTCCACGGGCATGGTTTGGAATAGTTCCTGTGGAGAAATGGCATTTCTCACGTAGTCTCCCAGAAAAGTCTTTGTGTGGGATGGTAGAGTGCTGACAGCTCCTTGTTACTAATTTCAAACCCCACACCCCCCAAAGTAGTTCTCCATGGGAAGACTAGGGCTGGGCGATGTCAGCTTTTCAACATCATGATGTATCACCAGCCAAACATCACAATATAGTGATACATCATGATGTTGAAAAGTGGAGGGAGGAACAAACTGCATCGGCCCTGGTTCTGCGAGGGAGTGGTGGTGCCTCAGCTCCCTCAGCCTTGTGGGGTTGGGGTCGATGCAGCTTGTTCCTTCTTCCAGGCGCTGGTGGTGGCGGAGTCAGGCACAGGCAAGCCTCACCCGTGATATGCCACCGGGTGAAGATGCCATCGCACTCTGGTCCTCAAACCGGTCCTGGGTGATGTATCAGTACATCGCCCAGGCCTAACCAAGGCCCTCTCATGAAGGACAATATTGCTGAAATCCACTTATAAGGGGGAAGTGATTTAGAGGTAGTGAATAATAAAGTGGGCACAAAGACTTAGATCATTGACTGCTGAATTCCACTTAAATCCAGAATACTTTAAACATTTTTTTTAAAAAAAAAGTCTGATTCGGTTTACATTTAGATTGGCTTTATAGCACTTTTCAGAAGACGTTTCTTCTGGAAATGCAAAACAGCAGAGCCGTAAGAAGTATTTTCATTAAAAAAAAAACAATAGAGACTGCTCTTTTGATACATTAGTCTGTGCTTCCACTTATTTTCATTTTTAAATACCCAATTTTAACCAGAGTAATTGGTCCTAATAGCATTAAAATGAATATGCAAGCAGAAGCACCTTCTAAATGTGACTGTGGGTTGGACCCAGACTTTGATGCAATCTTGTACACCTTTACCTGGGAGTAAGTCCTGTAAGCTTACTTCTGGGAAGACACACATAGGATTGTGCTGCCAGTCATGTTTGGAGTAGGTCCATTGAAATCACTGGAACTTACTCTTAAGTCCCATGGATTTAAATGGGTGTCCTCTAGGAAAGTCTCAAGTCTGTATCCAAGCCAACCAAAACAAATTCAGATTCTTATTGTGACAAATGTCTTTTCTTTTTTTAAAAAATGTACGTACTAAATATAATTTGTACATAAAACCCAGCCAAAATAAGGACAGCAAGATTTGGTGCCTTTTTAACAATATTTTCTCTTTTCCTTTTCTTCCCGTCACCTTTTGCTTTTGTTTTCATGTGTTTTGGTTGTGGCTTATCCTGTATGTTCTCCTCCTCATCCCACCTTTGCCTGTCTACATCCACCATTTCATTTCACCCCATACATCCTTAGCATGGCAAGGCACTGACCTGATGCATAATCACGTCTTGGCTGATGATGACCAATCAAGTCTAGACTCCTTGGGTCGTCGCAGTAGCCTTTCTCGTTTGGAGCCTTCCGACCTCTCTGAAGACTCTGACTATGACAGTATATGGACAGCCCATAGTTACAGAATGGGGTCTACATCTCGTAAGAGCTGTTGCTCATATATCTCTCACCAGAACTAATGCACTTCTGAGCTTTTCTTAACAAATGCTTGTTGTATCACAGCCTGCTTTTCTTAGATGTTTTCTTGCAGTTCCTTGTCTCTTTTAATGTGATATTTTAACAACCTTCGGGGTGGGGGGAAACCAATTTCTGATACTTCAGTCACACCTTGTTGGGATACACTAATAGGATCTCTTTTTTATATAAAGATTGGGAGCATTGATATGTAGCTATGAATGGTTTAGTTTTTGTTTGGTTTTTAAGTTTCGGTGTAGCCATAACACTTATTTCCTTAGCCCCCTTCCCAGCCCCATTTTTACAGCACATGGCTCGTATTCTGTGAAGAAACACTTGTGCCATCTGTATGGAAATTCTTTTAGCCTTACAGTGTTTAGGTTGGTGTGTATTAACAATAAAACAGGGGAAACCAAACACAACAACTGCATAAATGTACAAGGAAAATCCCAGAGAGGTGTATATGCAGTTAACTCTGTGTATTCATTTTCGAAGAGCAAGCCAAGTGTGTTACTATCCTGTCTACAGTTCTTAAAAAGCTGGGAGAACCACATATACGTTTAAAAAGTTGAGCAAGCATGGGATGGTTCACAATTGTAAAATACTGTTCCGATAACTATTGGCAAGGTGAAGTTCACTGCCACTTTATGCCTACAAGTCAGAGAGTTCTGCAGCTAGCTCCACACATCCATCAGGGATTTGGATGTGTTTCCTTTAACAGCAGACACTTCCTTCCCCTATCTTCACAGCAGACCATGTTTGATACTTAAGGGAATTTCAAAAGCAGTTTTCAGCACAGTTGCCTGGTGTGACAAAAAGAATGTCAGTGCGCTGAAGGATTCGTAAGCTCCTGTGTCTAAAAAAGCTCTCTGGCCTGTGGCTGATAAGTTATAAGGCAATGTTAACCAATACATGTGCAACAGTAAATCATTACTTTCTGCGGTAGGAAGGAATTCCTAAATTTTATTTGACGATAAAAACACTTTCTAAGATCCCTTTTAAAAAATGTCCAGTTTTTTAGAAGTGCCATGTCTCTCCCTGTTAACTTTTTGAAGTTCATTCAGCTCTCCAGATCTTGCTTATGTCTGCAATTGCATGTAACTATAGTAGTACCTCGGAAGTTGAACGCCCTGCGACTCAAATGTTTTGGCTCCTGAACGCAGCAAATCTGGAAGTGAGTGTTCCGGTTTGTGAGCGTTCTTTGGAACCCAAACGTCCGACGCGGCTTCCGATTGGGTGCAGGAGCTTCCTGCAGCCAATCGGAAGCCCTGCCTTGGTTTCTGAACATTTTGGAAGTCAAACGGACTTCTGGAACGGATTCTGTTTGACTTCCGAGGTATGACTGTATAAGTTTATTAATTTCTTTCATAAGCACACTTTTCATTTGGATTAATAGTACCCAGGGCTTTTTTTCAGCCAGAACTCACCAGAAATCAGTCTCTGTACTTCTCAGGTGGGGGCCATTGCTGTTATAAGAGAGGTGCTCATTCATGAGTTCCGACACCTCTTTTTCTAGAAAAATAACACTGATAGTACCATTGAATACTTTGAGATACCTTTTTGTATTATAGGAGCCCAATATACTTTTTGGGGAGCTGTGTTTTACAGATAAAATTACTAGGAAATGTAATCTAAAATAAAACAACAAAGAATCAGAATTGCTATTAGAAGCTGGCAACTTCTTTCCCCCTAGGATGCTGAAACTACTGTACCCACTGTCCTAACATCATTGTTTGAATAAATTAAACCAAGCATAATGTTCTATTGCTGCTTTCTAGAAACTTAATCATAAATGCTTATGACTCCTCAGATGACAACACACATCTATGCAGGTAATCTTTAGTTTCCACTGCTTAATGACTGAACAGGATACAAAGGGCCTAAGGAACAAACAAACTGACCCAGTAGGTGTAAAATTACTTGCACTTAATTTTAAGCAATTTATGAATAAATGTCCCAAAACTGAAGCACTCAAGAGAGGATTGTTAGCAATGAAATAGCATGGACCTGTTTCAGCTGCACCTAATTCAACTGCTGGGACGCGGGTGGCACTGTGGGTTAAACCACGGAGCCTAGGACTTGCTGATCAGAAGGTCGGCGGTTCGAATCCTCCAACAGGGTGAGCTCCTGTTGCTCGGTCCCTGCTCCTGCCAACCTAGCAGTTCGAAAGCACGTCAAAGTGCAAGTAGATAAATAGGTACTGCTCAGGCGGGAAGGTAAATGGCGTTTCCGTGCACTGCTCTGGTTCGCCAGAAGCAGCTTAGTCATGCTGGCCACATGACCTGGAAGCTATATGCCGGCTCCCTCGGCCAATAAAGTGAGATGAGCGCCGCTACCCCAGAGTCGGTCACGACTGGACCTAATGGTCAGGGGTCCCTTTACCTTTACCTTAATTCAACTGCCAGCCGATGGTCCAGTTTTGGCTGGAGAGAGAGAGAGAGAGAGAAAAAGAGAGAGAGAGAGAGGTTTGCTTCAGGTCAAATGGTGTGGAAGGCAAGACACTGCCTGCAGTCTGGCCCCACTTAACCAGTAAGCTACCTGCTGCTGCAGCCTTGATTTAATACCAGCATTTCATTGTAGTGCTCTACCTTTGCACATCCCTAAGGCTGCAGAAAGTAACATGAGGAACCGTATGCAGCATAGCAGTGACCCAGAGGGATGAGCCAGGAGCACCAATCTACAGATTGCTGTTGTTTTATGGGTTTTGAGTCACTTTCTAGCTTCTGTTGCGCCCCTGTGGTAGCAACAGGAGGCCTATGCTGCAGTTCCAGCGCTTTATAGGAGTCGGCTCAAGTTTTGAGTAGGGAAATGGCAGGGGTGGGTTTTCTTAGCACACTACATTCAGAACATCTTCCGTTTCAAAATGTGCCCCCTGCTGGAATGCTTTCCTTCCTTGGGGAAAAATATATAGGGTACTCATGCACATATACCACAAGTGCAGAAGCAGCTGGAAGGAGGCAGCTTGAGTCAAAATGGCCAGGCCTCTGTTGCCCTTCATAAAAACAAAAAAGGGAAACCAGGAAACTGTTCAAACATGTCTGCTGCATAAAGCCTAATTTGACCCTGAGAATTCTCAAAGCTCAGTTTAAAAACAAAACAAAACAGACAACACTGAAGGCATAAATTTAAGCAATCGTGTTCTGGCTTTTAGACAATAGATGTTTCTTACAGTGGCTGAAAGCTTTTTAATTGATTCTGTTGCTCTCAAGATAATGTATTATGGATATGGCATACCATGGTTTCCTTGGAACTCCCCCCTCCCCTTCTCAGAATTATGTTTAACTAATTTTGAATATCCAAAGCACTGAAAAAATTGCCACCATCAATTATTACAAGAGCTGCGGACCATCAGAACAATGGAGTCTTTTTACGGTAATTTTCTTTGGTTTAACCATGCCATTAAAAGGTCCTTATCAGTGTTCTCACTGTGGCAGACTGCTGGCTTTTGTGAATGGAACAGAAGTGTTAATGCAACCAGCATTAAAATATAATTATAATAATAATAATCCAGTGTTAAAATGGTGGTATTCAGCCCAAAGTCTTAGTGTTTTATTTTTGTGAAACTTAAATGATATTAATAATGGTACCTAATGTTATACAATCTGTAAGATAAGTGTGTACAGTTAGTATTAAAATGAAGGCGTACAGAATTTGAATTAGAATGTTAGGTGTGAGCCATTGTCAGTCCCTTTCACACAGCTTAAATGATACTGCCATTCAATAAGTATTTGCTATAAGGTGACAGTAAGCTATTATTAATTGTGTGTTTTGCATAAATCATGCCAAAACACAATAAAATGTGTATATAGTGATGTTTTAAAAAAGAACAAATATATATATTGTTCATTTCATTTGTGAATGGGAGAAGCCATCTTTAGTAAGTTACTGACTTTTGAAGACAATTATAATAGATGTATATCTGAATGTGCATTGTATTGTACAGTTTGCATTTTCTTGTTTGTGGTGGCATATAACAACTGCGTGTTTTCTTTTTGTTTTTTTTTTAAAAGGTTTCTGTTATGTACAGTTGAAATAAATTTTGCATTTACTAGCCTATGCCTTTAATATTAAAATTATTATGCTCTGAAAAGGGCAGCTTTTTATAATTCCTTTTAAAAAATATTCCTTTTGGATGTAGTCAAGCAATATGGAAGCCAAGCACTAAAGTAAACATGTTTCATTTAGGGCCTGGGTGTGTATATATAACACCTTTTGTGCTCTGATGAGTTATTTCACACAGATTTTGCTTTATGTAGGGTTTTAGCTTTCTAAAAACAACAACAACCACCCTGTAAAGTTCTAAATTTCCAGTTATTTGCTATTTATAGAACATGGCTCTGGTACTACTGTAGTTGCGTTTCATTCTGTGCAGTGGGCGACCTCAGATTGTGGGTGTTCATCTGCATCAAATGTGTCTTTCTAGATTAGATGGGAAAGGGATGTGCACCCAAAACATCAGCTGTGTATGAAGATTTTATTTGCTGGATCAGGGTACACATGATTCAATACATTTTAATATGGTAGTGTTACTCCTCTGGTATTTGGCAGGGAGCATGCTTAAATGACTTAAAGAAAAAATTAGTGAGAAATGTCTCCGATGTTTTCAGGGTATATGTTTACATATTTGGAGCTCTGTTGTATAGGCTGATCAATAGTATAAATAGCAGCAGCAGATCCAGTGGGGCATCCCAGGTGAGTGAGGGACCTTTCTGATGTGGCGGTGCTCTGGCACCCATGAGAAGTGACTAGATTTGGATGGAGCATATATCCATCAACTGGCTCTTGAGAGCCACAGAATTTTCACCAAGGTACCTGGATTTTCAAAGAGTAAATGTGTGTGATGTTGTTGTTCTTAAACATTGTCATTGTGTGAACTAAGTAAAATACTGGAAAAGGTCCTGCTATGTAAATATTTGTATTGTTACTGCTATGTTGGCAATTCATCTGAACTAATCACGACTGCTTTTTTCCCTACTGAGCATCCATATTAGTTAGGGATTTATGAGCAGGTCTCTTTCTGAAGTAAGTATTGCTGTGTCATTCCTTAAAACTCCAAAAAAAAATGGGAAACAATGTGCACTTTCCTCTGACTTCCTTTGTCAAAATACAGGAGCTAATACTGTAACTTTGTAACATTGGAGTTTGGTGTCTCTTAAGACTGCAATCTTGTATATACTTACTTAGGAATTAAGTCTCATTGGATGGCAAAATTTTCTTATGAGTAAACATGCATAGGATCAGGCTGTAAGGCTGTTTTAACAGATTTTTATTTCAGTAGTTCCCTGAAATATTTTATTGACTTGGTTAGCATGTAATGCTAAGCCATGGTTTATTAAATCACATTTTTCTATTGTCCAAACAATAGAATCTTAACCTTGGTTTGTTAACCATCTTAACCTTGGTTTGTTAATCATGAACAAGCCATGCTCACTAGGCTTGGTTTATTATTGGTTTATAAACCTTGGTTGATATTAACCATGGTTTAGCATTACGTGTGAACTCAGACATTGAGGTTTTTTATGTTCATCACTTGTTCTTGGTAATAAAGAATATTGGTCATTGTCTGTGACGTAAAATGATTTATGACATGCTTGTTTAGCTACATAAATTTTCAGTGCATTTCCATATGCAAATATTGACAGTATAAAACTGAAGAATAATAGGATGTGTGGTAAGGTGGGAGCAACAGCTAAAGGAATAAAATGCAGAAAAGTGTTATGTAAACACCTAATGTTGAAAACAGAGATAAAGAAATTTTATTTAGAAGTGAACATGAAGCTTAATTGTAACAGTAATCCATGGTAATGGCCTTAAAATAAAACACAATTAAATATTTTCCCTTTATTAGTTTGAATATTGCAAAGCATAAACAACTGACTTCATAAATACAAGGTCTCAAATCCGAAGTTATTCTTTCGTTAATGTAAACATCAGTGATTTTCTGCAGCACCTCACATCATGATCCACACTACTTCCAAGAGTCCCCCATCTGCCAATAGCATTTATTGGGTTGGGCAGGTAGGGGTCTGTAGTGGGAGAAGGGGAATTCCTGCTCCATGAACTGTGTTCCTTTCAGGGAAGGAAAACTAAGATCCAAGCCAATGAAATGTGCTGTTAATGGTTGACTTAACTAATTAATATTTTGCCAGGTGACACTTGCCAGTCAATTTTCACTCTGAAATGCAACACTTGTAGGTTTTTGGCTAAAGGTATTCAGAAGCAGACTTTCAATATGAGCGGTACTGTTGTGTATATTGTTTTAGTTCCAAAAGTATACCCAAATGCTTCATCAGCTTTGTATTGTGCTAGGGAAATCCAATTAACTTAAGTAAACACAGTTAAAACACTTCAGATGTTTTCCAGTTAAGCTGTCAGGCTGTGATCCAGAATGAATGGTAGGATTAGATTTTTTTCCCTACTCAGTGCTGCAAGAATCTACAGCTTGTTGAGTTTCATGAAAAAAATTGAGCAGGGGCTTTTTTAAGCATATAATTCATAATTACCTTTTAAATATATGCCCTCTCGTCCTTCTGTTTTTAAAAAGTGAATACAGGTGATCTGCTATATAAAAATATATTATCCTTTTCCCATCTTGTGGTCTCTTCATTTCTTGAGACCATTTTCATGAAAAGACAAGATAGAAACCTGTACAAGGTGTGTTTCTTTACAACTGTAAATAATGTGTTACATAGCTTACTGGAATAAGTGAACAATTGTTAGCTTGTCTACCTTGTTTATTGATTTGGTTTAAGCTCCTATGTGTAGTCCAAAATGTTTTGTTTTATAATCACTTCTCTCATCCTTGTATTTTAAAAGGTTTTATTGTTTATGTGTCATTTACTCAGATCAGGACACAACAGTCTTCTATCTCATCCATGAGTTCAAACTGAATGAGCAGAATTGTCAAACTAAACTGAAAATTATTTTTTTACTCTGGGTGAGTTTATATAATCATTTTTGACAGGAGGTATATGTTTCACCATGGTTAAATATAGTTCGTCTTCAGTGGTGGAGGGATTTCCGGAGCACATTACTCATCCCACTTGCTCTGAAGGTGGCTCTATTCAAGTCCTTCTTGGCCCTTCTGATAGGGGGAGACTTCCAAGTTCTTTCTCTCTCTGTTCTGAGTAAACAAGGTTGGTGCACTAGCATTGCTGTGGGGCCAAACAGACTGCTGACGCTCCTTTTTTATTGTCTCCTTCCCTCCTTGAGTTTTAGAGTCTGATCAGGAAGGGAGCCAACACACAGCTTCACCTTTAGAAGGTACTTAGAAGAAGAAGAAAAAGTGAGGAGCAAAGATCATGCTGATAATGTTTCAACAACCACCAGTCTAGGAACAGGATGCTTCATTGGCTACCCATAAATAGGTGGTTAGCCCCTGGGGTACTAGGAACCAGCAGGAATGGGGACACCACCAACCTAGGACTGCTGCTCACTTGGCAGAAAAAAGCATGAACTTTTGGGCCGAGGATGGACACCCTCTCCTGTCCAGCATAGTGGGTGTGGGTGTTCACCCAGAGGTTTTTAATTTGATTTGCACGTTGGTGGTCAGATATACTAGTACTGGCCTCCATGAGAATAGAGAGAAAGCAGAAAGCCAAATGCCCTGACCCCACAAATTACCCGCCAGTCCTGCCACCCACCTTCACCCTAAGGCATAGGGCTGGGAAGGAGAAACATGAAAAGCAGGCTCTTAAAATGTAGATAAATTTCAGCATTTACTAGGTGAAAACTCCTCAGCATGTTTGGAACAGGAATTTCCACCCATCATTCATACATTTTATTCTTATTATTCTTATTATTATGGGGGAATATTAAGTTTCTAAGACTGGTTTTCAGAAGGTGTGTCTGTTGTGTTTGGAGTATTATGCCATAGCACTGTAGTGCAGCTCTAGGGGGATTAATGTACGGCTTTAATTTCCCCCCTAACCTAACATGCTCACTTAGATTGCTTGCTCCTCCCTTCCCATTTTTGGATTACGGGTGTCCCGTACAAGCCTCACAGCAAGAATATTTGACCACTAAACAATTTGAGAACAAGTTCATGAACACTGTTGGAAGGAACAGCCAACTCCAGTTACAGTTCTCTTCCAACCAGTGTAGAGGAGCAACAGGAGGATGCTCTCCATACAATCCCAGGCCGTTTGTCCTTGTGGAGCAAGGATTCATTCAATACTTTCATCAAGCCTTGAAAAATAATGTTATTGTTGTATTAGTTGACCTTGGGTGTTAATCTTATAATTGTCAAGAGATTAGAGAGCCACCTTAACTTTACAAAGCTTGTCAAATGCCACATATTCCAATGGGGGAAGCCAGTCAAAATGGCAATTTATTGACCTTCACAGAATCTCATGGATGTGTATACATTCCCATTCACTACCATCACTGCAGATTCCCAAGTTCCATAAACAGGAATGAACTCTTTCCATACAAGACCCTCCCAGTTAGCCTCTCATCGGCTCTTGGTTTTTGCCCATACTCATAATGTTTCTGATTCCCAACTATTCACGTTTAACCAAATGGCCACCAGTATTGTAACACCTTGGCAGTGTAAGTGAGTTTCAAATATTTTGTAAAATAATCTTATTGTGTGCAAAAAGTTGGAGCTTGTCAGAGGCAAGGGAAACTTCCTTCAGAAAATGGAGTCTCGAGATGAAAAAAACAACATACACTTTAGCAAAAGAAATGCAAGCAGATGATAAGGAAAGCAAAACAATAATTTGAAGAGCACATCACTAAAAACATTAAGACCACCACCTCCAATAATAATAATAAAATAATAAATCCTTAGATATATTAGAAGCAAGAAAGGGGCTGGCACGATCATATATGTGCTATATGAGGAAAAGCAAATAGCAGAGAAGCTAACTGAATTATTTGAATCTGTCTTCATTGTGGAAGATGAAGGCAAGATCCCTGTTCCTAAACTAACTTTCTCAGAAAGGGAGACTGGGGCAATTAGTGGTGCCAGGAGATTACGTTCTATGCCTAATGACAAATTAAAAATGAACAAATCAGTGGGTCCAGATGGAATCCACCCAGAGTTCTTGAACTCAAATGTAAAAACTTTAAATTAAAATTTGTAACTTGTCCCTAACTGGAAAGTGCCAATGTAACAGCAGTTTTTAGATCCTATGGGAATCTGGGGAATTATAGGCCAGTTAGCATTTGTTCTGATGGTAGAAAGCATTCTTAAAGATATAATTGCCACACATGTAGAAGAACAAATCTTGCTGAAGAAGAACCAGCATGGCTTCCACAAGGGTAAGTTCTGTGTAACCAATTTTCAGAGTTGAGTGTCAGTAAGCATATGGATGGGGTAATCCAGTACACATTGTGTAGTTGGACTATCAAAATGTTAATAAAATTCCTAAAGACTCTTGTAAGGTTAGCAGTCACAGGATAAAGAGACAGATCCTCTGATGAAAGGATAACTGATTAAAGAACAGGAAATGGAGAGTAGGGATAAATTGATTCTCACAATGGAGGGGTGTAAAAAGTGAGACCTCCCAATGGTTAGTGTTGGGACCTGTGCTTTTTAACTTGTTCGTAGATGACCTGGAGTTAGGGGTGAGCAGTGAGATGGCGAAGTTTGCTGATGACACCAAATTGTTCAGGGTGGTAAGTACAAAAAGCGATTGCAGGCTGCTCCAAAAGGATTTCTCCAAACTGAATGAAATGGCATATGCAATCCGATGTAGGCAAGTGTAAATTGATGCACATTGGGGTAAAAAATTCTAACTTCATATATATGTTAAGTGGAATGTGAGTTAAGCGGTTATTGTGCATAATAACTGACCATTGTGCACATTCACCAGGCATCATGGGGAATGTGCACATAATTCTTTCATGGGGAGGAGATGGTACACATTTCTCAGTCAATATATCTAACCTCCAATAGGCCTTGGGAAATGTGCATATTTTGATAGAATTTTGTACGTTCCTCAGGCAGGTTTTGGATTATGCCTGACTGCTGTTTTCCTGACCTGAATCAGAGGTACTTTACACTCTTTCTCTCCCAGCTCTTTTCCCATGATGATTGACCTCATGCTGCTATTAAGCTTTTTCCTAAGTTTAATAGACATACTTGAGGGCAATTTCCATCATAATCATGGTTGGTTTAAACTTTCCCTCTCCTTGCAGCCCCCCTTGTGCTGCTCAGCTGACTGGTGAACAGCTGAGAGGTGAAAAGGGGGCTGGACAACAGAAAAAAATTGATATTTTCCTGCCCCCCTGTCTTTCTGCTACTTGCCTGATCAATATGATGTGGGCCATGTAAGTACTGACAGTGGTCTAGAAGCAGCTGACTGCACTTGTAAACAAGAAACAGGGGGGAAATGTGCATGTTTCTTAGATTATATGCATACTGACCAGAGAATGTGCATGTTGGTAGGACAATGTACAAGATTCAGCTGAGATATGCACATACCCCAAGGTCTGTTGAGTATGCATATTAGCCAGAGAACATACAAAATTCAGTCAATATATGAACTTTCTCAAAGGCCTGTTGAAGATTATGTATACTGACTGGGCAAAGCACACAATTCCTTCTTCATGTAAGGATCCATGTACTTATTCTCCTTGAGGCCTGGGGAATGTTCTTGTCTTTCATATCTGTTCTTTGCTTCATTATCATTAGTACTGGAATTGACAGAAACACACCTTACAATTGGCCCGTTTAGCTGAGTAATGCATATGGATCGACAAGGTGCTTTGTAAGTGGAAGCATTGCCATTACAAGGGTCTCTTGTCGCTACCTCTTGCAGCAGTGCTGTCATCTCCCCTCAAGGTTTGTCATATTTAAAGACAAGCCAGAATGCCTGGAAGTAGACACTTGTCCTCCTAGATGGAAAGATGTATTCAACGCTGCATGAATGGAGTTCCACTTCTCATCTCCCCTCCCTCTGCATCTCCAAAATCTCCCATCACTATGTAGCATATTTTGCAGGTGCGCAGGGGAGCGGAGGAGGAAGTTTCATTGCACATGCAGAAGCCTGGCGAGTGGAAAAGCAGTGTTGGCTACATCCCTGAGGATGTAAACATGTTCTTGACACCAGTCTAGAGAACTTTGGCTGATGCTACTTTGGTGTATTTGTGTGGAGGTTGTCAAGCTCTGATTTCAACCCTTTCGCATGTCTGTCTCCCAGTAAATTCACCCACGTTGCCATGTCATGAAGTGTGCTGTTCTAATGGTTTGACTGGGACTTCCTATTGATGTGCAGGCATCTTTTGTGATTATTTACTTTGACATATCTTCAGATGAACTTCTTCAAATGGTTTATACCTTTCAGTGTTCCATAGTTTGGTTTTAAATCTACAGATCAGAAAGTTTTATCTTTAATCATGGTTAATCCTTTATTCTTTTCTCGCTCTCTTTTCACCAGCTATTTTCTTGATTTTATGCATTATTTATCTAAAGTATATCAATCAGCAAAGCAAGCCCCTCTGAATTTGTTATTGGAGTGCCAGTTGAGATGTGAATAAAATAGTGATTGCCATGTGTGTGTGTCCTGTGTTCTGTATTTCCTAAGTAATGAGATTGTTAGTGCAAACTGCAATAGTTTTTAACCTTGATACGATATTAGTTTTATTTTTACCACAGTTTTAAAGACCATTGAACATGTCATTTTGCAAAGCACATCTATAGGTATTTGTAAATCAAACCAAAAGATTTATAGTATCTTACTTAAAGACAAGGAGTTTGCAAATTGGGCTTGAGTCCCACTGAAATCAAGGGGCGGGCTTTGTTGATCTTGCTGTTTTTAATTGCAAGCAAACTCAAATTATGCAAGAACGTAAAAATCATAACATTATGCAACACATTTTGTGTGTGTGTGTAAATGTTGCTTAATTTATATATGTTCCAATTTTATACTTGTCATGGTGCAGAATTTGGATTACCCAGTTATAAAAATTAAGTTATTTTGGTCCCAGGTACATGCATGCAGGTCATACAGGATTACCTCTAGAATTGCAACCTGGAAAAATCTCCTATTTATTTATTTACTTGATTTTTAATTTCAAGGAACAAAACACCCCCATATAAGGAATAGAGCTTCTCTTACAGAGATGAAAGAAAAAGAGCAGCTGGTGGTTGTAATTTTAGACATATTCATGCCTTACTTTGGTAACACAGCACTGTGAAGTATATTTACAAATCCAATTAAATTTAAGTTAAACAAGAACATTCACTTATTTTATAAATGATGAAGAGCCTGCAGGAGTAAATCACATGCTTTTTTAATGCAGGAAGCCAGAAGCCATGATGTGGAAATATTGGGGAGCGGGATGCAAAACAGGAAAGTCTCTCAACTTCCTTACTTGCAAAATACTAATTGTATACTGGCTTATGATTATTGTAGAATGCACACTTGAAAATCAACATTGGGGAAACCTTTAAAACAGCACTTTCAGTGGCTCTATCATAAGGTTACCAGATTTTTTTCAATGAATCTGGGGACACTTTTCAACTTCAGTAGGAATGATAGGATTTTGTCAGTGAAAATCACTCCCTTTTAAAGCTGCTGTTTGCTTTGGGATGAAATCCTTTATTAACACAAATGAATATATCCTCCCAATGCAAATAGCTTCAAATGAGCAAGTTCCATGAGGACCACTGCAAGGGAGGAAAGGGTTAAATGTCCCCTCCAATCTCCCTTCCCCAGCAGCTGCTATTTGTATTTGTAATTTTTTTTTTTTAAAGTGCAGAATTTTATAACATGGGCGGCTTGGGCTTGATGTCTTGATGTTGCTGGATATTGTTTTTCAAAACTCTTCTTCCATTATTAACAGTCTACCCGTTTGTTGCAAATGTTTATCTTGCTTTAGTTTGCTTCTGCTTTAATGTAATTCTAAACACGTATGTGTTCCTGCTGGTTGTTTACACATTTCTGTATCCTCTGTACAATGCAAATTTGCAGCATAGATGGCTTTCTTATATTGGCTTCTGGGAAACAGAAGAACTTAAGTTCTGTTGGGTTAATCAAAGCATTTGTATTAACAGAAGAAAATCAACACAACATGGGCTCATTTACAAGTCACTACCACTTGCTCACTACTTCCTGGCTTGTAAATACAAGTTAGGAACATTCACTTCAATGGGTATAAATTAATTTCAATATTGAAAAGTTGTGGTCATTTTGTGAAATGGGCTGTAGGTCAATCAGTAGATTTCCATCCCAAGCCTTTGCTAAATGAATTGTCTGTGGGATCTCTAGATAAACCTTTCAGATTTATGTAATTAAAATGTTTTGAAATGATTGGTGGGTTTTTTGTGTGGTTTTTCTAGACCAAAAGTGTGGAAGTGTCTTTGTTTTCCCCTTCTCGTATACAGAGCTTTGATGTGCCTTCATTTCAGCCCATTCCGTCACTACAAAACCATGCTTTTTCTTGCCATGCAACTGCATGTTTTTTAAGAAGATACAAGTCTTGGATGGTTTTAATATCCTAAACATTTAACAAAGTTGTTTTCAGACACAAGGGCTGTGCTTCTAAGTGTGCATTATTATTGGGAAATAAGTGGGAAATAAGTGACAAGCTGAAGGTTGTGTTTAGATTGTTATTTAGTACGTAAATAAATTAGAGTTGAGAAGCGGATCTGGCCTATTGTGTAGTCATGTTTGCTAGAATCTGTTCATGACATTCTGTAATAGTTGTCTTACCATGTATCAAAAAACATTTAGTAACTTAACCGTTTTTGATGCCTTTCATAAGGCTTACATTCCTTCCAGTTACCTTTCCTTCTCCGTTTATTGTAACATCCATGAAATCAAATAATTATTTGTTGAAATAAATTGTGCTTCAGATCTCATGCATTCTAAAATGATAGTTACCTAATTCCCCAGGAACTGAACTGATAGTTTGGATTTAGGTTTTTAATTTATGTCAGGGAGCTACTGATAAAAATGTTTGGAAATAAATACCTATTCCTTACCACACACAAAGGGATAACAGTGTTTCCATGTCATCAATTTCAGTGTCGTTATTGCAAGAGCATCCTTTATTTCAGTACAGTAACAAGAAATTACTTGATTTACACTGTATTTAAAAAGTTAATGATGTGTCATCGTTGTGTGCAAAGAATAGCACAATTCATTCAGTGTTGCCTCTTTTTACGACATGGTGGTTTTTTATGGTGTTTATTCTTTTAAAATTAGTTGCAGTGATGTGTCAAACATATTTCTTCTGCCTAATTGTTCTGGGTAATGATGAAGTACCCCTTGTTTGAAAGAACATCTATTTTTATGTTACCTTGCCTTGTCCTTTGATTTTACTTCTTAAAGTTCTTGAGTTCGAGCAAGTTAGACGGAAAACACTTGTTTTGTATCTTCTTTTTCCTACGTTTGCAGCATAAAAGATCTGGTTTTGATCCTATTTTCAGAACAACAACTGTGTGTAAGTGGCTTATTAAGATTTCTGTACCATAGGTTTTCGGTTTAACTAGTGACCATTTGCCAAATGGGAACTTGCCACCTGGTAAACTGGTATCATCCTGTCAGGTTGTAAGGAGGCTTTAACTACACATTTGGTACAGATAAGTGATAAAACAATTCTCTGTATAGGCTTTGTGGTGGTGTGTTTCTTTAGCTGTTGTGGCAGAAATATTTTCCTCTACACATCTTGTATGGTTGTTCCTTTGTATCTACTCCTTATTTGTGTTTAGTTCTGAGAATATTGTCAAGAATGTGTTTTCCCCCTTGATCCTAAATTTTATAGTGACGATTAAGAGAAGAAGCAGTCTCTATATTATGTGACTTAGGTCAAATAGATTTTGAGAGTGAAGGCTAATACTTTGAATTATGCTTAGCAATATAGTAGAGCATCATTACAATTTTTTTTCTAATGACCAACCAATTTTAGAGCCAGGTTACTCCATTGAAGCAGTTGCAATTCCTAAATATTTTATCAGAAATGCCTCTTTTATTAGGTGTATTATATAGTCAGGCGATCACAACCACCCAAGATATTTTCATATGGCGTGCTTTTGCAATATCTACAGAAATTTCAATTATATTAGTGAAAATTCATTATTGCCTGATTAAGTTACTGGCGAAAGATCATTACTGCCTGATTATGTTACTAGGCTCTCTGTATAGAGTTTTCTTAGATTTAACTAGGCAGTGCTAATCTGATCTGCTCATAGCTCGAAAAACATAAGTGGCAATTTGTTGGCCAGTCTCACATAAACTAGTGTGAATACACCTATGGAAGTAATTGGCATACACCCCCATGATATGTCCCCATGTCCAATATTTCAAATAGCTGCTATGTAATAACAATCCTGCAGTTTTTAGAAACGTATTCTTTCATATGCTTTTAATAGTGCCTGGATGTTTATCTTTTAATTCTATTATTTTGCATTAGGCTCCCGTAAAGAATCTGCTCCCCAAGTACTGCTTCCAGAGGAGGAGAAAATTATTGTAGAAGAAACAAAAAGTAATGGTCAGACTGTGATAGAAGAAAAGTAAGATTTTTTTAATTTTTTAAGCAAAATGATGGCTTTTAAGCAGTCCGCGTTCTTGAGCATAGGAAGTTTTTGTGTGATAACTTGAGCTGCATATAAACTTGTTCCTTATATACTCACTGGCTTTATATTTAAGCAGATGAATATCCTACTGGAGTTCATTGCTGACTTGCGTATAAATGTGCACTGTCGTTCCTCTCTAGCCCATTAAGACTAATATCAACAATCTTCGGTTCTCTAACTTTTCTCTTTGCATCTTTTCCCCTTCATCCTTGTACCAGCTGGGAATTGATCAGTTTTGTGGGGTAAGGTGGCATTCTTGAGTGCTCCGGGATTTCTGCTCTTATTAATATATAGAATCACTACTAGGTGCTTTTTTTTTTTGTACCAGTTAACGTTATTGTTTCCGTTTTAAAATGTGCAGTTAAGAGTTGCTTCATCTCAAAGCCCATTAAAACAAAGAGGATTTGCAGATGAACAGCATCTGCTATAGCAGATTGCTCCCTAACCAAGCAAAGTGATTTTATGCTGCCTAGTTGTATAACCTCTATTCCAAGAAAGGCTAAATTAAGAATATGCCAGAAAAGACCAAGAGATACTGCGGAGGAATACGTTGGCCATTTTTGTCTCCCTGTCTTTTCCACCTTAAAAATTGTATGGCTTCTCATTTAAATGCGTATTGATAGTTCTTGATGTGATTTTCATATTTATTTTAACATAATATATTTACAAAGTATTCTATCTTAATTTTCTGTTTTAGAAGTCTTGTTGACACAGTATATGCATTAAAGGATGAAGTTCAGGAATTAAGACAGGTTGGTAAAAGATATATATCCCACCCTTTATCAACACAGACTAGGAGGGGGCAGTATGCTGTGGTTTAGGCCATTTAAGACTTCAAAGAGTTAGCAATAGAATCAGTAAGCCCCAATAGCAATGCTGTTTCATAGCATCGATGCTGGAGTGGAGGTTGAAGGAGGAGCATTAATTTTCTGCTCCCTATACCATGGGCTATATAGCAAATGTCTGAAGAGTGTGCTCTGCCTCCTTTAGATCTGTCTATCAGGTGTCAAGGTGGGCCAACAATCTACATATCCTCCTTACTTTGCTGATTACTGCTATCACTGTTACTAATGTGGGGTCAGCATTACTCCATACAGCTCCCTCCTTCTTCACTGCTGGTCTCTTCCTTGTGGCATACAGGCACTAGGCCTTTGCACTTTGCTCTCCTATGACCTGACGGCAATGTAATACCTAGTGAACTAATTGTGAAAAGCCGAGTATGCATAAGCCCTATCAAGAAACAGTGAACGTGAAGCTGCGTCGCAACTCCCCTTACCCCCCATCATCAGCTATAAACACATGGCCTTCTCTTTGCTTTTGATGCTTACTAACTGTTGCGGCATTTAAGCAGATGTATTATTGTAAACAGTTCGTGAAAATGAAAGCCATATAAGACAAACCCCGGAAAGCGATTCTCAAGTAATGCAGATGCGGAAATGTATGCTGGACACATGTCTAGAACGTTGGCTAGTCTCCGCCCTTTTGCTCTCAGTGTTCCAAGTTTCCAAAGTGAAGTATATCCCTAAATATCAGGATTTCTTGGTCAGAGACTAAAATAAAATGAACCTTTCAGTAGTGTTAAGTAATCATGCTGTCAGCTCAAGGATTTCTGCTTTCCCTGTCTCCTTACCCCCTGTCCTGTGCACAGCCCATGCCCTTCCTAGATCAGCTCTGAAGCATTTGGGGAACAGATGTAGGGGGCGCACAGGGGTAGTAGAGGTGGGAAAGTCTCGTTGTGCAAGTGGAAATTCTTGTGATGACAGGACAGATAACTTCCTCCTACATTTCAGCATTACCTTGTACAAGATTATTATTTTTGGAGATATGTTAAGTTTTGAGTACTGCCATGATTTTAATGTTTTGTGGAGTTCCCCCCGTTATAGTAAAGGTAAAGGTACCCCTGACCATTAGGTCCAGTCGTGACCGACTCTGGGGTTGCGGCGCTCATCTCGCTTTATTGGCCGAGGGAGCCGGCGTACAGCTTCCGGGTCATGTGGCCAGCATGACTAAGCCGCTTCTGGAGAACCAGAGCAGCGCATGGAAACGCCGTTTACCTTCCCGCCAGAGCGGTACCTATTTATCTACTTGCACTTTGACGTGCTTTCGAACTGCTAGGTTGGCAGGCACAGGGACCGAGCAACAGGAGCTCACCCTGTTGCAGGGATTCAAACCGCCAACCTTCTGATCAGCAAGTCCTAGGCTCTTTGGTTTAACCCACAGTGCCACCCGATAAATAGTTATACTTTATGACTACTTAACATTGTTCATGTACTTAAAATGGAGCCCCTTCTAATATGATACCTTTTCTTCCATTTGTGGCTTGGGCCTACTGATGTAGAAATGTTTTTTTACCTCATGAGGCAAAATATCTCTGGTCCCTGGATAATATTATAGAGCAATAGACTAGTGCTCCATGAGATTCTCATGTCTTCTCCTTATAAAAACATCTCAATGAGAAACTAATCTTCCAGCTGTTCAGACCAAGTAACCATGATATGTTTGTCTTTTGTTTGTTAGGATAACAAAAAGATGAAGAAGTCGCTGGAAGAAGAACAAAGAGCTCGCAAGGAGTTGGAAAAACTTGTCCGGAAAGTTCTAAAGAGTATGAATGATCCATCTTGGGATGAAACCAATTTATAACAAACTTACTGTTGTTCTTTTCTTTTTCTTTCTATTGAAAGACCAGTTGTCAAATCAAGCTGGGAAGTCTTCTGACATTTAGTCAGTGTTGCATAACAAGCACTACAAAGTAGGACTTAACTGGATCAAATTATTTTTATTTCTTACAATGTATAATAATAATGATAATAATAATAATAATAATAATCCATTCACTTAAGCTGTCTGTACTTAAGTGTAGATAGCATGGACCCTGAACTGAACTAGAATTAACTTGTGTGCATTTAAATTACCTCATTTTTGCAGCAAGTGCAACAGCTGGCTAAGCAGTCCATGACGCCACCCCATCCCAAAAAAACATTTTGTAAATATTATCTGTAATTTTGAATGCATATGTGATCAATGTATCAGGACTGATATAGTGTTATAGTTTCTTCCTGTAATGATTGCAGCAGACAGACATGGCAGTGCCTGATGCTCTTCTAAAATTTACTGAAAATTGTGCTCCGAGTTGGATTGTTTTGAATTGTTCTAGACATAATAGATGTTAGTTGCTTTTTTTTTTTGTAATTTCCCAACCTATTTCCCAGTATTCACCAGCCTGTTTTAATAACTTAAATTTATTTATGTCTGTTTAAAGCTTCAGACACAATTTTAACATGCTTTTTAAAAACACCAAGCTGTCAATGCAGTGACACTTGGCACCATTTTGTATTCAAGTTAGCATCTTAAAGATCCAAGACAGACAGTTAAGTTTCTTTTGGCATGCCAATATGCAGAATTACTAGTTAAAGGTGGATGTACTTGCTCTTGTTGTTTTTTTTAATGGCTAGTTATTAGATGATTTGTGTAGTACGTTGTTTTTTTATGGTTGTGCATATACTTTTAACATACAGCTGGCTAGTATTTTAATTGAACACTCAAGCACTGCTGTCAAAACAAAAAGTCCCAATCAAGTGTGTGTAGGGTTTTTTGTTTTTGTTTTGGGATAAAAAAAATGTATTATTTATTTTTATCATGATCGTAGCAAGTTTAGGTTAATGTATGCATGTAAAGCATTTGCAAAACTCAAACCTCAGAACTGACATTTGATCTTCCACTACTGTGCAGAAATCATCCCCTCCATCCTTTAAGATCAAATGAAATTATAGTCCACATAACCTCCATTCCCTTTATACAAGTAATAAATAAAAAAGAAAGGAATGAGGGGAAAAACCCAGTGCTTTATGAAAATAAGTCTCTTTAGTTTTCTCTGTCCGTATAAAATGGCTGTTACGGTGAAACGCGGCACTGTGACATTTTGGGTTGCAGCCTGGGACTCTGCAATGTGTTGGTAATCAGGGACTCTATGACGTGCAGTTTTGGCAGTATATACTTTTAAATTACCATTGTGATCATGTACCATGCCAGTGCGTCAGATTGAAGGTTGCGTAACATTTCTTGAAAACAAAGGAACTAAGGGATTTGGCTCCTGAAGTCAGTGAATCAGTTCAAATCCTGGTGGTGTTAAATATCAGTCTTACTGCTGAGTCTAGGCAGGATCCTGCAGCAGAACACACCCTTGTTCTGAGCTCTTCCCCTGCCTTATTGTGTAGTAAAACCTTTGCCTGACTCTTAATGGCATCACATATGTTACTTTACCTGCCCCTCAGCTGGTGATTTGGAGTAGGGGGGAACATTTGTGATGAGATCAGAAGTCAAGATTGCTTTTACTGCACGTTACAGGAGGAGCGAACCCAACATAGGGGAGCCGTCTAAGGAGGTAGCTCTTGTGTTTCTTGTAATGTCACCCCTAAAAGATGACACATGTCTCTGATACTGTATGCTGTATGGTTGATTCTTGTATCAAACAGGCAATCCACATTCCCCACCCACGAAGCAATAAGACTCAGCTGTTTATTGTTTCTCGCTGTCAGCAACCAGAAATGGGCAGCTATACTTCCGTTGAAAATAAATGTTTATTGTGATGATAAAGGGCTTATGTGGCTGCTTATTTCATGAACTGGCTTCATACACACGTAATTTTAGGAGTGGGAGTAAATTTCATGGGGCTAAATATCTAAATACTTAAGTGGTGTTCTGAATTTGGAAATAGGAACTAATCCCAATCTTGGGACTAACCCTGTTTGGCATTCCGTTACCGCACAGTATATGTTAGTGCAAACGTGCAGGAGCTTAAAGGACAGTCCCTTGCCTTGAGGAGCTTACAATCGAAACTTTCAACAGGTTTCGCCAGGCTTACCTTTTGACACTTTTGAGATATGGTGCATTATTTTTATTTATGATTTTTTTTCACCATATCTGTTTGCAAGGAAAAGTAACTTGCAAGGAATTGAAATATAAAAATGCCCCCCAAATAAACAAAAATAAACGAACATACACACACACAAAAACCATGTACGTCTCCACCCCATTAAAAGAGGAGCATCAAAATGGTATCAGTTTTTGAGAACAAAAATGTATTTGCCTGGCATTGGAAAGCTGAGTTTTCTTGGGGAGATCATTCCGCAATCTAGGGAATGGGGAAAACATTAATGAATAGTCCTCTTCTCTCATTGCAACCCGCTGCACGTCTGGAATTTCCCGGCTTTTCAGCCACAAAAGGAACTGGTACGTAATCATTTTTTGGGTGGCTAGATCCCCAACCCCAATTCGAGACAGATTTCTACATTCATATAAAGGGAGCTAGCTCATCAATTTCTAGCATCTGTGCTGTAATCTTCACCAGTACCAGCGCTGAATGTGCTTCCCTCCACCTGCCACTTTAGCCTTAGGCTTCAGAGTCTGCTCAATTCCTGTTAACTTAGCAGTACACCCTGTATGGACAATGTGGTACAGCCTCCCCAACTAGAAGCAAGAGATAACATCTCCAAGCCATGGGCAGTTTTGCAGGAGTCTGGGGAGAGCTACAAACCTCATCTTCTCCTTTCTTTGCTCATTTGTGTTGCATTTTTAACTTCCATACCCGTATCCTCTCAACTTTCAGTACCCTAGGCAACCAGTTTAATGACAACACACAGTCAACTGTGATGTCACAACTTGCAGCATCCTTTAGTTGTTCCCTATGACAGCGGGGAGATCATTTGGCAGACTTGGTGGAGAGAAAGAATCAGAGAGGGGTCAAGGCAGGTTTCCACACTAGCTAGATCAGCCACCTGCTAAATGTATGGAAATAGTAGCACTTATCCAATATCTTGAATATTTTTTCCCTGAAAGAACTTACGAATCAAAGCTGTTGGCAAATCCACAAGAATGTAGCCGTTGTTAATTTTTTGGTTTACATGACTGCATTAAATATTTTTTTGCGGATCAGTGTAATTAAGCCCATTAATGAAAGACCTGGAAGAACCTGGGCAGAATCCAAGGCTTATTTTCTTAATGTATTGCCTAACATTGTGGTCTCCTCCTGGCTTGTGTGTTCAGTCGCCTCTGAAGTTTGACAGGGCAATACAATCTCCACCCTTGCCTCATCGGCTGGAAAAACGAAATACCAATTTCCTCCGTTACGGGTTTGCAGGTAAGAAGTTAGCAAACTACTGCTTTGCTGCCATGAACTGATTAAAGTACCCTATAATAGGATGACATTTTGCAAGAGACGGTCAAGTTAACTTTGCACTATATTCATGTTCACTGTTGGGATACAGAACAAATTAAGTTACACAGGAAGTGTTCTGGTAACCTTGGTTTTTCTGTGTGTTTTAATAGTACAGAGTTGTATTTAACCTGTTGCTCATAATAAAACAATCTCTACTACACTAACACAAGCTGCTTCCCTAGCTCTGTGTTTGAAAGCTATTCAGCTATGCCTTGCTGCTGGAAGTCCTTAATGGAATAAGTAAAATCTATGTTTTCAAGCAGATCAAGCAAATGGGGGATGAGGGACATTGTGCTAAAAACAAACATCTTTTACAACATTTGTGGACTAATTTTGCTGTTGGCTGTGCTGTCCCTGGCTGAAACAATGATGATTCAATTATTTCAGGAAAAGTTTTCAATCGTTTTTTCCAATTGAGGCCACCACCATAAGACTTCTGGCAAAAGTTGTGCAGGTGTTATATTATCTGCTGGGGAGCTCCCTCTGGTCGCAACCACATATAAATCTGTTAAAAATGGGAAGAGTGCATGCAAGTGGGCACATACAAGAGCAAAGGGGCAGTTGAAACTGGCATCTTTGAACATATTTTTTAAAATAAAAAATTACATATATATGTGCATAGATAAATCGTCTGAAACTGGTATGGCATTCAGATCACGATACCAGTTTCAGACAATTTGAGCTGGTGCTAAAACATGCCAGCTCAAATTGCTTGCAGATGGGCTCCATCTGCCTGCTTGCTTGTGCCTTTAAGGAAAGCTCCTGTTCCCCAGCTGAGCAACTGAACGAAGCCCTGATGCTCCTCTAGCTCATGTGAGCTGGAGTGGTATGGGGGCTTTGTAGGGCTGGGAAGAGAGGAAGAAGCAGCCATGATAGTTAGCAGAGTCAGACATGATATATCAGCATATCACGGTTTTTAGCTGCTGATATATCACAACATTGAAAACCAGATATTGCCCAGCCCTAAAGGGGCTAGGAAACCAAGTCCGATGAGGAATGTTTGAAGGAGTATCTTTATCCTGGAAAAGAGGCAATATGGTAGCCATCGTCAAATATGTGAAGGGCTCTCACATAGAGAGGATGGGGAAGAGCCACTATAGCTCAGCGGTTGAGTATTTGCTTCTCATGCAAAAGATCTTTGGTCCAATTCCTGACATGTTCAGGTAGGACAGGGAAGGACCCTTGCCTGAGACCCCAGAGAGCAGCTACCACTCATTGTCAACAAAACAGCTTGGTGGGCCAGTGATCTGGCTGCCTGACTAAAGCTCAGCTTCCTGTGTTCCAAAATACGGTCCTGCAAATATGCGCAGGATTATGCCGAATAATGGTCCCACAAGCACTGCCTTCTGTGGGGCATACTAGGTAGCAATGAAAGTGTGCCAGAGTTTCTATCCTGAACAGCCAGTCCAGAAGGACATTGTGGTTCATGGTATCCACATCTGTTGAGAGGCTGCTTAGTTACAGTCTCCAATGTCTACTTGCCTAAGGTCATTAAGTAGAACCACAAAGGAAGTGTCAATGCGAAACATGGGCCAGGAGATTCAGGAGTACAGAAAAAGAAACTTCTGACTTGAAGAACTATTGAGAGGAAGGGGTATGGATGGAATCTAGTCTTTTGGGGCTTCATCCTGTCTCTCAGCTCAAGGGACTCATTTCCCACTTTCTTTGACCTGCTGCGTTAACTTCAGTATGGAAATCTCTGTGCAGAAGTTTCTTACAATGTATCAGTCATATGGGAGCATGACAGATCCACATATGTGCAAAAAGTCTTTGGATATAAGGTTTTAGGATCAAGGCTATTGAATGCAGCTCGTAATCTATTTAAAACAAACAACAGCAGTGCAAAACTCTTAACTTATTTAAATAGATCTATTTAGAAGATCATGCTTGCAATTCATTTTGGGCCTTTGGGTGTTTCTCTTTTTTGAAGTATGTGAATTCCCCTTTTATGAAATATGCCGTGAAAATGTATCAAGAATTGAGTGTTCAGAGTTGGGGTGCTGTTACCACAAAGAAACGTGCTATAAGAAAGCTGTACCACGTAAGTAACTATAATTTTGTAGCCCAAACTCAAGGTCAGTTGCCAACCTTAAGAGCAAATTCCCTTTTCTTCAAGTAAGAACATTATTATTATTATTATTATTATTATTATTATTATTATCCCTCTGTGGCTGCTTCTAGAAAGCAGATTTCCTTGGACAGCCACAAATTGGCAATTACTGCACAAAAACGAGATGTGATACAGCATGATCACAGATGTTTGACAGGAGGGTTCTGGAGAGTAGGAAAGAGGAAACTTCTCATTTCTCCTTTCTTCCCTCTTGAAGCCTCATTGTATATGGCACAAGGAGAAGAGCTTTTCTTAAAACTCATGGTGTGCACTTCTCCTACACCCCAAGTCCTTATTTCAAGAATCCTATAAGATCCCATGGCTTAAGCAAGGCAACTCCTATCGACCCACCCTGTTTTTCCTTCCCCCTCTCCAATGGACACTTATCAACACCCCATGGCTCCTGAAGGCTAGTGAGCATGCTCAGTCCTAGTTTCTCTCTCTCTGGCAGGAGATCTCTTTTCTTTCATTTAGTAATGAATATACTATGTACATGTATATGTATATGTATATGTATATGTATATGTATATGTATATGTATATGTATGGATAGTAGTATTGCATCCACCAGCTTGACTGTACTGTGGATGGTTTTGTATCACAACCCAACTGACAGACATGGCACCATGAAGTTTGCTACTGGAGGAAAGACAAAATGTCCCAGTTGTTCCTTCCAGTCCTTAACAGGACCCTTGTAGTGTATTCAACGTTTACAGCAGGGGACAGCAAACTACGGTCCCCGGGCCAGATCAGGCCCGCCAGGGTTCTAAATCCAGCCTGCCCGGCCATTTAAGAACCCGCCACGAAGCCAAGACTCCCGGTGATGGTGATGGGAGGACGAGTGGCGGCTCTGCCAATCAAACGCCATGCCTGTTTTACCTCAGCGTGGCGTGTGTGGATGTCTCTGCCAATCAAATGCTGCGCCGCACCAGGCGCAGCGTTTGATTGGCAGAGACGTCCCCGCACTGCGCTGAGGTAAACCAGGCCCGCCGTTTGATTGGCAGAGCCACCACCGCTCAGTCTCTTCTGCCGCCGCTGCCGCCCTAGTGCTCCTGTGACTGCTGCCACTCTGTGTCCCCATGAGGGGGGCGGCAGTGGCGTTCCTGGAGGACAGCCGGTCTGGGCTAGGGCTCGGCGGGGCCGCTGCTGCGCTCCAATGGCAGTCGACATGACGGAGGACAATGAGGCCCAGGCAGTGGCCTTCACCTCAGGAGGATGAAGGGGTGGAAACATCTGCACATGGCGGCAGATGCAGGTGAGGCACCAGCTTGTCCTTGTCTCCGTCTTCGTGCTCCTTGAAAGAGGTGCATGCCGCTCTCGGCCAGCTGCAGGCTCCCGGCTTCCGAGGCACCCAGTTCCTGCGAGCGTGCCAGCCCACTCTCCAAAACTTCCCGTCTGGCCCCCAACAGTGTCTGAGGGACAGTGAATCGGCCCCCTGTTTAAAAAAAGTTTGAGGACCCCTGGTTTACAGGGATATGGAAAATTATAAAAAGAGATGAAGTGTGGGGGGGAAAGAACCCTCATCATCCAAATATTTCCATTCCTGTGTTAAAGAACTCAGATTAGGGACAGCCAGCCAATCTCATGCCTAAGTGCTTTAAGGGCTATATAATGGAGTAGGCAGAAAAGCTTCTGGAAAGGGAACTTTGATTTTGCACAGGAATGGTGACATTGCACTCTTTTCTAAAAAAAATTGCATTTCATTTTCAGTGTTCTCTTTGCACTGGAATTCACTTGTGAACTGCCTTGGGAGCCAACTTTCTGAAATATAGGATAGAACAAAATGCAGTGAAGACGAATACCAAGGAGAATACCAAATAATCCTATGCACAGTCGCAACATGGGACTCTGAGGCACAGAGGCAGTGTGGATTGCCTCCAACCTGGCTCTGCCCATCTGAACTCAGATGAATAAACCTGTTGAGAGTCTGTTGGGATTCAGGGCTACAATCCTATTGGTTGTGGGTCTCCACTAGAATGGAGGTGGCGAGTGCTGCTTCTGACTTGGTGCGGCCTTGGCAGGGTCTGAGCCACCGGCTTCGTTTGTTGGGTGCTTAAATGGGCCTTGGCCACAGCAGCTCCCCAACTCAGCTGGCCTGTACTGCTGGTTGGATGACCACATCATCAAACAGAGGACACAGATCTGCATAAAATTTACATAGGCCAATCTATATCATAGCTGTCAACATTTCCCTTTTTTTAAAAGGGAAATTCCCTTATTCCGAATAGGATTCCTTGCAAGAAAAGGGAAAAGTTGACAGCTATGATCTATATGTGCAAATTCAGATTTAGAAATAATTACTATAATTTAATAGAAGTAGAATGCATCTCATTGAGAGCCAGTGTGGTGTAGTGGTTAAGAGCGGTAGTCACGTAATCTGGGGAACCGGGTTCGCGTCTCCGTTCCTCCACATGCAGCTGCTGGGTTACCTTGGGCCAGTCACACTTCTCTGAAGTCTCTCAGCCCCACTCACCTCACAGAGTGTTTGTTGTGGGGGAGGAAGGGAAAGGAGATTGTTAGCCGCTTTGAGACTGCTGAAGGGGAGTGAAAGGCGGGATATCAAATCCAAACTCTTCTTCTTCTTCATGAAAGTGGGGAAAACCTGACCAGATAGCCAAGTGTGGCTGTCCAGGTGTTGTGGTTCTTTATCTTTAACCGCAATCTTTTAAACTATTTGGATCCGTCAATGCTTCAAAGAGCTGGCTCCTTCAAATACAGTGGTGCCTCGCAAGACGAAAAGAATCTGTTCCGCGAGTCTCTTCGTCTTGCGGTTTTTTCATCTTGCGAAGCAAGCCCATTAGCGGTTTAGCGGATTAGCACTATTAGTGGCTTAGCAGGCTTAGCGGATCAGCTGATAAGCGGCTTAGCGGCTTAGCGGATCAGCTGATAAGCGGCTTAGTGGCTTAACGGATCAGCTGTTAAGCGGCTTAGCGGATCAGCTGATAAGCGGCTTAGCGGCTTGGGAAAAAGGAAAAAACCCCCGCAGGAACTCGCAAGACATTTTCGTCTTGCGAAGCAAGCCCATAGGAAATTCGTTTTGCGAAGCACCTCCAAAACGGAAAACCCTTTCGTCTAGCGGGTTTTCCGTCTTGCGAGGCATTCGTCTTGCGGGGCACCACTGTACAGGATAAATGGCTGGCCATGGACTTCAACATTCATGACTGCAGTCCTTTCATCGTTTAGACAAACTTGAACAGGCTGTGTATGAAGCTCTCCTTAACTGAAATGTTGCCTAAAACTACAGTTGTTTATGTATGAGTGTTTTGGGGGAGGGGGAAAATCCTGGTTAATGTGGCCCTTTAAAAAAATAAATAAATGTGAGAACCATCTCTCCTCTTAAAGTGAAGGCTGTGCCAAACAGGAAAAGTCTGATGATGTCAACTGTACCTTTTCAGTTCAGAAGATGGTTTCAATCGCTTTGAAGGGAAGTTTATCTATAGGATTAGGCAGAACAGGATGACTCTCTGAGGCCTGTTTTAAACAGTGGCACAGACCACAAGGTAAGGTAGGCAACTGGTGTGCTTGTAGTGACCACGTAACTCTCCATTGTATGCTTGTAACAAAGCTGTCCTTTATAAACAAGATAAATAAATTCAAAATTAACACTTCACCCTGTCAGAAATTTGAAGAAAGTTGCATTTTTATTTTTAGAATACATGAAAGCCTTTATTTGCTTAATAGTGATCGTGATGGTGGCCTTCTGTATATTTGTGCTGTATAGGTAAGTTGACGCTTTATACAAACTTGATTAGCTAAATGTCGGCCTCCTATGAGTTACTTAAAATATTCCGGGATTAAGCCCCAAGAAAATGTTGCTAATGTTATAGTTTAGAAAAGGAGAGCAGGATTTTATTTTTTTCTTCATATTGATTCATGAAGGAAGGTATGAGATCCACAAAAAGGAGAAGATTGAGAGATGTGTGGCTGAGGGGTATAGGTTCTGGACTGACTGACTGACTGACTGACTGACTGAATAAATGAATGGGATAGTTCAATCTAGAGCCTATAAAATGCTTTTATTTTCTTTGTAAGAAAGTTTAGAACATTTGTAATATTTTAAACCGGTTGCATCTGGAAGAGGTGGCTTTGGTGGTCTAATGTAGCATCCTGCTTGCGGTTAACGCTTAGCTGGAATGAAATATTCAACGCAGCAATAGAGAAATTAAAATAATAATTTATTTGTCAGACAAATAAATGAGAGACACAGTGGTATATGGATACCAAAGCTCTGCCCACTCCAGCCCTGATGGCCAGCACTTATATTTCCTCAGCCCAGCCCCCTTGCTCCTCCTTTGGCTGCCTCTGTCCAATCAGCCTGGTTGAAATTCCTATTGGCTGTTTGCTAGAACCAATCATAAAAGATACACCCATTTCCTATAACGTATTATGGGAGACAAAGAGCTATATTTCCTTCTATCCATAAATGGCAGACAAGTAGCCATATATCTTACATTTGCCTCGACCAGGCACCTTAATTATCAGATCATCTTTGCCCTATTGCCCTATTGCCCTATTGCCCTATTCACTCCAAAACAGATGGCTAATGGTTTTAATTTTTATCTTAAACAGAGATCTTGGGTTCACCTTCTCACACACCATCAATGAAATAAGAATCTAACATAAGAATCTAACATTTCTTACTTTCTAAATCCTTTGCATAATTACATTTAAGCCAATATATTTCATACATAACATATATAGATTTTTAGAAGAAAAGGCCTTTTCAAAGTAACAAGGAACTTAATAAAAACAGTTTCCAAAAGCAACCCCTTAAATTTACACCCCCCCTTTCAAGCCAGCTGCTGTTCCCATTAGCTCTTGCCCTTTAACCTTAGGAAGATGTGGCTCGAGTCTGATGGGAGGCACATGGTATTTTCTGTTAAACAATAAATTTCACTATTTACCAACTCTTAATTAGTGTTTTTGCAGCTTGATTGTATTCTGTAATTTGTATGGTCAATATGACCTTTTGCTCCCAGCCTGTAATTTCCTTTTACAACCCTGAGGTACTGCTATAGATCAGGGGGGGCCTTGATCAAGAAGATAAACAACTGCCAGAGTACTCAGCCAGCTGCTTTATGCCTGGCATAAAGCATACAAACATTTGCAAATATATTTTTTAAGCTCATTTTAAAATGCAGACCTTGATCTGATGCCTCACTAACTGTGTGGAAGAGTGGGAAATAATAATAATAATAATAATAATAATAATAATAATTAATAATAATTTTATTATTTGCACCCTGTCCATCTGACTGGGTTGTCCCAGCCACTTTTGGCAGCTTCCAACATACATGAAAACCTAATAAAACAGTAAACATAAAAAAATTTCCCTATACAGGGAATACATCACACCAAGATATACCAGTAGAATTCTAAATTTAAAATATTAAGCTTTAGATTCCTAAATTAATCAACATGCTGCACTGGGACAAGCAAGGCAATTTTCTTTGGTTTTTATGTGTGTGTTTTCATCAAAAGGGTATGAATATGTTTCTTAATAGCTTAACTACAGGTAAGATCGGGGTCCCATTCCATCGAGAAGCACCTGTAAGTAAGGTTTCCCCTGGAGTGGTTTCTCAGATAGCAAAGTGTGGGTAACCTGTGGCCTTCTGAATGATGTGAACTCCAGATCCCAACACACCTACATAGGCCATGTGGACTAGGGCTGATGGGAGTTGTAGTCCGAAACAGCTGGAGGGCAAAACATGGGAAGACCCCTGACATAAAAGCGCATGAACCCAATATTATCTTGGGACTGCACATTGCAGGGTGAGATCAGTGATAGAGAATGAGTTTTTAAATTTTAATCTTTGGGGAAGCTTGGCCTGTATCAGCGGTGAACTTTGAGCTTTCAAATTTCAGTGGTGCCCCGGGTGTGGCTAAATTTTGGCGCACACACCCCATCTCATTCGCTCCGTTCTACAGCATTGTTGTGGCACCCTCTGCTGTGCAATACCTAGTATGGTCACACGGGTCTACCGTAAAACTGCCTCTTCTAGTCTTACTGATCTTCAAGCTGAGGAGCTGCTAATGAGCTTTTGAGAAAATTCAGGGATTCCTGAAACTGTTTGAAAACCACTGGTTTAACATAAAGTCCACCTTAATCCAACAGTGCAGTGTGGAATTTGTACTATTATTATTGTTATCACGGTGGATAAAAATGATTAAAAAAACCCGGATTTTTTAAATTTAAAATGGATTTTTAAAATTTAAATTTAAATTGGATTTTTGAAATAAAATGCTTTTGGAGGAAAATTCTTTTAAGTTACATTATAGTCCAAAGGCTGTTCATCAGGAAATAAGGATTTAAGTTTTCCATGTGTGCCTAAAACTCAGTCTAAGTTTTTCTTTTTATTGTTTAACCACATCAGTTAACAAACATGGATACATATGCTATAATGTTATTGTTTTAGTTAAATTGTTTAAATTGTTATTAAGGAAATGATTATTTTTCTCCTTCCAATAAAGTACAGCAGAAGAGTTGTCCAAATATAAACAGTTAACTTATTAAACCTCACAATAATTTCATAATTATCTGTCTATCTTCTAACAGTATAACCAAATCAGTAATTTTTGATACAACCATAAATGCTATTCTCAAAATTTATTATTCAAAAAATTAAACCTTCATCTGGTTGTAAATTATAGATTATACCAGCAAGAATAAGTCTTTCTGTAAAAAAATGATTGATATCAATTCTTACTGACGTGATTTAAATTGTGATTTAAATCGATTTTATTCAAATCAAATCCGCCCTGGTTATTATTAACAGCAAATAACAAAATTTCAAAACAGTTGTTGCGCAGGTAAAAAGAGAAAGTCATCTTTAGAGGATGAAGTGAAAAGTTCATCAGATGAAAGTGACAGTTCTGCAGAGTCTGATGAAGATTAGCTCCAGGTATATGAAAAGTAAGTGGGTTTTTTTTGTGTGTGTTGCCCCATGGAAGCAATCACTGAATGCTTTCTCGTTATCTGATACAGTAGTGATCATCAGGACAGTCCAAGATGGTATTCAGACATGTACATAGAAGCAAAAGTGTACTTAAGATCCCAGATCAGATTTCATCCCTGTTAGGGAGGGGGGCGAAATCTGATTCACATTCACATTTAAAACTGAATGAATCAAATCTGCACTTTTTGAAACGGTAAGAGAACTGAAATGCAGCCATCTTTTGAAATTCACACTTTTTTTTCAAATTTTGCAATGCAGTTCTCAAACCAACCATTTTTTTTTAAAGGCATGCATTAGGAGAAACTGTGCATGCATAAAAGGAACATACTAGTGAACATAACATTCAGAAATGCCTAATATTAGGAGAAATGGCTGGCAAAAATGTGTCCACTAGTCAGAATCACAGACAAAAATGTGTTAGGAAAAATTTGCACCAAATTTTTAAAGACATTTCATGAGGTGTTTTTTTTTTTTTTTAAATTGCAAGTTGTTTCACAAATGCAGAGAACTGAATTGAAGACTGGAAAAAAGAGAAACACAGAGAAGCAAAACTGACTGTTGTTTTGATTATGTTTTATTGGATGCTTATTGCTGACTTTATTCTTAAATGCTGTATACTGCCATGATAGATTTTTATGAATGTGTGGATTATCAATCAATCAATCAATCAATCAATCAATCAATCAATTATCTTTCCATCAGATAGCACTCAAAGTACTGATTAAGACAGAAAGGGTTAGTACTGGAAGTGGACATGTCAGAAAAAGAATTGCGCGCTCTCTCTCTCTCTCTCTCTCTGGATTTGATTGATTCTAAAGCAAGTCATTTTGTTCTGTTTAGCTCTCATTGAATTGTAGAATGGCAAGACAGAAGTGGACACCAAACTTGGATTTAATTTGGCCGTGATGACTTCATTGCTTACTAAGAGCCTGCCCAGTGCTGACTCCTGAAACAATTGGGTCTTATTAAACAAGTCCCAACTGTGCCCTTTTAAAATCTTACTGTGCTTGCTTTAGAACAGCTGCAACATGCCCAATAAAAAGAAAAGAAAAAAACCCAAAATCCTAAGAGGCAGTTATGGAGTTGTGTTGGAAGGGGAGGTGTGTGCATGGTGCGCACACACACAAAATAAAATTTTGTAAAAAAAAAAAAAAAAAGCTTGGTTCAAAATCTTTCCCAAAGGGTGTGTACACATGACGTTTTATTCTAGAATCAATGGGGACTTGTTTTTTCCACTTAACATACTGCAGGGGCAGCAGTCAGGGATTTTGGTAGTGGTAGTCCGAAAACATCTGAAAACCCATGGGTGAGAAAGGTACAGTACTGAGGTAGATGGATCAATGGCCTATGTTCATATATCTGCTCATCTCTTAGCACACTAGTGTTTCTTGACACACTAGATTCCCTCGTACCATACATTTAAAGCACATTCAATGCACATGGCTTTCCCCAAAGTATCCTGGTAACTGTGGTTTGTGAAGGATCCTGGGAATTGTATATCTGTGAGGGTAAACACTACAGTTCCCATGATTCTTTGGGGGAAGTCCTGCCCTTTAAATGTATGGTGTGGATCTGTCGCCCCAACCCCCACAGTTTGAGAATCACTGCATCACACGTTTCATTATTCCAGTACATATGGTGAAATCATAGCTGGGAAGAGAAACCTGGCTGCTATTATGTTCAAGTATATCCTTTTCAAGCAAAATGCTTCCCAGTTCATCATAAATGTTACCAAAGGTCCCTTTTGTCCACCTCCTTGAATAGCTTCTTTTCTTCCCCGCTATCCTTGTTGCTTGGAATTAAATTCAAAGTGTTGCTTTATCAAGCCCATTTGTTGTTATAGTCACTAGTTGATTGCAAATGTACATCCATTCTCCCACCCCCCTCCAGCCTTTTAAAAAGGGCTGATCACTATGGTAACCATATTACAGAAATGATCTTTTCGCCTGGTCTCCTCAAAACGCCCTTCAGAAAAAAGGTCATTTGGCATTAACATTTTCTGACGAAAACTTGAAATGTTGGCGGCATTGAGACTATTCAAGGCTCCTTGCCATGGTCTTATTTTTCTCCCTCTTTCCCACCCACCCCTCTTAACCATCCCATTATCTATATTTCAGAACAATATCAAAACAAAGCCAAATATTGATGCCCCACATAAATTTGAGGTTGCAGCAGTTTGCACATGTTTTGAAATAGGAAGATTCTATTAAAAGACTGCCCTAGGAGAGAAATTAATGGCAGTATTCTCTCCCTTCCATCTCCTTCTCTTTCTCAAGGACGGGGGAAATGTCGTTTGAGTATACACTTTTGCTCCATGAATGTCAGTGTGCAATGGATTCAATGGATGAGGAGGACATTGATTCTGAATCATCAAATCGCTGTTTGTCTCGGAGAACTAAAATAGCAACTCCAAAGGTTAACGTTCTGGGGAGAGAAGTGCTGAAGGGGTTAGGCTAGCAAAAGGGGGGACGGACCCAGTTCTGATTATAATAACAGAGTCGTAGGTTAGCAATACAGAAAATTATGCCCATTCTTTCTCATGCCACTTGTATTCAGCTTGATTGGACATGATGTCTTGCTGGTACTGACACTGTCTGTCCAGGATACTAATATTTGTATCCCAGAGGGCAAAATCTTCAATGGATCTTTTCCGAGTGCTTCTCTCACATTTTGATAATGGGTAAACCAGTTAAAAGTTTGTCCCCCCCCAAAAAAAAATAGGGAGGAAAGGTGAGTGTTCATCCACATTGATAGGTATGTGCCATTGATAGAAGGTTCGTGCCAATGCCATCCTAACTTCATTCTTCCTCTCTGCCCAGAGTGCTGCAAAAGACTAAGAGGATGTTCGTTTAATTGGAAAGCCTACCACCGAGATCTAAGGCAGCTGAGGCAAAGGAAGCACTCTTTCTTTGCTCAATGGCACTGGCTGAAGGATGTATATAAGGTGGCCTTATTAAAGTGACAAGGCAATTTAATTCTTTTGTGCACAATGATTCTACTTCATTGATTTACAATGGGAAGGATATAATTTTGCTAGTGTTGGCAAAAAGCTCAAATGTCAGGCTTTTCAAATTGCCATACTTGCCTTGTTCGGGATGAATAATGAATAAGTCACCTTTTGTCTCCTGTTAAATATTCTTGAATAAATACAAAGAGCACGGGAGACATAAATGATCGCCGATTTTTTTATGTTTAAAATAAAGATCAACATTGTGATAAATGGTTGAGAATGTTCCAGGTGAAGTAATATGACTCTGCTGATAATTATGTTATCAATTATAGAACCGTCCAGGTGTAGAATGTGTGGCAGGAAGACAGACCTGCAAAACCCAGCATGCCAAACATCTCTGAAGGGGAGAAAACCAATTTACAAAGCTTATACAGACCGGGAAAATCTTGAACATGAGCATTCTGAAATTGCTTTGATACGTGCGTTCATCTGCAACTCTGGCCAGTGTAAATTGTTCTGCACCAGATTTTGCAAAGCACGCAGCAATTGCAGTTCACTTCAGTTGGGCCTGAATACTGTGCTTTCAAAGAGGAAAAACCAGACATCCTGGCTAAGAGAAAAATAATGACTTTACCACACTCAGTAGTAATCTGCAAATTCTGCAAGCCCCAAGAAAGCACCCTACTGTATTCATATTTGTACAGTTTGCTTATTCCATGTCCCAGCAGAGCTTAACAGGGAAACAATAGGGGAGGGGAATCTATTCAAATGGATAGCATCCTGCAATTTGCATTTTCCTTTTCATTTGAAAAATACCATCCCATGTTAATACATGGAGATTTATGTGGAAGAGGCCTTTTACACTACCATCCCATAACTTCCTGATCAGCTGCAACATCTAGCTAAATCCTGCTGTTTTTCACTATATTAGTCAAGTCACTCTCCTCCTGTCATCCTAGAATGTGGAAGTGGTCAAGTTAAAAGATGATTGAAGGGTTAACGTTTGGTGTAGTTTGACTATAGGGGAACTTCTATTTCCTTGTTCTGTAGTTTAAGACTAGCCAGGGCAACAATAATGAATTTCATTTAATGTTCAATATTTTAAACATATTCACTTGGTCCAGTAAAACCTATCATCAGTATATGAATTGTACATGAATTAGATCCTGTGGCATGCTGTTCTCATCCAATAATTTCAATTAGGTTAATTTCTACCTTAATGCTGAGGGTGTTTTTTCCCCTTTGTGTGGACACAACTTAGATTAAATTTTATGGAAAAAGTAGCATTTTCTTTCTTTCTTCAAATAGGTAGCTTTAAGAAGGTTTGATGAAAGCTCGACACAGAATGACTGTATTGATCCATGCACTTTCATTCAACCGGAGCATTTGAATAAGAATTTCACAGAAATTCATACTTTGCTGGCCTAGACAGAATCATGTAATTATCTCTGTAAGAAAGTTTATGCAGAAATCTGGACAATCGAACAGCAGGAGGTGGGGCGGGTATGGCATGTGTAAATAAATACAAAGTTGGGAGGCATTGTTAACACCACTGGGGGATTTAAAAATTACACTGTGTGAACCAGATACAGGCTGGGCATCAAAGGTTGGCATCATAGGGCTCAAGCCTTCAACCTAGCAGGGGGTATCACAGCTGATTCCTCTTCCTCACTGTTGCTGCCTGTTCAATGACACTCTCTCAATTTAGGAGCAGTGCACAAAGAAGGTCTCCACTTGCCTTGCCCTTTGGGCAGAGGTACAAATTGGGTGGCGCTGTGGGTTAAACCACAGAGCCTAGGACTTGCTGATCAGAAGGTCAGTGGTTCGAATCCCCGTGACAGGGTGAGCTCCCGTTGCTCGGTCCCTGCTCCTGCCAACCTAGCAGTTCGAAAGCACGTCAAAGTGCAAGTAGATAAATAGGTACCACTCTGGTGGGAAGGTAAACGGCGTTTCCGTGTGCTGCTCTGGTTCGCCAGAAGTGGCTTACTCATGCTGGCCACATGACCTGGAAGCTGTACACCGGCTCCCTCAGCCAATAAAGCGAGATGAGCGCTGCAACCCCAGAGTCGGTCACGACTGGACCTAATGGTCAGGGTTCCCTTTACCTTTACCTTTACAAATTGTTGCAAGAGGGCGTGGTCAAAAGAACGAGGAGGCATGGAGGTGTTCTGCTTAGGGTCCAACCACAGACCCACCCAAGATCTGGAGTCAACACTAATTGTGTGACTTCACCAGGTGGAGAAATACAGAACCGAATTCAACAGCTCAAGTAACTGATCATTATTGTAAGGACAACGATATAAGAATTTTAGTGAATGCATCCAGGACAGACTGAAGAGATCACAGAATTGTCAACAGACCAACCGGGGGTTGTGCCTGCTGTCTCTGTTCTTGGCCTATGCATATTGTAGCTGCTCTGTGCGCAGCTGGAAACCCTGCAAAAGGCAGTGCTGCCCATTGCATGGAACCTACACCCATAAACTTGCATGTGCAAATGTTTGCTGAGTGTGTGGAAGGCTGAGCCAGGGGTACGCACCATTACATCCTCCTGCATGGAAAAAAAAAGTATAATGTGATGATTATACAAAGAGGGTAGATTACATAGTTGGATTAATTAGGCAATGCATTTTTAGTAAGGACAGGAGAATGTTGGGACCTTTGTACAAGACACTGGTGAGGTTACATCTGGAATAGTATTGTCCATTGTTAGTTCAATAGGAAAGAATTAAAGCTGGTCTAGATGCCTGCCAGAGACTGAGAGAGCACAATGAAGAAGATAAAAGAACTAAATAATATTAGCTGGTTTAGATAATTTCATCCAAATTCATTTTGTGACAAGAGATTAAAGGGAGCTTGTCCTTTTTAGCTTGGCAAAAGGAGGCTAAGAGAAGATATGATGCTAATATATTGGCAACGGATAATAGGAAAGCCACCTAATTAGGTTAAAGAGTGTTGTGTGTACAAACTCCGGTGACTGCAACATGGAATTTAGAGTCAAAATCCAAAGAACGTTTCCAATGGTTGGCGATACAACATTCTAGAATAGTCTCCCTGGAATAAACATTGGTTGAAAAAGTTCGAAAGAGAACTGGATACATTCGCAATGCAAAATCCAGCTTGCAACTGCAGTTTACTTCGGTTGGCACATTGATCGGTTGTCTGTCTGGAGGAAGGAGCAGGGGATAGATGGCCCTTCCATGTTTGCCCTTTGTTTCCCACCTTGTTAAACAAGATGTCGCACACACTCTGAAGTTTTCCTACTTTTCCCTGATCCAACAGTAGAAGAAGAAGAGTTTGGATTTGATATCCCGCTTTATCACTACCCGAAGGAGTCTCAAAGCGGCTAACATTCTCCTTTCCCTTCCTCCCCCACAACAAACACTCTGTGAGGTGAGTGAGACTGAGAGACTTCAGAGAGAAGTGTGACAAGCCTAAGGTCACCCAGCAGCTGCATGTGGAGGAGTGGAGCTGCAAACCCGGTTCACCAGATTACGAGTCTACCACTCTTAACCACTGCACCACACTGGTTCTCACAGTGCTGTCTACATCCTTGCTTGTTTCACTGACATTCACACGGTATGATGCCTTCCTTTTCCTAGGAAGCATACTTCATTAAGCTGCTGAGCAGATTGGCTGCCATTTTCTGACACCAGTTCACTCTCTCTCATCGTAGAATCAAGTTTGATAGCTAAAGATGTGGTCAGATTCCCTGAAATTGTGAACCCTACTTAGTACCTAAAGATGGGTTCACTCATCATGAAGAGCCTTCTAAATGTACAGTGGTGCCTCGCAAGACGAAAAGAATCCGTTCTGGGAGTCTCTTCGTCTAGCGGTTTTTTCGTCTTGCGAAGCAAGCCCATTGATGGGATTAGCGGATTAGCGCTATTAGCGCTATTAGCGGCTTTTAGCGGCTTTTAGCGGCTTTTAGCAGCTTATCAGCTTATCGGATAAGCAGATAAGCGGCTTAGCGACTTAGAAAAAGAGGGGGAAAAGGAAAAAAACAACCCAGGAACTCGCAAGACATTTTCGTCTTGCGAAGCAAGCCCATAGCAGATTCGTTTTGCGAGGCACCTCCAAAACGGAAAACTCTTTCGTCTAGCGAGTTTTCCGTCTTGCGAGGCATTCGTCTTGTGGGGCACCACTGTACTTGATACTGTTGTGTACTTGATGCTGAGCGTACTTTAAAAACAAGAAAACACCTTCTGACCTTTCTGTTTGACACAGGAAGACGGGCTGGAGAAGGTATGTCCACATTGCATAGCCAGTGCATCCAGTCTCACCACTTGAGGTGAAATGGGAAGTAGCATTCCACATGGCTCTCTCTACTCTGCCTGCTCTGCCATTTTCATCACCAGCGGGAGAAACGGTTCTTGCATCAGCCATGGAGTGACTGGTGGAGCATCCATGGGGGTGTCCCCTCAGGGGCCCCTGCTGCTTCTAGGCAGCTGCTTCACCCTGCCCCATGAGTGGGCCAGACCTGCCACACTGTTTACACTCTCTGCTCACATGCATTCTTTTCAACGCATGAAAAGGGCGAGTGCATTGCAGCATCAACCGGTGTGACAACACAGTGATAGTACAGAGTGAGACAGTACTGGAATATGAACTAATTTCCAGCATCTGATTTTAGTCCAGGCTTCTCAACCTGCGCACACCAGGTAGTGCTGTTTTACCATACAGTCATACCTCATGTTACGTTTGCTTCAGGTTGCGCATTTTTAGGTTGTGTCCCGTGGCGACCCGGAAGTACCGGAAAGGGTTACTTCTGGGTTTCGCGTATGTGCAGATGCACAAAATGACATCTCGGGCATGCGCAGAAGCGGCGAATCACGACCTGTGCATGCACAGATGTGGGTTGTGTTTCTTTCAGGTTGCGAACGGGGCTCCGGAACAGATCCTGTTTGCAACCAGAGGTACCACTGTATTGCCTTATAGGTCCTCCCCATTGAATTTTTATCCAGTGGGGCCATGAAGAAATTGGAAAAAAAATTCCCTCCCTCTCAATAATCAAAACAAAACTAAAACAACCTTCTTTGACCGACTGGGTGAGCAAACTGGGGGTGGGCCTATTTAAATAGCACTCTTCTCTCTGATCTGCTTGGGGGTCCCACCGAATTGACTGCCATGGGGAACCCACCGCCCCCACCTGTGCTGATGTCACCATACGGCCTCCTCCCTCGGCAGCATAGCCACACCAAGGTGGGATAATCTTGCTCCCCTCCCCTCCCCGCCTCTATGCCGGGCTGTGCGTCAGGGACCCCAACCAACTTGCATAAATCATGGCCAAAGAAAACAGCGTTCTGCTTTTCTAGGGAGGACCGAGATGAATAGAAGATGAAGACATAGTCCCACCTTGGTTAACTTCTGCATTTTAATATATACATTACAATGGTGCATAATGAAAGAATGCAAACTTAATGCATTGCTCCATTTGCTGATGCTACGAAGCTGCAGTTTAGTATTCAGTTCCATGGCACAGGAGGCAAGGCGATCAGCCTTTGCTTCCTTGGATGCGAAATATTGCATCTTTCATCAAGGTAATGTATCTTTTCAAAAAACTGTCAGAATCATTCAGATTGAATGAATGAAGAAATCAATAGTAAAATTATATTAAAGAAAAACACTGCTTTGCTCACCATTAAAGGTTTCAAGTTCAATAACAGTGGACTTAAAAAAAAGAAGAAGAAGCCCTTCTTAATATTTTGATACATAATGCGCTTAATGCACTATACTGAGGAGAACGCAAAGGGTGCCACCAGTTAATTTATGTTGCTTTCAATCCCCTCTTACCTGCTTCCAGTTCTGATTCTCTCTTGCATACTTTCTTTCTTTTGGAATAGAGAAGTCACTTTTTCTTAGCATGAAAACCGGTGCCACACCTTGAATAGTGTTTGTATAAAGGCAAAACTTTAATTCTTCTGCAACAAACAAGTGGGCTTAATAAAGCCATTGCTTTGCATTTCTTGTTCCTGAAGACCAGCATAGCCCCAGTTCCACAAAAATGCTGTGTGTGTGTGTGAAAAAGGTGATAGTTGGAACACATCCATTGCTTTCAATGGGTGTACAGTAGTACCTCGGGTTAAGTACTTAATTCGTTCTGGAGGTCCGTTCTTAACCTGAAACTGTTCTTAACCTGAAGCACCACTTTAGCTAATGGGGCCTCCTGCTGCCACTGCGCTGCCGGAGAACGATTTCTGTTCTCATCCTGAAGCAAAGTTCTTAACCCGAGGTACTATTTCTGGGTTAGCGAAGTCTGTAACCTGAGGCATATGTAACCTGAAGCATATGCAACCCGAGGTACCAATGTACTAATACCTCAGTTTAAGAACAGCCCTGTTTACGAACTATTTGGTTTATGAACTCCGCAAAACCAGAAATAGTGTCCCGGTTTGCGAACTTTACCTTGGTCTGAGAATGGAATACTAACGGTGGAAGGGCAGGCATCCTTAGGGAAAGCGCGCCTCAGTTTAAGTATGGCTTCGGTTTAAGAATGGACTTCCGGAATGGATTAAGTTCGTAAACCGAGGTACCATTGTAGTAGATGTCACCCTGTAGATTTACTTTTTGCAGAGCAAGTGGTTGCATCAAGATCACCTTTTACATAGCGACCGGAGGACGAAGAATTAAGTGAGAACGAAACCTAAGAACATAGTAAGAGCGTGCTGGATCTGACCAATCCTCAGCAAAGCCCCACTATGTTCCCGGCTCACGAGGAGACCCACCCTGGAGTCCAAAATGGACATCATCCAAGGGCTCTGGAGAGAGTCTCCTCATGAGCCAGAGGCACAGCAGGGCTTTGCTGAGGTTCTTCAGCCTCCCAGCTAACAGGTGACCCGTGGGAAAGCCTCACCTCAGCTGAGCAAGGCCCCAGCTGTTCCAGCTCACGTGAGCCAGACAGGTGCAGTGGGGGCTCGTTAAGCTGCTTGGCTGAGGTGTGGAAGGCTCCCATCGCCTCAGCTGAGCAGCCTCAGCAAGCCTCTGGCTGGAGAGGAGAAGAGGATCTCTTTGGGCTCCCTGGTGGGTCTTCTGGAGGAAATGCATTTTTTTTCTGGGAAAAAAGCACTGGGTATAACTCACTGAAGGCTGAAAGAAAACTTGAGGTATGTCACTGTATTATTAAACAACCAAGCAACTATAAAACAAAATGCAGTTGAATGCCAGGATTGTACTTAAAATAAGACAAAGGCAAAGGGGCTGGTCTTACCACAAAGCAAAGTGAAGCAGTTGTTTTGAGAGGCTTCCAGCATCCATCTTGACAGGTGGGAGGAGGAACAAAAGACAGGTATCATTTTGACTTCTTGTTTCCAAGGTGGGAAATGTCTCAGGATGTCAGCATTTGATGCCAAGTTCCCTATTCTGCAATGTTATCAACAAAGATAGATTTAAATGATATCTCTCTCTTTCATCTCTGCGTTCCACAGAAGGGGGTTTGGCTTGCAAAAGAAATCTCTGGCCATGATAACAAAGCTGGGATAGCTGCAGAAAACGCAGATCTTGTGGGCCCTTTGAGGTGTTGTATGTAGGCATGCTTGGTTCTAAGGAAGGAACCGTTCCATCACTGCCGTTCTAGCAATGGCCAAAGTTTACTGAATACTCCATTCTCTACTATTCTGCATGTGTGAATAAACTGACCTTCCCAGAATACCTGATGAGAAACCTTGTATTTTCCTAGGCCTCATAATTTGTAAGCAGTTCCCAATAACCAGGAAATGCGCTTTGATCGGCGCATGCTTTTGACTCTGTAGTTCCCTTCTACCACCCCACTGGATATTTTCACTTATTTCACATTTATAAATTGCTCAGAATCAGAGGAATTTGGGTTTCCCTCCCCCCTCCTTAGAGCCCACCTTGTTAAGAAACTCTTGAATGGTATAACTAGTAAATAGCATTCATTCCTAAAAATGAAATGAAAACGCCAAACTGGAAAACCAGAATTAACAAGGCAGGCTTAAGACAACCACATATTAGAGTTGTCAAATGATTAAATAGTTTTTAGTTTTAAGCGTTTGTTTTTTCACTGATTATGATGTCCTCATGTAGTACATTTAAGTAGATTTGCAGAGCACCCCTGCTAATTAAATGTGTCTTTTGGGGCTCCTGTGGTATTGTACAATTTAATAAACAAAAGCTCTCATTGTTAGTAGAAAAGGCCACCTTTAATATTTTATTTTTTGTTTCACATTATTACCAATAACACACCGGAAACAAAATAACCTGAAAAACAGAAGATACGTGCTCTTAACTCCCAGCTCCAACCCCTCTGACTAATTGACCGGTTTGACTGACTCATGCAGTGCTATCTCACAAGCAGCCCAAACACAACATTCTGCCCTCAGCTCTGCATCTCAGGCTGCTTCTTCTCATTTTCCATGGCTTTTCTTCAAGCTTTCTATTTGCTTCTGTGCATCCCTGGTGACGTTGCTAGCCAGCTGGCACGGATCTTCACCCTTCTCTCCTCTACAGAGATTAGATTGAACAGAGACTGTTCGGTGAGTTCTGAATTGGCTGCACTCCTTTTTGGAGAGTGTGTTTATTAATGGCACACAGACTTCTTCAATATCTGTGCCATGCTGTAAAAAGATGAAAGGATGCTTCAGGGTGGGGTGCAGTTGGGGGAGCAGAACTGCAGCAGACAATATATTAATTGCTGAGAAAAGCAGTGCGTACTTTTTTAAACCAAGGAGTAGTAGTTATCTCCACCTCAATAAAACATTCACCTGATCACTGCCTGGTAGAGAGGGTGCCCTTTGGCTGGGAAAGACCCACAAAAAAGTAGTACTCCAATACACAAATGGGAGAGATACTCATACTCCAAGTGACTTGGAGTCACCCCATAGAGAATTATTATTGTTTTAGTACTCTAGATTCCTTACCTGCCTTTTACCATGAGGTCCCATGCCACTGGAAGTATGTGAGAATGTTACCTCAGGATCAAAGAGCAAGTTGCACGGGAACTCCATATTAGGAATTGTAGTGGAAATGTTGGAAGATGAATGGTTAATCTGAAAACGTGTACGTGGCCTTGCACAATTAACTCTTCATATCACCATATGAAGTGACGCAGGTGGCGCTGTGGGTTAAACCACAGAGCATAGGACTTGCTGATCAGAAGGTTGGCGGTTCGAATCCCCGCGACGGGGTGAGCTCCTGTTGCTTGGTCCCTGCTCCTGCCAACCTAGCAGTTCGAAAGCACGTCAAAGTGCAAGTAGATAAATAGGTACTGCTCCGGCGGGAAGGCAAATGGCGTTTCCGTGCGCTGCTCTGGTTCGCCAAAAGTGGCTTAGTCATGCTGGCTACATGACCCGGAAGCTGTACGCCGGCTCCCTCGGCCAATAAAGCGAGATGAGTGCCGCAACCCCAGAGTCGGCCATGACTGGACCTAATGGTCAGGGGTCCCTTTACCTTTACCTATCACCATATGAAAGCAGGGCTTCATGGCTCTCCTAAAGCCCAGCAGTAGTGATTCTAATGCTGACTTGATTGCTTACAGCTGTGCTCCTGGTGCAGAGATAACACAGCTGTAGATTAAATACTTTGTTTGCCTGCTGGCCTAGGTCATGAGACTCCCCATGCCTGGTGAAGGTAGCTTAACAATCAAGCCAGGGGAAGGTAGCTTAAAAACCTTAGGGCTCAAGTGGGGGAGCTTTGATGCAGGCATAAAGTGACATAGGTGCTGCATAGGGTGGCCAGAATGAGGTCTACTCTGCTGCTACATCCTTGGGCTCCCAGCAACTGAAAGGAGGGATTGTCATTTGCCTGGTATGTTAGTCTACTTTATTCTTGTGTGTGATAGGCCTGCTGTGAAACAAATTTCAAACTTCAGTCATTACCTGTGTTTTGCAAAAAAAAAAAAAAAGTGCCTCAAATTACTGCGAGGAGGACAATAAGTTTGGGAAAGAGATTTGCATTGATCAGTAAAGCAAAACTAATGAAAGTCCCTTTATGATAATGTTCACCTGAATGCATCACTGATATGTTGAGAGGTTATGGATCACTGTAAGCTTTTGAAAAGGCTGTGAGCTATGTAAAGGTAAAGGACTGCTGGATGGTTAAGTCCAGTCAAATTCGACTATAGGGTGCGGCACTTATCTCCACTTTCAGGCCAAGGGAGCTGGCGTTTGTCCGCAGACAGCTTTCTGGGTCATGTGGCCAGCATAGCTAATCCGCTACTGGTGCACGGAACACTGTGACAAGTGTCAGAGTGCATGGAAATGCCATTTAACTTACCGAGCTGGTATGCTTTCAAATTGCTAGGTTGGCAGGACAACTCTGGCTAGTAAAACAAAAGATTCTATCTTTGGGGTGTGCTAGTTACTTGAGCTTTCTGTGCTTGTTGATTCCCTACCTATGGTTGGCTAGTCATATGCAACTACCTACTGCCACACAGATTCCAGCATTTGCACATTGCAGCAAATGCCATTTTTCAAGTGTGTGGAGATATGAGGAACAACATATGGCTCTGCTACCATGTGCTCAAATGGCTGGTGATAGAAAATGAACCAACGTGCTTAGGAGTATGCAGTTAACAGCAGAACAAAAGAAGAACTTGATGGCTTAGGCCAATCGTCCACCTAGTCTAGTATTCTGTTCTCACAGTGGCCACCCAGATGCTTGTGGGAACCCCATGCACAAGGGCAATCTCCCCTCCTGTGGTTTAGAAGCATTTAGAAGCATTACTTCCTCTGAAGTTACTTCATGTAATCGTAATTCAGAGCATTGTCTGAAGGTATAGAATGCCTAAGCTAACCAGGTCTGGCCTTGAGCAGCATGTAAATGAGAGACCACCTGGGAACTACCTGAGTTGCTGTGAAGGCTTTGAAAGACTAGCAGGATGCAAACATAACATGCAAATAAGATGCTGCTTTGTGACCTAGTGATGGTGCTTGGTGGCTTTTAGTTGAAGTCTAATAAATGCAGTTTTAGAAAAGCAGCATTTCACATCTAAAGCCACATTGTCGATTAAAAGGTAAACAATATTTCCTGTTGGTTGAGTACTGAGGTGGGGGTAGCTCACAGACTTCTTATGGGGTCTTAAATTTAGTAATTTTCATATTATTACAGCAAAGATTAATGGAGGGGGGAGATTTCTGCATAGGAGGGTATCTGAAAGGGATCTCAGATGCCAAGTCTTATGGCAGCCCTGGTGTGATGTTGACTTAAGCTGTGTTGTCGGTACCTCTTCTAACTTAGGGTCTCCATTCAAGCTTCCAAGGGCTGTTCAATTTCTTCATTTATTTTTTTTAAAAGTCAAATTACCGTTTACTGATGAAGGAAAGAACATCAATTCAGATTAAGTATAAGGCACCAGAAGTTAAGGATTTGGGGACAAGCTATTTCATACTTGGATTTTTAAACCCAAAAGGAAACCATGATAGAGCCGAGCCTGCTGAAAGTCTGTTTTGTAGTTTATTGTTTTACTGAATGCTAAATCATTCACTCATGCCCAATTCCAGAATGCCTCTTTTAGGGGAGGTGTCTAACTCAGAGTTCAAGTACAAGTTTAAGTCAAAGAAGAAGCAAAGATCTCTTACATTAGATTTCATCCATTTAGAATGATGGTGTATGATTGTATTGATACTGGTTATTCTGCTTGTGTTGAGGCACATTGGTACACCCTCCTTATCAGGTAGGCGTTAAGCCTTCAATATTGCCATCTGTGGCAGAAATAAGTTTACTGCTGAATTCAGTGGGGCATTCGCGCATGGAAAGGTGTACAGCAGCCTTCCTCAATTAGATGCCCTGTCGGTGTTTTGGAATACAACTCCAGTCAACCACAGGTAGTGGTTAGGGATGATGAGAGGTGTGGTTCTGAGAGGGCATCAAGTTAGGGAAGGCTGATATAGAGGACTGAAGCCTAGGTCTCATTGAATCAAACTTGTGCACTGTGGTGAAGCCAATTCTAGATGCGGTGCAGAAGGCAGCAAAAACCATGTTGTATAAAAACGGAGTGAGACCATTTTTAAATATTTATAAGTTGTAGAATTATTTTGGTTTACATATTCTTAGATGTGTGGAGATTTCTTAATGGAACAAATCATCCACTGATCGGTTGCTTCAGTCAAATTGTGAATACAGAAGATGAGGGGGAAGAGGAGGAGAAGGAGGAGGAAGATGGCAACTACTCTGAGTGGGGAGGAAATGCCCAAGAATGTACAGATACCGATATAAGTGAATTACACAACATGTAAAGATGTTTCTATATAAGTTAGATAAAAGACTTTACCACTGAAGCCAACCTTCATAACCAGTGATCTGATAGTTAATCTTATTTTTAAAGACGCACAAATATCTCACACGGTGTTCTCAAGCGACACAGAATGGTTGAGTCAGAAGAAATTGCCAAGCTGTTGCTCTGTGTTTTTCTTTTCCAAATGTTTAACTTTAAACCAGGCAGGAAGGAGGGAAAAATGTTAAATTTGTTAAAAGAATACTCTTTTTAAAAGGAAACCCTGTGCGCCAAGTTCTTTTTAAATCCTAGTTTTGCAGCTGAGCTAAAAACAACAACAACCAACACGCTTATAATAGGGGGAGCAAAAAAACACCCCCCCCCAAAAAAACCTGTCAGACCTTTAACTACAGTAGCATGAACAGCCTTGCTATAATTCCTGGTTGAACTTTGTCATTGGATGTGTGATTTTGGAGTGTGCCGGGGTGACATTCAGCCTCTACATTCATTTTTATGATAATTCAGAGTAAATTGTGGTGCAATAAACTCTTCAAGCCTGTCTTTCTTGTGAAAGCCATGAATCAATCAGCTGCAAGCTCTTTTTTGGGGGCCTTTTCAATGTATAGTGATCATTTAGATTTGACATGCATTGTGAGACCTTAGCTTGGCTCCTCTCTATGGTCTGTCATTAATTCCAGCCTTTGCTATTCTGAAGTACAGTGAAGGATGACTGAGAAATCATTGCCCCTCTTCAGCTCTGTTATTGCACAAAATAGCAGCGCAATAATTTTTTGTCAATGTTTTACTCTAAAAGCTTTCTACGTCAGTCTTGAAAGGGAAGCAATAAAGCCCATTCAGTAGCATGAATAAAAATCCTTTGAGGTTTAGGCATAGGGTTTCTTTTCTTCAGCTGGTAATCAAATTGGAGCTAAAATGAAATTGAGTTTTCTTATGAAAATAGCCTTTGTTGCTGGGAAGGCTGGTAATTCATAAACAATAACCTGCTCTTTTGTGTGGATAATAATATATTCATGTTCTTTCAATAGGGTAAAAGCCAGACCTAGTGCATTATGGTACAGTAAAAAAAAAAAAATAGCAGAAGGAGCTTTGCTGGAATAATCTTCAAGACGAAATGTACTGTTCGGTGACTCGAAGCTTTCAGCTCCCATCTGAAATTGTACTTTGCTCTTATTTATAAGCTCGGTTTCTCCCCCCCTTTTTTTCAGTTGTTGATTTGTTGCTGCCATACAATATTTGGTTAATTGTGGATAGTCTCAAGCTGTGCTCATCACTGCTCCTGCAAAGGCTGCTGCCAGCTGCGGTGAACAGAGCCTGCTGCTAGAGGATGTACATTATGCAAGGGAGCAGCCTCTCAGCACTGATTATCACTGAAGAGTTCCCTGCTCTCCATCACTGTGTACATACAGTACGGGCGACTGGACCGCAAGACACCCAGAGGTAGGCTGAAATCCCCTTCGCTTTTAAGTGTGAGTCAAGGAATAGATGAGGGAAAAGAAACTGGGGAAAGTTCTACCGGTGAACTTGGAAGTGGTGTTGAAGGAACAACTAAAGAGTGTTGTGTGTGTGCTTGACTACTTTACCAGAATGGAAGGTGTATTATTTTTGAGATGGAGTAGAGTCTATTTATTTATTTTTTGGTAAGGACATGTATGCTAAGACTGCACTGGAAACTGTGTGAAGTGCTTTTGGTTTGGTTTTGTCTTATAGAGAGATGTCGGCTATATGGTTCTAGCACACAATTTGGAGAACCTTTAATGTGCATTATCTGACACATGGCAATAGACACACCAGTATTGCTTTATGGATGCATTTGTTTGTCCCGTGCCATACATGTTCTTGGTACTTTTAGACAGAGACTTTTTGGGTATATAAAGAAGATGGTCTATTGTCCAAAGTGGATGTTGTTTTCTGCCTTAACTTGGAGGCTGGGGAAGGAGAAGTTCTGTGTGTGTGAATGAATGAATGTGTGTGTGTGTGTGTGTGTGTGTGTGTGCATGCTTAAATGTATTTCGACTTTGGATATTGTTTAGTACCTGTCGTGTTCATGAATTCTCATATAAAAACTATTTTAAAAATTCAGCCACAGGTCTCAAGTTTGTGAGACATTTATTAATATTTGCAGATGCTACATTCAACCTTCAGCAAACCATGCATTCTTTCAACATCTGGAATCCCTACTATATTAAAGATGTCAGTAATTTTGTTAGTCTACAGATGTTGGTTGGAAGAAAGCAGTGGGCAGTATATCTTTCAATTGCTTGCAGATATATAGATTAAGATCAGTGTTAGAAGAATGTGTCAGAAAAGGGTTACTGCATGCAGACTGAAACTCTGTTAGAAGACAGCGAGATGATGTACCGATGGATTAATGACACCCCCCTCGCAGTTTTACAATGAGAGATTGCACTGTTCACAACAGCAGGTCCAGAAACTCCAATCTTATGCTATGAAGTAGAGACCGGATGCACAACCTCTTTTTGGGTTTTACCTTGGTAAACTCTTGAGTTGGGTTTACAATAAGGTAAAGGAAATGCTTACCTTTGGATTGTAGAATGCAGACAAGAGTTTGAAATGTACACATCACTGTAGCAGAGAAACCCAAATGCTGTGCTGGAAGAAATAGAGAAGGGGGGGGGATATGCCTCACATTAAATGATTTGCCTTTACTTGATTATTTATGCAGTTCAGTGATGAAATTGCACACTTAAGTCACATAACTTTTATGAGCACAGTGGTAACTGACAGTCATGGTAATATGTGTTATTATCCAATTAGTAAAACCAGCATGTCGGGTGGGGGGGGGGGAGGGGGTGAAGGTTGTGTGATTTAAACATACCTTTCTTTCTGGCTCTCACGCGTATGAAACAGGGTGCAAACATTTGTGGTTGTCACTATTTTGTTCACCTGGAGTGGAAGTAAAATAATACATTTTCTTGAAACTGTTATTTATTGAAGTGGAATGCCCTTCCAAGTTAAGTATGCAAGCTACTTCATCTTTGGACGAATCCCTTGCGCCTCAGCCCATCACACATGTACTTGTTTGTTTGTTTAAGGCATTTATATACTGCTTAATCCTTAGAATTTCTAAGCGGTGTTGTACACAACAAGATCCATCCCACATATTAGGCAGAATGAGGTGAGAAACTGAGGTGGTAGAATTCAGATTGCAAGGTGGAGAATGGGGAGGCTGTATTCTGTAGTACTCTCACACAGAATGAAAATTTCCCTGTATTTAGAAAACTAGAAAAGTTTAGAAGAGTGGCTTAGTCCAGAATTCTACCACCTCATCCCACTGCCTTGTTCTGAATAAGGTGTAGAACAGCTTGAAGGCTGGAAAAGCAGAATAAGGTGGTAAAGTTGTCAGGTGTAGCCCTTGGATGGATGCAGCTTCAGGCTGCAGGGGATCTTAATTTGCCTGGAACTCTCTTTGTAAAGTGCTTCCTGAAAGTAGACATATGCTCTTAAATTATATAGCGAGTTAATAAAGGTGGCATAAAAATATTTGAAATAATTACTTCAAATAAGCCTAGAAGAACAGGCAGAAGCCAAGGTTAGTGTCCTCCCAGATTATGTTTTGTTATGGGCAGCATTCAAAACCAGTTTTCCCTACCTGCAGTCAGAAAAAATGGGACAGTCCATCCAGAAGACATCCCAGAAGACATCTTAAGGCATCCCTGTTCAGGGAAGTTTTTAATATGTAACGCTGTACTGTTTTTAACAGTTGATTGGGAGCCGCCCAGAGTGGCTGGGGAAACTCAGCCAGATTGGGGGGGGGGGTATAAATAATAAATTATTATTATTATTGTTATTATTATTATTATTATTTCAAATAAGCCTAGAAGAACAGGCAGAAGCCAAGGTTAGTGTCCTCCCAGATTATGTTTTGTTAGGGGCAGCATTCAAAACCAGTTTTCCCTACCTGCAGTCGAAAAAAAATGGGTCAGTCCATCCCACCCCCTCATTTTTCTGTCTATGTAGGACTAGCCCCAAGCTAACTGACTTCAGTGGAATATGCTTCCCAGCATTCGCCTGCATGTGCTTTATAGTTGCTTGGTTGTTGAGTAATAGTGTAATAGACTTCAACTTTTCTTTCCACTTTCAATGAGATGTACATCCAAATGAGTTCTACTTTAGAACTGCAGTGTACGTGTTTTAGAAATAGATAAAAATGCTGATCATTGGACTTTGCAGGACAATGAAGTTTTATTTCAAACATATTTTTGAATATATATATATATATATATATATATATATATATATATATATAATGTTAAGGAAGGTTATACATATAAGAAATGGATAAAGCTAGTGGGTATTGCTAAACAACTGGGAGATAGAAACCCTTTGCTGATCTCATGCAAATCGCTCAGAGATCTACCACAAGATCTTGATCAGCCTCCTGCCTGCCCCTTCCATAAACTACCAACATTAATCTGATATATGGAGGCGCAAGAAAGACCCTCTATTTATAATGTATAATGACACATGCACAATGCCCTCTGGAGCGCATGGCCTGGCCATTACTCTGTTAGCTCACTTAATCAGTCAGGGCCCTTTCCCAAGAATGCTGCTTGTGTTTGGTTGAGAGAAGGAAGTAGCTGACATGGTCCAGGGCAGCTGCAACATCATCGTTACAGCTGGGGCACTGAATCCTGCCTGTGGCAGGATTTTGTGTGTGCATGTAGCCATTACTGCCCAGTATTTGCCAGTTTAGGCAATCAGGTTATACTCTTAATGGTAGGGCTATCCCTGAGTGGGGCTTTTCCCTAGTAAATATGATTAGGATTACAGCCTTAAGTTGTGAGTGTGGATAGGGGTCACTCCTTCATGGCTGAGAGAACCAGTGGAGCTCTCTTTACAATATACCTGCCGTCTCCCTCAGTGTCAGGGACCTCACTGCTTATTATTCATCTGGTAGGACCGGAGGCCTTCAATTTCACCACAACTTTTGCTGGTTTAAGTGTTTTTATGAACACACTTCTTGATAACTGCAGTTGTTTTTCAAAGGAATACCCTCCCATCCATAATAAAGGTAAAGGTACCCCTGCCCGTACGGGCCAGTCGTGTCCGACTCTGGGGTTGCGCGCTCATCTCGCTTAAGAGGCCGGGAGCCAGCGCTGTCCGCAGACACTTCCAGGTCACGTGGCCAGCTTGACGAAGCTGCTCTGGCGAGCCAGCATCAGCGCAGCACACGGAAATGCCGTTTACCTTCCCGCTATAAAGCGGTACCTATTTATCTACTTGCACTTAGGGGTGCTTTCGAACTGCTAGGTGGGCAGGAGCTGGGACCGAACGACGGGAGCTCACCCCGCCGCGGGGATTCGAACCGCCGACCATACGATCGGCAAGTCCTAGGCACTGAGGTTTTACCCACAGCGCCACCCGCATCCCTCCCATCCATAATAACCCAATGCAATTATGTGAAACCAAGTTACAGTGGTACCTCTGGTTACATACTTAATTCGTTCCGGAGGTCCGTTCTTAACCTGAAACTGTTCTTAACCTGAAGCACCACTTTAGCTAATGGGGCCTCCTGCTGCCGCCGCTGCACCACCGCTGCACAATTTCTGTTCTCATCCTGAAGCAAAGTTCTTAACCCAAGGTACGATTTCTGGGTTAGCGGAGTCTGTAACCTGAAGCATATGTAACCTGAAGTGTATGTAACCTGAGGTACCACTGTACTTAAGTAGTAACACAAACAAGAACTGCCCAAATATTTTTTGGGGCAAGTCTACTGCTGATAGCTAACTTATGTTAATACAGGCCAGTGTCAGTCATTTTTGCTGATATCAACAAATGTTGTGGATGTTTAATTGGGACATAACCATGCCCCTTCCTGCAGTTCAAGTCCTAGATGCATTTATGTGGAAGTGAGTTCATCTGTGAGGTTAGCATCCCAGGTATATAAGCTGTGTCAGGAAAAGAAAACCACCTGATGAGAACTTGTAGAATATGCAGGATCAACAAGCTTATTATAATGGATTTATTATCAAGAGAGCATGCATGTAATAACAGAGGAAGATACACAGTGCCTTTTTTGAAAAATAATAATAATAAAGTGATAATAATGAAGTGATAGTGAAGTCATATCTTGATAAAAGTGCCATGGATGCCAGCACCAAATGGCTGCCAAATGGCTGCCATGGGCAACAAAAAAAGAGAGGTGCTTGGACCTAAATATCTGTAAGAAAATTAGAAGAAGATTTTTGCTGGGTCAGACCAAAGGTCCATCGAGTCTACCGTTGTGTTCTCACAGTGGTCATTACCCTGTTCTGAAGGGAGGGTTTTTCAAAAGAACGAAATATATCAATAAACGTGTTGGATAGCATAGAATTTAGGGATGGCTAACATGCATTTTCAGATCCACTCTAGTCTCTTCAGAGGTAGCTACTGTGGTGCCATCACCTCCCCCAAGAAGTTGATGGATTACAGTTCAAACCATCCCCACCTATTGGTCATGCTGAGACTAATTGCCGTTGGAATCCAACAACACCTGACCATGCCTGAATCAGGGATGGAGAACCTTCAGGTACTGTTGGATTCCAAATCTGATCAACCCCAGTCAGCACGGTCAGTGACCAAGGGATGATGGGAGTTCTAGTCTTGTCAACACCTGGAGAACCTCAGCTTCCCCATCCCTGCTGCAGATCTGCTCTAATGCCTAGAAGTACATTTTTGCTGCACAATCTGACACACACGTTTACAGCCTCATAGATGGCTAGGTTCAACAACAAAGTTGCTGTTGGCCAGTGGCAGTTGGAATTGGAATACACAGTATTCACTCAATGATGACCGTTTCCCTTATAGTACCAGAAAGACAAAATGAGTGGAAGAAAGCACAACTTTGGGCCAGAAAAGGCAACAAACTCTAAAGTTCTGGAAAAAAATAGTTTAACTGTAAAAAACTATTATTATTTTTTGCAAACATTTTTGTATCTCGCAAATTTCTTACAGAGCAGCTTGTTCTCAGAAGTGCCTGGGCCTGGAAGTGAAATGAACAAAATTTAGGTACTGTAATCTAAAAATATTTAACATTATGCAAACCTCTGTATATGATCCAAAATGGTCAAGTACCAGCACATTGTTCAAAGTATTCAAATAATCATATAGTAAAAAAAAAAAAAAAGCTGGGACTATAGGCTTCTTGCGTTGGCTGTCCTTTCATTTGAACAGCCTGTCCACTGTCTCTCCATTTTTTACAGACAGACATTTTACAGAATACTTTAGACATTTGCAATGAAATAGGAACACCTTTCTGTTGGTATTCTTAAATGTTCCTAGGCAAATTCTTATCAGCATATGAGCTTCAAAAACAAGCACTCTTAAAGAGTCAAGCAGAGAATGACATTTGTGAGTAGTCCTTTTGACACTCTGTTACAAAATGAGTGTACAAATGATTTTGATATGCTTTGGAAGTTTCGGTCATCCTTGTCACTAATTTCTTAATGGCACAACGGACCCTTGAGTAACAGATCATATTTTTATTTTCAATGTTTTGTGTAGCGTTCAGATTTTTTTTGCATGTTTTTATTTTACAGTGGCTATATATACTGGTTATCTTTGGTATAAATAGTAAGATTAATGGTAATATAGTTTCTTCTGCTTGGGGAAAATGTTGATGATGCTCTGCTAGCTTTTCCTCTTCATGAATAAAGGAGGAATGAATGAGGAGGAAATGAAATGTACTGGGGTGACCTAAGGTTAAGATGAACATGTGAGCAGAATGAGCTTTGAATTACATTTGTTTACTGCTTCTGTGATACCTGTGTAAGAACCACTTAAACGTTTTATCCCTGATCTCAGTGGTTTTGTGGTCATCATGGCGGACCTTATCATCTAGAAAACAAAACTACATTTAGTGCGAATAAACATCTCTGAATATTATGCTGTAAAAAGAAAAGAAAAGTATTTTTGGATACAACACAGAAATACCTTAATAATTTTACATTCTCCTTTGAAACTACCTGACGGAAATATTGACAAAATAATGTCATGAACTTCAGTATTCATCACAGTTGGCTGTAATCCAACATACATAGTTCTTTCCTGATTTTTGCATCATGTTACTTTAAACTTGCTTGAATGTTTTATATACATTTATATACATAATATTTTAACATCATGCTGAAAAGATAAAAATGGAAATATTTAGCATTGCTGTATTAGAGAGTCCATATCACTCTAGCTTTGATTCTTTAGTTCTGGGACGGATGGACGGACTAGGAATTGATATGACTGAGCTCCTGTGAACATAGATTGGCTTGTGACACACCCTGCTCCTTCTTTTCCATTTCAGGAAATGCTGCATGGGAATGAAAACCTAAGTTGCCTTAGGATAGTAGGTGGCTGCCTTAGGCCAATGGTCTGACTCAGTATATATATTAAAGTACTATCCATTCTGAATGGCAGCAGTTATCCGAGGTTCCAGGCAGGAGACTTCCCCAGCCCTAACATGGAGGTAGCAGTGGCTGAAACTGGGGCCTTATGAATGCTCTACCATTAATGACCAGGGATGGTAGGAGGTGTAGTTTAGCAACATCCAGATCAGAGTTTCTCAAACTTGGGTGTCTAGTTGTTTTTGCACTATCGTTCCCACCATCCCTGACCACTGGTCCTGCTAGCTAGGGATGATGGGAGTTGTAGTCCAAAAACACCTGGCGACCCAAGTTTGGGAAACCCTGATCTAGAGGGCCACTAGGTTTACACTGCTGCGTAATGCACCTATGGTGAGTCAGCTCATTAGCGCCCGATTGGTTGTGACTTTCCAGGCTCTGAGCTTTTTCTCAGCCTTGCAGCTTAGATTCTTTTAAGTGGGGATACATCGGCCTTCTGGATGCAAGGCAGGTGTTGCTTCACTGCTTTCCTTCAAAAGCTCTGTGAGATCCAGTCACACTACCCAAGTCCTCTTAACTGAAGATTCAGGGATTTGAACCTGTGTGCAAAGCATGAGCTATGACCCTTTCCCCAAACAGGGAAGGCACACTCCACCCACCTATTATCCAACTCCTCAAGAAGGCGATATAGATTTGTGTATGTACAATGTCGCAAGTAGATTGGGGTGGCTTGATACAATAAAAGGGCCTTTTCAGTTGTGGCTCTATTCATGAGATGCTCTCCCCAGTGAGCTTGGGTGCCTGGCACCTTTGCTGACATCTTTTTCGGTACCAGGTAAAAACTTACTCCCACCCCTCCTCCCTTTGGACTATGATGATGACGTGCTGCTGTTAGTTAGCATCCTTGCCATAGGATAAGAATGTTTCATTCAGCAAGGCTCCTCTTGGAGCTGTCCATGGTCCTGCTCTTGTCTGCCCTTTGCTTTGCCATGGCACTGCCTGCTTCCCCTGTGAGCTTCAAACTCTCATGGAACTGGAGGGTATGCCACGCTGAGACAGTCCTCCTGAAAGGCTGGTATGAATTCTAAAAATAAAATTAAAAGCAAACTTAATACTATATAGTTATATAGGTGTCTAGCAGTTTATAATTGCATAATGTGGTAGTAAAAACGTAAGGAAAGCTATCATAGGAGATAACCTGGTGAGACATGAATGCTTTGCTCAAGCTGGTATGAATTCAAGTCCAGATATTGCCCAAGGAACTGAAATTAACCTTTTGACTAGTTTTTCTTTCTTTCTGCCATCTTGTTACATTGAATAACCAGGTAAAGGGAATACATTTCTGTTCTTTTGCTCAATGGGGAAATCCATTACAAAGGCTATTGAATATCACCCTTCTTGCACCCTGACTGGGAAGACAGAGCTTGCTTCCCTGTATCGCTTCCCAGCAGCATATTCAATCTCCTTGGGCAGTGAAGACGGATGGATGTTTACCCCAGGAATGGTGCAGTGGTAGCTCATGCACTGCCTTCCAGATGTTGTTGGGCTCCATCTTCCATCAACCCCAGACAGCATGACCAATGGTCAGGAATGTGTGTGTGTGTGTGTCACACATGCTCACGCTTGTACTTATGCTGCATTCCTTGCACATTTGCTGTATGTGTGACTGGCAGGTGACGCCAGGTCCTGCCTCCCACTGTGTTGTAAAGCACACCTGAACATCTGTATGCGTCATGGCAGGAAACTGTTTCAGCGTTACTCCACCTGCTTTCCTAACCTTGTGTGAGTGTGTGTTTGTGAAATACTCTATTAATTCCCCTTTTATTATTTTATGGCAGTTTTGAGTATATACAGTCATACCTCTGCTTACGTATCCCTCTGGTTACGTAAACTTCGGGATACATAAGCGGCAAACCCGGAAGCATATTTGAAGTGCTCTACTGCCGTGCATGTGTGCATGTGCAGAAGCGGTCTCTCCGGTTGCAAAAACCTCGGGATCCGGCCGGACATCTGGAATGGATCCCATCTGCAACCGGAGGTACCAGTGTGTGTGTGTGTGTGTGTGTGTGTGTGTGTGTGTGTTAAAGTTGCTTTAATTTACTCTTGTTAGCGGCTTTGAGTCTGACTAAGGAAAGGCACGCTTTGCATGCTTCAAATAATAAGTGGATAAGAGTACTGATGGGCGCTAACAGAGCAATCCAAACTTCTCATCTAGAGCCAGTTTGGATCGGGCAGTAAGGACATACCTAGGGATTGGCAGAACCAGCTCCTGCCATGGATGCAGGCCTGAAGGGGGTGAGAAACCATGCTGCGACTTGGTGCCATTGGGCTGCCAGCTCCTGAACGGAATGTTCTGTGGCCACCAACCACTGCTTTCAATTCCACAAGTAACTTTGCACCCAGCTCTTTTGCAGAAGCAGGGCGTGCTACTATGTTGGAATCTGCCCGTCAACACATCATTGCTCACCCATTAGCACCTTGTGCCTTATGATACATTGCATCGGACTTTGTTCTGAAATGACACACACACAAGAAGCTCAGAACTTGGTTTTCATGCCCTGCAAGATGACAGGGAAAATTAGGTAGAACTTCAACACTCCAGAGCTGCTAAAATTGATTGTGTGAAACCTGTCAGGAGATCACCCTGATGCCTCCCACTCCTTTGGGTACTATGGAACCTGAATGTACTTTGATTTCTTCGCTTATAAATGTAGAGTAGTAAATTGGATTATGCTGGATTTTGTTGACAGGGAGGATTATGTTACATGAACGGAAGGCTAATCAATCAACTGGGAAGCTGGTCAGCCTCAGATCACCTTTAGAGATATTGGGAGATTCAAATGCTTGTCACACATTCATTTTATCTATATCTATATCTATATCTATATCTATATCTATATCTATATCTATATATATATCTCAATACTGTCTTTTTCTAAATGATCAGATAGGTGTGTCCCTTTGTAAAGCAGTGGTATTTGATTGTTGTAGATGTCAGCATGCAATGCCGGTTCAGAGTACAGTATTGTGCAGTGTATAAAGTGTAATAAAATGGTATAAAACAACATGGGACCTAAAAAGCCATCTGATACATCTGATAGTGCATTTAGAAAGCTAATGTTTTCCTAAACGTAAATATATAAGTAATGAAATTAGATCGGCCTTTATTTATTTTATCCTGCATCCCCATACTATTCCATAGTAGATCATGTAATCCTCCCCCAATAAACATGAATAGGGGGGGAAAAGTTTTTTAAAAAAGGTTACTCAAGTTGTAACAAATATGATGGGTTAGTTACAATGTAAGTTTTAGTCAGGGTTAGTAATCCAGGGTTAAGTTAATACATTTAGCCCATGTATTATAGTGGTAACTGATTTGTGCTCATAGTGTATATTGATTTACTGTCTAATTGATTTATATACTTTATTATTTACACCATTAAATTACCGTACATGCTACATTTAATCAATGAAACGAAAGCATTCGCAACTAAATTGACAGTCATTAATGTCGTTTTCGCAGTAATTTTTAGACAAATAATGTGGCTGTTGTGGAAAAGGGTTTTGTGGGATGTGAAACACAAGAGCAGTCAAGTACAACATCCCTGGAGTGAACATAAAAGGGGATGTCTTGACCAGCCAGTCAGAACTTCCTGTTTTTCCTAGGCTGGGACAGACTTCCTCTGCATGTGACTAGAGGTGGGCGTGACCTCACCTGCCCAGGTAACAAAAGAGCAGGACTAGTCAGCCATCTCTCTCTCTCTGACTACATTCGTCAAAGAAGCAACATCTGCTTAGCCTAAGATGCTCTCTTAGCTTCCAGCCAAGAGAGGACAAAGGGACTGTCTCTTTATGGGATAGATTCCAGGTATATTACTTTTGTAACTTAAGTCTGCCTTCTGGGATCCATTTGTGAACAGATTGTGACTGAGTAAACTCTTTTTATACTTTTATAGAAGACTGTGTCGTGTCTATCTTTTTATGAGGGACTAAAGGGGAAATTGCCAACCAAATGTATTTTAGAGGCTTTAGTGAGCCTGAGCAAATGCATCCGCTGTGCAAGTTTATTTATTTATTTATTTTTATTTTAAAATAATTTTTATTAAGATTTAAAAGGTTACAAAAAGGGAAAATAGAAAACAGCATATTAAGCAAAAACAAAACATCACATCACAATAAGGGGAAAAAAAACTAGAAAAATAAAAACAGTTAGAAAAAAATGAAAAAAAATACAATGAACCTTCCCATAACTTATCTTTCATTTGCTTGTTTCCTTGACCACCTCACACCTCCCTTTTTTGTATTCTAGTTCAGTTAGCTATTTCAGCAAGTCCTTTCCATCTCTTCCAGTTTTTGTCCTATAATTTATCTTAATATAATGTAACTTTACTTTCCCTCCTTTCACCATTTAATAATCTGTTTTTTCTTAATCCTTTATAGCATTTCTGCTAAAACCACATTACTTCATTCCAACATCCTTCTAACATTCCTTAATTTTACAATGTTTCTGTAAATAAACTTTAAATTTCTTCCAATCTTCTTCCACCGACTCTTCTCCCTGGTCTCGGATTCTGCCAGTCATTTCCGCCAGTTCCATGTAGTCCATCACCTTCATCTGCCATTCTTCCCGGGTGGGTAGATCTTGTGTCTTCCAGTACTTTGCAATAAGTATTCTTGCTGCTGTTATGGCATACATAACAGTTGGCACCAATTGGCCGACCATGCCCAGGAGAAAGGCCTCTGGTTTCTTCAGGAAGGTATATTTAAATACCTTTTTCATTTCATTATAAATCATCTCCCAGAATCTCTTAATCCTTGGGCACGTCCACCAAAGGTGAAAAAATGTACCTTCAGTCTCTTTACATTTCCAACATTTATTATCGGGCAAGTGATATATTTTTGCGAGCTTGACTGGTGTCATGTACCACCTGTAAATCATTTTCATTATATTCTCTCTTAAGGCGTTACATGCCGTAAACTTCATACCTGTGGTCCATAACTGTTCCCAGTCAGCCATCGTAATATTATGTCCTACATCTTATGCCCATTTAATCATAGTTGATTTCACCGTTTCATCCTGAGTATTCCATTTCAACAGCAAGTTATACATTCTTGACAAGTTCTTAGTTCCGCTGTGCAATTTTAAAAAGGGGAATGTTACTCTGCTAAATTGTAGAACTTGTTAACACACGTTTGAAAGGATATAATCAAACAATATATCCTCTCCTGCATCCCTGAACATTCCCACAGGTTTGTTGTGTTTTTTTTGGAGTGGGGATGCCAATATAGCTCCTTGCCAAGGGTCCAAGGGACCCTAGATATGCCTCTGTGTGGCAGAGGTGTCCAGCCATTTAGCCCTACCGAGCTCTGTCAGCCTCCACTAAAGGTAAAGGTAAAGGGACCCCTGACCATTAGGTCCAGTCATGGCCGACTCTGGGGTTGCGGCACTCATCTCACTTTACTGGCCGAGGGAGCCAGCGTACAGCTTCCGGGCCATGTGGCCAGCATGACTAAGCCGCTTCTGGAGAACCAGAGCAGCTCACGGAAACACTGTTTACCTTCCCGCTGGAGCGGTACCTATTTATATACTTGCACTTTGATGTGCTTTCGAACTGCTAGGCTGGCAGGAGCAGGGCCTGAGCAACGGGAGCTCACCCTGTCGCGGGGATTTGAACCGCGACCTCCTGATCAGCAAGTCCTAGGCTCTGTGGTTTAACCCACAGCGCCACCCGTGTCCCTTCAGCCTCCACTACAACATAGTTTAAACTACTTTTCTGAAAGTAGTTGCAATTGTCATTCAACTACATGTAAAGTAAACAACAAGTTTAGACCAATTCATAGTGGGTAAGACTATCAATGGCTATGTTCTGCCTCTGCTGTTTGTTGAACTGGAAATCACAAGCAGGGAGAGAGCTGCTCTGCTCTGGTCCTCCTTTCTGGCATCCCATAGGCATCTGGTTGGCCAGTGTGAGAACAGGATGAAGGACTAGTTGAGCCATTGACCTTATCCACCAGGCTTTTCTTATGCCCAGGTAGTAAACAACTAGTTAAACTATTGCCCAACGCTGAAACCGAGTCAGCACTTGCTATTCTTCTCCTATCCGAGGTCCTATCAAATATTTGCAAACTGCCAACATATCCTTCTGCCCACCCCAACCTTGACTGGCTGTCCCCCATACTAATAATTCCTTTGATGATAGCAGAGACTGATTATTAACCCACAATGGAAGTGCCACTTACAATTCAAGCGATGGCTTCACTTTGAACAAGCAGTGCCAACTTGGATGAATCATTATCATGTAAATTCTGTTTCATTTGTACTTCTAAAACACTCATGACTTTAACTTATTTCCACACTTGTTTTACATTCCGGAATTGGATTGTTTGAATTGGTGGGTCATCTTTGGCTGACGGGGAACGGTTTAAGATGGGTGGAGATATGCTTAGTTAGGGAGTAGCCTAGTTGAGTAGAAAAGTCTTCACCAGGCACTGAAAAGACCACAGAGGTTGGAACCAGGTGAGCCTCCTTGGAAAAGGCTATTGCATAACTAGCTACTGAAAAGACCATCTACCTGGTGGTTGCCCAGCAAATGTGCTTATTAAAATCACATATACAGCTTCCTCTCACTCTTCTCCTCCTTTTGCTACAAGGGGCATAGAGTGTGGTGGTGGGGCTGTTGGGATGACTGCCCCTGCTGCCTTCCCCAAGACCTTGCAAAGCAGCTCAGGAAGGGTGCTATGAGAGGGTGGCCTTGAGCCCTTCTATCCCAGACTTGCCAGTAAAGGTGAGGCTGGGATCAAGGGGCGCATGACTGTTGCATCCTTCTTGCGCTGCTCTTGCCAGATCCCAGCCTTGCAAGGCTGCTCATGGGGGCGACCATGTAGGGAGTGGGGCCACAGCCATGCGCCTTTCGATCCCAGCCTCATCTTTGAGAGGTGCATGACTGTTGCGCCCTTCTTGCAGTGCCTTCCCCGGATCTGAGCCTTTCAAGGCCACTCGGGGAGAGTGGCGTGGGGATGCAGCAGCTGTATGACCTGTTGTCCTGGTCATGACAGTTCCCAACTCTTACAGTGGTGCCTGATACTTATGCACATGTTTTGCAAGCAAGGCTCTTCTAGCTGAGAGCTTGTATACATTTCTCATTGGCTGAACTTGGCCAGGATCCAGAGAACTACTTTAGGCTAAAGCAAGGTCTCATTTGTGCCCAGAGAATCTTTCACTTTTCTTTCAGTTTTGGGCTTATTTGCCACATCACTGTCTCTCCCACCCCCCCCTCTTTTTCCCTACTCCTCCCCATTCAATTTCAAAAGATGTTTGCTATGTGACTAGAGGCTACCGAATCTCAAGTCTGAGCTCCAAAGGGCATCTGGTGCTCAAAGTCATAGGTGCTTTGAATTATAGTGATTCACTCTTGTGAAATGTTTCATGCGCATTGCTGCCATTTGATCAAAGAGGAAACATTACTTTTGGAGCTTTCTTGAGTCATGCCAGCACGAAGAGCTTTCGTTCCCTGTAGCAAATTAAAACCATACTTCATATTCTTCTTACCATTTCATGTAGGGTTGTCAACATGCTGTCTTTCATGAGTTTGACTGCTGAAAAATTGTGTTTCAGGTGACAGGTACTGGGGGTCTGAAAATTTGGTAGATTTCAGATTTTACTGTGCTTTACACCCACTACCTGCGAAGTTCTAATTACCTCTGTCCTGACCTGCACAATTCCCTAAATTAAGGCTGGCAAATAGTCATGTTTCTGCTTGCCTGTGGTGACTTGATAGTTTTCTCCAGGCAACCAGACAGAGAAGCTCTACAAACGTGGCTTCTATTTCCCCCCCAAAAAGAGTAAGTGAATGACTAACGCAGAGAGTCTTAGATGACCTAATTCATTTGGGGGAGTTATTTCGCATTATCAGCTAAATGCTGACCACAAGTGGTGGCAATTCACATACCTGAATGCACCCCTGCACGAACCAGCAGACACAAGCAATAACGATGATTGAGCATAGAAAACTAGCATTTAAAATAAATGATTTTGATAGAATCCTTTGCCCTTGATTTCTCATTTTCTATCTGGGAAATTTTTGTTTGTTTGTTTTGTTTAAGGAAGATTTAATTGCATGAGTCACCCAGCACTTATGTGGTACACAGACCACAGACACAGGTTTTCCATCTCAGGGAGAATTAGCCCGACTTGCATTTGCAAGCTCATTCTCTTAATATTATTCTGCAGAATTAGCCCCTTCCATGTAATACTAGCCCCCTTGTCGTCTTCAAATGCCCTTTAGGTGGAAGAGAATGGAATACCTAAGGCAGAATGAAACACCAGAATGAAACAGTGCTTCACAGAGGGCATTTGCATTTTTACAATAACGACTTGCCGCTTGGTACAGAGAAGTGAAATAGCGTTAAGAGTTTCCATTTTCCACGTGTGCAGGCAGGTGCTCATTATGTACCTCTCTCCCTTGCTTTTTACTGAATGGCTATGTTAATCGACGTTGACTGTTAGGAAGGTTGAAACAGTACAGAAGCTTTCAACGCAAAATGACCACAATTGAGCCAGAAGAACCATTAATATTTGGTTCCATTCATATTTTCATTGCTATTGCAACCTCCTCTTGACCCCCTGCTTTTAGGATTTCCGCAAGAGTTTCTCTCTCCCTCCCTCCCCCAAGATTGAGTGATGGGCTGAAAATGAGCATTGGTGGTCCCCCCCTCCCCAGCCAGGAGACTGCCCACATGTAATGTCAGTTCATTGCAAATCTTTGACAGGCTTTGGGATAGAATTTCCCTGAAAGGGTCTTAAAGAATGTTGTTATTATGGTGAAATGCAGACTGACTTTCTTGTTCCTCTAATGCTCATACTTTAAGTGCTCCAGCTTGGGAGAAAAAGCAGGCGTTTTATTAGGGCCCTCTAGACAAACGTGATGCGTTTTCTTAACCTTACCATTATGAAATATACTTCTGCTGCCTTTTTTCAATGCGCAAAGAGCTTTAGAATTCTTATCTCGTTTTTCTTCCCAGCACTCTGTGAGAAGGAGCTGAGAGATGATAACCTTTCCCTTTGTATTAGCACAAAACATCTATACATTACGACTTTCCTGTTCCAGCTCCACGTTCTCACCTTGCTTCAAAGCAGGGGGGAAAACACACACGTATGAATAGAGAACACGAAATGAGGGCCATTTCCTCAGGTCACATTTTAATGACACTGGCGCACTCAGATAAGACACCTTCATCTCTCAGTATATAATATTCTCCCAACACATTGAATGCAGCAAACCTGGAGGGTACATAAATGTACTGAGAGAACAGATACTTACTCCCAATGTCTTCTTTCCAGCCTAATTCTAACCCCAGTTGTGACTGTGGTCCTATTCAGCCTGAACTCTCCAGAATTCGATTCTGGCACCTCTCAGGTAGGCGCCATTGCCATTATAAGAGAATGAGGGAGGTCTTCACGGTAAGTTCCGGTGCCTCTTTTTCTACCTTAAGTCCCATTTCTTTCAAAAGAACCATGTCCTCTGTGTATGAGTGGTCTCACACTATATTTGCATATAAAGGAGGTTCCAACGATTCCCCTCACACATTCAGTGGTATGAAGGGGTAGTGGAAACAGGCCATCTTCTGGCCATCCACTTCACATGCTGAAAACATGCCCATAGCAGCTCTGCACATTTGACATTAGTAAGAAAAGGGACATAATATGCACATTCTGCCGTAGGTCTGTGGACTCCTCCACCTGATTGGGAAAGTCTAGCAAATGAGCATTCATGACCAGATGAAGAAGACCTACATGTGTGTCCACAGCTCCTTTCTGTATGTTAATACATGGCCAACAGACATATTAGTATGGGAGGGAAGTGGCTAGTGGGTGCATTCCCATCCCCTGATCATAAAGTCATTAGGAGGTTAATTGGAAACCTCCTGTAGCATTCATCTCTTGCAAGAGGACCAGGACTATAACAGGAAATGTTGTTCTGATAGGACATGGTGGCCATGCGAGTCACCGAATAACAGCCAGCATATAAACACAGGTACTTTGGAACTGTTAAAAGTGATTTGTTTCTATTACTTACTAGTGAGCAATTGGGTAAAACATTGTTTGCACTTTCCCTGATTTCTCTACAATGGAAAGGTCTAGACTCTAGCCACGGCAGCTCTGAAGGGGACTGTTTTCTCTTTAAGACATCAGAAGCAGCCCTTATGCAGAACTTGGACTGACTTTTTGTTCACTGAAACAAAAAGCTTGCGCATATAATGAAAACCCTACATACATATTCCTTGTTGTTTAGCTGTTCTAGACAAATAAGATGGTCTTGTTTTTTTAGATAAATAAGGGGTGGGGAACCTGTGGCCCTTCAGATATTCTTGGACTCCTGAATTAAAGGTCTGTGACAGGCCTGGTGGGCCATCAAAGGGTTGCAGGTAAAGTGTCAAGTTTCTGGGACTAGATGGTGGAGGAAATGCTGCTTGATGCCCTGGAGAGAAGTGATTTTTCAGTCCAAGTGAAAAGGAAGCTTTAAAACAAAGGCACAATCTTCATAAGGGGAATGGTTTGAGAGCTGCTACTGTAGGCGCTGATGAAACTCACAAAAATCATTACTGAATTCAGATGGAACTTTGGCAGTCCTGGTAAGAATGCAAAGACCAAGTGGAAATCAATCCTTGTTGCGTTCAAGTTCTGCATGAGATTGCCTCTGCCTTAGCTGCATTTGCATTGTATACAAGATAATTCGAGCGTTATCTGTTTTTGTGCCTGTGGCACTATCTGTTTAAGGGCTTGGAAATATTTGCACCAGTCTTTGTAAGTAATCCATATTGCGAGTAGAGCTGAGAATTAGCTACTTTCTCATTCTGTCAAACAAAGACTGGTGGGTGAAGGCCTGTCCATACAAAAAAGCTTGCATTCTGGGATACCTAAGGTCTCTTCAATACTGCTTGGAGTCCTTTCACTCTCCCCCACCTCTGCATTTCTTTGTGCTTTTAGAAGATACGTCCAAAGTCAACCTAAGTTGCTAGCTGTGGCTGGTTGGCTGGAACTGGGAGCTGCCTTTGGAAGGGGTACTTGGGATTCTCCATAGAGTTACGGAGCACACACCATCTTGAGTTCCTTGTGCAAAGGGCTGCTTACAAATGTGATGACATAGCTTGCTTGTCAGACATTGATCTCTGTCCTTCCAGGTTTCATAGAGTTGTAGAACTGGAAGGTATCCTGAGGGTCATCTGCTCCAACCCTCTGCAATGTAGGAATCTCAGCTAAAGCATCCATGACAGATGGCCATCCAACCTCTGCTTAAAAACATCCAAGGAAGGAGAGTCCACAACCTCCTGAGGGAGAACGTTCCACTGCCAAACAGCTCTTACTGACAGAAAGTTTTTCCTGTCGGAATCTCCTTTCTTGTAACTTTAAGCCATTGGTTTCAGAGCAGGAGAAAACTGCAGGAGAAAAATTAAGAATGGCATTATTACTTCCCTCGATCTGGAGACTATACTTCTGTTGATTTAAAGGTATATGCGTGCCTTCCCTCAGTTGGCAGGCCTGATCTTGGATGGTCTTTCTCAAATCAAGCTAGTCCGCTAAAATGCAGCAACCAGTCGGTTTTGCATATCTGAGGCTGCAATCCTATACCCACTTACCTGGGGGTGAGTCCCACTGATATCAATGGCACATATTTCTCAATAGACTTGTATGGAATTGTGCTGCTAACTCATCTCCCCAAACTTCAGCATCGGTTAATAAACCCTGCAGATTAGCTGAATGAGGAAGAAAATCAAAACAGCTTCTGTTCTGTTATTATCACTTCTGTATTGTTATTGTTGGAAATAAAAAGCACAAAATTACAGGGCAATCTCCATTGACTGTCTGTATCAAAACGCAAGGCAGACTGTGTATCGCATAAACAATTATTTATTTGAAAAGAGAGACTCCCTCTTGTGTATGAATGTATGAATTACTCTGCCTGCAGAGAAAAGAAGAGAAGCAGTCTTATTTCTGTCTTAGAGATTTGAGGGCTACTGATTAAAAATATGCTGTGTTCTTATTTGCTTTATGAACATCAAGCAGTGCTAAGGTTTCTGAAAAGTCAATTTTATGGATTTTTAAACTGTACTTAACCTCTGTGAATCAGCCTCTCTGATCCCAGAAACTGAACTTATGAACTTGATTTTGTCTTTTCTCTGCCTCTGACCGTTTTTTGATGAATAACATGCAATTCCATTTTCTAAAGCAGGGTTCAATTTTACAGCTTCCCTTTTCTCTGGGCTCACAATTCAGGGTGTTAAATCAGTATGAAGGCAGAGTAGCTTCTCTGAGGTCAAAACATCTATAAGTTACTTATACAGGTGTCAATAAGAAAATTAGCAGGTTCAGCGTTAACACTGCATTTCTTTTCTTATGCACCACTGCCTGAGCACCTTGTTAAACCCTTTGTGTAGAGTTCAATTGACTCTCTTTCTTTTGCTTTTTCCTGTGCATTGATTTTGAACATGTTGCATTAAATCCTCCTGTGTCATATTTTTGATGGTATGTACCTTGAGGCTGGGGCGTGGGTGGCGCTGTGGGTTAAACCACAGAGCCTAGGACTTGCCGATCAGAAGGTCGGCTGTTTAAATCCCCGCGACGGGGTGAGCTCCTGTTGCTTGGTCCCTGCTCCTGCCCATCTAGCAGTTCAAAAGCACATCAACGTGCAAGTAGATAAATAGGTACCGCTCCAGCGGGAAGGTAAACGGCGTTTCCGTGTGTTGCTCTGGTTCGCCAGAAGTGGCTTAGTCATGCTGGCCACATAACCTGGAAGCTGTACGCCGGCTCCCTCGGCCAATAAGTCGAGATGAGCGCCGCAACCCCAGAGTCGGTCATGACTGGACCTAATGGTCCCTTTACCTTTACCTTTACCTTTACCTTGAGGCTTGTCCTCCATAAGGTGCCATTGGGCATTGCTGGTGCTACATAAATGGTCATTATAAATAACAAATCAGTATAAATATTAAGTCACAACTAGGAATTGGCAACAAAATGTTGCAGCGCATCCTACAGCCTCCGTGTGAGCTGTTGTCTGGCAATGCTAACTACCAGCAAGGGTTGACTGGCCTCTTTGATTTTCTGAGTGAGACCCAGCTGCTCAACCCCGCTCCTTTGCATCAGAGGACCTCTGTGGGACATTTCTGTCAGCATCCTTTTTATTGTGAGAAGTTTTTTGGAAGCCTCTCTATTTATATCCCCCTAAAGTTGGTTATAAACACTGCTTGTTTTTCCTTTTAAAAAATGTTTAGGGGCACTCTCATTTTCCTCCACACATTGAAATACTGCCCCTCAAGGACGCCAAACTTAGATTCACAAAATATTTAGGGGTATGCATACTCCTGCATCCCCCCAGAAAAAAGCAGTGGTTATAAATAGTCTAAAACAAACAAGTGTTCAAATCTGGAGTTCAGGGCTTGGGCAGAGAGTTTTGGCAGCGAGGAGGGAAAAATAAGATCGTTTCCTTTTCTGTTTCAGAAACTCCCCACCCCCTTTCCCTGGTGTTATGTAGGATGTGCTGGAGAGAGTTTTGGGGAGCAAGGAGAACAAAGTTGTCCTCTTTTGTTTTCCTCCTCTAGAAACCTCCCCACATGGTGCAGAGAAGAGAGTTTTTAGAATCTCATGTGTAATAGGAATTTTATGGTCTTAGATATATGGTAATGTTCATAAGTGTACCAACCAAGCAAATACATAGATCAGCACAGGAAGGCCAACCTGGAACCATTTTGATTCCTAAACTGACTCTCTGCAAGGTCAAAATGGAAAAGCCTCCCCATTGTTTTTTCCTTCACAAATCCTGTCTGTGTTTGAATAAGGTGTGAGCCTGTGACCTGGCCCAGGAACTAAGTATTTATCATTACAAAAGACTGGCCAGGCTACCCAGGAAATCCAATCAAGTAACCTGCCAGACAGGAGATAAACAAAAACAGGAGAAAAACAATATTAAAATTTCTATTTTGGACCGCCTTTTTTGTGATGTAGGTGTGATGTATCTGAGGGGTGGTCTTAGGTTACACCCCTTCTGTGATGTATGTATGATGTTTCTGGGGGTGGTCCTGATCTACAGGGTGGCAATTTCAAAAGTCTTTATAAGGCCTTGCACACCATTTTTCTGGGTCCTCCTCCTTTCCTGCGTGTGAGGGGAGCACCCTGTTGCAACAGATCAATAAAGATCAAGCTTACTAGCTGCTTTGCTTCTCAATATTCTCTGGTTGGCCTCTGTTATTTTCTCCTACCAATAGGGAACCTATGTAAGGACTCTATATGGGCTCTTGGATACCCCATAAGGGAAAAGGGCAATTTTTGTTTACAACACATGTCATGCACGCACACATGCACACACCTAGGCCCAGCCCAGTGATGAGGCAAGGTGAGGAGCCTGCTTTGAGTGGCAGAAGCCCAAGGAACGGCACCCCCCTTGCTTCTGCTGCCCACTCTGCTGTCTCTGCTGCCAGTGGGAACCAGTTTCTGGTAAGATCTTGCGAGATTTTGGTGAGATCTCGCCAGAAACCAGTGCTGCTGCTGGCTTCTCATGGGTGCTGCTGTGCAACGCAAGTAAGAGAGGGAGCGGCGCTGGTGGCGGGGCGGCAGGGGCGGGGAAGCGGCACATTCCTGTCTCGCCTCAGGTGCTGAAATGAGATGTGTTGCCCTTGCGTGCATGCATGCATGGAAACACACACAATCTAACCCTCCCTCCAGGACTCTATAAACCCACTCCATTTCTTCATCTTACATGTTCTGCTTCCAGGCCAGCACAGTGGTACCTCAGGTTAAGAACTTAATTCATTCTGGAGGTCCGTTCTTAACCTGAAACTGTTCTTAACCTGAGGTACCACTTTAGCTAATGGGGCCTCCCGCTGCCGCCGCCATGCGATTTCTGTTCTCGTCCTGAAGCAAAGTTCTTAACCCGAGGTACTATTTCTGGGTCCGCGGAGTCTGTAACCTGAAGCGTCTGTAACCTGAAGCGTCTGTAACCTGAAGCGTCTGTAACCCGAGGTACCACTGTATTTATTTTGAGGTTGATGTTCCACATACTTGTTTCTCTTCCCCCCGCAGGGTTCACGCAACATTCTTGCCATCAAAATGCCAGCTGATATTTCTCCCATCCCCACCCAATTCAATTTAGATTTTCCTCTTCCAAAGGAAATTCAATATATTAGGAAACAAACCTCTATTGCCAGTGGACTCTTTGTGATACAGTGGTACCTCGGGTTACATACGCTTCAGGTTACATACGCTTCAGGTTACAGACTCCACCAACCCAGAAATAGTACCTCAGGTTAAGAACTTTGCTTCAGGATGAGAACAGAAATCGTGCAGCAGCGGCGTGGCGGCAGCAGGAGGCCCCATTAGCTAAAGTGGTGCTTCAGGTTAAGAACAGTTTCAGGTTAAGAATGGACCTCCGGAACGAATTAAGTACTTAACCTGAGGTACCACTGTATCTGAGTGACCCAATTTTAACATTAGCCCCATCTGGAAGTACCTGCTGCTGGCATTCTGTGGCTCGGCTTCCTTCAATGTTTTCTTGGAAGTCACTTGGTATAGGTTTTTTTGTTGGATATGTTTGGAGGTTATAAACATTTCTTTTTATTTTAATTTTTAAAAAGCAATAAATTCCTACAGAGTTCCCTTACACTCCTTTTATTTTTGGGTGGCACCAGACCACTCACATTTGGCATTAGAGGGAGTGAATAGGGACTTATGTGTGTCCCTATGGCGCTGTGTCTCCCCAGCTCCTAACAGGAGTACTCCTGATCAGAGCTCCAGCTATTATGAAACAAGAACCTCATAGCATAGCACTCCTTAGGGCAGGTGTAGGAAAATTCTGGTCCACCAACTGTTTCAAACTACAGCTCCCATCAGCTCTGGCTGTTATGCTTGCTGGGGCTGAACAAAACCCACTGTGTCAGCCCAGCGGGCACAGGGCACAGAGGGTTAATGGGGCCGCACTGTGCCACCTGCCTGCCTGCCCGTGCAGGTGAGAGCCCAGCCGGCTGCCCTTGGCAGGTGCATCTTCCCAACACTGTCCAGAGACACCACCCCCAGCGGCAGACAGGGCAGGGATTTCTGCATGGGTGTGCCTGGCTCACACCCCCTCAAAATCATGTGCCCAGGGCTACAGCTCCCCTGGCCCTTCCCACGCTACTCCCCTGGGCTGATGGACATTGTAGCTCAGCAACAGCTTGGAGGGCAAAAAGTTCTCCACACCTGGCTTAGTGCTCATAAGAAGAGACATTTTTTTCTTTGTCATCCTCCTCAAACCACCTCCTGCTCTTCAGAAGGTATCAATATCAGGACTGTCAGTGCTGACCCTGTTCCTTTAAACAACAACAACAACAACCACAACAACAAATTTGAGAAGTGGGGTGGAGAGAAGTATAGCCGAAGATGTTAGGAGCTCAAGCAGCCCAGAATCCTCTCTTTGTTTTCATATTTCCTTCTTCAGCCGACACTTTAAACATACTATGACTCAACTGCCCTTAATTCAAGACTGACTTGCAACACCCACATCTGCAAGTATTCCAATTCATTTAAACCCTTTCCCCTCCTTTTTCTGGAGCAAATGGGAGATCTGTCCATGGCAAAGGGATGGCGAGATGCATGGTTTTTGTGTGGACGTGATAGGGAGGGTGTCTCACGCCAAGCAAAAAGTAGCATTCAGTGTGAATATGGATGCCCCCACTCCAGAATATGAGTTGCTCTAGACTTTTATAATTGATATGCCCTAAACATTCCAAAAAGTGCTGGAAGCTCTCGGGTCCTGAAAGACTGCAACCTCTTTTTGTTTAGTTTTTCCCCCCCTTTCAATTTATTAGTTTGCACAATTTGTGTACCTAGAGAGCTCCCACAAGGATGTAGAAACCCCTTTCTTATTTTTGGGTGGCCCTGTTTCACTTGCAATCACTCAAACATGCAAGTTCATTATTAAAGAGGATCGCGATAATAAATTGTATAGGTCGAATTTACAAGCGCCACCATTCAGTACTATGTACATACAATTCAACCTTTTACTCCTGATTTATTAATCTAGAGTAATTGCCAGTAATTATCTGGAATTAATCACTAATTGTTTCCCCCATCTATCAATAATCATGACCTGAAAGGAGTGGAGAGATAAACCCAACTTTTAATTATAGAGGTGTGTGACTTGAGCATCAGGCAGATGTATTCACTGGGGGCAACACGATTTGGTGCATACTATCGATTACTAAACATCTCTGTGCTCTTGGCTATGTTTTTGTTCAGATTTGTTTGCCTTCAGCTCATCTTTCCTCACTGCACCTTAGCGTAGCCTTGCAGGAGCCTAGCCTCAGCTCTGACTCGTCTTGTTCTGTCTCAGTATCTCTTATTTTGCCCCTTCCTTTCCATGCCATATGTACCATCATCTGTCCTCCTTCCTGGAACTCTTTATAACACCAGACATTCAATTGTAGAGACAGATATACTTATTCTTCCTCTTCTTCCCCTGTGCAGTGAACCTCCTTGCCTAGCATCTGTTGTTGGCATCCATCTATCTCAAGAGACAATGGAGTGCGCCTCTGGGGGTGAAGTCAAATGGCTGTGCTAGCAGCACTGACGTGACCTCAGGTGCAAGCCCTAGGCCAGGCTTCCTCAACCTCGGCCCTCCAGATGCTTTTGGCCTACAACTCCCATGATCCCTAGCTAGCAGGACCAGTGGTCAGGGATGCTGGGAATTCTAGTCTCAAATCATCTGGAGGGCCAAGGTTGAGGAAGCCTTGGCAGTGTGTGCAGAGGTTCTGGGCTGCCCAGACAATAAGAACCCCCTCTTGACTTCATTAATGTGGTCCAAAGGAAAGCAGGACAGTACATTTGGCACCAGGAGTTGCCAGAAGGGAATGTACAAAGGCCATCCAATTCCACTCCGGATTGGTGTAGGGTTTACTCCTTAGCCTTTTCTTCTTCTGAAGATATCCTGCAAGGCAGAGGAGGTTTAGGATCAGTTTTCTTTCTCCTAGATGGGCTACCTTCCCAGGTTGAGGAGTCCCATGTGTCTTTTACTTCCCTCTACAACAGGCATCCCCAAATTCAGACCTCCAGCTGTTTTGGGACTACAACTCTCATCACCCCTAGCTAACAGGACCAGTAGTCAGAGATGATGGGAATTGTAGTCCCAAAACATCTGGAGGGCTGAGTTTGGGGGACCCTGCTCTACAGCATGTGCAGAAACCACCTTCTTGAGCATTGGACTCACTAGTATCTAGGGCTCAACTAATCTGGTTAATTCTTCAATCCATCGCTTTGGTTTAAGTGATGCTTACTGTATATTGTGCTTTAAAAAAAAATCTTTGGGCACTTTCCAACAGCTCATTCCTTTACAATGGGTTAATTGATGTGAGTTTAATAGAGAATGTGCATAAAAATGGTCTGTTATGCTCATTCATGGACATCAGGAATAGAGAACTGTGCACATTGTCTGATTCATATGCATAGACCTCACATCATGTTGGACAATATATTACACACATTGACCAGCTAATGCCCATAGTCTCCAAATGGAGAATATGAATTTGTGCAACAGGCAATGTGCAAAATATGGTACCATTGATGATCAGCAGGTCTGCATAGTCCCTGACCTTTGTCCATTCTCATTTGTACACATTATCCACTTTTGGATAAATGTGCACAACGGCTGGTCTGTATGCACATTCTCCATTTAACCAAAATCAGCTAGAAGCTGTTTAGAAGTTTTCCTTAAGTTTGCTGCAGAACTCTACTTTAAATGAAGGCGACGCTTTGCCTGCGTGCAAATATTCATTTTCTAAAAGGCATATCTTGAAAACCTGCCTATTTAATTTCCTGACAAATGGTTTGGTAATATTGTGAGGAATCCGAGTGAATAGTATTTGCGGATGGAAACAAAACATCCACATTAGGCACTAATCAGCATTTAATAAGGGAAATGCAAAAGGCTGGCTCATATGTTGAGTTCGTATAAAGATTTCATTGATTGGAAATTTGTGAAGGTCGCTGCCATCTAGTGATGAGATTTTGAAGATGTTTGTAGAAAGCTCAGCTGTACCAACGCAATACTGTAGGCTCCCCCCTCCCCCCCTTTCCCCCAAGTTATTAATTAGATGAAGTGGGGGAAAGTTGTATTTTGCATTTTGAGATGGGTACCTAATATAGATCTGGTAATATTGTAAAGGAATTTATTTGCAGGTGCAAATGTTTAAGGTAAAAGGGAAACAGAGATTCTGGAGGGCTAGTCTAGCAGTAGCTGTCTGAATCAGCCCAAGGCACGTGGAGCATTTAAATTTGCCACAGTGCTCCATGGTGATGCTACATTGGGGACATTCTGGAAAATTAAACTGGCATCTCCCAGACCCAGATGCCCAGCACTGATTGGAATGTGTTTTTTTAAAGGGGGTGGGCATCAGTGGTAGACCCTGCCAGGGTGTTGGACCCCAAAGAGCTGCCAGAGGATAGCTGTAGCAAACTGACTAGTTTGCAATCATTATGCCCACTTGGGGAGTAAGTATTTCATGATGGATGTGCTATTGTCTCAGGGAAAACAAATCTATGATATTTTGTTCTGAGAAAACATTAATCTCAGCAGTGTATTTGAATACCATCACACCACAAATGCTACCTTTTCCCACTCACGGAGGGCTACCATTATGGCGTACAGAAGTAGAATATTTACAGAAAAGCAGACGCTTTTAAAGAATGGGCAGACGGTTTCTCAAGCCGCTTATTTTATTTGAGATCTGCAATATTAAAATACGCTCCAAAGAAAGTGCAATGATTGAAGCAGGCTTGTTAGGCATATAATGTTGCCATTCTATGCGAGCTTATTTATAAACCTGAAATACAAGAGAAACTTCTTTTATACATGAATACTTTTCTTTCTTTTAATAATGTTTGATAAAACTCAGATATGCTTTGTTTGAAAGCATACCTGAAGTGTAGAAGGTGCCCTTGCTGGGGTGTTGGGGGGGGGGGGGAAGGTTGGGAACTGAGAGCAATCATATCATATGCAAATCAAATCAGAAATAAGCCCCACTGAGTTCAATAGAGATTATTGCCAAATAGAGATTGAAGGACCTGTCAATTTTAATTTTTACTTTTCCAACCCTAAATTCAATTCTTGACATTTCTGCAGCAATTTGCATTAAAAAAAAAAACTCTCCATGAAAATTCATTAGCATTTCAGTGAAAATTTTTCTGAATAAACACATTCTGAATGCAGTTTTGACTGATGTGCACATTTTAAAAGCAATTTCCTCTAATGCATTTTTGAATGTTATTTTTGCTAATGTGTTAATGCTTATGTACACGTCTCCCTAATATATGCATTTGTGTGGACATTCTTTGGTAAGACAACTGGCTTGCAAAATTCAGATGAGTGTGAATTTTGAAAGCTGGGACTCAGCTATACAGCTACAAATAAAACATTTTAAATGTATTGTAAGGGCAATATACAAATGTGACACTAGATGGTGACAGCGAGCTATGCAAAATTGAATGTATTTTTCAAAAGGTTTTTTAAAAAAGCATTTTCACAGCATTTTTTTTTTTATATGTGTGAAGATTTGACTCTGGTTGTGTTTTGGTTTTCATATTGTTTTGGGAAATATGACTTTGTTAGATTTGCATTTAAATGCTAACCAAATTGAATTCTCCTTCATCCCTATTGCTAACTAAAGGTATCAATGAGTTGGCAAATCAAAAATGAAACCAGGTTAGTTGGGCTGTTCATGGGACCATTTATCCTCGAATGGGCCAATTTCACACAGTTTTGGTTGAATTGCTGGGCATTATCAAGGGGTGGCAGTACAGTTGTACTTTGGTTTTTGAACAGCTTAGTTCTTGAACGTTTTGGCTGCCAAACGCTGCAAACCCAGAAGTGATTGTTCCGGTTTGCGAACTGTTTTTGGAAACCGAACGTCTGACGTGGCTTCCGATTGGCTGCAGGAGCTTCCTGCAGCCAATCAGAAGTTGCGCTTTGGTTTCTGAATGCTTTGGAAGTTGAACAGACTTCTGGAACGGATTCCGTTCGACTTCCGAGGTACGACTGTACAGAGTAGATTCATTAAACAGATGGATTTATGTCCTTTAATTTCAAGGGGTCTACTCTGAGTATGATTTAGTTATTTATCCACAGCAGGCTGAGGAATCTATGGACCTCTAAATGTTGCCAAACTCCAGCCCCCATAATCTCTGACCATAGCCCATGCTTGCTAGGGCTAACGGGAGCTGTGGTTCAGCTGCACCCAGAGAGCCAAGGGTTGTCCATCTCTGCTCTACAGCTTTTTTTCTTCCCTAGCGCAAGAGACTACAGTGGTACCTTTGGATGCAAACGGGATCCGTTCCGGAGCCCCGTTTGCATCCTGAGTAGAACGTAACACGCGACTGCGCGTTGCGTTTCACCGCTTCCGCGCATGCACATGACATCATTTTGAGCATCTGCGCATGCGTGAGCGGTGAAACCCGGAAGTAACATGCTCTGTTACATCCGGGTCACCGCGGAGCGCAACCCGAAAACGCTTAACCTGAAGCTACTTCAACCCGAGGTATGACTGTATTTCAATGTACTGGTAGGGTGTACTGGTAGGGGACAGAGGGCACTATTGGTTTCTACCAGATGAATTTGCTGTGTGTTTGTGCCCCCTGCAGGATTGCACCCCCGTGTTGTGTTAATTTGCAAGCATGTCTAATTTCAAAAGAGCCTAATAATCACAATGCTAGATACATCAGAAGTGGATAAACACAGTCAGCTCAGTCAGTAGAGCATGAGGCTCTTAATCTCAGGGTCATGAGCAAAAGATTTCTGCATTGTGGGGAGGGTAGACTAAATGACCCTCATGGTCCCTTCCAACTCTGCAATTTTAGGATTCTAAATGATTTTAAAGCATTTTTGAATGCATTACTATCTTTATAAAACATTTGATTTTGTTGTTGTTGTTGCACATGATAAAGACACAACCAGGAAACTTCTCAATAGAGAAAAGCAAGGTACATATTATCTGGGCATATTTGGGTATTCAAAGAAAACCAAGTGATTCATAGGTAACATATGTAGGCAAGTGGGATATCGGAACCTGGGATTCCTAATAGAAATGTGTCTGGTTTTTTTAAAACAAATGTTATTTTAAACTTTTTTTTTCAATTCATTGTATATCAGTTCCCAAAAAGACTTTGTTATCTTGCATGACCACCACATATGATAAAAGGTACCCTCACTTTCTTTGCACTTCCAGCAATTATTGGAGCTTGCTCTATACATTTTGGATAACTTAGTAGAAGTTAGATACCACCGGTACATCATTTTCATATAATTTTCTTTCAGCGTACAACATACAGTGAATTTCAGATCTGTTCTCCATAGCCTCTCCCAATCTGCCATTTGTATGTTATGTCCTAAGTCCTTTGCCCAGTTCATCATAACCGATTAAACCTGTTCATCCTTTGTATGCTATTCTAGGAGCAAGTTGTACATTTTGGACAGAGTTTTAATATTGTTTTCTAGAAGTTATTTTTGGAATCTTGATATGTCATAACTAAAACCTCTCTTTTTGTTTATCTTGGAGATTTCATTCAATTGAAAATACTACAGCCAATCTGTTACTAGTTCCCTTATCTCTTCAAAATCTTTTAATTTTAACTGATTTTCCACTTTGGTTAGCAGTTCTCTATATGTCGGCCAATTATTTCTCATGTTCACTTTTCTCAAAGATATTGCTTCCAAAGGGGAAAGCCACCAGGGCGTTTTTTGCTCAAATAAATTTTCCCCCATACCCTGAAAATCATTTTTCTTATTATATGATTCTGAAATGCTTTATGGACCTTTGCTTTTTCATACCATAGGCATGCATGCCATCCAAATCTATTATCATGTCCTTCGAAATCTAGGATGTGTTCCACAAGTTATTTTTACCCTCATTGGTCCAAATGTGACATACTTGCAGCTTAGAGCTGCAAAAATTAAGCAAATAAGAGATGTGATTTGGTAATAGACATCTTTTTGTTGTTGGCAACTGATATAGATCTGCCACATTAAAGAGCTGATAAATATTGATTACTCAAAATGGCTCTGGTCAGTTTCTTCAGTTCGAGCTGAGCTGAAATTTCTCAGAAGACATATATTCTCAGAAAATTTCTGAGACTTTTATTTGCCTCACCGTCACCCCTTAAAAAGATTTTTCTCTGTATCCTCACCATTTCTTTTGTGATGGCTAGTTTCTCATCTCCACAATTTTCTGGAATAAAGTAAGTTCAGGGCTTTGTGAAGGATGCAGTATGGCGTCAGTGGTGCCAATCCAAAATGGTAGCCAGGCTGCCACTCAGAGTGGCAGGAGGAAATATCATTTTTTAGGGGAAAGAAAGACGTTTTGCTATTGCTGATGCAAGTGGTAAGCTCCACCCCTGAGAAATAGTTAGATAATTTATTCTCTCCCTGGAGAAATTCAGTGAAATGGTCCCCACTTTTTCCTTTACAAAACAAGGTGAATAATTTCAAGAGACCATTTCTGCACAAGTTCTAGATTCAGTAGTAGAATAGTGACATTGAGGCCTCACCAGACAATGCTGTTGGCCAGGGTATATATTTTTAATAGGACTGTAGGGAATGTTATTGCAAGTGAAATTAGAAGCCCTTCATTTAATCCCTTAGAATATTTACGGTGGTGACGGCAGTGGGAAATGAAGCCGCAAGATCCCATTGGGTTAATGTGAAACAATCTGCTTCCATACCGTGACATACTTTCAGGCCTGGAGGATTGTGTGAATTGGCCGCTGCTCAGTTTCAGATGTCTGTTTTGCAGTACACACAGGCCACACATTAATGGCAGAGTGCCTTATTGTCTAATTAAATGATTAAGTGTTTACACATGGCATCCAATCTGTTAAGCAACACACTGGAACACCACACACTGAAAACACAAGAGGGGAACTTGCCATATAAAAAGGGGAGGAGGAGATAGCAAAAAGAGAAGAAGACCCCTGAGACCATTTGGCAGGATTAGATCTAAGTGGGTCTAATCAAATGTCACCAAACTGGAATAACAGAGGAAGCGCCTACATAAGCATATGACTGTTTCCTGTGAAATGAGCAAGGAAAAAAAGATGGCTTGATGTAGACCAAATTCTAGACCATCAGTGGTGGCAGGTGCCCATTGTGATTGGTAGGGTGTGAGGCAGGCAAAAGAGGAGATTGAGAGCACATATGGTAGCCATCTTGAAATATTTTAAGGGCTGTCACATGGAAGAGGGTAGGACCGAAGCCAATAGATTCAAGTTACAAGAAAGGAGATTCCAACTAAACATTAGGAAGAACATTCTGACAGTAAGAGCTGTTCAACAGTGGAACAGACTCTCTCAGGTGGAGGTGGACTCTCCTTCTTTGGATATTTTTAAGCAGAGGTTGGATGGCTACCTGTCTTGGAAGCTGTGGTTGAGATTCCTACATTGTAGGAATGCTTTCCAACTCTACAATTCTATGATTCTACAAGTAGTTCAAACAACCCAGGACACAAGGAACAAAATAGCAACAGAGGACTAAATTGCCATTCCGTGATCCCTGAGTGAGGGACGTGAGACTGGATAGCAAGTCTATGCTTACCTGTGAAATCAAGCTTGTGAGATAGGCTACAATCTTAACCCTACTTACCCAGGAGTAAGCCCCACTAAATTACAAACTAGGGATGCGTATTAAATTTAGACAAATCTCAAATCCTGACCTGGTTCAGGCTTAACTGAGATGACGTGAGATCTCCCTAAAGAGCTCTGAACCAATGCAGGAACCTCCCAAGTGAGGTTCAAAGCACTTGGGTGCTTGTTGACATTGGAGTGGGGGATGGGGGGGGATCGGACATGTCTGTGTCCGTGTCTGTGAATCTGCAGAATATGAAATATTTACCTCAAAGTTTGCCATTTAACAGGGTGGACAGAAGGGAGAAGTAGAGCTCTTTGGTGACTGACAGGTCTAGCTTCAAATCAGAAGTTATGATTTTACCAGGGCACTCCAGACACAGTGTTTGAGGGAAGGAATTTGGAAGTACTATACTGTTCTCATCTGTTCTGTGTTCATTGTTAGTTCTTGCTCAGGTCCTCCTGCCTCTGCGCCACATGGCCACATATTCTTGGCTGTAAAGTCAGCATTACACTAAGGGGACAATTCGACCCCCTGGGCAGCAGCAGATGGGCTTAATGGAGTGCCATAGGTATCTGTCCCCAGTCTTGCTGTTTGCACTGGCTGTGGGAGAAAGTGGGAGCTGAGGAAAATGTCCCTTCTCTACAACAGCTCCCCACAAAGTTAATAACCACTTTTAAACTTCCTAATAATAATAATAATTAGTAAAATGAGTGAGACATGAAGCCTCATTTTTCCAAATTGGGATTTAGATTCAAAGCTGGAAAAAAACCTGAAGTGCCGCAGGTCAAATCAGATCCCAGACTGAATCTTGTGGTCTGCACCCTCAGTCATATGAGAACTGGCTTTTGGTCCCATTCTGGGCCCAATTTGAAGTATTTAAATCTCTCTATGGTTTGGCACTAGTTATCTTAAGACTTTATTGTTTCTGTGTGTGCCTACCTAAACTTTGAACCCTTCAGCAGATCTTTGACAGAGACTGGTCTGTGTGTGCCCCTGCTGAGTGAGGGGTGCTGGGCAGGTAAAGGGGAGAGGGTTATCTTCCTCCCCCAATGGGTATAGTAAGGTAAAGGTAAAGGGACCCTTGACCATTAGGTCCAGTCGTGACCGACTCTGGGGTTGCGGCGCTCATATCGCTTTATTGGCCGAGGGAGCCAGCGTACAGCTTCCGGGTCATGTGGCCAGCATGACTAAGCTGCTTCTGGCAAACCAGAGCAGTGCATGGAAATGCCGTTTACCTTCCCACCGGAGTGGTACCTATTTATCTACTCACACTTTGACGTGCTTTCGAACTGCTATGTTGGCAGGATTTGAACTGCCAGCCTTCTGATTGGCAAGTCCTAGGCTCTGTGGTTTAACCCACAGCGCCACCCGCGTCCCTTAATGGGTATAGGGCGGTATACAAATTTAATAAATAATCATAAGCTAAATAAGTACATAAAAGAAAGAAAGTTTGCATCCTTTGACCATGATATTAAATCTTGTAATCATGCCCTGTGCAAAAAACAAACAAACAGAGGAAGTATCATAGCCCTTGAAATAGTTGTGGCTTTCCCCCAAAGAATTCTAGAAACACGTTTGTTAAGGGTGCTGAGCGTGGTTAGGAAAGCACCATTCCCCTCACAGAGCAATGATTCACAGAGTGGTTTCGCAATCAATCCCCTTTCCCAGGCACCCTCTTCCTAACTCTATAGGGCTGAGGCCCCCCAATGTCCGCTGGGATAGGGCTCAACCCCCCAAATTTGAGGGGGAAGAGGTCTGGCGGGATGTCACCCTGGGTGACATTGCATGGACCAGCACAGCCTGGCAGGTGAATGTCACATCGGGAGGATTCGGCCTCGCCTGATGCAGCACCCATCACACACACAATGCGGTCATGAGCACGTGCATCGTGCATGTGATGTCAGCCTCCTTCCCTAATGTCAGGCACAACTTGGTGCCTGTGCCTCTTCCCACGGAAGAACTGGAGCTCTGTGAGGAGAATAGGGGTTATCCAAACAACTCTCAGCACCCTTAACAAACTACAGTTCCCAGGATTCTTTGGGCGGAGCCATGACTGTTTAAAGTGGTATGATAACACTTAAATATATTGTACTGATGGGACCTTTGTCAGCCCTTTTAATTGCACATATCCTTTTCTGCTTCCTGATACTACATTTTTGTGTGTGGGAGTTCTTAATGTGTGTGGAGATCATGCCAATCCACAGCCATGAGACATCTCACAACTGTTAATGTTCATTAATTTTGAGTTTATTTCACATTGAAAAGAATTATTTTGAGTGCTCCAGGGTTTGACATTACCGCCTCCCTGCCTGTTTGGGGGTCCGCAGGCCACTATCCCACCGTACTGCCAAGGTGACAGGCCTTTCTCTACCTCCAAAGGTGCAAAACTCTTGCACCCATTCAGTCTGCCTCGTGGTTCCCAGGAGCTAATTGGCAGGTTTCAAGCATTTCCAGTTGCTTACATTCTTTTTTATCAAGGGTTTTATAGTGTAATTTCCCATGGAGGCTGTGAATGCTCTGTGTCTTGAGGTGTTAGTAAAGGTAAAGGGACCCCTGACCATTAGGTCCATTCGTGACCGACTCTGGGGTTGCGGCGCTCATCTCGCTTTATTGGCCGAGGGAGCCAGCATACAGCTTCCGGGTCATGTGGCCAGCATGACTAAGCCGCTTCTGGCAAACCAGAGCAGCGCACGGAAACGCCGCTTACCTTCCCGACGGAGCGGTACCTATTTATCTACTTGCACTTTGACGTGCTTTCGAACTGCTATGTTGGCAGGAGCAGGGACCGAGCAATGGGAGCTCACCCCGTCGCAGGGATTTGAACTGCCGACCTTCTGATTGGCAAATCCTAGGCTCAGTGGTTTAACCCACAGCGCCAGCCGCGTCCCTTTGAGGTGTTAGAGGAGATGCTAAACAAGTATTTGTCTGGAAAGATGTATGTATAGAATTTTCCGTTTTAAGGCAGCAAGTTGGTGAAGATCAGATTCAGCCACTCCTTTGTAGCCCTCCCAATTCTGGCTTCGTGCTTCTTTTGTAAAATACCTGCCCTTGGACAAAACGTAAGCCACACTTCTAATATTTGGGTACTATATTATCTTGAAATCAACTTTTCAGGGATTTTGCACATTCCTAACTTATTGTTGGGAATGAGATCTGCACCCTGCTATTGGTAAGCCTCTTCTAACTCCCTTGCCTCAGACATGGACACTATGTATTGGTGATATCTCATAGCCGCAGCTAGTGGTGTTCCTCTGGCTTATCTGTTTCATGCATTGCTATTATTGGGTTGGCTCATATGCTGCATTCTTCAGTTACATTCCCCATCTAAAATATTGGAGTAGCTGATCTTTGAGAGACATTTTTGTGTTATGATTTAATGCTACAAAACTTTAAATGTTATTAAGCACATGGCTTGATGGTCCCCTTCTCTCTGGAATATCCCCTTGAAATGTAGGTTTGATACAAAACTGGGATTGTCTAATATTTTATGAAAAGGGTGAGTTTTTTCTTATTGCCACCAGATGTCAGTAAAATCCCTGTTTAAAATAAATGTGCAGTCTGGTGACATTGATAATAAATGCGAGCCAGCTGTAGAAAGATTATTCTCAGGTTTGTAAGGGAAGTGGTTATTCCAGAGAATGTAGATTATAGAACCAGCTAGGTTAGACTAAGTGGAAGATACTGGCAATAGGTCTTTCATCTGGATTTGAAAGATTGTCTTTCTTTTGATTAAAAATGTCATAATACGTTACAGTGAACTTTGCTATTATATATATCAACACTGATCATTCTTATATCCAAAAGGTTTGAAAGTTTGCTTTTTCCATCTGAGCTCAAGACAGGGGTGAATTCAGTTGTGCATAGTGAGGTTTGTGCATTTTTTTTTAAAAAAATGTATCGCTATGATGATCAGCATCTGAATTCTTTCATAACCTGAAAATTAAGGTTTAAGTATGTGAGGTTAATTTTTTGCCACATCCATGACAGTCTAGACAGAAGATGTCTAGCAGCATAATCCTATACATGTCTACTCAGAAGCAAGTCATACTGAGTTCAGTGAGACTCATACTTTGGTAAATATTTGGCATTGTAATCAATTTCATCAGTTCACATTTAAAGGTGAACCTGTCTAATTTGCACTTCCTCAAATTGCTGATGAGTTTTCAGGGCTTAAAAAAATAATAATTAAGAAATTGCTGCTGAATGTGGAGAATCAATTTTAAGACTGGAAATATGAAAAACCAAGACAATTGAAATGGATGGATCCATCCATCCATCCCTACCTGGGAATTGAATGCTAACTGGACTTGCTTCTGAGTAGAATGGTACTGTAAGAAGACTTAGGATGGGATGAGCATAAAATATATATTTAAATCTTCTCCTTTCCGTATTGTTTATAAAGTCAATTGTTCAGTACATTGTCACCTTGAAGCTGTAATGGACTGAATCACCTTCTGTGTGAGGCTGGCCTTGATGATGGTTCAGATTAAGCTTTGGCGGCTGCAGAATGCATTGGCCTATATCATGCTGGTCTTGGTATCCTGTTGCCTTATTGTTTATGTGCTTAGTCAGGTGTTAATGCTATGTATATATAAAAAAACACACTTGGTGACTATCTTGCAGACTTGCATAATCATATTTCACCCAGCACTCCAAGTACAGCACGCACCTTAGCTGGTAATACCCTTTTAATAGTATTTTAATTTGAGGCATATTTTTTTTTAAAAAAATCTTCCATGGCTGGAGGCCAGTGAAGTACTCAGAAGCTACAGCCACAAGTTCAAATAATAGTTGTAGGTCTGTATGGGCATAGCCAGGGGGGATCAGGCCTTTGTTGGGGGGAGGAAGAACCTCAGTTAGCTATGTATTTTTATTGATTGGGGGTGGGGCTGCCCCCTTAGCTATGCCCATGGGTCTTAGCTTGTTCTAAAGGTAAAGGACCCCTGACAGTTAAGTCCAGTTGCAAATGACTCTGGGGTTGTGGCGCTCATCTCGCTTTACAGGCCAAGGGAGCCGGCGTTTGTCTGCAGACAGTTTTTTCTGGGTCATGTGGCCAGCAAGACTAAGCCGCTTCTGGCGCAACACAACACCAAAACCAGAGCAGCGCACAGAAACACCATTTACCTTCCCGCCAGAGTGGTACCTATTTATCTACTTGCACTTTTTGGTGTGCTCTCGAACTGCTAGGTTGGCAAGAGCTGGGACCAAGCAACGGGAGCTCACCCCATCACGGGGATTCGAACCGCCAACCTCCTGATCAGCAAGCCCAAGAGGCTCAGGGGTTTAGACCACAGCGCCAGCCGCGTCCCTTGATCTATCCACCTGTAATTCACAGTTTGTGTGATTTGCAGTGCCTCTGAGATTTCTTCCTCGTAGCTGATGGCAACCTGCCACCCTACTAATGGGGGATGGTGGCAAGGAAGGGCTTTCTCTTTGAACTAAAAACTTCAAAGTCCAACGGCTTAGGAAGCCATGTTTTACTGATACATCCAGTGGTGCATCCAGCCCACAACTGTCTCCTTTGACAAGAGGCTGCTCTCATGGCCACAGGCAGTAGTCGCTTTCCAAACACTGCTATGTAGGGTCCTTTTAACTAGAGATTGGCTCTGGCACATTCTGTATGCTAAACATGCACTCAGCTGTGTCCTCTCCTCACTTACACACTGAAGTCCTCCCTTGATGTTGCAGTTATCAAGTGACCAACAAGTGTGTGTATAAATCAGACCTTTGACTTCTCCTGCTTTCATCTCCCAGCGACTGGTACTGAGAAGTAAACAGACGAGTAGCCATAGATATTGTTGCAGTCAATCCAAGCTGCTTCCCTCGAGCGGGAACTTGTATTCAAATCAGTATTCGAAACGCAGACTAAAATACACTTCCCCACCCACTGCAAGCCATTGGTCTGAATCAGTAGAAAAACCTTTCTCTTTCTGCTGAATCACAGAACTTCCACATCTCCTCTTTGCCTCCTCAATTTGCTTTTCAATGGAGTCAGTGCCCAAATTTCAGGTGGTAGCTGTCGCCTGGGTGGTACCTAATTGCATGGAAGTGAAGTCTAAATACTCAGGAGGGAATCAGGCCAGCCAAAAAGACATTGGACACGCTGGAGGCCACATCTAAAGGTAAAGGACCCCCCCGACCATTAGGTCCAGTCGTGACCGATTCTGGGGTTGCGGAGCTCATCTCGCTTTATTGGCTGAGGGAGCCGGCGTACAGCTTCCGGGTCATGTGGCTAGCATGACTAAGCTGCTTCTGGCAAACCAGAGCAGCGCACGGAAACGCCGTTTACCTTCCCAACAGAGCGGTACCTATTTATCTAGCACTTTTTGGGGTGCTTTCGAACTGCTAGGTTGGCAGGAGCAGGGACCGAGCAACGGGAGCTCATCCCGTAGCGGGGATTCGAACCGCCGACCTTCTGATCGGCAAGTCCTCGGCTCTGTGGTTTAACCCACAGCGCCACCCGCGTCCCTGAAGGCCACATCTACGCATTTATAAATCATAGATTACACAGTGCAGTCCACTGAAGTTATGCCCACCTACATTTTTTTTTAATGCAATAAAGGCTGTTTAAAAAACAAAACAGCTTGACAAGACTGAGAATAAGAATTGCCCAAATAATAGTATATGTTTACTCAGAGCTAAGCCTAATGATATTCAGTTGCTCTTACCCCCAGGTAAGTGTGTGCAGGATTGTAGCCTAAATCTTTCTCTTAAAATGATATGAGCACTGGCTTCAAAGTTTATATTATTATTATTTTCATTATTATTCCAGTTATTGTACTGTGACACTCTTACACTCTGCAAATTTCCTATCAGGGCTACTACTTAAAAGTACATTTTTTTAAAAAAAAGAAAAAAATTAGATTACATCTGCTCTGAATCTTTTCAATATACAAGGCTGGTTTGTGAACAGAGACTAAACTATATAATTAGATAAATGACTTGTTCTTTAAGCATTAGAATTATGGCTTGTCTCCATGTAATTCCTGCTGAAACAAAAGCCTATGCAGCAGTGGGTGAATCTCAACTAGTTCTTACATTCAGCAGGTGGAAATAAGCATAAAAACTGAATGAGGGGAAACTCATCTGAATTCATGCCTTTTCCCCTATTTTTGGCTACTTACTTTTAATTTATTTATTTTTGCATACAAACGTTGGATATGCCATGCTTAAGATACCATTTAAACAACAAAAAAGGACAAAAGGAGGCAAAAAATTGCTTACTTCATATTCTATTTGTGTCCTATGATATGTAGTGTCCTGCAATTCTTCATTGCACTCCACATAAACCTAGAAGGCAGCAATCCCATAAACACTCACCTGGGAGTACAACTGGGAGAAAAATTAGTGCTGTTCATGTTTATGTGGAATTCCTTAATCTGCATTGCTTGAAAAAAGACATGCACTGAAACACAGCCAACCTTCAAAATTCTCACATTTAAAAAATTTGCAATGTACTTCTCCAACCAAATGTGCAATACTAGGGGTAGTAGGGTGCATAAAAATGTATTTATTGGTGAGTATAACATAAAAAGTCATATTGTTAGGGAAATTTGCCTGCACTAATGTGCATATGTGAAGAAATTCACACAGAAATGCAGATGAATTTTCATGAGAACTTCCTATTTAAATCACAAACTGATGCAGAATTGAATTTCAGGATGGAAAAATGAGAAAGAGAGAGAAGAACTGGCAGCTTCATCTATCCCCACCTGGGAGTAAGGTCCTGTATTGTCAAACAGGCTTATAGAGACATGCAGAATTGCACTGTTAGTGGAACAAGCTCACAGAACACCTGAGAGGACATGTGTAGGCTCAGGTTGCATTAAAATACTTGTCCTTTGAAATGATTCTTCTCAGTCTTCAACTTGTTTGCTTCTCCAGGAAAAATGCTGTGGGCACAGTTATTTTTGGACGGTTATTATGGTAACCTTGGCTTTTTCAGTAATGGCAGAACTTATTTTGCACCGGCTGTCAAATTGTCTTTATTTGGAAGAAATCACTAGGCTGCACAAATCCGTCAACAATGTCTTATTATGCTGGAAATATAGGCAGGTGACACATAGGAGCTCACCTGTTTCCAACAAATGTTGACTAAATTCATCTTCTGTACAGAGAATTTCCTGAGTTGAGAAATGTGTCCTGCTTTTGATAAACAGCACCTTTGAGGGCAGATGGTTGCTGGGGAAGTGGATTTTTGGCAGGAAACTGCTGGAGGGCCCTAATTCAGATTAGAAATCCTTACATTCCAGATTGGTGCCTTGCCGCCACGTTTCTTCAAAATAAGAGCAGCCATTTTAAGGATACTTTTGCAAAACTGTGAATAACATAATCAGGGTAACATAATCGGGGAATATAAAGATATTGTGCAAGATACAGAGAATATAAATATATTCAGGTTGCAGCCTGGCACTCCTCTTCTTCTCCGTATATATGTGGCCAGAAGAAACCTATTTGAGCAGAGGGGATAATTCCAGCCAGCTCGGTAGGTCTTTATGTTAGGTTCAGACTAACATAACCATGGGAGTCTTGACCCAGGGTTGTGCAACAAGGGTCATGATAAACAACATTCTTGTCCAAATTGGAAACCGTTTCAACAAAGTCTGAACTTGGAAGACTCAAAGCCAGGACTTCTCTTGTGGGCTACCATCAATGTGGAACTTGCCAAGTCCTCTTCCTCTTCTTGCCGACATCCAGAGTGCTAAAAAGGGAGAATAGATGCAGCTGCTTTTCGCTGGCTAGTTAGTGGTGTCTGTTCTGCTTTTCTCTTGCAGGTGGGCCAGTGTTGACTGGCCTTGCTCCAGCCTCTGAAAACGCCACCTGCCCTGCTGAGCAAACTTTGAAAACTTCTATTCAGCCTGCCTCTCTTTGCTCTCCCTTTTTACTGCACAGCTTTTACACAGGACAAAGGAATATATGAGCTTTCAGGAGTTCTGTGCTTCCATACCTCTCATTAGTTTTACTCCGTAGACAGAAGAGACATTCAAAAGGAAATCAGGCCAACAGTTCAAGAAACTTTTAAAAAACATTTGTAGGGGTTTTTTTTTTGTTTTTGTTTTTTTGCAGCACCAGTTCAGAGTGTTAACAGAATAGGCTCTCCTTAGTCACGCAGCATTTCGTTAAGTTGGTGGTTTCCTGTGGAAGTCATGCCAGGACAAACAAGTTAGGTTCCAACCCTGCATCCAGTTGGTAGGCTCCATAAATCACACGGAGGTCAATGGGATTTAAACAACCAACCTATGTTCAGGATTACATCCTAGGGCAGCCTCACATTATGGTATTGTGCCACCAAGCCCAGCGACTCCATGTAGGAGGAACAGATGAGGGTCTGAACTTATTTCTGAATGGGGCCTTCAGTCTTTTTAAAGGACAGGCCTCAGCAGAGGGCTCTGCTCTTGGCAGCAAAATATTTTCAGATGGCGCTGCTTAGAGAAAAAGTTTCCTGTGGCAGTCTTTAAATGATCACATAGGCACAAATTTAAAAAAACTGTTAGGGTATCTGGGAATCCTGACTGGGCAAGGCTTCTCAGGTGAGCGTGTGAGAAGATGCAGATAACGGATGCATGCCAATCAGACATTGTATCGTAGGGATCACTGGTACAATGTGTGGGGCTGCTGTAGTGTTGCAGATTATTTTTTTGTTGCTAGTTTGTAGAGCTGATACAAAACTTCATACAAATGAGTTTTGGGTGGTTTTTTGTTTTGTAATTTGGACTACAAAGTTGGAATTTTCAAATTTTGTGTTTTTAAAATTCAACACACAAGGACACTTACAAAGCCTGACAGGGTATAAAAACCCACTTATTAAACTTTTTGATGTCATAGTTTGCAGCCTGTTTTCCAAAACCCAAGTGCATCAAACGCCGCAAACCCGGAAGTGACTGTTCCGGTTGGCTAAATATTTTTGGATCCCAAACATCCAACAGGGCTTCCATGGCTTCTGATTGGCTGCAGGAGTTTTCTGCAGCCAATCAGAAGCCACAATTTGGTTTTGGAAGTTGAACGGACTTCTGGAACAGATTCTGTTAGACTTCCAAGTTATGGCTGTACATTGGAACAGTGTGATACAAGTTAACAAGGATTTAAACTGTTTTAACTCATCAGGTAAAGGTAAAGGGCCCCCTGGCCATTAGGTCCAGTCGTGGCCGACTCTGGGGTTGCGGCACTCATCTCGCTTTATTGGCCGAGGGAGCCAGCATACAGCTTCCGGGTCATGTGGCCAGCATGACTAAGCTGCTTCTAGCGAACCAGAGCAGTGCATGAAAACACTGTTTACCTTCCCACCGGAGTGGTACTTATTTATCTACTTGCACTTCGTGTTTTCGAACTGCTAGGTTGGCAGGAGCAGGAACCAAGCAACGGGAGCTCACCCCGTCGCGGTGATTCAAACCGCCGACCTTCTGATCGGCAAGTCCTAGGCTCAGTGGTTTAGACCACAGCGCCACCCGCATCCCATAAACTCATCAGGTAGAGGTGGACTAAAAGTTCACTAATTCAAGCTTTTGGTGCATTTTGAAGACCCTTGGGTGTGGATTGGGTGGTGAAAGGCAAAAAAAATATATATCAATCTCAACCTTTCAGTTTTTTATGTCCCAGAAAATGTCACCAGTTTTCCTTCTAGATGAATAATATTATGTAATGATGTGTTATCACTTACAGGGGCATTTCAGGAGGGGCAAAGGAGAATGGTGGTTGCCAGCTGGTGACCACTAATAGGAGCTGCCATAGTTGTGGGTTAAGTTTATCCAGAGCTTTCTTTTCCCGGGGGTAAACTCAAGGGTACGCAGTACTGACACCTTTTTATCTAGAAGAAAAGCACTGGTTAAAAGTGTGGTATTCACTGTAACAACTTCAAGGTGAGTACTGGCAGCTTCTTATTAGAAGAAAAGCGCTGAAATTATCAATACCCACTCATAAATAGCTGGGCTGAACTCAGTCCTATCACCAGGTTTCTGTTTGCATTTTGTGTGTGTGTGATTCCCCCTTCTCCCACCACGATTTATGGTTCCATGGGTCAGTGTGCCAAAACTGGTGATTTATTTATTTATTTTTAAAAAATGGTTGACTGATTTGCTGCTTTTGAGGAAAGGTGTTCTGTCTCCTCCCTCCAACAGTTGAACTTGTATGATTATTATTTTTTTTTTTTGTAAAAGGCCACATTTCTGTGAGGCATGCCCTGGCCTGAGGGCGTAAGCGTGGAGACATTAACAATTGTTCAGTAAATTACATACTCGTCGTAGAAAGGGAAAGAAGAAAGTTCATATCAGTTTCAGGATTTAAATACACCAACCCAGCAGGTGCCTTTTGAGGGCCAAGTCAAAGGAATGGAGGCTTGCGCAAGCACGAGAGAGGCACACACAACCTTGAAATAAATGGTGAGTGGAGGACCATTTTCAAGGGCAAAGGAGCTGACCTTCAAATACATGCAGATCTTGTTCACTAGGTAAATCTACATTGCAAACCGTGTATTATCAGTCTTCTAAATCTACACCATCGCTAGAAACTGTGCTCAAGTCATCACACACACACCTCAATTCTATGAGTTCCTCCACCATATAAAAAAAGAAAATGATTGGCTGAACTATTTATTTGGATCTGAGCATATTTGGAATCTACAGAATTAAGGGTGCTTGCAGACAGGTGTTTTATTATGGGATGGGTACTCTTCATGCATGCTATCCTTTGTTTTCCTTGGGGGGTACACAAGGGTACGCAGTACCAGCACCTTTTTTATATATACAGAAGAAAAGCATTGATTAAAAACATGCCACTTACTGTAACAACTTCATGATGAGTATCACCACCTTTTTTTTCTAGAAGAAAAGCACTGCATGCCTTTATTTTTACAGCATTTACACAACAGTGTAAGCATCAAAATGCATCCCTCCACCCTAGACTTGGCCTTTCCAGGAAAAATCTGATAAGTATTTTTTTATATATATATAAAAGCAACAACATCTGTTGCCCCTTATTTCAAGCAGACTGACCCACTTAAAATATCCAGCACCCAAAATTTATTAAGGTGCATTGTCAGCGCCAACCACCGATGGGATGAGAAGCTAGCCTACGAGCCTTTTTAAAACAACAACAATGCAGTTCTTCCTGCCATATTTCCCCCCCTCCTTTTCTAATGCAGCCTTTAATGCTGCTGATCACACTGAGCTTAGCCTTTTGTCTCACCTGGTTCCTCCCTTCTTTACTTGAAACATGCTGAACGTGGCTGTGCCCTTGCTGTGCAGTGGATCTATTTATGGTTTTCATGAGCGGAAAAGGCTGTTTGCCATGTGGACCCCAGCAGAGCTAATAGGGTATTTCCCCCCCCCTCCCCTGAGCTATTATCCCTTCGGATTACCCCCTGCCTTTTTACTATTCTGCAAGCTATTTACATGGTCAGCTGATAAGTGATAGGTAAGCTTATTACTAATTTAGTTCCTTTTTTAAAAAAAGAAAAGGCTACTGCTTAGGTCACTCGGACCACACGTAATGTCACTAGAGTCATTTCTTGCAGGTGCAGTGGTGGCCTTTAAACTATCAGAGGAAAGTTGAAAGGAGTGACTCCCCCCACCCCCACATGTTTTATAGGAAAATTGGAGGTTGATGTTGATGGGGAGGGGAGAAATCACACAAGAAAAGGAATTGTGTGTGCATAATGAAAATCAGTGATAAGATATGGTATTTCTACCTACTTAAAGAGCAGAGTGAACATACTTTACAACGCACCACAGCCCAATTGTATGATTTTCATCATTTGCGGCAGCTAGAGCAGTGTAAACAGCAGCTACCTGGAAGCATCCGCTCTCAGAAATGGTGGAATGTCTTCAGTGCTAGCCCTGCTCAGAGCTGATGCATTGAAATTTATGGACAAAACTACGTTTGGTGCATTTGTCCTAATGGGTCTACTCTGAAGGTGTCACTCGGCACCTATATACATGCAGCACTTGAGGAATTTGATATTTGCAAAGTTAAGATACAAATTGATTTGATCCTCTCTGCCCAGACTTAGTTGTAGCTCGTTACCTTATTTGCTGCTTTCCAACAGTTCTCACCTCACAAAGACATCTTCAGCAATGTTTCAAAATGTGCATTTATGGAGAGAAAATGTATTGAGAGGTGCATCTTTGGAAAGAAAATACATTTTAAAATACTTTTTTAGATGCAAATTCTACGATGGGTTAAGCATAATATGGAACAGAGCAGAACTTAGGGTGAACACATACGAAAGTGTCACAGGCCAGATTTCACCCAGTCCTGCTCTACTGTAGGGATGTTGGACATTTGTGTTGGGCCCTCAGGTGTTGGTGTTTTTTGAACTGGGTTAGAGATTGGACTACAGAAACCACATGACCACAACACAAAGCTTCTTGCCTGCGTTGTCTCCTTCTCCTTCTCTCTCCCTTAGTACTTAAAAAACTATGGCATGATTTCATCACGCAGTGGATTTTCTCTGCAAGGAGCAGCTCATGAAGCAGAGCAGGGGAAACTCGCCATGAGGTGTGGCCACATTTAGCGGTACCAGATGCTGCCCCCTTTGGGTTTCAGCTATATAGCTTCTGTTACATCAGAGAGAATCACCTTCAGCCCAGCTTTGAGCAGAGTAGCTAATATTGCCATTCCAAGGATCCCTGAACTTGAAAGTGTCATTATTTCATGTTCGGATGACAACAGAGCTTGGCAGCTTAATCAACTGTCAGGTTTTAATCAACTTGCAGGTTTTATTTCTGCACTATGTCATTTTGATTCCAGTTATCATTGTTATAGCCTGCATAGTTACACATGTTGTTAATGGTCACAAAATTATATAGCTCTTTATTAATCTCAGGCACATTCTTTATTTTTCACTTCAGTGCTTCAACAAAGTCAGTAAAGGGGGGTGGGTGCACTCACGTGCGAATAAATACTTTTATATAGTGTGTTTGAATAATTGAAAGCTGCGTCTAGTTTTCGTAAGATGGCATATACTACACACATAAGAAGTTGAAGATTAGTGATCAGTTGTCCCACCTCCTTAATTTGTTTTAAAGCAAATTAAAAACAGCTGAGGGACAGAGTTTAAACCCATTTTCCCACACCAGTTCATGGTTGTAAAATGGTGCCAACTACCATTTGCCTTGTACCTGAAGTTTTCTCTAATGGGACAATAGCAGGCTGAGGGCATTTACATCAGGGAAATAGTATGGCAACCTGGC